CGCCATTTGCAAAATGTGTCAGCTCTCTCCATCTCATCATCTCTCCCTTGAAGCAGAGGCGCAGCAAACGCCGAACGCACCGAATGGATGCGCTGTGCTTTCAGCGTGCCCTCGAGCGTCGCGATGACGGCAGCGGCGCGAGGTGTTTCGCGTGCGGCGACGGCGTGCAGGTAGAGCGGCAGGGCATCGTGTGCGCGCTCGGCCGCCGAGCGCGGCGCCACGGCCTGTTTGTGTGCGCGGGGGGCAGGACGGGCGTCAGAGAGAGGAGAGGAGGGCAGGGCGAGGGAGGCAAGCGACGCACGGAGAGACGCAGCTCGGCGAGCGCGCTTGCGAGGAGCTGCTTGGCGGCCATGTGATTGCGACGTGAGGGCGCGAGGGTGGAGGTGGCAAGGGAAGCGAGCGTGGCGCGCAACGCCGGCGCGCGGCGGCTGCCTTGCGTTCCGCGCGGTGTCCACGCCGAGTGCACCGTCGCTCTCGCCCTACTCAGCTCCGCAACACTGACGGCGTTGAGGCGCACACGCTGGCGGGTAAATGAGTAGTTTACATATGAGGGGTTTGGAGAGAGCAGGCTCACACGCGCAGCGGCGACGAGCAGAGGAGGGGGCCAGAAACGAGAGAACACGGGTGACGGTGCGCGTGCGAGCCTCAGGCGTCAAAGACGAGCGGCCGGCGCGGCGGCAGCTTGGGGCGCGGCGTGACGAGCTTGGGCATCGACGTGCCCAGGTTCTGCGCCGCATTGCCCATGATGATCGACTCGGACACGCCCTGGATCGAGTCGGTCTTGCCGAACAGCGCCGCGTCGAAGAGGTGGTCTGCAGTGGAGGTGCAAGTCAGCGTGGCTGCTGGCACAAGGCGCGCACGGTCCGCAAGGACGCACCCGTCGTCTTCTCGAAGCTGGCAAGCATCAGGACGCTGTCCTTCATCTTGGCGACGCCAAAGCGGGTGATGCCCAGCACCTCGCCCTGTGCGAGAGAGGAAAGCGTGAGCGACGGCTGCGGCGCATGGTGCTGGCCGCGGCTCTGCCCACCTTGTACGTCATGACGTCGGCCAGCAGCATGACGTGGCGCGGGTCGATGCTCATGCCGTGCGACGACATGGTGTAGTCGATCTCGCGGAACACGGCCGTGCGCGCAGACTCGATGCCGAGCACCGTCTGCATCTCCATGATGTGGTTCGTCGCCGTGGCTGTGCCAATGACACCTGGCGCAAGGGGGCAGCGGCATCAGCTGGCGGGCGTCGCTGCACTGTGCGGCATCCACTCACCCTCGGTCGTCATGACGTCTTTGAGGCCGTAGCCCTCGACGAGCAGCTTGCGCTGGCCCTTCTCGTCCGAAATTACGGCACGCACGGCCGTCTGGATGCCCTTGACGACGACCTTGGGCAGCGCACGCTTGAGCAGCTTGAGCTGGTAGTACATCTGCGTCTTGTCCTCGATGTAGATGCGGATGCGATTCTTCGACGGAATGACAATGACGCGCTGGCAGGGAGAGGGTCAGGCGGTGTCGCATAGAGCCCCTGCGGGCCCCACTCACGTCCTCCTTGATGCGCAGCTTCGGCGCGCGCACAATGGCCCACTTGATCTCGTCGAGCGTGACCTCGAGCTGCAGGCGGCGCACGGCCTCCATGTCGATGTGCACGCCGAGGTACACGTACGACGACGCCCATGCCTCCTCGATGACCGACGCCACGTCGCCGAGGTACGTCTTCTCGATGCGGCCCTTGACGATGCGCGCCGTCGTCTCGCTCTCGGCATTGACGAGCTTGGCGGTGATGATCGGCGTGTTGATCTGCTTGGCGGCGTTGATGATCTCCTTGATGCGCGGCACACCCAGCGTCACGTTCATCGACGCGACACCGGCAAAGTGGAATGTCTTGAGCGTCATCTGCGTGCCCGGCTCGCCGATCGACTGCGCGCCGACGGCGCCGACGGCCGAGCCCGGCTCGACCTTGGCGCGCATGTACTTGACGTAGCACGTGTCCAGGAACTCGGTCACCGCCACGCGCTTCACCTTGGTCTGGTTGTCGACGATGGCAAGTGCCGCGATGCTCGCGCCCATCGTCAGGTCCGTGTCTTCGTCCCACTCGTCCTCACGCTCGAGCGCCGGGTAGAGGCCGTGCGCCTCGCGGATCGCCGCCGCCTTGTCGACGATGGCCGTCATGAACTCCTGCACCTGGTCGCGGTACTTCTCCGTCGTCTCCTTGATCCAGCGCGGCGACGCCAGCTCGGCGGCGACCATCTCGGCAATCTCGTACGGCAGCAGGCCGCGCTCCTCGACGTGCTGCGTGAGCGCCTTGCAGTGCCGCCACGAGCGCAGGTACTCGACGGGCAGCGCATTGCCCTCCAGCTCCGCCGGGTCCAGGCCGTCGTCGCCGTACATGAACTGCACGACGCCGCCGACGGAGTTGCGCACGGAGAGGTCGTAGTGCGTCGACAGGTCCTCGAGTGCCTGCCAGACGCGTTCAGCAGAGAAGAAGGGGCCAGATCGGCACGACGGCGCACCTTCATCAGCCGACGCGCCATGTAGCCTGTCTCGGCAGTCTTGACGGCCGTATCGACGAGGCCTTCACGGCCCGAGATGGCGTGAAAGAGAAACTCGGTGGGCGTGAGGCCCGAGAAGAAGCTGTTGCGCACGAAGCCCTTGCTCGGCGGGTCCTTCGACTTCTTGGCAAAGTGCGGCAGCGAGCGGTCCTGAAAGCCGTTCGGCACACGCGAGCCGGCGATAATCTGCTGTCCGACACAGGCGACCATCTGAGCGACGTTGATCTTCGAACCTGCGAGCGTACATGTCAGCACTGAAGCGCATCACGGGCAGAAACAAGACACACCCTTCGAACCGCAGACGGCCATGATGAGCGGCGCATTGTGCCGGCTGAGCTCCGTCATGCAGATCTCTCCCACGTCGGCACGCACGGCACTCAGCACGCCGGAGATCATGTTCTCGAGCGTCTGCTCCTGTCCGCAGCCCGGCAGGTTCTCGAGCTTGCCCAGCTTGGCCTTCTCGATGAGCGAGATGCACTCGGCGTACGCCACCTCGACCTTGCTGTCCTTTGTGGAGCGCAGCCGGTGCCCGGGCATGACGTCGTTGATGCCGAGCGAAAAGCCCTGCTGCGCCAGCCAGCGCGCACACATCTTCGCCAGCCGGTTCATCGCCCGGATCGCCGAGTCGGGCCCGTAGTCGCGCAGCATGACGCCAAACACGCTGTTCTTCTTGCCGTCGCCCACCGTGCTCTTGTCCATGACGCCGCACATGACCTCGGAGTTGATGATGACGAGCCAGCCGTCGTTGGGGCTCATGTCCTTGATGTGGCCGTCCTTGGGCTTCTCAAACGTGCGGCACTGCGCCTCGAGGTTCACGAGCTCCTTGGCGGCGCTGTTCGGCTTGATCATGCAGCTGAACACCTGCTTGCCCGTCCAGAGGCGCTGCGGCTTGAGGATCGCCGGCGGCGGAATGTCAATCTGCAGGTCGGCGTCGGCAAAGTACGAGCAGATCTGCGCGAACTGCCCGCGGTCGAAGAAGCGGTCGCGGCGCGAGATGAGGAACGACGCCGTGATGAAGTCCTGGATGGCCGCAATGATGGGCTCGCCGTTGCGCGGCGTGACGAGGTTGTGCTTGACGCCCATGAGCACGGTGGCCTCGGTGCGCGCCTCCTCCGTCTGCGGCACGTGCATGTTCATCTCGTCGCCGTCAAAGTCGGCGTTGTACGGGTTGCAGGCGCACTCGTTGAGGCGGAACGTGCGCCACGGGCGGATCTTGGCGCGGTGCGACATGATGGAGAGCTTGTGCAGCGACGGCTGCCGGTTGAAGAGGACAATGTCGCCGTCGCGGATGTGGCGCTCGACAATGTCGCCGATCTTGAGCGCCGTCGCCGCCGAGCTGCGCGACGACGCCGAGCGCAGCATGCGCTTCCAGCCCGTCTTGACGTCGATGACAAAGTTGGCGCCCGGATGTGTGTCGCAGCCGTTCATGATGGCGGCGCGCATGGCCTCGATGTTGTGCGCAAAGACGCGCTCGGGATACGTCAGGATCTTGGCCACACGCTCGGGCACCGCGACCTCGTCGATCTTCAGATTCGGATCCGGCCCGATGACGGTGCGGGCCGAGAAGTCGACTCGCTTGCCCGACAGATTGCCGCGGAAGCGGCCCTGCTTGCCCTTGAGCCGCTGGCAGAAGCCGCGGATGGGCTTGGCGCCGGGCTGCGTCGGCGCGCCGGGCATCTCGGAGTTGATGTAGAGGGCGACGGAGAGCTGCAGGAAGTCCCACTGCTCGACAAGCATCGACGTCGTCGTGCCCTTGCCGCCGCGCGAGAGGCCCATCTTGAGCAGCGCGTTGGTGAAGATGATCTCGGTCAGCTTCACGGTCAGGTCGTCCTCGTTCGTCGCGCCCTCCTGCGCCACCGACGGCCGGATGCACACCGGCGGCACGCAGATGTACTGCCAGATGTACTCCTCCGGCCGGCCGTACTCGGGGCGCAGGCCGAGCAGCTCGCAGTCCTCGTCGCTGATGCGCTTGAAGAGGTCGAGCACGCGCAGCGGGTTCAGGTCCTCCTGCGCGCGCGCCAGGTGCGGCGTCACGTCGTTGTTGCCGCCCGGCCCGCCGAGCTTGATGTTCATCTCAAACGTCTTCTTGAACGCCTCGCGCTCCGTCTCCGTCTTCTTCTGGCGGAACTTCTCGTGCGTGATTTTGAGCGAGCCGACCTTCTTGACGACGCCGTTGGTGCTGCCGCAGCGCGGGCAGTAGAGCACCTTGCGCGCCGCGCCGTTGACGGCCTTGAACGTCGACGTGCGCTGCAGGTTCTCCAGGTTTGGTCGCCGGAAGAGGCGCAGGTACTTTCGCCGCGCCGTCTCGTCGAGCAGGACTGTGGCGCAGTTCTGACAGAGGCGAGTCAGGGGTGCCCATCGTCTGCAGCACTGCTTTTCGCCTGCAGCAACGCTCATCGCGAGCAGCACTGTGCCTCGCCTTCTGCAGACGCCAGCAGCGACGCTCTCTGCGTCTCCGGCCGCGCTCTCCTCGTCGGGCAACAGCTCCTCCGTCCATCTGCGCGCTGCCGGCTCGCACTCACCTTGCAGATGCACTGCAGGATGCCGAGCACGTGCTTGAAGAAGCCGACGTGGAAGACGGGCAGCACGAGGCGGATGTAGCCGTAGTGGCCCACGCAGTCTGCCATCTTGAGGCCACAGGTGACGCATGGCGTCTGCTTGTCGCTGACGCCCTGGAGGGACAGAAAGCGTCAGTATGGGCGCAAGCCGCGCGGCGGCTCTGCACTTTGTTCCCTCTGGCCAACACCAAGGCCAGCAGTGCAGGGCAGGGCTCCTCTCGCGAACAGACGGCTTGAGCCGGCCCAGCCGGCGCCTTCCCGCTGCTCGTCACCACTCTCTGCCGCACCTTCCCTGCCCGCTCAGGTGCACATCCAGCCCACAGCCTGCCGCGCCTCTGCTGCCCATGCCCACTCACCATGCGTCGGTCCAGCACGCCGCCCTCCTGCGGCACGCGCTCCGGCACGCCCGACGCGCCGGCGGCCTGGCTGATGGTGTACATGTCGCGCGTCGTGCACTCCATCTCGCTCATGTTGACAATCTCCTGCGACGAGAGCACGCCGAACTGGATGTGCTTGATGCGCTTCGGCGCATCCTGCACGCTGGAGCGGGGCAAGGGGGTCAGCGATGTGATGCTGGACTGTGCAGTGGGCAAGCACGCACACGAGGTCCTTCATCGTGGCGTGCGCGGCCGGGTGGGCAGGAGCGCACTGCACGGGATGCGGGGCCGCGGACGCCTGGCAAGCGACGGGAGCCCAGAGAGCGCAGCACCGGCGGGTGTGTGCGGTGGATGAGCGGACGAGTGGAGCAGGGTGCGAGGGAAGGAGCGGGCGAGGCTGGACGTGGAAATCCAGGCAGGCACGCCGCGGCGCGTGTCCATCGGCCGAGCATCGCCGCCCGCCGCCCGCCGCCCGCCGCCCGCCAGCATCGCGCCCCACTCGGCGCAGCAGCAGGGTGCAGCAGCGGGCGGGGCCGAGCGCTGCGCCCAACACGCCCTCTGCCAACACACCTCCACCACCCCCGCCATGTCTGCCTCCGCTCCTCCCGCCGGCGGCGCACACCCGCTGCGTCCCTACGCCACCGACGCCGGCGACCGCAACATCTTCGTCGCCGCGCGTCCGGCACCCGCGGCTGTCTCCACAGCGTCGCGCAGCAGCAGCAGCAGCGGCGGCGCCGCACCCGTCGCTGTGCCGGCGCCGCGGCAGCAGAACCGCTATGTGCGCCTCGACGACGACTACAGCGACCTCTCGGGCGCGCCGAGCTTCAGGGATGCGCTCAAGGGCCTCGCGCTCGCCGGCGCGCTGCAGTACACGTCGACGGCCATTGCCATGCCCTTCGAGGTCGGCAAGCTGCTGCTGCAGATCCAGTGGGTGCCGCGCGACGACGTCTGGAACGCATACGCACAGAGCGTTGCCGCCGACGAGGCACAGCGCCGCGGCGTCAAGGGTGCACGCGCAGCCGGCACGCCCGCCGCAGCCAGCGGCCTGAGCAACGAGTGGGAGCTCGACGAGGAGGACACCGAGGAGGAGCGCATGGAGATGGGCGGCGAGCGCGAGCAGTGGCGCGAGGAGGAGGAGAGCCACCAGCAGCGCGACTTTGGCGGCGAGGAGGACGAGGTGTGTGCTGTGCTGCCGCTGATGCGTGACGCTGCCACTGCTGACGCTGCTGCAGCTCTCGGACGAGGAGGAGGCCTCGGCCTACTTTGCCGACCTCGCCTCGACGTCGCAGCGGCCGCCGCTCGCGAGCGGCGCACGACGACCCACCGACGCCGCCGGCTATGTCGTGCGCAAGTCGATCCACGAGCGCGGCGGCGCCGCGCCGCGCCACGTGCTGCCCGTCGTGGTGCGCGGCGGCGTGTGGGAGATGATCAAGGCGGTGGCGCGCGGCAAGGAGGGCTACTGGGGCCTGTTCAAGGGTGCGTGGCTGGCCCGCATGGTCCGCTCGCACCTCGATGCTGACGCGCAAGACCCGTCGCAGGCACCTTGACGACGTTCATCTTCGACGTCGCCACGTCGACGATCCAGCCGCTGCTGTCCCTCTCGCTCTCCTACCTCATCCCGTCTGCCCTGACGCCGCTGCCGCTGCCGTACGCGCCATACCCGCGGCGGACGTATGCGCTGCTCGTCTCTTCGCATCTTCTCACCGGCTTCATCCTCTCGCCGCTGGACCTGATCCGCACGCGTCTCGTCGCACAAAGCACGCTCACGCCGCACCGCAAGTACTCGGGGCCCTTTGATGCGCTGCGCCAGATCCTGCGCGACGAAGGCGGCTGGCGCACGATCTACTTCCACCCGCACCTCCTCATTCCCACGCTGCTCGACTTTACGCTGCGGCCCGCGCTCTCCATCGGCGCGCCGCTGCTCATCGAGCACACGCTGCGGCTCGACAACGTCGGCTCGCCCGTGGCATATGCGCTCGCCGACTTCATGGTCAGCACGTTGGCGCTCGTCATTACGCTGCCCATCGAGACGGTGCGACGGCGTCTGCAGATCCAGCCGCGCGCGCCGTGGGGCGCCGAGCCGCCGGAGCCCGTCGGTGCGCGTCCGCTGCCGCAGGGCAGCGTCGCCTCCGTCGGCCTGGCAGCCAAGCCATTCAAGGCGCTGCGCACGTGCGTCGAGACGCGCCCACGGCCATACCTGGGCGTCAGCGAGGCCATCTACCGCATCTTGGTGGAAGAGACGTCCTTTTCGCCTGTGCCTCGGCAGCATTCGCGCGAGGCCTCGACGGACAGCTCGTCCGGCGATGTGCTGGCCCGCAGCGCCGTGCTGGCGAAGCATGGCAACTCGAGCCTCGGCGGCCTGCGCAGCCTGTACCGCGGCTTCACCATGGGCCTCGGCGCCAATGCCGTCGTCTTTGCCCTCACGCTCGTCAGCCGGGAACGCAATCCTTCGTCGGCCGGTTGGGCGGAGATCTAAGACGCTGCGGCGGCAGCAGCTGTGTAATCGCGCAATTTGTGCGGCTTGTCTCGTCTGTACTCCACCGTCAAATATACCACCTCTCTTCTCGCCTCAGCTGGATCCGTTGCGCAAAGGGTGCCATTGCGTGACGGGCCCGTGTCTCAGGGCACGGCCGGGCAGTTGGACTGGTCCGTGATGGAGTAGGGCTTGGTAAGGGGGTTGCCCAGCGCCGCGACCTCCTTGATGTACTCCTGCGAGTGGGGAACCTCAGCACTCAGCACCCCAGGGCGGCGCCGTATGCGCTCGGCAGAGCATACACACCTCAACGACGCGCTGCTCGACGTTGCGCGTGCGGCTGAGCACGAACCAACCGTCGAAGTTGTCCGACGAGACGATGACGGTCTCGTACTGCCTGCGCCCCTTGGCCTTGGTGCACAGCTTCTCGCCGGGCTTGTTGTAGTAGGCCTTCTGCTCCGCCCATCGTCAGCGACCTGCCGCTGCTGCTGTCTCGAGGCCCCACCACACGCACCTGGACGATGTAGTTGGGCCCTTGGCAGCCCTCGGCCGTGTTCGTGGAGCGCGCGCCGAAGTCGACGCGGAAGGCGCCGGCGCCGAACTCGGGCGCTGCAGGCGGGGCGACACCCTTGATGCCGCTCGACGTCTCGCCACGTACACAGCGGTTCTCTACGGTGACAGTGCCGTTGCGGAACGAGCCGTACGAGGCGTTGACGCAGCGGCAGCTGCCAGGTCGCATCACATGAGCAAGGCCAGGCATCGGTGCAGAGCACGGCATACTTACTCAGAAGAGAAGGGCTGGTCCTGCGCCGCGAGCTGGTACCACACCGCCCGGCTGTCGCCGTCGGGCTGCGGGCCGACGTAGCGGCTGGCCTTGAAGCCCTGCTGCGGACGAGGATAGGCACACTGCCCGTCCCACGTCGCCGGCACCGTGCCGACGGGATGGGCGGCACCCGCGGCGACGAGCACGGGCGCGGCGAGAACGGTAAGGAGGGCGGCGAGGTGCATCTTGAGGTGGTGGTGGGGTGGACTTGGGCCAAGACGTCTCCGAATCCTCGAGCTCTATACGGAGCGAGCGCCAGGGGCTCGTCCGGGCCGCCGAGGAAAGAGTCCTGCGCTAGGGGCGTCTCCTCGCTGTCATCCGTCCCGCACAGCCGCGCAGCCCCTCTCGTCACCACGCCGCGGCCTGCAGCATGCTTCCGTAAGACGAAGCGCAACTCTGCATCCGCGGAATGTGCGAGGCGCACAAGCGTGCGGAGAGTGGAGAGAGAGGAGCGACTGGCTCGCTTCGCTTGGCGCTTCGGCCACACGCTAGCGCACTCCGACGTCGATCTCGTCGATCTCGCGCCTCGGGGGACGGGAGCGCGGTGCCGGGCCCGAGGTGCATGCGCCCGGTACGTCACGCGCTCCTTGGCGCGCGAGTCCTCGTCCTCGCCAACTCCGGAGTAACATGTCTCCCGCGGGAAGGAGTACTGCAGCGGAATGCTGACGACGAGCACGAGTGAGGAACAGGTGAAGCTATGGAAATGAGGGGGGCTGAGCGGCAGCGATAGACTTATATGCGCAGCACAGCACAAGGGCAGGACAGCGACAAGGATGGGTGAGGAGGGGGCGGAGCAGCAGCAGCCCGAGACACCGAGGTGCTGGTGCAGCGTAGAGGGACGCCGGTGCGATGGGTGAGGGGGTATACATCGAGGCTCGCAGCACAAGACTGGCTCGGCGCGCAGATCAAAGGAGGAGGAGTAGGAAGAGTCCCAGCCTGGACGGCCTCGTCGGGCGGCGGTGCCGGCACCGGCGTCCTCGAGCAGTGTGGGTCTAGCGGAAGGGCGCGCAGCAAAAGGATTGTGGGGCGAGTACGGCAAGTGAGTAGTCGAGCAGTAGACGGCGGGGCGGATGAAGGGGAAACGGTGACGGCTTGTTGATGACCCAGGGAACGAAGCTTTTGGACGAAGGAGGAAAGAGGGTTGGACGATCGAGCGACGAGGACTAGAGCAGCATGCTGTTGGACGTCATGTTGGGCTGGCCAATCGAGACGCCCGAGAGCACGCTGCTGCGGCTGCCGCGCTTGCGCGAGCGGTTCTCGGCGGCGCGCGGGCCGTAGGCGTGCGAGCTCGTGTACTGCTGCGGGCGCTCGTACTCCTGCGCATACGAGCTGGCGCCGAGGGCCGCGACGATCTCGGGTGCCGAGCCGCCGTTGGCCGCGAGGTAGCTCTGCTGGATGCGCTGCGCCTCCGTCATGCCGCTCTCGCCGCTCGGCACGAGGCTGGAGCCGCCGCCCGAGTGGCGCTCCGTGCCGATGCTGGCGCGGTTGTCGACGGCCCACGAGTCGTTGAAGGGGTCGCTCCAGATCTCGGCGTGCGGCTCGTGGCGGCTCATGCGCGCGGCACCGGCCAGCGCCACGCCGTCGACCATTGCCATCTCGGGCGCGCCGTGGCTGTAGCCGTGCTCGGGCGAGTCCCACGTCTGCGTGAGCTGCTGGCCGTGCAGCACGCGCTCCTGCTCGGCCACACTCGGCGCCCACGTCTCGCGCAGGCCGCCGCCATTGCCGCCGAAGCTGCGGATCGTGTTGTTGCGGCCGAGGCCGGCCTGCGGGCGCGGCGGCGCCTTGGCCTTCTGCTGCTTGCGCCACACGCGCCAGCCGATGACTCCCGCAATGACGGCAACAAGCGCAGCAGCAACGCCGATGAGGGCATTGCGCAGCGTCGCGTTCGAGTTGTTGGGACTCTGCGAGCCCGTCACAATCGACGACTTGGCCTGGCCGCCGCCGACGAGGATGTTGAACGAGGGGTCGACGTTGGCGGCAAGCTGCTTGGCCACGTTGTTGGGCGCCTGCGTGTAGAACGCCGACGTGGGGTCGGCAATCTCGGCCTGCAGCGTGTCGGCGAGGTTCGAGGGCACGTAGGCGACGAAGAGCGTCAGCGCCTGCGTCTCGCTCGTGGCGCCGGGCGGGTAGTAGGACTGCAGCCGTACGGTGACGATCGAGTCGGACGAGAGGCCGATCGCCTGAGCAGGAGGTGGTCAGTGAAAGTCCGAGGCTGCAGAGGCAGGCGACTCACAGTGGCGATGAGGGCGGGCATGAAGGCAAAGACCTGGGCCGTCGTGTCGGCATTGGAGGCGAGCCACGTCCAGCGCATCGTCGGCTTGAGCAGGATGGCGACGGGCGTCGTGCCGTCGGGCTGCACAAAGGCAGCGTCGGCAGGCACGATGGTGCTGGGGTACTTTGCCGTGATGGTAGCCGAGACGCCGACGGCCGAGTCGCTGGGCGAGAGCGGGATCAGGCCGTTCGGGTCCGTCTCGACGATGCCGGTGGCCTCGGGCAGGATGAGCGACGTCGTGTCGGCGTACCAGTAGCCGCTCGTCGTCTGCGGCGGCTGCTCGGCGACCGGCACAGCGGCCTCCGTCGTCGTAGGCAGCGGTGCGAGGCCGTCAGGTGTCGTCAGCGTGCCAGCGACGCCGTAGTCCGTCGTGGTGGCCACGGGAGCGGCAGCAGCGGGCGTGGTGGCGGGCTGCGGTGCCTCGCCGGCCTCGGTCGTCTGCGGCGTCGAGCTCTCGTACGGAGCAGCCGTGTTCTCGGGCTGGCTGGGCGTGCTGGCCGGCTCGTCGGCCTGCGTCTGTGTCGGCTGCGACGGCGTGTCCTTGTCGCTAGACGTGGGCTCGGGCTGCGACTCCTGCTCGGTCGACGAGGGCGTGCCGGTGAGTAGTCCACCAATGCCGCCGATGAGGCCACCGTCCTTCGACGACGACGCCGGCTGGTCGGCATCCGACGTCGGCGTCGGCGTGGGCTGGTCCGCGTTGCCCGAGGGTGTCGTCGACGTAGCCGAGTCGCCGCCGCCGGTGAGGAGTCCGCCGACGCCGCCGATCAGGCCGCCGTTGTCGTTGTCCTTCGTCGACGTCGGCGTGTCGCTGGAGCCGCTCGTGTCGGTCGAGTTCTGCGAGCCGCTCGAGCCCGAGCCGCCAGTCAGCAGGTCGCCGACCGAGCCGAGCACGCCATCGTTCTTCGTCTGGTCGCCACCCGACGAGCTGGTGTCGGTCGAGTTCTGGCCGCTGCTGCCGCTGTTGTTGCTGCCCGAGTCGCTGCTCTTGGTGCCGTCGTCGCCCGTCAGCAGGTCGCCGACCGAGCCAAGCACGCCGTCGTTCTTCGAGGACGTCTGGTCGCCGCCCGACGAGCTCGTGTCCGTGGAATTCTGCGAGCTGCCGCTGTTGCTCGAGCTGCCCGAGTCCTTGGAGCCGCTGTCGCCAGTGAGCAGGCCGCCCACGGCGCCGAGCACGCCAGTGTCCTTCGACGACTGGTCGGTGTTCGACGAGCCGCTGTTCGACGAGTCGGTCTGCGTCGAGTCCTGCGAGCCGCTGTTGTTCGACGAGCTGCCCGAGTCGCTGCTCTTCGAGCTGCTGTCGTCGCCGGTGAGCAGGCCACCAACAGCGCCCAGCACGCCACCGCCGCTGCTGTCGCTCTGCTGGCTTGTCGAGGTTTTCTTTTGCGAGCCCGACGAGCTGTCCGTCGAGTTTGACGAGGACTGGTCCGACGAGCCGGACGAGCTGTCGCTCTTGTCGCCTGTCAGCAGCGTGCCAACACCGCCAAGCAGCCCACCATCGTTCTTGTCGCCCGAGCCGCTGCCGCTGTCGCTCTTGGTGTCCTGCGAAGACGCGGAGTTGTCCGACGAGCCCGACGTCTGCTGCGACGACGAGCTGTCCGTGCTGTCGCTCTTGTCGCCCGTGAGAAGGGTGCCGACGCTGCCCAGCAGGCCGCCGTTGGAGTCAGACGAGGACGAGGACGAGTCGCTGTCCTTCTGCGACCCCGAGCTCTGCTTGTCTGCATCGCTACTGTCTGACTGGCTGGACTTGTCCGAGTCCGACGACTTGCTGTCGCTCTTGTCGCCCGTCAGCAGGTTGCCAACGCCGCCGAGCAGGCCGCCGTCGCTGCCCGAAGAGCTCTTGCTCGAATCGTCATCGTCCGAGTCGGACTTCTGCGCTGTGGGTGTAGGCGAGTCGTCTGCGCTCGACGACGTGCTCGTAGAGTGCTTCTCGTCGTCCGAGGAGCTGGTAGATGTGGAAGAGGGCGCAGAAGTCGACGAAGTCGTCGAGTTGCCGCTCGAGCCCTGGTCCGACGAGTCGACGCCGAGGGCCTTCTGGAGGTCGCCAATGACGCTGCGCGAGCGCCACGCTGGCCGCGCGCCGGCGCCCTCGCCCGTGGCACGGCGCGCCGCGACGCCGTTGCGTGCATGCGGCGGCGAGGTGAAGTTGGCGCTGGCGAGCGAGCCGGCGGAGAGCGCCAGCACGAGGAACGACGCCGAGAGGCGCATCGCGGCGAGTGCGCGACGGGCGCAGGGCGCTCAGGCGATGCGAGAGAGGTGCAGAGAGAGGGTCTCGGCAAGGTGCGCTGCGCTTGGTGCTGCAGCGAGAGACGCGCGTGGAGAGCGCAGAGCGCAGGCGGAGAGAAAGGAGTGTGTGTGTGCCGGCAGGCAAGAGTAGACGGCGTGACGAAGCGGCGAGAGGAGGGGTCGTGACGGAGGCTGGAGAGAGTGAGCGCGCGAGGGGATGATGGAGGAGCAGCGTGAAGGGGAGGCAGCCGTGAGAGCGAGCCTGGCGGTGTGCGGGTGTTGCACCGTGGATGGGAGTGATGAGGAGGGGAACGAGCGGCGGCAGAGCGGGAGAGGGGCAAGCACGGCGCAGCGAGAGAGGAGGAGCGGCGCGGCGCCAGTCTGTGTGCCTCTCTCTCGGCGCGCCTTCCCATGCGCAGCGGCACGAGAGCAGCGCAGAAGCTAGCGAGCGTTTGTGGCTGCGCTAGTGCCCGCACGTTGCTCTGCAGCGGCGCGCCTGCAGCGACCGCGGTGCGTGTTGCGCGTCTGCTGCTCCCGTGCCTCGCTCGCCACGAAAGGCAGGTCTGCGGCGCGGGGCGGCGGCGAGGGAAAAGAAGCGCGGCGGCGCTGCGCGGAAGACTTCTCTGCCGCCCCCGCCACGGCGTGCGGCGTCCCGGCAAGCACGTCGCGAGAGCAACACGCTGCGCCCTCCGCCGGGGCATTTACGCCTGCTGCTCGCCTGCCCGCACCCGCGCCTGCGGACTGAGCTGGTGCCCGCGCGGCACGCCAGAGAGCGGAGCCGGCGGCGAGCCAACGCGCACTTCCATTCCCCGCCCGCGCCCGCCTCGAGGTGTTTGCTCCCGCAGAGCAACAGCAGCAGCAGCGCAGCAGGGTGCAGCAGCAGCGTCCCGAGGTGCGAGCGCTGGGTGGCAAGCGATGTGCCAGCTCTGGCACGCTCGCACGCACGCCGTGCAGACCATTCTTGTGCCGTCGGCCGGCGGCGGGAGGCGGCGGCGCCTCACCCTGGCCCGAGAGTGCGTCTGGGCGCTGAACCTGCTCCTGCACCTGAACGGCACGGCATCGTCGCCCTCGAGCGTGCCGGCAGCAGCATCCAGCAGTGCCGGCGGCGAGTGGACACAAACTGCCGCTGCCGGCACCCGGTCTGCAGTGCTGCGATGTACCTGCAGGGCAGCACCCCTGTCTGTGTTCGCAGGGCACAGGCGGCGCGCCGCCCTCGGAGCCACAGCTTTGCGTAGCGCTGGCGTGCTCGGCTGCCATCGAGGCGGCTAGCGCACCACACCTGCTGCTGCTGACGCGGCCATTGCGCCCGCGCTAGGCGCCAACCCTCTTGACTGCCAGAGGGGAGCCCTCTCGACTCATCGGAGGCCTCTCTGCGATCCGTGCAGCGAAGGTCGCAGTTGCATTCCAGCCTCCTCACTGATCAGTGGGAGTCCTGCTGCGCGACGCATGAGCTCGAGAGAAAGAGCAGACGCAACTGCAGGAGAAGAGGGGAGCGTGCGAGCGACGCGCGTCGTGACAGCTGCAGCGCCAGCCACAAGAGGCGCCTCCTCGCGTCCGTGGCGCCGGCGCATGAACGGGCCTCAAGGGCGCGCTCGCAGCGGCCTTGCCCGCCCAGAGCGATGCTGCGCTCCGCCGGACTGATTGATCGTCGAGCGCCGTCAATGCTCCGCAATCAAGCCCGAACTCGCCTTCGACAGCACGGTTCGCGCCCATTTGGGAGAGCAGGAGCAGAACGGCAGTGGCCGCACGGTCGCTTGTCCCGACGCTGCGCACGGGTGGCGTGCTCCACTCACGCCCTGCGTGCCATGGCATGCTGCTGCACTTGCGTGGCTGCACAGGCGTGCAAAGAGCATACAGAGCGCATGCACGACTGCCGAACGGTCCATGTCGCCACTGGTGCTGGGCGTGCACCAGGTGTCGTGGCGGAGCTGGGCTGCGCCGCAGGCTCCGAGCGCCTCGAGTGCTGCGTGCATCGCCTGCATCCTGCGCTGCGGCTCTCAATCGAATCGAACGGCACGCTCACCACGTCCGACGAGCTGCCGCACCTCTGCATTCTGCGCCGACTCACCGCTGCGCTGAGCGCACCAGATCAGGCAGGTCGGCGTCGGCGTCGGCTGCGGCGCATGCCCGTGCGCCTCAAGCGTGAGAGCGAGCCGCACAGCGTGCAGCATGCAGCCCCTTGACGAAGCATGAAGGCGCGCAAACGTCAAAGGCTGCTTGCGCCGCAGTGACGGCGAAAGCAGCGGGGCTGAATGATGGGCGCGAGCTCGAGGGCGGAGTCCGAGGCGAGCGAGGAGACACGTCGGATGGACGAGGCGCACGCCTGTGATGCCGGCGGGCTGCAAGTCGTGGGAACCAGCAGGGCAGCGTCGCTCTTGAGCGCCGCTCGGGGTCGGAGGCAGCTTCGCACAAGGCACGGAGAACGGGTCGTTTGCTATTACTTGCGAAACATTGCTGAGTGTGGAGCTCGATGGTGATGGTGATGGCCCGCCAGAGAGATGGCGAGGCGTGAGGCCGGAGAGACGGTACAGGTGGCACTAAGGATACAGCTACAGATGGAGAAGCGACAGTGTGATGTGCGGGGGCGCAAGGGTGTCGGCGCCGACGAGACGATGCGGTTGTGTGGTGTGAGCGGACGGCGAAAGACAGTTGCGATGTTGCAAGAGAGGAGGCGGAACCTTCGGAGACGTTCACGCAAGGCTGACGCCAGGCATGCTGCGCGTCTCTGCGATGCGTGGAGGAGACTTGAGCTTGATGGACACGGGCTTGCGCCAGCCGCGCGCCTTGTAGGCAATGACCTCCTGCATTGGCAAAGTAGCATCAGCACAGCGTTCTAGTGGCAGAGCATGCTCGGACACTCACGCGACACCAGTCCTTGGTCGGCACGCTGATCTCGGGAATGTCGAGCACCTCGCGCAGGCGCAGCATGGTGGCATCGAGCGTCGCCTGTGCCGATCCCTCCGGCGCAGCAGGCGGCGGCGAGCCCACCGAGCCCGGCGAGTCACTGCCGCTCTCGCTCGCCGACGGCGAGGCCGTGGCGCGCCAGACCGAGTTGCGGCGCGAGTGGTGGTAGCGCAGCGTCGTCTCGGGACTGTGATTGATCCAGTGGTTGGCGGGCGCCTTGTTGGCGAGCAGCACGACGCCAGTGGCGCCGAAGAAGGCAGCGCCGAGCTGCTTGTGCTGCGGCTGCCTCGACTCGCCGCTCTCGCGCGGTGGCGTGCGCGGCGAGTCGGACTCGGCAGAGCTGCACGTCGAGCCATCCAGACTGCCATCGGCACTGCTGCGCCGACGGCTGCTGGCGGGCGAGGCGCCGCGCGCCTCGTTGAAGCTGGCCGTCTCGAGCGTGGAGCCGACGGTGAGGAGCAGCGCACAGCCGGCTTCGAGCTCGTACGCCGAAGGCACGCCAGGGAAGACGGTCTCGAAGAGCAGGCGGTCAAGCCAGTCCTGCACGACGGCAATGTCGAGCATCGAGTGCCGGTACAGCTGTGGAGAAGAGCGTCAGCTGCCTGGCAAGGATCAAGCTATCGGCGACCGACTCACATCGCCGATGAAGCGCACAGTCTTGATGTCGGCAAAGCTGTCCTTCTTGCTGCCGACGGCCGCCTGCTGGCGCTCACGGCTGCGGAACTCATCCTCGGAGATCTCGCCCTTGGTGGCGAGCTTGAGGTTGTTGTCGCGCGCTCGGCGCGCCGCGTCGACGTGTGCCGTGGCAGCGGAGAAGCGCTTCTTGCTGCCGCGGCGCAGCGACGGCACAGTGAGGTGGTTCGCGCGCTCTCGCACCGCGGCGCCGCGCTCGAGCAGCGCATCGAGCGTACGGAAGAGCTGCGCCGTCAAGACTGTCGCTGGCTGTGCGAGATCCGTCGGCTGATCGGCGAGGTCGGGACCCCAGAAGCTCGGCGTGTCGATGTATGCGAGCGCCGAGCCGCCGTGCGCTTCGAGATCCATGTGTGGCGGCGCGTCACGCTCGCCGGAGAGCACCGGGCTTGCTGCAAGACCGTTGGTGTAGAGCTCGCTCATCGCAGCGGGATGGAACGAGACTTCGGGCGTCGAGTCGATGCTGCGCAGCTCGTTGCGCAGGTAGAGGCAGAGGCGAGCCATGCTCTCGGATGTAGTGTCCGGCGCGCGTGCGTCGGCGAGCAGCGCCATGATGCCCGAGACAATGTGCTCCATGATCTGCTCGACGGCCTGGGCGTGCCACTTGCTGCACCACTCCGGCGCGATCCATTCTCGCGCATCGCCCTCGCCGACCCAGCGCGTGCGGACGAGGCTCGGCACCTGGCGCGCCGAAGCGGGGTCCATGGAGGGCGTCAGGGCATCGCGGATCTCGGCGACGAACTGCCGGCAGAGCAGGTGCGACTGGCTCGTCGAGTAGCAGTAAAAGAACGCGGACAGCATGTCGTCGAGGCGTGCCGCCAGCACGTCGAACGCCGCCGCGTCGTCCGTCTCGCGCATGCGCTGTGCACGCAGCGAAGGCGACGTCGGCGGCGTGGGGAACTGAATGAGCGCAGCAGACTTATCGCCCATGTCAGTGGGGCTGACGGGCGGGCTGAACCAGGCCAGCGGCGAGAAGGACGTCATCGACGAGTCGGAGCGGTTCGAAGTGCCGCCGTGCTCGGAGACCAGCTGCGTGTCGATCGGCGCGAGCGCGATGCTTGCGGCGGGCTCGGCGAAGGACAGGACGGCGCCGGCGTAGGGACGGGCTTGAGGCACCAGCAGGTCGCTAGTCGAGCGAATCATGCTCTGCGCAGCAATGACGGCCGGCGGCGTGATGATGATGCTGGGCACCGAGCTTGCACTGCTCGGCGAGTCGACCTCCTTGGGCGACGACGGAGCTGAGCGAGGGAATGTGAGCAAACGGCTGCGCGGCCAGCGCGGACACTGCTCACCTGCGACAGTCTGACCCATTGACTCGACACCGGCAATGCCGAGGCCAAGGCCGGCCATGCCTGCCGCATGAGCAGCGAGCGGCAGGGGAGCGGGCGGCGTTTTTGGGCTGCCCGTGCGGCGCAGCGTGCCCGCAGCGGGCGGCTGGCGCAGCACCGTGCCGCCTACTCGACGGCGTGTCGATGGCGCGGAACGAGTGGCCTTGGGCACAGGTGCACGGCGAATGACCGCGCCTTCCTGTGCTTCCTCCGTCTCGAATGCAGGCGCTAGGCCCAGACCAAGCATCGTCCGCACCTCGCTGCTCCAGCGCGTCGTCTGGCCCAGCTCCTCGTCCGTCTTGAGCGTAGCACCGCTCAGGCGCGCATCCTTCGTGTCGCGAGTGCGCAGCTCGAGGCCGGAGCCGGAGAAGTTCTCCGTCTCGGGCTTGCGCTTTGGCGACTGCGTGGCCGACGCGGGCATGGGCGGCGAGTCACGCACGTTCGAGACGATGGTCCATGGATTGACGCCGGCGACGTCGACGAAGTCGAGGCGCTTGGCGCCGCTCTGTGCGGCCGTGCTTGCAGGCACGGCGTTGTCCAGCAGGGCGAACGGCGCGCGTCGTTCGGGCGGACCGCGAGCCGGCGGCGTGGCGCCGACGTGCTCCAGGCTAGTTGCGGTGCTTGGCGCACCTGCCTGGCGAGGCGAGGCCGGTGCCGTGCTGCGGCGCGATAGCAGAGGGGCGGTGTGGTACGTGGCTGCCGGCTGGCGCGGGTGCGGCGGCTGGCGGCGACGCTTCTCTGGCGAGAGAGGCGAAGGGCTCTGCAGCTGTGCTGCCGAGTCGGCACGCACCGGACGGCTCGAGGACGGCGGCGTCCACGTCGAGCCCGAGGCGTGCTTGCTGGCCGTGGCCACGGGCGGCGTGCAGAGCGCAGAGGCCAGCAGGCGCCCCGCAATGTCGTCGTCGCTGCTCGGTGCGCTGCGCGACGAGGTGCGCGGCGGCGGCGTCGTGGCCATGGCGTAGTCCGACGAGCGTGGGATGATGGTCGAATAGGAGCGAGTTGTGAGCATGGACGGAGTAGAGGGGGGACGTGCTGATGCGAAGACGGGGGAGAAGCGATTCAGAGAGAGGGTGGTGGAGTGGGAGGGACGAAGAGGAGGGCGAAAGACCAACAGCGAGCAGCGGGCAGCAGGGAGTGGAGGAGCGGGAGAGCCGGCTCGCGAGGAGGAGGTGAGGAAGAAAGAGAGGATGAGGTGGTGGCGAGGAGAGACGATGCAGCGAGCGAGACCATCGGTGAAGCAGCTCCAGGACGGCATCGGGGAAGCACCAGCTGTGGAGAAGCGCAGCAGGCGGGCGCCGTGTTGCCGAGCACCGGCGCTCGGCGCTGTTCCTGTGCCTCGGCGGTGTGCCGAGGCTGCACCCTGTGCTGTCTCCGAGGCAGCTTAGCTGTGACTTGCGACCCTCATACGCTCCGCGCATGGCCGAGGCAGGGCGGCGGCGACAGCTGCGAGCTCCTCGCCTCGAGCAGCGCTGCCGGCGCCCGAGTCGAGAGCAACACGGCCGCCGGACGAGCAGTGCAGGGCGCTCGGCGACTTGCCATGCTCGCGTCGGAGTCGGCGCTGCGTTGCTCTTACCGCTCTCGTCTTTGCGCTGCTACCGCTGCGCTCGAGGTGGCGAATGGGGCAAGTCGAGCAGCCGCCGCCGAGAGGGGATGGAGCGCGGCAGCGGTGTGCCTTGCGCGCCGCTCTGCTCGCCTGCCCGACGCCGCGCGCCGGCACGCCCACCGGTCCACGCGCCGCTTCCGCTGCTTCTGGCCGCATGCCCCTTGCGACCTTGTTCCCACGCTCTGGCCTCACAGCACCTCGCCCAGGCAGGACCATCTCAACTCGCCTTCAAGGCCTCACCCAGAGAGGGAACCCGGAAGTAAGGCGCTCGGTACGGGTTCTGCTCTATCTTGAGACCGTTCTGGCATTCTAGGCCGCAACGAGGTCAGCCGGGAAGAGCAGGCCGTAGAAGTCTGCAGGAGAGAACGAGACGCGAGCTGGGCACCCTTGGCAGAGAGACGTGTCTGGGCTGGCTCCTGAATGCTGCTGGACCATCGCAGTGTCGCCGTCATCACTCGCTGTGAGCTGCACCTTCGACTCTCTTTCTCTCTGCAGGCATTCAGCAGTGGTCCCAGCTGTGACGCAGAAGAGATCTTGAGCGGCTGTCCTGCTCGCTGACAAGCTTCAGCATCCAGCGCGCGCTGCGCTTCGCTCACGCAAGGGGCGGCGGCGCGCGCGGCGTGCCGTTCGCGTTGGCGGGGCGTGTGAGGCGCGCCGCGCGGGCCGAGCCATGGGCCCGGATGGCGAGCAGCGCTAAGGCTCGCCCGAGAGTGCTGGTGTCGGAGCCACCTCCGTACTGCCGCATCTCTGTGCGCTGCTTTCGTCTGCGCTGCTGACGTCGCTTGCATGCTGAAAGAGCGGCGCTGTGCCGCGGGTGCGAGGGATCAGCGTGGGAGCGGCCGCGAGAGCATCACGTGACTGGCTAGCCGCGGCGGCGGCACTGCAGCTGCGGCGAAGAAAATGCGGCGCGGTGCTGTGGCACGCGAGAGCGACTGCGGCGCAGCGCCACGGCTTCTTGCTCAACTCGCCCGTTTCGCCCAGCAGCGCGGCAGCTCGTCGACGGCAGCGCCGTCCTCTCCTTCGCCTCCCGCACCCTCCCCCTCAACGTCAAGATGGTAAGCATGCCCGCACACGCACCTCGCCCTCCTCGCATGCGCGCTCTCTCTCTCGCCGATACTGCACGCACGCACATCTGTGCAACCATGCCGAGCCGGCCGTCGGCGCTGCCGGGACAGCCGCGGCGGCTGGAAGCTGTGATGGCACCGGCAGGGCAGCCGGACGTCTGCGCCTCTCGTGTGCACGCCAGCAGCACGTAGCCGCAGCCTGCCAGATGTTGCAGCATGGTGGGCGCACGCTCGCAGTCACGGCTCAGCGGGCCGGGTGCATGCAGTGTCGGGGCTCAGAGGGAGAGAGGGAGCAGCGAGTCGGATCAGAGGTGCGCCCCATCGCCAGCGAAGCCTCGTGCTGAGTATCGCCCTCTTCCCAGGTCCGCTACTCGTTTGACGACTCCAAGCTGGTCGAGAAGACGTCGAAGTCGCGCGGCGAGTACCTGCGCGTGCACTTCAAGAACACGCGCGAGACCGCCGCTGCCGTCTCGGGCATGAAGCTCAAGAAGGCCTACGCCTACCTCGGCAACGTCGCCGAGAAGAAGCAGTGCATTCCCTTCCGCCGCTTCAACGGCGGTGTCGGCCGCACGCAGCAGGCGACCGAGTTCAAGACGACGCAGGGTGAGCATGCAGCGAGGGGCGGAGACGCGCGGGAGAGTGGGCCAGGGCAGGAAGGGAGCTGCTGATGAAGGGAGCGGAGGAGGCGTGTGGACTGCGTGGACACATCGAGCTACCTGTTGGAGGTCGTGTAGGCGGGCGCGAGCCGGGCAGTACGACCCGTGCTGGGACCGGTGTCGAGCGGGCGCAGATGTTGGCCAGGACAGAGCAGGGCGGAGATGCTGGCAGAGAGCAGCGACTCGGTAAGTGCCCTTGCTGACGCCGTGTGGCTCAGGTCGCTGGCCCGTCAAGTCGGTCAAGTTCCTCCTGAACCTGCTCAAGAACGCCGAGGCCAACGCCGAGGCCAAGGGCCTCGAGACCGAGGAGCTTGTCATCCGCAACATTGTCGTCAACCAGGCCCCCAAGACGCACCGCCGCACGTACCGCGCACACGGCCGGATCAACCCGTACAAGGGCAGCCCCTCGCACATTGAGATCCTGCTTGTGAGTGGTGCCGATGCCGGTGGGGCTGCATGCAGCCGCTGACTGTGCGTCCCTTCTCTCCAGGCCGAGCCCGCCGCGCAGGTGCCCAAGGCCGACTCGTCGGCCCTGCAGCCGCGCCTGAACAAGCGTCAGCTTGCCCAAAAGCGCATCGCCGCTTCGCGCAGCAGCACTGCCGCTGCCGCGCCCGCCGCGAGCGCCTGAGGAGCGTCCGCCCTGTGAGACGTGGCCGCTTGACTCTCTCTCTGCATACATACTTCACCACCCCCACATGTTGCCCCATGTACACTCTTCCGCTCCAGCAGCAACACCGACATGACCCGCTCGTGGCAGTTTGGCGTGCAGCGACGTGGAGGCGCGGGCAGGGCAGGTCGCGCAGGGCACAGTCGCGCTGTCGAGCAGATCACACAGGGCACGGTCGCGCTGTAGAGCTGTAATGCGGGCTCAAGTCTACGGTACACGGAATGGGGATGGGGAGACAAGAGTCTAGACACAGCGGGTGCACGGGGGAAGAGGGAAGCGAGAAGGCTAGGCGTCCGCCTTTTACTCGTCGATGTCCATCTCCTCCTGCTTGGGCGCCTCCTCGGCCTTGGGCTCCTCCTTGGCCGGCGGCGGCGGGGCCTGCGTCGTCGTCGTGGGCTTCCGCTGCGACCTGCGACGTGCGACAAGTCAGCATGTGCTCCACACGCTCGTCACCCGCGCTACTCACATGATCGGCACGCAGGTGTAGATGACGTCGTCGCGCTGCTTCTGGATGGCGGCCGTCGTGATCTTGGGGTTCTCGTTCTTCGGCAGCTCGGACTGCTTGAAGAGCATGTCGCCGAGCCACTTGTCGGCGTTGGCGCACTTGTCGACAACCTTCTGCTTGTCGGCCTCGCTGATGTGCTCGTACTTCTCGTCGCCGCCCGTGGCCTGCGTCATGTACGTGTTGATCGTCTCGCGCAGTGCCGAGGCAGCCTTGGGCCGCTCCTCGTTCTCGCTCCAGCGGAACGCGATCGGGTCGCCAATCTTCTTGAGCGCGTCAAGGTGCTCGACGTAGGCGCTCTTCAGCGCGTCCTCGCCCTCCTCGGAGTAGAGCCACTCCTCCTGCTCGTTGAGCGCCGCGAGGTACTTCTCCTTCTCGTCGGCCTTGACGAACGCCTTGTAGCGCTCATCGAGGCGCGAGCGCTGGTCGTAGATGAACTCCTCGAGCGCGTTCTTGCGGTCCTCGGTGTCGAGCACCAGCTTGTCGCTGGCGTACATCTGGCCCTCCTTCTCCTTGAGCTCGGCCAGCAGGCTTGCCTCCTTGCCGCCGAGGCCCGAGACGATGGGCAGGTCGTTCTTGCGCTGCACCTTCTTGACCTTGCGCTTCTCCGTCTTGGGCGCCGCGCCGTCGGTGTCCATGGCGGCCGCGTCGACCGGCACGTCCTCCTCCTTCTCCACCTCCTCGACGACGTAGGCGCTCTCAAAGTTGAGCACGCCGTGCAGGTTGAGACGCGCCTTGACCTTGACGATCGAGTGGTCGCCCTGCGCCGTGGGCGTCACGCCCTTGATCTGGAAGTCGCCGAGCCACGGGTTGATGCCCTTGGGCAGCGCGTCCGGCTCGGCGTAGTGCGCCGAGAGCGCAAACGGCTCCTTGCGGTAGAAGGTCATGATCTTCGTCGAGGGAATCGGGTTGTTGGGCTGGAAGACGACCAGCTCCGTGTCCTCGTCGGGCACGTCGGCCGCCTTCTCCCAGGTGACCTTGATCGGGTAGGCCGTGACGTCGTGCACGGTGAACTCGCGCACCTTGAACACGGGCGAGAGCGAGGCGCAGGCCAGCGTGCAGCCGCGGCACACGGCCTCGTCCTGGTTCGACGTGAAGCTGAGCGTCTTGCCGAAGAAGGCGGCGACGCGCTCCTTGAGCGCCGGCACACGCGAGCTGCCGCCGACGACCTCGACGGAGTGGATGTCGTCCTTGGTGAGGCCGGCCTGCGCGAGCGCCGACTCGAGCGGCTTCGTGACGCGCTCGAGCAGCGGCGCAATGAGCTCCTCGAACTCCTCGCGCTTCAGCTGCGACGAGGCGTCGATGTCCTCCATCAGGCTCTCGACGTTGAGCGGCGCGAGGGCGTTGGCGGAGAGCACCTTCTTCAGGCGCTCGCAGCCGGCGGCCAGCCGGAAGATGGCCTTCTGGTTGGACATGACGTCGATCTTGTACTTGGTCTTGAACTCGGTGGCGAAGTGCTGCAGCAGCGCGAGGTCAAAGTCGCGCCCGCCAAAGTGGCGGTCCGAGGCCTGGCCCAGCACCGTCAGCTGGCCCTTGGAGAAGGCCACGACGGCGACCTGGTAGCTCGAGAGGCCAAAGTCGCAGAAGACGACGTGGCGCGGCGCGTCGGCCTCGGGCAGGTCCGTCTTCGTGATGCCGTAGCCGAGCGCCGTTGCCGTGGTGTCGTTCATGAGGCGCAGCGGGTTGAGGTTGGCAATGGCGGCGGCGTCGAGCATGGCGCGGCGCTGCACGTCCGTGTACCACTGCGGCACGGAGATGACGACGTCCGAGACGGCCGAGCCGCCGAGCTCCTTGCTCGCCTGGTCGCGCATCTTGCCCAGGTACATGCCCATGAGCTGCGTGGCCGAGAACGTCTGCGGCTCGTTGGCGAAGCGGACCTGCAGGAGCGCGTCTGTGAGCACGGCCGCGCCCAGGGTTGGCTGTGCTGCTCGCCACTCACCTTGACGCCAACCTCGCCCTGCACATCGACCAGCTCAGCGTTGATGAACTTCTTCTCCTCCTCCTCGAGGGTGGAGAGCGTCCGGCCGAGGATGCGCTTGAGGCTGCCAATCGTGTTCTTGAAGTTGGACGTCTGCATGGTGGCAGCGCCCTCGCCAATGGCGCGCGACTTCTGGCCGAACGAGATGAGCGACCTGCAGGTCAGGGTCAGCAGATGTCCCGCCCGGAGCGATTTCGATGCAACGCTGCGACAGTTGTTGGCAGAAACAAGTCGCGAGCTCGTCATTGCAGCATCGCACACACAGGCCAAGGCATGCCTGCCTCAAGCACAGCTCTTGCGCGCCGCGACGCCTGCCTGGCTCCCCTCTGACCTCGGCCTTGCCGCACCTACAACTCCACATCGCTTCGGTATACATGCCCTCCGCTACTCACGGGGTCAACCGCTGCGAGCTCTCGTTTGCGAGCACGTCGACACCGCGTGCCCGTGCGGCACCGATCTTGGTGGTGCCGCATCCGACGTCGATTCCGACCACAGACGACATGCTGCGAGAGAGAGAAGAGGTGCGAAGAGAAAAGAGGTGTTCTGGCAGACGCGGAGAGGCTGCTGCGGTCTAGTGCGGAGGCGTATGGGTGCGAATAGAGAGGATCGACGAGTCTCAGATGGGTGTGTGAGACGTCCGTGTGATGGGTGGAGACGAGAAGATGGCTGCTGCCACCGCTGGAAGATGTCGACGCCGGCTTAGAATTTCACGCCCGCCGCCTCGCCCGAGGCAGGCACGCCGCCTGCGCTGCAGAAGCGCCGAGAAGCGCCGCGTGGCACGGGGCAGCGCCTCGATGAGCGCTCTGGAGACGTCACGTGCACGTGGATTATTGCCTGCCTGTGCCTCCTTCGCCCCCCTCTCGCAACCTCCACACCACCCGCAAGATGCCAGACGAGACAGCGCCGGCCGCCGAGGAGCGCGAGTTCCTGCGCTGGTTCGCCGAGCGCGGCGCCGTTCTCTCGCCGAGCGTCGCGCTGGCCAGCTTCGCCGGCATGGGCCGCGGCATGCAGGCGCTCGAGGCGCTGCCCGAGGATGCGCTGCTCTTTGCCGTGCCGCGCGCCATGCTGCTCGGCACGCGCACCTCGGCCCTGCCGCGCCTCGCGCTCGCCGAGGATGCCCGGCGCCGCGGCGACGGCATGGACATCGACGACGACGAGGCACAGCCGGGCACCTGGCAGCACCTGCACCGCCAGGGCTGGGCGCAGCTGCTGCTCGTGATGCTCTGGGAGCGCTTCCGTGCCTCGGAGCGCGGCCAGGCGGCATGCGCTGCCTTCGACGCTGGCGCCGACTGGGGCGCCTACTTTGGCATCCTGCCCAAGCACTTTGACACGCCCATGTTCTGGTCCGACGCCGAGCTGGCCGAGCTCAAGGGCACCGCCATCGTCGGTGAGCTGCCGCGGCACACTCGTATCTGGCACCTACTGACGCTTCGCTCGCAGAGAAGATCGGCAAGGAAGAGGCGCACGAGACGTACGAGAAGGACATCTTTCCATACATCCAGTCGCACGCCGCCCTCTTCCTCGGCTCGCTGGCGGCGGAGCAGCCTGACGCTGTGCCTGCGCTGCTGCAGGAGTTCTACAGCGAGCCGCTGTTCCACATGATGGCCTCGGCCGTCCTGTCGCGCTCCTTCCACGTGCGCAAGCCCGAGCCGGGACAGCAGCCGGGCGCAGAGGGCGCAGAGGGCATGGTGCGGCCAGGCGACCGCGGCGTCGAGCTCGCCGCGCCGGCAGACGAGGATGAGGAGGGCGAGAATGGCGACGAGAGCGAGCTGCACATCGACAGCGACAGCGACAGCGACGCCGATGCCGACGAGGCAGAGAACATCGACGACGTGTGCATGGTGCCCATGGCCGACATGCTCAATGCGCGCTTCGAGACGGACAATGCGCGCGTCTTCTACCACCTCGACAAGCTCGAGATGCGCACCACGCGCGCGATTGAGAAGGGCGAGCAGCTCTGGAACACGTACGGCGACCCGCCGAACTGCGATCTGGCGCGGCGCTACGGGCACGTCGATGAGCCGAACGGCGCAGACGTTGGTGCGTTCCGTGGCGCATCCCTTGGTGACGCGGCTGACACTCCCTCACCAGTCGAGCTGCCGATCCTGCGCGTCGTCGATGCCATCCTCGCGCTCGAGGGCGCCGCAGACCAGGCCGAGCGCCGCACCTCGCTGCTCTCGCGCGTCGAGTGGTCCGTGGCCGAGGGACTGGACGAGGTGCACGCTCTGACGTACCTCTTCGCGCCCTCGTCCGAGCCGCCTCACGCGCCTGAGCCTGCCAAGGCCTCGTCGTCCGAGCTGCGCGCCGCGGCGGCCTCGGTGGCAGAGGAGCTGCTGGTGCACACGCGCCTGCTGCTGCTCGATGATGCTGCGTACGAGAAGGTGCAGGCGAAGGGCAAGCTGCCGAATGCGCGCATCGAGGCGCGCGAGCCGGCGGCAGGCAAGACGCTCGGCGTGGCCGAGGTGCTGCTCAAGGCCATCGACCTGCGTCTGGCCGAGTATCCGACGAGCGAGCAGGAGGACTCTGCTCGGCTATACGGCGCGGCTGGGCAACAGGCCGAGCAGGGCATGTCGGCGAACCTTCGCGCGGCGCTCGTGGTGCGGCTGGGCGAGAAGCGCATTCTAATAGACAACGCACGCGTCCTCACGGCAGCGCACGAGGCTTCTCTCAAAATCGCCGCTGCGCCGGCGAAGGGCTCGAAGCGCAAGGGAGCAGAGACGGCCGGGGCCTCAAAGAAGGCGCGGAAGTAGGGAGCATGCCACACACACACTGTACTTTAGACACTAGACAGTCGCAACGACTTGATTCCTGTTGGCCCCGCAACGCATCATGCTTGCGCCTCTTCCTCCTCGTCCGTCTCGAAGCCATCCTCGTCTTCGTCCTCGTCTCCCTCCTGCTCACCGTCAGCCGGCAGCTCAGCTCCGGGGCCCCACCAGCCGCGCAGGGCATTGGCGAAGGCCGCCACCACGCCGCCTTGCTCGTCACCGCCCTCCTGCTCCGCGACGCGGCCGAAGCCGCCCGGCGGCTCCTCCTCGTCCGCGCCGCGCTGGCGTCTTTGCTCCGCAGTCATGTGCATCAGCTCGGCGAGGAGGTCCTCCTGCAAGATGGAGGCTGTCAGTCAGAGCTGGCAGACAGCGTCAGAGCTGCACTCACGCGTGCCTCGTCGTCCATGTTCTCCATGGCCGCACCCCACTCCTCGAGGCCGTTGACGCCGCGCAGCATGCCCATGAGGTTCTGCAGCGCAGCACCGATGCCGCCGGGCGGCATGCCGGCAGCTGCAGTGCGAGAGCGCTGCCGCTCCATCTCCTTCTGCAGCGGCTGGAAGTAGGCGTCGTCGTAGCGTGTCGAGCCCTCTGTGGTCGGCGGGAGCGGGTCCCACGCATCGAGCGAGTCGCCACCGCCAGTGACCGCAGGCGGGAAGAAGCCGATGAGCGTCTGCCGCAGAGCGTCCGGAACTGAAGTTGGGCAAGGGTGAGCATGTTCCGCGCAACACGGGACAGGCGCCTCTGCACTCACGATCCGAGACGAGCACGTGGCGATAGACCGACCTTCGCTGCTCCTGCGATGCGACGGCAGGCTGCAGCTTCTTCGCGCCGTCTCTGAGTACAGGCCATGCCTCGTTGAGCGTCTCGCTGAGCCACTTTGACGTCGGCGCCTCGCGCCACAGGCTCTCGCTGCGTGAGACGTAGACGTTCGACAGCAGCAGCGAGAGCGTGTCGGTCTTGTTGGACCAGCGCGACGCGGGCACGGAGAACACCTCGTGGCTCCGCATCTCGGGCGAGAAGGCAAGGCCGATCTTGTCGAAGAGCAGCGGAAGCAGGCAGGGATGCCGCGCGATCGCCAGACGCAGCGCTGCTGTGCTTCGCTCGCCAGTCTGTCCATGGAGTCAGTCGAAGTTGCAGCATGGTGGCAGAGGGCTGCTCACCTTGTCGCCGTCCTCCTTCTCCTGCGCGCGCAGAGCCAGTGCGCGTGCGTACTGGATGCCGACGCACCAGTCTAGCGCGCCCTGTGCGCCCTGCGTCTCGCCAACGAGCGCCTTGTCCTTCTCGTCGAACGGCGTCCGGGCGCTGAGGACACTGGCGCCGCTGTTCTCGACGCCGCGAGCGACCGCAGCGTCGAGGCGCGGCAGCATCTCCAAGAACCAGGAGTGCTGCCGCGCCTTGATGCTGAGGAAGTCGAGCCACAGCACGATGGCGTGGGGATCGGCAGGCGCATCAAGGCCGAGCACGAGCTTGGCCCACTCGAGCGCCGTCCGCCACGTGCCGCGGCGGCCGAGGAAGTTGATGTGCCGGTGCGCTGCGAGCCAGAAGCCCCGATTCTCCACGCCGCCGAAGTCGAGCTGCGGCGGGCCGGACGCGGACGTGAGCGCGCCCGTAAAGGCAGGCAGCGCTGTCCGCTCGTAGGCGAAGAGAGCGCGAGAGTTGAAGTCGCCCGCTTGACCGAGATCTCCTTGATGCCGCGAGACGTCAGAGAGCTGGAGCAGCGTGTCAATGTGCCACGGATAGCGCCGCGTGAGCGCCATCAGCTGGTTCGGGTCGTATCTGCGGCGGCGAGATCAGCACGAGACAGGCATCGGCGGGCGAGGCGTACGCACGACTGGACCGCCTGCAGGAACTGAAGCTGTGCTTGCCGGTAGGCTCTGCAGCGGCGTCAGTATTGGACGGCTGACGGCTTGGCTGGCAGCTCACCGGCTGTGGACCCAGGCTCCAAGGCGACCCCGTCCCTCGACATCGTGCAGCTCCATATCGATGCCAGTGAATGTCCGTGCAATCGGCGGCCATGTGTCGGCCGGCTGCACGAGCACATTGCGCACGCGAGCATTCGAGTTCCACGCCTGCGCTCGGGCACGCGCCAGCCCAGACGCCGAGCCGTCGTTGGTGCCGCCGTGCTCGGCCTCGTACGCGCGGATGGCGGCGGCGCCGAACTGCCGCTTGAGCTCGACGGTGGGATCCAGAGCGGGTGCTGCGAGCGCCAGGAGCGGCCGCAGTGCCGAGATCGGACCAGTCGGTGCAGGTGCCGAGGCGAACTCCGCGTCGCACTCAGTTGCCTTCGAAGAGCTGGCCTCGGATGTGCCGGCCTGAGAGGCGAGCAGCTCGGAGAGCTCAGACATGCTCATGCTGCCGATGTCCTTGGCGCCTTCTGCCTTGCCGGTTGTCTTTTTGCCTGCAGCCTTGCTGGGCTTCTTCTTGCGCTTGCCGCCCTTGGCTCCCTCTCCCGCAGGTGCACTCTGCTGCACCTCTGCAGGTGCCGCAGCGGGCTCAGCTTCAGTGGGCTGAGCCTCCGTTTGGGTATCGACAGCTGGCGCGGCGGCAGCCTTCTTCTTCTTCTTCTTGCGGCTCGACTTGCTTTTCCGCGGCGCAGCCGAGAGGTCGTCATCGTCATCGCTGGCTTCCGCGCCTGCGTTGGCATTCAGCTGAAGGAGTGCGTCAGCGTGCGCGCTCGGTCGTCCGGGGAACGGCAACGGCCACTCACAGCTGCGAAGAAGCTTGCCTGGCCCACCGGCTGGCTTGTCTCGGCCTCATTCTCCTCCTCTCCCTCTTCATCGTCCTCCTCTGTCTCATTCTTCTCGGCCGGAGCAGGGTCTGAGCCTTGCGCAGCGCCTGCCGGTGTCTTCTCGAGCGCGACGACGTCGTCTGCTTTCGCAGCGGGCACGCTCTGCGCAGCCTCGGTCTTGTCTCCCGCAGCCTTGTCGCTATCGACTGCTGCAGCCTTCAGGCTCTCCTCCCACTCGCGTGCGAAGTCTGCAATGCCCTTGCCCTCGCTGCGCTCGAGCAGGTCGCGCGGCACCATGTTGTGCGCGTGCGTAGGCGCGGCCTGGTTCGCCTGCGTACGGTCTGTGAGGATGCGCAGCTCCGGCAGCTCGTCGGACGTGCCGCTGCTCTCGTGCAGCTGCTCGGCTTTCGCCTCCACTTCGTCCCAGCTCCAGAGCAGCGCATCAGTGCGCGGCAGGTACGGGCCGACGTCGACGAGGAAGACCTTCTCCATGCCGCGCGTCAGGTAGGCATCGAAGGTGAAGTCCGGGACCGAGAAGCCAGCATCGCGGCCGGGCTTGGCGCCCGGCGGCGGCGTCCTTGGCTTCAGGTGAGACTCGAAGAATTCAGCGAGACGCTTGCGAATCGTCGTCTGGATCGACGCGGGCTGCAGGTGCTCGTAGAATGTCCGGTCGCGCTGCGTGGCGCAGAGCAGACGGCCAGCGCGCACAAAGCAGCGGAACTCGTGCGACGGCGGCATGTCGAACCACTTCTTCAGCACGAGAGAGCACGGCACGCTCTGCAGTGCCACCTTTGGCGCAGAGGTGGACACGCTGACCTCCATCTCGTCGCTGGCGGCAACTGATGCATCGGCGGCGGGCGCGGACGTCGGACCCTGCGAGGACTCGAACAGCACGCGGGCCTGCTCGATGTCCGAGGTGATGAAGTCGGACGACTTCAGCAGCATGTAAACGTCTCCTGGGGTCGTGCAGCGCAGCGTAGAGCCAGGCACGATCCAGGCGGCATCCTGCACTGGCGTGTGAGCCTCGCGACGTCACACGAGCATGCTGTCGGCATGAGAGGCACTCACCAGCGGCGCGCTCCAATTGAGCTTCGGGAAGCAAGCACCATCGTACGTGCTGATGACCTCTCTGATGCGCGCATCGAGCTTCGGAAAGCTCGTGGGTGCGCGCTTCGGCTCGTCATCGTCGTCGCTCTCGCTCTCCGCCTCGTCGTCTGACTCCTCGTGCTCCTTGCCCGCCGGGCGCCCGCTGCCCTTGGGCAGCACGAGGCCGTCCTGGTCCATCCACTCGAGGAAGTCCGGCTGCAGCGAGAGCACATCAACGATGGTCGCCTTGGGCGAGACCTTGCGGAAGTTGGGGTACCACGAGGTGAAGAGCGTGGCCTGCAGCGCCGGGCCGGGCGCCGTGAGCGGCGGGAGCGGCATGTCGGCGGGCAGCTGCTGCGCAGCGGGTGCGTCAGGTGTGTGCTGGCTGATGAGCTCAAAGCTGCTGCAAGTGGAAAGAGAGGCTGTCGCGAGTGAGAGGGGTGATGGTCGTGTCGAGAAGAGCTGACACCGGGCTGCAGCAGACGCAACTTCTTCGCCGCGCGCGAGGTGGAGGCAGGGTGGAGCTGTATTCAGGTCTGTGCCCCGCTGTAATGAGAATACAAAGCGCGCGCAGCCCCTGAATAGACCCTCGCACGGGTGTTGCTGTGCTCGGCCTCTCCACACCCGACCACCACCTCGCCGTTTCCCATCTCTGCCTCTCTCATCCACCCGAGCGGACGCAGTTGCGCTTCACCTCACAGCGCACTCGGCTGTAGGCACCGCAGCCAGCGCGTGCTCTGATGGAGCCGCCGCTGCTGCCCACCGCTGCCTCGCCGCCACGGCGTCTCCTGTCGCAGCCGCAGCCGCCGCTGCTGCTCGCCCGCTCCAGAGGCGCGACTTACAACGCTCCGTCGTCCGCAGCCGCCGACGGCCCGTCACGGCTGCCCTACGGCGCAGTCGTTGTGCCCGCCCGGCCGCCGCACCGCCTCTCCTTCTCCTCGTCTGCCGCGCCGCGGCTGCCTGCCGGAGCGGGCCTCGACGAGACCTTTGCCTCTGACTCGGACGAGGAGCCGCAGGTTGCACCGCTGCGCGTGCGTGACGCCAGTATGGGCGAGGCGAGTCGTCCGACGTACGTCGCCGGTGCTGCCCTCTCCGCCTCCTCGTCGCACGATGGGCCGCTGCATCGGAGCGTCAAGCGGCCGGGGTACCAACACAAGCGCGCCGCGTCGAGCATAAGTGCAGGCAGCGCAGCATCCTCCAGCACAGGTCCTCGTGCGCCCTCGACACCGCCATCCTCGATGCCGCTGCATGACGGCTCGTCGCCGATGCATCGGCCATTCACGCGCGGTGAGGCCGAGATGCTGGAGGCGCTGCGTCTGGGCGGCGGAACGACGAGCACGGGCCCGCACTCGCCCAGCTCGGTCATGCGTCGTGCGGGCTCCTCGATGCGCCGCGCCAGCTCGGACTTCAAGCGCATGCTGGCCTCGAGCGGCGCATCTGGCAGCGGTAGGCGCAAGAAGGAGGGCGGCAGTGTCGACCTGCCTGCGCCGACGCCGCGCTATGATGGTGCGGTGGGCGAGGCTCCACCGCTCTGGACGCTTGGGCGTGGTTCGACTGAAGAGCTCTCAGACCAAGAACTCAGTAAGCCGCATCCCAGCTGGTGGTCTCCAAGCCGCACGCCGTCGCCTGCCACCTCAGCGGGCGGCGCCTCTGCGCACTCGCGTCCCTCGTCGCGCCGCTTGTCCTTCATCTCGGCAGCACGGGTGCAGGCGCAGCTCAACGCCATGCCAGTGCCAGAGGCGGAAGGCGAACACTTTGAGTTTGCGCCGACGCCAGCGAAGCCGGATGACGACGACGGCAGCAGCAGGGCCGCTCGGGCACTGCGCAGCCTCAAACGAGCGAGCAACGGCGCGCTCAGAAGGGCCAGCTTTGCGAGCGCCTCCAGCGACGGCCCGCTGTACACGCTGCCACCAACTGCGAGCCCGACGCCTAAGGTCATTCTGCTGCCAGAAGAAGGACAGCCTACGCATGCGTATGCCACTCCAGATCGGACCCCGTCGCGGGGCCGCGCAGGCTCCGAGTCTGCCACTCCACGGGCGATAGACAACCGACTACTGCTGCAGCAGCCAGAGTCTCCTACCGATGGGCGCAGCTCCGTCACGCCTACTCCTGGATCCGCAGCGCCTGTGCTGGCCTCTCCCTCTCCCACGCCTGGCAGCCGCGGGCCACTGGGCGCGGCTGCTGTGTGGCGGCGAGCACAGAGAGAAGCGAGTGCTGCGGCCTTGGAGCGTGGCGCACCGATGCTCGACGCAGCGCCGCCTGCCGTCGCTGCCGAAACTTCAGGACCGCCGGCTCGAGGCGCGCCTTCCTCTGCAAGGTTGCCACGAGCGGCAGCCAAGTCTAGCGCAGACAGCAGCGCGGGCGAGGGCGGCCGGACGGGAGGTGACATGGTCGGCGTGGGCGCTGGTGGCGGCGCTGGAGGTCCACGAGGCTGGGGAACAAGAGGCACCAGCAACGGCGGTGGAGGCGACGCAGCTGGAGGTGGACATGGCGGAGCGGGAGGAGGCCGCGGGCCACCGAATGGCCGGAACGGGGCGCCTGCCGCAACCAACGGATCTGGCTCCCAGTCGCTGCACTCGCTGTTCCGGCGGCAAGAGTTGGTCGGACGAGGAGCGTACGGAGCGGTGTACCGCGGCGTGCACGTGCCGACCGGCGGCGCCGTCGCTCTGAAGGTAGTGAATCTGGACACGCCGGAGGACGATGTGTCGGACATCCAGAAGGAGGTCGCGACCTTGACCCAGCTGCGCGACGCGGAAAGCAAGAACATCGTGCGCTACTGGGGCTGCTGGCTCATCAAGACGGAGCTGTGGATCGTGATGGACTTTGCCGAAGGCGGCAGCGTGCGCACAGTGGTGAGTCGCAGCCCGGCCGTCCTACTTTGCGATGCAACTCACCTTTCCCCGCTCAGATGAAAGCTGGCCCCTTGTCCGAGCGCTTCTGCGGTCTCGTCGTGCGCGAGTCGCTCGTGGCCCTGTCCTACCTGCACAAGTCCGGCATCATCCATCGCGACATCAAGGCTGCCAACATCCTGCTGACGGTGCAGGGCCGCGTGCTGCTCTGCGACTTTGGCGTCGCAGCGTCGCTGGTCTCGTCGAGCGTGCACGCCAAGCGCTCGACGTTTGTGGGCACGCCCTACTGGATGGCGCCAGAGGTCATCACCGAGGGCAAGACGTACGACCAGAGCGCCGATATTTGGAGCCTGGGCATCACGCTCTACGAGATGGCGTGCGGCAACCCGCCGCACGCTGAGCAGGAGCAGATGCGCGCAATCATGCTCATCCCGAAGAGCAAGCCTCCGCGCCTGCCGGTCGACGGCAACTTCTCGCCGCTGATGCGCGACTTTCTGGCGATGTGTCTCAACGAAGAGCCGCGCGAGGTGAGCACAGCGTGTCGCTGCTGGCTTATGTACTGCGCTGACACTCGTGCAGCGACCCAACGCAGACGAGCTTGCGAAGAGCAAGTGGATCAAGAGCTTTGCCAAGACGCCCAACTCTGTGCTCAAGGAGCTGCTCAACAACTACACCGCATGGACCAAGAGCGGCGGCATGCGCATGAGTCTGCTTGGCGCCGAGGCTGCTGACCTGAACGACGCTGGGTGAGCGACTGTCGGCACGTACTGTCCACTGCGCCTGCTGACAGTGTCCACAGTAACCGCGACTCGTTCATGTTCGATGGGCGCGAGAGCGACGACGGCTGGGTCTTCAACACTCTGCGCGACCACGAAGCGTACGATGGATTTGACGAGGACATCGTCCAGCCGCAGCCTATCCGTGATCACCCTCTGTTGCGTCTCTTCGACGCTGCTGATGGCACGCCGGCAGTCGAGACTCTGCCGGCAGAGAACACAAGCGCACTGCGCCGTCCGGGCTCGCCCAAGGCGATACCTTCGCTGTCCACCCTGCGGGCGGCAGACGTGCGCCCGGCGCCACCGCCGCCTGCTGGCGTCGCGCCAGTGACTGCCGCCGCCGCTGCCAGCGCGGCTGCCGCAGAGGACAAGGCGAGCTTCGCAGGGATGGGCAACACACCCTTCCGCTTCGGCGGCGGTGGCGGCGACTCCAGCGCGCTGGGCACGCCGCGCGCGGCAGCCTTCAATCCGCCAGCAGCAAGTCGGCTCCGGGAGCACCGCCCGCAGCCGTCTACGGACAGCACAGATCCTGTCACGGCAGACACGTCGTTTGGCGACACGACCCTGCCTCACAGCGGGTCCACCTCGGCCGGCACCTCACTCAGTGGCCACGCCCGACATGCGAGCAAGTCCAGCCTGGCGCACCGCCGCGGCATCAGCAACATTTCGGGTGCGTCCGACAAGTCGTCGGCGTTCTCGAACGCGCAGGAGAGCCTGCCCTCGGAGCTGCCGCAGCATGCGCTGTCCGCCTCGCCTTCGCAGATGCGCGGGCCACGTATCGTGCCACTCGACTCCAATGCAGCTGCGCAGGCGCTCAAGACGGCCGTCGCTGCTGGATCGCTCGGACGGCCTCCAGGGCCGACGCGTGCAGCCACAGAGCAGCTCGGGCAAGCAGGCGAATGGCCCGAGCCTCAAATCCTGCGTGCGCGCTCCGCAGGGCCGTCAGCCGATGACGGGCCAGCGTCTGCGCCAGCACAGGCCGAGCGCACGGCGGCCCAGGCTGCGACAGCTGCACTCGTGGCTGCACAGCGCTATGCTGCGCAGACACCATCCTACGGCATGCGCAGCCGCAGCGGAAGCCGCAGCCGGCCATTCCATGCGTACGACGGTGCACAGGCTGTCGCGCCCGCCCTGCCTGGACGCAGCATCTCTGCGGCGCCCCACACCACCTCCTTCCGCGATGCCGTGGCCGCGCGTCACTACGACCTGGCACCGCCAGGCACACTGGACCTCACCGACACCCTGCCGCCCTCTCCAAGCGTCTCGGCCTCGGCCTACTTCCCGCCTATGTCTGCCACCAACAGCCAGCGCGCCGCGGCGGCCTGGGGCCCGTCGCCGCTGCGGCCCAGCGCCGGTGGCCTCGGCCGGCCAATCGTGCACTCGCGCCTGCAGCACGGCGGCAGCGACCCTACGCAGATCGCCGGCTTCGCCCGCACCGACTCGGGCGACGCCGCCGACGGCAGCGGCTGGCCAGGTGTCCCGCCAGGTCAGCCGACTGGTCCGCGCTTGCGTGCCCTCGACTTCTCCAACCTCGACGCCAACGGCGGCGTCCACGCCGAGCTTGCGCGCGTCGTCGACGACCTCGGCGCCTGGCTCGACGTGCTTGGCATGGGCCTTGCCAGCGCCATCAGCGTCGATGCGGCGACGCAGAACTAGACGCGCCGCGCCCCTCTGGACCACACATCGTCACCTACCACTGTATCCACCACACCCCCGGGCATCCCTCGCGTCACCCAAATGCACATCACCGGATCCGATTGACGTGCATGCCTGCCAGGCCCACTTCTGCTGTGTCCGAGAGAGCGAGGTGGCGCCCCTAGGCCGACTTGTACTGATACCGCATGCCGTCGAGGCCCTTCGCGGCAATTTCCGCCTGGTTGATGATGTCTGTGCGAGCGCAGCGTCAGCGAAGCAGCTTCGCGCTGGCGATCCACCACTCACACTCGATCAGCAGCAGCAGGCCCAGCACCAGCGGCGTCAGCGCCCACCACGCGGCCGCGCCGAATGCGCCGGCGCCGAACGTCATGAGCGGCAGCGGCCAGCTGGCGACAAAGACGAGCATGAGGTAGAGGTTGCGCGGGTGCATCTTGGTCATGAAGTTTGGCGGGTTGTCGGCGCCCGTGTTGCGATTCATCGTGCCGGGTGCCGGCGCCTTGTAGCCGGCCATGTTGGTCGGGTGGTAGCGCAGGTCCGTCAACGACTTGACGAGCCAGCCGGGCGCCGTGCCGAAGAGGTGCGGCTGCTGCGGGTACGGCAGGCCCTTGCGCTTGATGAGGCCCATGCGGTCTGCCGTCTCGCGCCACGCCGCCCACAGCAGGCAGCCGGTGCTTGCGAGGAAGACGGTGTAGATGGGCGCAATCGGCAGGCGCGTCAGGTCGTCGTGCGTCGCATCGGCCTCGTGGTGCACAAAGAGCATGTGGAAGTGCGTGTCGGGATGCGTGTTGGTGAGGTATGCGGGCATGGGCGTGCAATAGCTGCGCTCGACCGGTCAGCTGCGGGCGCAGACAGGACTGTATGCCGGGACCACATCACGCAAGCAGTGTGCGACAGCAGGCGCGGGCACAGCCCTCCTGTATGCTGGCCGCCGTGCTGTCCGGCCCAGTACAGCGACCACCACACGCAGAGCAGCAGCGGCACTCACAGGAAGCCCAGCCCAGCAATCAGCACCAGCATGCCCATACGCGCGATGTAGTCGCTCTGTGAGTTGCGCTCGCGCAGCTCCTGCACGACAGCCTTCTGGTCTGGCAGGCGTCGCATGGCGGCACGTCAGCGCACTGCAGAGTGGAGGGCCACATCCAGTGCCAGGTGCGCTCACCATCGGCGTCCATGGGCGCGTCGGCGTCGGCATCGTCCAGCACGGCCAGCGGGTCGTTGGTGCCCGCGGCGTGGCGCTGTGTGAGCTTTGAGGAGGACATGGCTGCGGTGAGGAAGGTCGTTGCGGTCGAGAGGCAAGCTGCACACCGTCCTACGCCCGAGAGACACACGCGTTCGGCGTTACGGGCCGGCGCGCGCCGTGCGTGCCGTCGTGCCGCACGGCATCCGTTGCCGCGGCACGCTCAGCGCTGCCGCCGGCTCCACATCCGCGGCTCAACTGAGATCCGACAAGCCCTGCCGGATCGCACACGACGCAGACACCACAGCGCTCATAACCGCAAGCATCGAGCATCAGGCCCTGTGGATACAAGTCATTGCGTGGCGGCGGCGATGTGAGGAGATACAGAGGATGCGTGGGACAGCGAGAGCGGCGTGTGGGCGCAATGGGAGAAGGTGGCCGGTCCGACAGCTGTGAGATCGAGTCAAATGCGACGGAAGACGCACGCATCGAAATATTGAACGACAGGGAGCGCAGTCTGCTCTCAGTCCTCGAGGCGGTTCGCCACCGGCGGCGGCGGCAGGCCAGCCTTGCGTTCTCTGCGCCTGATCTCCTCCCACAGCTCCCACTGCTCCTGCACCTTGCGCTGCTTCTCCTCCTCGGCACGTTTACGAGCCTCTTCCGCCCTTCGCGCCTCGCGCGCCTGCAATTCGGCACTTCGCGCCTTGTCAGCCTCGGCCTGCCGCGCTCGCTCCTTGGCCAGCGAGGCTTGCACGGCTGCGAAGCGCCGGTCCGCCTTGCTCGCGCGCGGCTCGTCGACTGCAGCGGCGCCATCGGCTGTCTCGCCTTGCGCAATAGGCGGTGTGGCAAGTGGCGAGGGCGTGAGAGCTTGAGGCACATTCGAGGGCCCGCTCGTCGAGCGAGACGTGCCAGAATAGGCGCCAGACTGCTCAGAGCGCCCGTCGTCGCGGCCAAAGTCGTCCTGGCCGGACAGAGCGAGGGCCAGGGCCGCATCGTTGGCCAACTGCTCGTCCAGCGCGCTCATGCCCTGCGGAGGATTGACCGTTGGCGCAGTCGCCGCAGAGGGCATGTGCGCGAGCGTCTCGCTGGGGCCGGCCGCAGATGGGAACGGAGCAAGGTTGCGGATCGGTGGCAGGAGCGGCGCAGGAGGTAGCTCGACTCGCTGCCGGCCTGCTGAGCTGCTGCTGATCTGGCGTCCAGCAGGCTTCGGGCGCGTCGGCTCGCCTTCGACAGCCAGATCCTGAGCGCGCCGCTCAGCTGCCTCTGCAGCGACACGCGCTCTGCCCTCCCGATCTCCTTCGCCACGACTGGCGCGGCCGTTGCTCGAGTGCTTCTTCTTCGGCTTTGCTGGCCGCACCTCTCCACTTGCAGCGGTGAACGAGGCAAACGCCGCAGCGTTGCCGTACTCCGGATTGATGTTCTGTGCAGGCGACTCGGCAGGGACAGCTCCAAAGCGGCCCTGCACGCCCGGCCCGATGACCAGCGCAGTGCTAGGCATCGCAGCTGCGCCAGCTGGTGGCCCGCTGCCGTTCATGCCTGCCGACGTGGCTGCTGTCGGACGCAAGGCATCGTCGTGAGACGTCGCGCCGCTCGTGTGTCGCCGGTGTGGTGCCGGCGGCGCACTCTGCATCGCGTTGAGGCCGGTGACTGAGGTCGGCGTGCGGCTGCCGCTCTGAGCAGCGCCGCTGTCGAGCGGCGGACTTGACGGTGCGCCGTTGCGCGAGCCGCGCCTGCGACGCTCCTCGGGCGGAGCTGCTGCGAGTGGAGGTGGGCGATACGGGCCGGGCGTTGGTCCCGCGGCGCTACTTGATCGGCCATTGCCGAGGCGTGGCCGAGTGCGAGCGCCCTGAGCGCCAGACGCTTCCGCAGCAGAAATGACGCGGAAGCCGCGACTTGGGTCGCGGTACTGGTGCTGGTGGAAGTTGGCTTGCGGCTGCCCGGCCACGCTGGAGCTGTGCGACGACGGCTCGCGCGGGTTGAGGACGCTGTAGGGCGGCGGTGCGGACAGCGTGCCTGCTCGTGTCAGGCTGCCAGCAGGCAAGCCGAAGACATGCCCGCGAGGCAGTGCCGGGAGACGAAGAGACTCCAGAGTGTGTGGTGGCTTGACGCGGATGCTGCAGGCAAGTGTCAGCCACAGTATGCGGTGACCAGCCAAGCCGGGCTTTGCCTTCTCGTCGGTACATCGCTCGACCTTGTCGTTGTACTCACATGATCTCATCGCCGTCCTCCAGCAGCGCGCAGTCGTGGTCGTCGGCCAGCTCAAAGCCCTCCAGCTCCTCGTCCCGCGCCTCGCCCTCGCGCGTCTCTGGCGCGATGAGCGCGTTCTGGCGCAGCTCTATCCGCAGCATCTCGCGGCGCCAGCCCTGCAGCGTCTCCTGCTTAAGACGCTCGCTGTGCGTCATGGCCGCCACGGCCGCCTGTGTCGAGCTGGCTGGCGAGATCTGGCCGGTGAGGATGGAGAGGATGCTGAGCTTGAGCGCCGAGATGGGCTGCGCGGCGTCGGGGATCGGGTGTGGCACGCGGAACGGCGGCAGCGGCGGCAGCGTGCGCAGGTGCACCGACGGCGCCTGTCCGCCGCCGGCTGCCATGGCAGACGGCGCAGTCATGGCGGGCTGAGAGGGCTCGAAGATGCACGCAGACGCACTCGCGCGCAGCGGCTGGGTGTGGAGGTGCGCTGCACCCTGGCGGCTGGCAGAGGTGTGCGCTGCGCAGACGGAGGGCAGTGGGTGTGCTAGACACGGAGAAGGCTGCGAGCAAGAGGAGCTGGACGCTGAGTGTAAGAGACGAAAGTGAGGCTGGCTGAGAAGGAGAGGATGACGAGGGCGGCAAGGACGTCGCAGGGCCAGGTCACGCGGCGCCGCAAGGCGCCAGAAATCGCAATCGCCGCCTCTCGGGCCGGGCCGACCCCTCCGCGGCTTGCTGCGCCGCCGCCACGCGCGTCACACAGCACCCTGGCAGCGCCGCAGATCTCACTGCAGCGCCAGAACGCAGCATCACCTCGCTCGCCGCACATCTCGAGCGATCATCCATCGTAGGCGCAAGCTGGTGCTGGAGTGCTATGCTCGTCTCCCGTAGGGCGTTGCAGGCCGACGCTTGCCACGGCCGCCGCTGGAGCGTCGAGCAGCGGCCTGCACAGCCGCGCGATGCAGCATGACGGTGCCGCGCCGCTGGGCATCACGTGACGGCATCTTGGTGGGCAATGCGGGGTAGCGAGATCGGGCAGCTGCTCCGTGCGGCCTGTCGAGCACCCATCTCAGCACCTGACGGCCATCTCCACGCTCCAAAGACCCGTTCGAGTACGCCAATCATGCCGCGCGAAGTCCTTGTTTCGATCGCACCTGACGCCGACTGCGTGGCGGGCTGGCTGGGTGAGCATATGCTACGCGCTTCTGGCTGAACGCGGCGGCGCGAGTGACGCACTGACGCTTGATGATGCCTGCTGCGGACAGGCTCATACGGCGGAGTGAGTGATGCCAGCTCAGGGAGATGCACACATGCATCGTGCAGATTGTGTGCTATTCATCTCACGCACGGCTGCCTGCTGCGTGCAGGAAGACAGCCCCAACGACATATCGCGCGGCGCCTTCGCAGCCGAGGTGGGCCTGCCGCGCCTGCTCAAGCTGTTCAAGAAGCACGGCATCACCACGACGTTCTTCATCCCGGGGTGCGACAGCAGTGCAGCTGTGACGGAGCACATACTCACATACGCCATCAGTCACACGCTCGAGTCGTTTCCGAAGGAGTGCGAGGCGATCCGCGATGCTGGGCACGAGATCGGCCTGCATGGCTGTGAGCTCGGCGAGCGGCGCTGCCCACGAGCCCCTGCCTGACCCGCGCACGCAGACTCGCACGAGGTGCACAGCTCGAGTACGGCGCTCCAGCGCTTCCGCTGACGCTGCTGCAGAACCCGACGGCCATGAGCGTTGAGCAACAGCGCGCGGTGCTCGACAAGACTGTGAGACTGACGTGACGGCCTCGCTGTGATCGCTCCTCATACTCACGCCACGCTGTAGTACAAGCAGCTCTCCGAGTTCACCGGCAAGCCCATCGTCGGCAGCGTGGCGCCGTGGTGGGAGACGAGCAAGGAGGGCGTCGAGATGCTTCTGGAGTACGGTGCGTTGCGGCGCTCTGAGAGCGCCCAGCGAGCTGTGCCTGACGCACGGCAGGGCAGGCATCGAGTACGACGTGAGCGGCTGCCCAGCTTGAGATGCTGTCGCCTCATTTCCTACTGACATGGGTTGCGTGACACAGCACAGCAACCAGGTGCACTGTGCGAAGTCGGTGAGGCGCACAGCAGACCGCTTACAACCCACCCGCAGAGCCACGACTGCCGCATGTTCTACCTCAGGGACCAGGGTGAGAAATTCGATGTGGCAGCAGGTGGCCAATGATCGAGCTCCTCGATGCAGACTACTGGACGAAGATCGACTATGACAAAGCCGCAGAGGTGCGCAGGCCCGTCCGCCCTGGCGACAGTTGCTGGCGGCACTTGCTGATGCGCATGGATCGCTGACAGGAGTGGATGAAGCCGTGAGCATGCCTGGTCACGCGACCAGGCAAAGGCTAGACGCATGTCCGCCGGCAGAATGATCAAGGGCAAGGAGACAGGCCTCGTCGAGATCCCGGCCTCCTGGTGACGTTGCACCGCGCGGTGACGCAGCGCATGCCTCGCTGACGCCTGTCGCAGGTATCTGGACGATCTGCCGCCGATGATGTTCATCAAGAGTGAGCTGTGCTGCCAGCTCCGACGCAGCGTCGATGTGGCCTGATACATGGTCCTGCAGAGGCTCCAAACAGCCACGGCTGGGTGACACCGCAGGCCGTCGAGCAGATCTGGAAGGACACCTTCACGGTGACTGCGCCCTGCAGCTGCATCCCGGCGCGCACCCGGCTCATGCCGCGCTCCCTGCCGCCAGTGGATCTACGAGAACGAAGCCGACGATGACGACGAGGTCACCGTGTACCCGCTCACCATCCATCCGGACGTCGCCGGGCGCGCACACGTGATGCTGATGCTCGATCGCTTCATCAGCTGGCTCAAGCAGCATGAAGGTAAGCAACGTGGAGGAGAGCGCGGCGGCGGCAGCGGCAGGCAGCGCTCGCTTCGATGCTTTCAACTCCGCCGTACGATCCCGTTCGCACCCGCGAGTCGGTTGGCCCTCGCGTCGACGTCGACACACGAACGATGCTCGGCTTTTCCACAGATGACAGCGACAGCTCACACCCTCTTCCACGCTTGCCACAGGCGTGCGCTTCGTGACGATGCACGAGATGAGCCTTGCCTTTCGCGCCAAAGCAGGCCCGCCGGCGGCTGGCGCAGTTATGCCGAAGAGCATGCAGGGCGCTGCCGCTGATGCTTAACTCGCTCTGGCAGCAGCTGCGCGCACGCGCAGGATGCCGAGGCGCCTCCGCGCAGGCCCAGCAGGAGCCCGACTCGGCACCGACGCCCCGCCGGAGTTTCGCGTCGATTGAGACATCACATCGCCTCCTGCCGCGGTGAGGGGCAGCGCGACGACAGCGCCTGCTCCTGGAATGGACGCTTGCCCGCAAATCAGAACTTGCTTGACACATCCGGCGCACTCTGGGACCGGTGACGGGCGGTGCGGTGGCTCGACGTGCCATTCACGCCAGTGGACGCTGCGACCTGCGAGAGGGAGCATGCAGCGTCAGCTGCGCCGGCGGATGCATGCAGACGCCCGCACGCACGACGCTACGCAGCGCATCGCGCCCGATCCCGTAGCCTCATCGCGGCGTCTGCTGCACAGGACGCCACGCGCTCAGCGCCCGCACGAGTGGCCGCTCCGCGTCCATCTCAGCAACCCAGAGAGCCTTGTTGGCGAGACCCTGCGCTCCTGATGCAGCACGCCGGAAGCACTCCATCGTGCGAGGGCTCAGCACGCGATGCTCGTCGTCGGGCTCTGGATGGCATGCGCGACCCTGCGTCGGAGGCTCGCCCGCCCGCTCTCCGATGCGCCGCCTGTTTTTCCGAACCCTCCGCCGGGCGCTGAGCGAGCGCGACCCACGTGCCTCGCACGACGACTCTTCTTCTTTCTCCCTCCCTCCTTGCCACAGCACAACGGCACATCGACAGCTGCCAACATGCTGACCGATACATCACTCTCGCGATCATCCGGCGCTCAGGGTCGTCGAGCAGCTCCGACGGGGCTAGCAGTCGTGCGTGTGAGTATTGCTCACCTCCTGGAGGCAAGGTGCAACGCCGACGGCCAGCTCCGACGAGGGTATTGAGCATGCATGAGAACGTGCGCAGCAATGCGCTTCGTCACAGAGGACGGCGCCCCGGCTGCACTGGTCCGCTGCGATCTCGGAGGCCACCTGAGCCCGGGCACTGCGGCAAGGCCGGCAACGGGCAACGCTTCGCGGGCAGCCGAGCAGGGCAGCCGCTTCCTTGTCTGCTGCGTGCGGAGTTGCACTCACACCTGCAGCGGTCCGGACGACGGCCGGCGGAGAGAGAGCACATGCTGCGCGTCTCGTCTCGCCTCGCCTGGGAGTGTGGTAGCTGCGAGGCTGCGGCGGACCCGAGGCCGAGCGGCGGCTGGCCGCTGCGCATGAGACGACGGTCTGAGCTGGCCCGCTGGGGCCAGCACCAGTGCTCCGGGTCTCGGTGCCAGCTGCAGCAGCTGTGCTGCGCTGCCCACGGCCTCGGGCGGAGCGCGGGCTCAGAGTGTGGCGGTGGAAGGGCGGCGGCGGCGGAGGAGAAGGGCAGAGTCGCGTGGCCGTGCGCCGAGATCTGGCCGCTGGGCGCGGATCGAGGCAGCGGGCCCTCCGCGAGCTCTTCTACTGGTCGGGTGCCAGCTGCAGGTGCCGCATCCCCGCGCCGGATTCCTCAGGAGTGCGGAGTGGCGGAGTTGGGGGCAGCTGCGAGCTCGCCAGGCTCACACACCAACCCGGCGACGCTGCGCCCACCCGGCGGCCCATGACGCACAGGCGCGCCGCAGCGCACCCGGCGGCGCAGGCAGCCGGGCGCTGTGCGTGCGTCTGCGAGTGCTGCTTCTGGAAGGCCAGGCTTACGCAGGGTCAGCATGCGCCGCTGCAGCATGCAGCGATGCGGGACGCGCTGCGGCCAGAGCGACGTGAACACCCCCGGAGCGCTGATAGAGGTGACGTTTGCGCGCGCCGCGGCCCTGGTGCCTCGGCGCGCTGAACGATGAGCAGCCGTGGATGAAAGTTAGCGTGGCGTCACGCCTGGACCGCAAGCGCCGGCGGCGCGAAAAAATAGCCGCGGAATGAGGCACACGGGCAGCGTGCCTGCATCGCGGACGCGCGGCTGCGACGTGTACCAGATGCAGCCGCTGCGCCTGTGCCGTCGCTGAAGCCACGCGAGCACATCGCGCGCCGAAGCTCGGGCGTCGCGCCGACGCGCCGCCGCGCTGCTGCCGCGCCCTGGAAGAAGCCTCGCTGCAGGCCGCTGCAGGCCGCAAGATTTGCCGAGCAAGAGCAAGACGCGGCTCGCGCGCCCCGGCGTGGGCGCCGATCTGCAGCCCACGGCCGCAGGCGTGCTGTGGCTTGCATGCGCCAGGGCAAGCGCGCGGACGACTGCCCAGGTGCCGTCTGTGTGCTGTGCGCAGATGTCATCGAGCAGCCGCCCATGGGGCCTGGAAGCATGCAGCAGCGCGCCACAGCACACCGCGCGCAGCGCAGCGCCCCTCCCGCCCCTCCATTCGCTGGCGATGGGCCGCCGTCCGCGTCGGCGTGGGCGCCGACACCCGCTCGTCGTCGGCCAGCCGTCAGCTTTCCGCGCGAGAGGCTGCTGCGCTCCATGCTGCTCGTCCATGCCTCCCGCGCCGCCCAGCAGCTTCCCACGCCCGACGCCGGACCGGCCTCGCCCGAGGCGTGCCAGACGACGACTGTGGAGGTGCCCGACGATGCGCGTCCTGCAACCGCTCCCGGTTCGTCCCTGCAGACACACAGCAAGCACGCAGCATGCAGCGGCTCTGCACTGCCCCTCCGAGAGGCGACGTGGCTTGTCCCGCACGGCCTGGACGCCTCCACTGCGGCGCGCACAACGCAGCGGACGCCCTCTCGCAGCGCTCGCTGCTTGCCGCAGGCGGTCTCAGCGCCGCCAAGCCAGGTGCCACGCTGGCGCGGGCGTTCTTGAGCGCAGCCGCACTCGCAGCTTGCTGCAGCAGCAAGCAGCCGCAGCGCAGCGCAGTGCAGCGCAGCGCACACGCACGATGTGGATGCAGATGCCCCGCTGTCGCTTGCGTACCGAGGGAGCCGCGAGCTGCGGTGCTCGGCAGCGGCTGGATCTGCCGTTGCCCTCGGCGCTCGTCGCTGCGCTGCTGCCGGCCTCGCTCGGGCACGCGCGACACAGGCACCGCGCTTGCGAAGCAGCGGCATCAGAGGAAGCGTCGGAGTGTAGACGGCCGGGTGCACATGCAACGCATTGCGCCCAGCGTCAGGCCGGAGTAACGGCCGCACAGGCGCGCATCGATACTCCGCCCGCTGCGCATGTCACAGAACAGGTGCCGGCGTGCGGGCGAAGCCGCAGCAAGCTCGTGGCCGAGCTCCACTCTCGACGTTCGGCAGCAGCAGCTCGAGCTTCCAGGCGGCCCGCCTGTCGCAGCCGCCGGCGCAGATGACACAGGCCAAGAGCTTGTCGAGCGCGGTCCGGCGGCTCCGCGCGAATGTCGCACTTGCACCGCACCGCGATCCGCACCTTGCCTCGAGCAATGCAGCGTGGAGAGGGCGCGGGTGCGTGTCGGACACCCTCAGAATCTCAGCGCACCTGCAGGCAGAACAGCAGCACAGACCTGGAGCGGCAACTCCGACGGGTCGCGGAGCGTGGCCTGATTGCAGTGAGGTGTGCCCGCTGCTGCATCCTGATGCCGCTGCGGCTCGCCGGAGGCTCCTCCGGGCACCCCAACGGTCGGGCGCTCCGCTGCTCCACACCGTCTCTGATCGTCCACGTCTGCATCGCCCGCACGCGAGCCTAGCGTCGGCCTGCCTAGACTAGCTCGGGGCCGCACCGATGCAGATGCCTGTCCTCCAAAGCGCCGAGTCCGAGGGCGACTACGCGCGCTGCGGACGCTGCCGGCAACGTCAGCCTGTGACGCTGTCTTCCGCGCTACGGCGTCGGAGCAGCAACGATGCTCAGGAACGCTGCAGCGAAGCCTCATGCGCAACCCAGCAGGCCAAGCCTGAGCAGTGGGCCGCAGGCTTCGACTGCCCCAGGGCCCTCCGGTCCGCTCGCACCGCCGCAGCGGGGCGGCGCAGCGGAGGAGGACGCAGAGCGCAGAGAGTGCATGGTGCTGCCCAGCGCAGGCCAGCAATTAATGGTCCGACCAACGGGCGGTGCTGCTGCGGAGGCTCCAACTTGGGTCGTCGTCGTCCTTCGGTGCGCAGCGTCGGACACCCTTCCTTCTCCTCCTCTCTCACCCTCGTTCTCTCACTCTCTCACCATCATCCGTGCCGCACCCACGCTCCCCGCACCTACTCTGCGTGGCCAGGCCCTCATCTTGCAGCACCCTGCAGCGCCTCGACTCGGCGCCCACGCCGTGCTGACGCATCACGTTCCAGGTGAGACTGGCAGGGCGGGAGCGAGGGGCACGTCGGGTGGCGCCCGATACGAGTGCAGTGGAGTTGGCGCGCCGGCTGCACGCAGAGACTGAGAGAGAGCGCTCGAGAGGCACGCGGCGGCGCGGGCTGGGGCTGGGGCCGCCATGTGCGCCAGAAGCAGACGGCAGGCGGCCAGCACCACGGCTTGCGGGCGCGCGCGCGGCGCACGCTGGCCGAGGCGGGCAAGAGAGCAGCGAGCTGCAAACAGACTCAGCCACAGCGAATTGCCCGACGCGCGTCCTGCGGCGGCGCGGGCGGCGCGCTGGCTGAGGGCGCGCGCCGCACGCATTTCTCTGCGGGCCCCTCTCTTACCCGTGGCAGGCGGCGCGGTGCGCGCGCCGTGTCGGCGCTCTCGCCGCGCGCACATCGCCGCTCCGCTGCCTCTGCCGCACCGCGCTCGCAGCAGCAAGCACAGGCCTCGCCTCGCCGCACCGGGATGACAGGTGCGCCAGACGAGACCCTCCCGTCCGGCACGCCTGTCAGGCCTGTCGTGCGCACGCGTGTCTCGGACTCCATTGCATGCGTCGTCGAGGCCCATACAAGAAGCACGGGTGCGCCATCGGCGGCCCGGCATCACCCCCCTTTTCGCGCCCGCCGTTGCAGCTCTCGCTGACCCGCGCCGGCGTCCAGCCTTCCCACGCGTCCCAGCGCGCGGCACACCCGCGGCCACCGCAGAGCGCCCGCTCGTCATCGAGCGCAGCGCCGCCCGCTGCCCGCCGCAGGACCTCGTCCTCGTCTGCTCGGCACACCACGACGGCACACTCGCCGTCACACCGTCGGCCTCGCACCGCCCGTCGCCGCCTGGCCTCACTCGGGACCCGGACACCTTCCGACGTCTCGCTGCCGTCCGATCCCGGCCAGCAGAGTGCGCCTTCAGGGCTTCGACCGCTCCCTCGTTCCGACCACCGGAACCTCGCACCGTCGACCGACGCTCGAGGAGCATCGATAGCCTCGGCTATACCTCTGCTGTCTGCTCGGAGCCGCTCATCGATCCGCACTGCCTCGTGCTGCAGCACATCACACCGACGGCTTGCTCCTCGTCCCAGGTCCACAGCCGCCCGTTCGAGATCCGCATCTCGCAGACCGTTCTTCGGTCCGCCCCCGTCGCGCCACAGCGACGCCACCACCACCTCGCCGAACCCCTCGGCACACGACAGGAGGCTCTCCGCGCCTCCCTGCCTCCGTCGTCAGTTGCACTTTGACGTCAGGGGCACAGCGGAAGAGCGACGCAACGTCAGCGAAGAGTGGCAGCCTGCCACGCCTGTCTTGCGGCTGCTAATCAGTCGCTGACGCATCTCCGCGCGTGGCGTGCACTTGCGATCGCTCGGGCACCAGGCACCAGACTTGATCCATCGTCGTCGTCGCCGACGCCGAGGCACGCACCGACACACGTCGTCTGCTGTCACATCACTCCTGTGTTGCTCTCCGACCACTGTGTCGGCAACTGCACGGCCCCTCTCGCTCGCCCAGGCCCTTACTCGGGCCCGCACTGCGCCCGGAGGCCTGCACTCGGGCACGTGTCAGGGGTCTGCGCCGACCTCTCAACGCTCATTTAGCGAGTCGTCCATCAGCTTCGCTGTGTGCCAAAAATAGCTGGCACCCGACGTTGCAGACGGCCTGCACGCGACTCCTCGGACGTCACCCCTGGCGCCGACCGACCGGGAGCTATCCCTCTGCCTCGGACCCGCTCAAGTGGCCCCTTGACGGCTCTGCGTCAAATCGACCCGTGCCACTCATTGGCAACCCCTCTGCCGAGACTCTGCCGTGGAACATCTCTCTGCGGCCAGCGAGAAGGATATAAGGAGACCGCTTTGGCGTCGTCTCACTTTCTTCACGCCTTTCGCCGTCTCTCACCTGGATGAACCAAGCAAGCTCACGAACGGTGAGCCAGCCGTCCGCCCCGCACTTCACGGTGGCTGACACCTCGCAGTACACGCACCCGTCGTTCACAGCCTCCTGTGCTGCCCGCTTCTCATCCCATCCCTCTTCCTCGCGGAATCCTTCTTCACCTCGGCACTCGACGCCGTTCGCCAGCGACGACTCGAGACCACCGAGTGGCTCGGCCGGCAACGTGACGCGTCGGTCTCCTGCTCCCGCCAACGGCCAGATGCGTCGCGTCTCGCTGACGCCGCCGCCGTTGATGCGGAACGCGGACGACCTGACTCGCGATCCCGCTCTGCGGATCGACGAGCAGCAGGCGTCCTCCTCACGCCTCGCCGTCGACCAGTCGCGAGGCGACCACCAGGCGGACCACGCATACGGCGGCGACGCCGCCCGGCAACGACAGAGCGCCGAGGAGGCGGGCTCGTCGTGGAACCGAGGCGAAGGTCAACGCTCTTCGTTCGGCTCGTCGTCTGGCGTCAACGACGACTCATCATCGCGCCGACGGCCCGACCTCAAGCTCGCACTCGCCTCCAACGGCGGTGCAGGCAAGAGCGAGGGCTCGGAGCGAGGACAAGATCGTCTGCCAGGCATCGCACAACTTGACGAGTACCTGGCGAGCCCGTGGCCGAAGCCGGCCGTGCCCGTCAGCACGCCCGGTCGCTTCCAGGGGCCCGGTGACACCTTCCGGCGGACGCGCGAGTCGCTGCCGCCGCTCGGTCTGCCCGGCTTTGCCAGCTCGTCATCGTCGTCATCGGCGCAACACTCGTCGTCGTGGGAGCCTTTCTCTCGTCAACCGCAAGCTGCCTCGCTCCCTTCGCCGGCTGCCTCCCATGCATCGTCGCAGCTCGGCTACGAGCAGATGGAGCGGCGGCCCAGCCTCACACAGCTCGGCCGGCGCACGTCTGCGGTGCTGCTCGACCGAGGTGCTCCTGATGGTCGTCCGTACGCTCGCGGCTCCCTGCTGAGCCCGCGTCCGGCGGAGGCTCTCACACATTCGCAACACATGGCACGATCCACCTCGCAGCTGGAGAACCGCGAGGCGATGCGCAACTTCTCGGACCAGCACAGCTCGCAGAAGCGCAAGGCCTCGTTCGACGCCAGCCCGATGCCTTCCAGCGCCACGGTGCAGTCAATGCGGCCGCACACGTCTGGGATGCCGCCTCAGCCCTTTGTGTCGCACCAGGGCCGCGACTACGACAGCGAGCCGCGGCCACGCTCGCAGGGCGACCGCTGGCACGAGGACTCGAACAAGCGGCGGCGCGAGCACGAGCGCTGGAGTCCGGAGCGCCAGCCGGCCAGTGGCCTGCCTGCAGCTCGCGAGAGCATGGAGGAGCACGTGCGCTACACCGGTGGTGAGTATGCACGGCCGTCATCGGGCGGCCAGCATCTCATCGGCACGGCCGCTGCAGGTCCCTCGTACTCTGCGGCGAGCAGCAACGCCGGCAGCTCGCACGAGCGCCGCTTCTACCCCGGCGAGGAGCAGCAGCGCCATGCATACGACCGGGAGCAGTCGCAGGCTCAGCGCCATCACGTCGCCACCAGCTCTTCGCACCCGCACTACCTGCGAGGCGACGGCGTGGACAGAGGCTACCCGTCCGGCCACGGCCTGCCGACGAGCCGCTCATACCCATCGCCATCCAACCGGCACGAGCAGTACGGCGAGGAGCAGCACGGCCAGTACGGCCGCTACCCGGGCGGGCCTGACGAGCGTGACGCCGGCTCGAACGGTGGTGCGCCCAACGCTCGCAAGCGCGGCAAGCTGCCAAAGGCCGTAACGGACCTGCTGAAGTCCTGGCTGCTGGAGCACGCCACCCACCCGTATCCGACCGACGAGGAGAAGCGTCGGCTGTGCGCTGCCACTGGCTTGACGATGAGCCAGGTGTCCAACTGGGTGAGTGGTCCGCAGCGTGTGCCGAGCCTCGTCACTATTGCTAACGCGCACACCTCTTCCAGTTCATCAACGCTCGGCGCCGCATCCTCGTCCCATCGCCCTCGGGCGGCTTCGCCGTCGGCGGCACTGCTGCGGCGGAGCAGGTGCGCGAGATGTTCCAGGCCGAGCCGCACCACCACGGCAACCGCGGCCAAGACCCTCGCCACGCCCGTCCGCCGTCGCCGCCGCGCTATGCCTACCACCACGAGCAGCACGAGCGCTACGGCCGCAGATGAGAGCTGCGTGGGAAGCAAAGAGCGGGCGGTCGTGGCTCTTCGCTAGATTCGGTTTCACTCCTCAGCTCATCATCTGTTGATATCCCCGGTCGCATACACCTTTCACCATCGGCCGTGCTCTCAGTCCTCCTCTGCTGTACCACCATCCGCACCCCTCCTCTCTATGCACTTCTCTCTCTTCCTCTCGCATCCCTTCTTGCACGCCTCCGCCGTCTGGGCTGCTCGCTCAGACGGCTGGCGCCTTCGCCACCTGACCATGCCTGTACCACCCCTTCGCGCGCCTCGCCAATGCACCTTGAAGTCTGTCCGCTGCAAACGTGTCTGATTCGACTGTCTATGATGAAACTACACGCCGACACCGCCGTCTGCCTGCGTGCCCTCGTCAGTCCGCTTTGGCTCGACGCCAAGCATGGACAGGATGACGGCGCCTATCCGCTTGCCGTCGTGCGGCAGCGGTGCTCTCCGTAGGCCCTCGTCGCGGTCCGGACCCGAGATGGCGCCCATCTCGCTGCGTGCATCGATGAGCGTCGTGACAATCTCCTCGTCGAACTCCGGGTGGCCCTGCACGGTCAGCACCTGCAGGCTGCGCGCGGGAGCAGGGCCTGACGAGTCCGTTGCCTCGCCGGTGACGTCGAAGGCAATGTATGCGGACCCGCCGGCCGTCGAAGGCAGCGGCGGCGCATCGGTTGGGTACGGCAGCGCCAGGCCCTGCACCTCGCAGCGCGCCGTTGAGCCGATGTTGAGGAAGTCCGTGCCATTGAACGCCGGCGGCAGCTCAGGTACGATGTCACGATGGACCTGATGGATGTGCTGCGCGAGGAGCATCATCAGCTGCAGGACTAGGCCGTCGTACGAGCGCATCCGCACCATGTGCTGCTCCCTCTCGGCATAGCCCAGGTACTCTTGGCCTTCAGGCGTGAGCTCCACGTCGTACACGCCGATCTCGAAGCCCTTCTCGTTGAGCTTTACCTCGCCGTCAAAGGCGCGCGCGATGATCTGGTGCCCGTAGCAGATGCCAATGACTGGACGCACAGCAGGATGAGCTCTCGGCACAGTGGTTGTCCGGCTGGAGGTACTCACTGCGCACGAGCGGGTGGTTCTCAGCCAGGCTCCGCAGCCAGCTGGCAAGTCCAGTCGTCCATTCGAGGTCCAGGTACGCGGAAGACGCTGGAGAGGTATGTGTGAGGCTAGCCCAGCTCTACATCACTTCAGCCACACGCACCCGAGCCCGTGACGATGACGGCGTCCCAGAGGCCGTCGGCCAGCTGTCCCTCGTCGGGAAACTCGCGCTTGTGCACGACGTCGAACGGCCGGATGTGCAGCTCGACCTTGTCCTGCCACGCATGGCGCGGCACGGCGGCGAGCGCGCGCTGCAGGAAGTCTGGGTAGATGGTGAGGTAGTCGCCGCGCTTGGCCACGACGGGCTCGGGCGGCGTGTCTGCGACGAGCAGCGCGATGGAGATTGTCTTGCTCGGCATGCTGTTGCTGCTTGCTGTTGTGGAAGAACGGCAAGGGTGATAAGGCGAGGCGCGTCAGTGGCAGGTGGCAGAGGCTAACGCAGCTTGCCGCAGGTGCACCTTGAGCCGCGGCTAATCTCAGCCTGCGGGGGTGCGGCTCCGACACGTCAGCCGCTGCTCCACTTGTCTGCTCACCACCACCTCGTCTCGCCACCTTTTCTGCAAGTGCTCCGTCGCCGACTCGCTGCGCCTCTCTGCTCGGCTGCGAAAGCATGTCGCCGCCGCGGCGTGCGCCCGCGCCGAGCGGCGGCAGCACCGGCGCTGCTGAGCGCGATGCCCGCCACGCCTCGCTTGCCGCGTCCATCCCGGCGCTGCGCACCCTCGCCGCCGCTCCTGTCGCTGCTGCACCGCTCTCGCTGTCCGAGCGCCTGTCGCGCGCACGCATCGAGGACCGCCGGCGCGTTCGCAACGCCGAGGCACAGGAGGCCGCGGACGCTGGCGCCTCGCTCCCCGGTCCCAGCCGCCCGGCAGCCTCGCTCGCCGGGCCAGGCGCAGCGTACCTGGCTTCGCTGGCTGCCCAGCCGCTGCGCGAGGAGGCGCTCGACCGCGCGCGAGCCGAGCGCGATATTCGGCGGACCTTTGCCGGGCCTGTGCCGCGAGGCTGGGGTAGCGACCTGCATCCGCTTCTGGCTGGACGAGAGGCTGCTGCCAGAGAGGCAGAGCGTGCTTGCCGGGACGCACCTCCACATGCAGCGCGGCGCCGCAAGTCGCAGCGGCGAGAGGATGTAGAACGCTCGGCAGGCCAGGCTGAGCTCGAGGAGAATGGGCCAGAAGAGCTCATGACCACACGCTGGGCTCTTGGAGATGACCTTGACGGCGAGAGCTCATCGGGACGTGCAGTGAGTGCTCGAGGCATGGCCCGATGGCTACGCGCTTGCAGAGGCTGACGAATGGCAGCAGGCGCTTCCATCGTTGTCGGATCTCGTGCTCATCTCCATTGCTCGGTCGATGTCGGTCGATGCTACGTCCGAAGCGGCCAGCGTGGCAAGAGACCTGCCGACGCACATGTGCCAGCGGCTCATGGCGCTGTGCGGTCGTCTTGCTCGTGCGCCTCCACTGAGCGACGCGAGTGTACGACTGCTGCTGCTCGACGAGGACTACGCGGCTTTGGATGCCGGGCAGAGCGATTCTGAGTCCTCCGACGACGACTGGGACGCTGCAGAGCCATCGTCAGACTGTCCGAGCTCGCTCGATCTCTCCTACAGCTCGTTGCGGGCATCTACGTTGCGAGCGCTCGTTGGCACGTCACGGGCGCCGGCCGTCTATCTGCGCTCGCTCTCGTTGGCCGGCACATCACTGCCGCTCGTGCGAGCGCTCGCTCAGGCGCCGAATCTTGAAGTGCTGTCGCTCGCCGACTGCTCCACAGCCATTCTCTCGCTCCCGCCGCAGACGCCAGACGCAGAGCTTGGGCTAGCCTTGCGGAAGCTGACGCGTGCGACGCCAAAGCTTCGCACGCTCGACCTGTCCGTCGAGTGGGCAAGTCCTGGCGTGGTGCGAGCCGTCGCATGGTGGGACGCGGAGCGCAAGCGCCGGCCAGAGTGGAGCGAGCTGCAGTCGCTCGTGCTGCACACGTCCCGCTACGCCTCATCGCAGACAGTTGAGCCGAATGACGAAGCAGAGCAGCTCAGGGCAGCCGGTCCCTGGGCTGGGCCAGCGCACGCCGCCGTGTTCCGGCAGTACATCATGGGCCGGGACCAGTCGGCGCCACAGCCGTCCGTCAACGCACGCCGTGCTCGCTTCGCAGAACACGTGCACTCGACTTCGCAGGCGGACCCGTGGCTGGCAGGCGATCCTTTCGCCGACGCACCAGCCGTACCAGGTGATCGCCCGGCATCGTCGTCTTCGCCGAAGAAGGCCTTGCCGAAGCACGAGATCGAGCGAGCGCGCGTGCTGGATGCCCTGTGGGGCCGTCGCACGTACGGCTGCGGTGTCGGCCGGCCCTCAGCCGAGGTGTACTTCTAGTCGAGGCGCGCTCTCTCCTCATTGTACTCTAGCCCAAGCGAAGCATCACGTTCTATCTGCATTGCGCGCCCTACAATCGTGTCCGCCATGCTCGCCATAAAGGCCAGAGCGCGCCGAGGGCAGCGACGCCTGCGGCTGCGGCAATGGCGAATGAGGGCTGATAACATGCCGCGCCGCTGGTGCACAGTGCACCGCCAACGGTCTCGCCGCTCGCTGCGCCGGACGACGCGTCTTGTCGTGCTGCAACTGAGTCGGAGACGGCGGCGAACAGCAGCGAGAAGCCGAGCGAGCCGGCGGCGGCTGCGTAGGTCATCGTGCCCTGTGGATGACGCGTGAGCGGAGAGCGTTAAGGGACGTGGAGTTTGTGCACGCACCCAGTTGCGGCCGAAGCGCGATGGGCCCCAGGCGATGAGGATCGTTGAGGGCACGACAGTGAAGACCATGCCGTACTTCGTGCGGGGTCAGCCGGTGCAGCTTGCCGACGTCTAGCTGCAGACTCACGCCCAAGCCCGTCAGAGCGCATACGACGGCCAGACCAGAGATGCTGCGCATCGCCGTGGCAGCATAGACAAAGGCGGCGAGCAGCAGCACTTGCGCGCCCATGACGAAGGTGACGCGCGAGACGCGCAAGCGAGCAGCCGCGCGCAGTGCCTTGCCGTGCCTGGTGCTGCTCGAGGAGCGCGCATAGGCGGAGAGAGGGCGAGAAGGGCAGAGCAGGTCCGTCAGGAGACCCGAGAGCAGGCGCGCGATAGTGTTGGTGATGGCTGCAGCATGCTTCTGTCAGCAGGTCCTAGGCAGGGAGAGGCCTCGCATGCTCACCGATGATGCCAACCAGCCTGGCGCGCACGCGCAGCTCCTCACGGCCCACCTCGGGATCCGAGGTGCCGTCGAGCGTGTGCATCGACATGATGCTGACGACGATGGAGCCGACGGAGCTCATGAGCATCTCTGCGCCGCCGGCAGAGCTGAACACGAGCAGACACATGAGCAGGAAGCCCGGCGACTTGACGTAGCCGCCAAGGTTGTGGTGCTCTGCGCCGAGGTAAGGCAGCGGACCCGAGGCCTGTGTCTCTGTAGCGCCTGACCGCAATAGCGGCGTCTGCTCCTCGTCTGCTGCTGCAGCGACAGATGCCGGAGCATCCTTGCGTCGTGGCGCTCCGCCCATGGCAAAGGCGCCGAGGACATTGACCACGGCGAGCATGGCGCCGAGGAAGGCGAGGAAGTGCGCAGCATCGAGATCGCCCGTCTCCACATCGGTGAAGGTTGGCAGCGCGGCAAGCTGCGTCAGGAAGAGCGACGAGAGACTGAACACCGTGCTCGGCAGCGATAGCGCCAGCGACGGGTGCGAAGGGAAGTAGGCCGCCGCGCTCGTGAGGCACGCAAAGAAGCTGCGCGCATGTGGTCAGCAGGGACATGCTGAGCACGCCAGGTATGCTGCGAGCTTCGAGCTTATCGGTCCTCAGCGTACTCACCTAGCGGCCACACCAGCGCCCACCAGCAAGAAGTAGCCCGTCATGAGCGCAGCCGCACCGGGCGTTGCCGTGCCCAACCGCAGCGCATCGCGGTCCGCACTGGCCATGAGCGCATAACCGAGGCCAAAGAGCGCCGCCGCAGCGAGGCACAATGGCCGTGGCCCACGATGATCGGCCAGAGCACCCCACGGCGCAGCCGAGAAGTACTCGCCGACGACGGCGCCCGCCCAGACGGTGTTTGTCTGCGGCAGCGTCAGTCAAGCGCCCGGCGCAGCAAGCAGCGCAGCAGCATGGCGCACCTGAGTCAGCGTGAGGCCGAGGTCGCGCGTCAGATTGGGTGCAAAGAGCGGGAAGACGAAGATGGAGCCGGCTGTGAGGGCGACGACGAAAATGGCGGCGGCAGCGACGCAGCGGCGGGCCAGAGAGGGCAACGCCGCGGGCGGCGCCTCGGCGGGCGCGCCGCCATCGTGCGACGCAGGTGCAGGCATGCTGCAGCGCACAGCGGGCGAGAGCAAATGTCGGCGAGTGAGGTGAGATCGTGGTGGTGGTCGTGAGCAAGACTGTGAGGCCGTGCTGTATGCGTCGTGTATGCCCGCGCTGCCGGATGTCGCGCCGCGTGGGCGTGTGGAGGCGGTGCGCCAGTGGCCGCTCAGGGGCCGGCGCCTGGCAAGGCTGACCTCGGCTGCGGTGCTCGCACTCGCTGTTGCTGGCCGGCAGAGTGATTGCACAAGGGTGAGCAGGTGGAGCGAGACTGAGGAGTGTCAGGATCGGGAGACAGGCAGCGTCAGGGTCCGGCGCTGACTCGACGGCGGGCATGTGGGACAGGAGGCGTCTGGCGCCGTCGCGCTAACAAAGCGGTGGCTGACGTGCTGCTGCGCCCGCGCCGCGCGCGCCGCGCCGCTCGCCGTGCTCGGCGCATGCGGCGGCAGCGGCAGCGCGTGCATAGAGAGCGGCTGGGCCGACGTTGCCCTTCGAGCTCGTGGAACAGACTTATGGACACAGCATGGCATGCCGAGGCTGCCCACAGCAGCGCATAGACTTGAACGATCTTCATTGGAGTCGAGTGCGGTGGGGATGGGGGTGGGCGTGCACGGAGCAAGGAAGAGAGGAGCGGGAGTGAGGGAATGCCAGGCTGAGCACCGATGCACGATCCTGCGAGCCGCGACGAGAGGGCGCTCGCGACAGGCAGTGACAGACGCACGGGCGCAAGACTGGCGAAGAGACCGCAGCTGCGGCGTGAAGAAAGGGCGTCCGAGGCGCAGCTGCACCGCTCGCAGCACCAGCGGCCCTGCTAGCTGCGCCCGGCCGCCGCGATGGGCGAGTGTGATCTGATTTACTTGAGCTCGCACTGGGACAGAGAGGTGAGCGAAGGCAGGCGGTAAGGCAATGCGCACCTCCACTCACGCCGGGCGCGTCCTGCACACGGGTGTTGAGGATCAGGGCAACGATGAGGCCGTACAGACCCAGCACCTCGGCGACTGCGGGAGGGCGCGTGAGCATGCGTGCGTAGCTGACGGGCTCCGCAGCACTCACAAATGAGGATAAGAATCTGGCGGACGCGAGGAAGAATGCAGGCGTCAGCGGCAAGAACAGCACAGAGGGCTGGCAGTCGGCGAGGTCGTTGCTCGCGTACGCCATGGTCCTCGCAGAGCGACACGCTTTGTCGAATCGCGCTGCGCCACATGCGCAACGCAGCATCCCTTCCGCAGATAGACGGGCCCGAGGCGAGACAACACCTGAAGAAGCCACGCAAGCGATCCTGCAGCCTCAATGCTGGTCCGAGCGCGAGCAGCATTCGTCCCGATGCCAATCGCGGCTGTGCACAGGCTTCTTCGACTCCACCGCTGCGTACTCGAGGCCCTCGCGAGCGCACACGAGCCGCGATCGACTCATCCTCACAGCCCAGCCTCTCCACCAGCAAGCCACAATCGCAGTGTGCCCGCTCACTCCGCACGCCACTCACCATGCCGATGAAGAGACGCGGCTGCTGCGCGGTGCCGCGCACACCTGCGTCACCGACGATGCCGATGGCGAAGCCAGCGGCGAGACCGGCCAGGCCGACGGAGAGACCGGCGCCGAGCTGGATGAAGCCGGCGTACAGGCTCATCGGCGACTTGACTGGAGAGCGCGCGCGATGCTGCATCAGCACGATTTGTAACTTGCGAGCAGCTGTCTGCAGGGCCACTCACTGTCGCCGGAGATGAGCACCGAGACGACGAGGCCGTAAATGGCAATGATACCAGCCATGATGACGGGGATAATGCACTTGATCAGCAGGTCCGGGCGCAGCACACCCATGGCCGAAATGCCGACGCCCGACTTAGACGTGCCGTACGAGGCACCGAGGCCTGTGCGCAGGCGGGCTCAGCTAGGCCTCGCAAGGGTTGCACATGCGGCGACTTACAGGTGAAGACGATGGCGGCCGTGCAGCCCATAGCTGGAGAGCGAGCGGTGTGAGCAGCGATGCCGCTAGGTGCAGCGATGCGATTGAGGGGCGCCGATGGTGCGGGCACCGCTGGCCAAGGCGGGCAGCGTGCATCGGACGCTGGGCGACTCATGCGCTTACTCACCGCCGAAGAACGGTGCGTAGACCGGGCAGAGCTCGGTGTTGATCTCAGACATGGCGAAGGCGGGGGCTGTGGCGAGAAAGAGGAGCGGAGGGCAGGAGGCGGTGCGCGAAGAAGGAGCGGGTCAGTGCGCTGTGTGCTGGCAGGGTGGCAGCTCGGCGCAGCGCTGCGACGAGTGTACGGCCGTGACAAGCACCGTGCGCTGCGCCGAGCGAGTGCTGCTGCGACTCACGAGGGTGAAGGTGAGGGCGAAGGAGTGAGGTGCGGTGAGGTGCGGTGAGAGATGCAGCGAGAGTGAGCGAACGATCGAGGTCGAGAGCGGCCCGCCGCGGCGCGCGCGGCCGCCTCAGCGACGACGCCGCCGTGCACGCTGGCTGGCGCACCGCGAGCTGCACGTGCGCGCCTCCTGCTGGCGCGCCGAGGCGGCTGCGCAGCCGCGCCACGCCCGCACCTCGTCCATTCCCCTAACAACGTCAGGCGACCCCAGTAAGAGTCAAAGCAGCATGCTGTGTGTCCTCGTGCTGAACACGAAGAGCAGGCTTGCTTGACGGTCGTCGCCGCCTGAGACAGCGGCGCATGGCTGCAGCACCGCACGGCAGTAGCAGCTGCGCCGCCTCGATTAGGTCCTGCCGCTCCCACGCTCACCGGCTGCTGCAGCACCGCCGCCGTCCTCCCTCCGAGCGAGTGTCCGCCGTTACAGCTGACCCGACCACGACTTCAAGGCAGAGGAAAAGCGACCCGAGGCTTCATATCAGCAGGATCTCAAGACATAGGTCCGAAGCCTCTCCGAGAGAGGTATGCCAGCGAGCGAGGCGGGGCTGGTGCTGGGCTTGGCTGAGAGGCCTGCGGGGCGCCGTCTGCGCGCGCGCACGGGGCAGCGGCGCCGAAGCGGGGCGCCGGTCGAGATAGCAGACCTCGCCTCCAGCCCAGCGTGCAGCAGCCCTCACTTTCCCTCCAGAGCGGCAGGGCTGCTGCAGTCCGCATTGCTTCGTCGTATTTCTGGCACTCCGCAGCTCCATCTCGATGCCTTCTCTGTGTTCTGCGCGCTGGCTTCGAGACGGCGGCAGCAGCAGCAGCAGAGGCTCGTTTCTCCAGGCTTCAGTCGTCCTCGCGTGCTCTGAAGCGGCTGGCGGCGTGCTTGTCTGCGGCTGGGCGCGGCCGGCTGCTTCGTCTGTTCGAAGTGCAGCTCTCTCGAGGCACGGCGCCTCTCTCGCTCGCTGCAGTGCGAGGTTGCGGCGGTGCGGTCATGCGAGCGCGGGCGCCCCTAACGCCCGAGCGTGGGACCACATGGGGCCGCTGCGCCCCTGCCTCGAGCGCACCTCGCCTCTTTTGGGCGCCTCCACGAGCGCTGCTGCTGCTCGCCTGCCTCTCTCGCATCTTGCGTCGCTGTCAGGCACCACAGCAGAAGGTGCTGCGGCGTGCGACTCTCTCTCCAACGCAGAGCGCCGCTGCCGCTGCTGCCGGCTGCTGCTCCTGTCATGCGCACCCTGGCGCAGACTGGGCGCCTGCCGGTGCCGGAGCTGCCTGGCCGGCTCAGTGCGCCCACCGCACGCACGCAGCTAGCAGCATGACCCACAGCGGCGTACGACGACGCAAAGTGACGATCGCGATGGCCTCGGTGAGAGGACGGCCTCTGCTGCCGGCGCGCAGCGGCGGGCGAGGATAAAGGGCGCGGCGAGGAGGTGCGCGCTGCGCTGCCCGCCTGCGCCGGCCGTGCTGCGCCCGAGCTGCAGGCAAGCAAGAGCAGCCCAGCCGGCCCGATCAGGCGAGCCCACCACGAGCTGGGCCCACATCATCTGCTGCTCGCCGGGCCCACTCCCTCCGTCCCGACCACCACCACCCGCACCCCGGCGCCGCTGTCTGAGCCCGGCTCTCTGCCGTGCCCCTGCGTGCCTGCTCGTCACCCAGCGCGCTCACCCTCGACCCCGCCTCCACACCCGCGCTGCGCGTCAGACCCCGCGCAGTCCAACACCGCCGCCGAGCCCCTGCAGCTCACCGCCGCGCCGCGCCTATCTCTCGGGCCGTTGCTGCGCACTCGCCTCGCAAGCAGCGCGCGCACACCTCGCCGCCTCATCGGCCAACAGTGTCCATCTCACTCCACCACCACCTCGCAGCCGCCATGTCGTCGGCCGCGCAGCCTCGCGGCGCCGAGGCGTCGGCCACCGGCAGCCTTATCGCGCCCACGGGCACCAAGTACCGCTCGGGCGGCGGCCTCGTGCAGATGCACTACTCGGCCTCGGCGCGCCACAAGGATGCGTCCCTCAGCACCTTCCGCCCGGCCACGCTCGCGCACCGCCTGTCATACCGCAGCAAGGTCGTCACCTTCTCGTCGAGCCAGCCGCGCACGTCGCTGCGGCGCGCGCAGTCGGGCATGTCCTCTGAGCTACTGCCCGAGCGCGCCAGCTCCACGGCCGCCACGCGCAACTTTCTCACCAAGACGATGAGCCGCATGCATGCCTCGCTCGTCTGGATCGACGGCCGCCCGGCACTCATCGACCACGCCTCGACGCACGGCACCTTCGTCGCGCGCGTGCGCGCCACGCAGAGCCCCGACCACATCTGGGCCGCGCGTGTGCCCAACGCCGCGTCGGCGCGCCTCGAGCCTGAGAAGCCTTTCGTCCTCGAGGACGGCGACCTCGTCACGCTCGGCAAGGACGTCATGCGCGACGGCAAGCTGCACCAGGCCGTGCGCGCCTTTGTGAGTGGCAGGGCCTTATCATGGCGCGCTGGGGCACTCTGTACACGCCTACGGTCCGAGCTGACTGAATCCTTTGCCAGGTGAGCGTGCAGACGGCTCCGGAGCAGATCAGCGCTGCGGAAGGCGCGGCTGCAAGTGCTCGTGCGGACCCGTCTCTCCGCAGCTTCTTCACCGCAACCAAGGCATCGGCCAGCAGCGCAGCGGCGACCGCCAAGAATCCTACGCGCCGCTACGGTCTGGACTCGATCGAGGTCTCGGAGGACGAGTGGGCCGAAGAGACCGATCCGGCCGGCGAGGCTGTTGTGCGCCAGGCCTCTGTGAGCGCAGGATCGGACGTCGTCTCTGTGGCGAGCGACTTGGTCAACGTCGATGCGCGCGGCTCGTCTCGCTCGCGCTCGCCGTCGCAGAGCGATGGCCTCTCGGGCGACGAGGAGTCTCAGCCTCAGATTGGCGCCGCGGTGCTGTCCTTCGATGAAGCCGGACGCTTGAAGGTCTCGCTGGTCAAGGCCGAGCCGCTCTCCGAGCCAGGTCTGAGCGACAATGATCTGACGGGCTCGGAGACTGCGTCTGCGCTCAACGACGCCATCGTCAAGAGCGAGAAGGCAACGTCCGCCGTCAAGGGCTCGGCCAGCAAGAAGGCGCTAGTCGATCCGCTCTTCGGAACAAGCCGCCGTCTCGTTCTCAGCCGCTACATGGGAGAGCTGCCCGAGCAGAAGCGTGTCGTACACAGCAAGGCAGGCAACGACGGCGCTGCGCGGCTCGGTGACGACACCATCGACGACGGCAACGCGCCGGCGGACATCTCCTTCGTTCGCGCCGACGCCGAGTCGGATGCTGCACTCGACGAAGAGGACCAGCAATCCAGCGCCATGGAGGCGGAAAGCGCCTCGGAGGCGGAGCTGGACGACGAGCTCGAAGACGAAGAGCTCGACGAGGAGCTCGAGGAGGAGGATCTCGACGACGAGCACGACGACTTCGACGCCAACGCGCTCGACGCTGATGAGCTCTACGCGAATGATGTCGCCAGCGAGCAGCCCGACGACTGCGAGGAGCCGGCGCAGTATGATGAGGAGGGATACGATGTCGAGGAGCTGGCGGATGAGGACGCGGCTGCGGAGGCAGATGCAGTCGCCGAGAACGACGGCGAGGACCTGCCAGCCGCCGAGAGCGAGAGCGCCGACGACGACGCCGCCGCCGCCGAGGAGGAGCCGTTCGATGACCAAATCTGGCGGGAGCTGAAGCCTCCGTGCGACTGCGACGCGTGCCTCTCCGATCACGAGTGTCCCGAGGACGAGCAAGAGGAGGAAGCAGAGGAGGAGGAGGAGGCGGTCGTCGACAATGGCAGCGAGGTGTCCGAGGAGGACGTCGCGTCGTGCGACTGCTCGGAGTGCGCCGACGCGCTGAGCGACAGCGAGGAGGAGGACGATGAGCAGTCCGAGGAGGACGCGGCAGACGAGCCAGGAACTCCCGAGAGCGTGAGTCTGCACCGACCTGCCAGGCTTGCCGCTCGCTGACCGCTTTTTCCGTCATCGCAGAGCAAGCACGACTGCCAGTCGGCGGCCGACGACGCGTACGCGGCCCATCTCGCGGCTGGAGGCGCTAGGGACGTACTCCATGAGGCACAGCTGGCCACGTGGCGCGACGACGACATCGCCAGTCTCGCTGCGTGGAAGTCCATGCGTAAGCACGCCCGCAAGAGCGCACAACAGCAGCGGACACACGAGGCCGAAGAGCTTTCTGGTGATGCGGAAGTTGAGCCCAACGCCGGTGCCAGTGTCGCGCAGGAGGTGAGTCTGGCAGCCCGACGAAGACATGCGCTTCGTGCTGACGATACATGTTGCACCGCAGGACGCTTCGGTGGAAGCTCCTTCACTGGACACTCCGCGGATGGACACTCCTTCGCTGAACACCTCTTCGCTCGCAACTCCGAAGCCCGAGGTAAGCGAGACGAGCTGCCCCGCAGTGGTGAGCACATCGCCAGCACACGTCCGTGGTCTGCGACTGACCGGCTCACCAGCAGGCCGGAGTCAAGCGCTCGCTCGACGACATGGAGAACGAGGAGAGCGCCGCGCCGGAGGCGAGCGGTAACTCTCCGGCGAGCGACAACTCCGAGGTCGTCCCGCAGGCGTCCGCCACCGCTGCCGCGAGCGATGTGGCTGCTCGCCCCAGCAAGCGTGCTCGCCGCATCGCCGCCGCTCGCAACTTCGCCGCCGGCGCTGCCATTGGAGCCCTTGGGTGAGTGCCTGTCTCGTCATCCTGCCCGTCAGCGGATAGCTCACTGTCGACTTCTCTTTCACAGCACATTCCTCGGTCTGGCACGCCTCGGCCGCTCCTACGAGTGAGCGCACGCCATCAAAGCGGCGCCTCGCCAAACTTCTCTTGAGCTCTGCACACGCGTGGCGCTCGACGCCACCTAACGACCCACCCTTCTCGCACATGGCTTCTCGGTTCTGGATGACACGACCGCGCTCCTTCACATCTCTTGTTCGGCAGCCGTCTTCTCTCTCAGCCTCACACCTCGCGTCACCCCTCGGTCCCTCTACACATATATACTCCTCGCTCGCGCCTCTCACATTCACCACTCCTGTATCGACTAGCTCTCTGGCTCCCTCTCTCTTTCTCATTCAGACGTGGTCCTCGAAGGCGCGGCACGCTTGGCGAGTGTCACATGAGAGGACCTTCTGGTCGCCTATCGAGCGCTTCGGGCCGGCGGGCCGGCAGTTCCTGCCAATCAGGGCAGCTTGAGCTGAGCTAGTGCCGGCCGGACAGGCACGCAAATTGAGGCACCGTCATCTCCTCAGCCCGTGCAGGCACAGAGGAGGTGGCTGCGCTGCGCCCTGGACGACGAGCACCGTCCTTGTCTCGCGACGCCGTCCGTAGGCACGCGCGTGCACGCCGCGATGGTCTGCTCTCCTGATGCTGTCATGGGCATCGCGGCGGCGCGGACAAGGCGGCAGCGAGGTGCCAAAGAGGTGCCTGTGACGTGTCGGGGAGCCCGCGGCGGACGATGAGCAGGCCACCGGTGTCAGTGCTGACCCTCTCATCCATGCGCCCGCCTTGCCAAGCCCTGTTCGAGCGCCAACGGCCTAAATTGAGCGCCAACGGCTCGCCGTGCCGAACAACAAAAGAAGCGCGGCACCGGCGTCAGCAACAGCAGCACCAGCTACGAGGCGAGGACGGCAGCGAATGTGCGGATGTGCAGCGATAGCCGTGCCTCTCAGGGGCGAGCACCTCACGGCGCTGACCACACACAGGGGCTCAGAGTGCTACGCCCGCATATGGGCGCAATGAACCCGGCGATGGCACGGATACACGGGCCGGATGCTCAGCCCCGAGCAGGCACGGGCCTGACCGTCGCGGGCAGCAGCAGCGGCGAGAAGAGGTACTTAAGGCGACCCACCTGCGCTCTCGCCGTCCGTGCCCGCTATCTCTCGCCTCAGCCAAGCCCAGCCCAACCCGTCCAAGACTTCTCCTCCAGCCAACATGCCGTCCGCCGCCGACACATACTACTCTGCCGAGGCGTGGAACACGCACGCGCCCGACTACCAGCACCGCTTCTCGCTCGGCCCGCTCTCGCTCGTCGCCGAGCACATCTTCCCCAAGCTCGACGCCGCGCTCGAGCAGGCCAGCGAGGCCGAGGCGCTGCGCGTCTTCATCGGCGCCGGCGGCGACGGCGCCGAGGTGGCGCTCATCGCCATGCACTACGCCGCCGGCTCGGGCCGCGAGCACCTCGGCAAGAAGCTGCAGATCGTCTCGACGGACTTTGCGTCGGCCATGACGGAGAAGGCCACCAAGGCGCTGCAGGAGCGTGCGCCGGCCATCGCTGCCAGCGGCCAAATCAAGTTCATCGTGAGTGAGGATCGGTCCGGCGTCATGCGCAGAGGCTGACCACCATGCTTGCAGACTGCCGACGTGCAGGCCCTCGGCCCGGACTTCGCCGACGAGTCATTCCACCTCTCGCTCTTCACCTTCGGCCCGGCATACGTCAAGGACCCGGAGGCTGGTACGTCTGGCCGTGTGCATGTCCTCGACCGTACATGCTGACCACGCACTTGCACAGCCTTTAAGGAGATCCGCCGCATCACCAAGCCAGGCGGCCGCATCATCACGCTGAGCTGGAAGACGATGAGCCTCATCGACGATGCCGACCGCGCGCGCCGCATGATCCTCGGGGAGGACACGCCGTCGGTGTACGGCACGCTCGTGGGCAAGTGGGGCGACGAGGCGCACAACAAGGCCGTGCTCGCGGCCGCCGGCTTCGCCGAGATCGAGGCCAAGACGTTCGAGATCACGCTCGAGGGCACGGTGAGTCCGTCGTGTGCGTCTCTGCGAGGGCGAGTGCTGATGCTCTGCGACACCAGGACCTCGTGGAGGACTCGCTCGAGGGCCTCGAGGCGGCACAGCGGAGCGCCGACAGCTCGCCGGCCATCGCAGTGCTCACCGACGGCCTGACGGCGGAGCAGCGCATCCAGCTCAAGGTCGCGAGACAGAAGAAGCTCCAGGAGAACAACGTCACGCTGGCGACGGTAAGTGTGCTAGCGCCCGTCCCTCAGCTGCTTCACTCACTCATGCCTTCCGCAGGCCAAGGTCACGGGCACCCTCGTCGTGGCTCACGGCATCGCCGCTTGAGCCAAACGCGCTGTGCAGCTCTGTACTGTTATGCTCATGCTCGAGCAATATATCTTCATCGTGTCTGACTCGCGTGTCATTGCCTCTTCTTGCCGCCGCGAGTCGCGTCTGAGTCGAGCCTGGCCCACAGCTCATCCTCCCAGCGATCTGTGAAGGCCTTGGTGCCGAACGTCGCCACTGCCCGTGCGCGAGCGCGCTTGCGGATGGCGAGCACCTCGTCCGGCGGCGTGCTCACAATGCGAATGAGCTCAGCGGCGAACGCGGCCGGCTCGTCGGCATGAAAGCCAGTCGGTCCAGCGTCTGTCTTGACGGCGATGTCGAGCAGCGGTCCAGCCGATGCGTGGGAGAGCGTGACGAGGCCCGCTGCCATGAACTCGACGACGTTGATGCCAAAGTGTTCGTCGCGCATCGTGCTGAGGCCGATGCTGGCGCGCGACAGACGCTCGATCACCTCGGAGTACGGCGCATTGACGACGAACTCGACGTGCTCGTCGAGCCGCAGCTCCGTCGCGAGCGCTCGAAGTGAGGCGATGCGCTCCTCATCTGATGCATCGCGGGAGCTGCCCATCAGCACGAGGTGCAGAGGCAGGTCTGGCTTCTTGTCCAGAGCGAGACGGAGCAGGCGCAGCTGCGTCGCGTGCTCCTTCTCTGGGCGAAACTGAGCGAGTGACACTACCGCTCCGGGTTGCCGACCCTCGAGCGGCAGACTCGAGAGGCTGCCCGTGTCGCAGGGCGGGTATACGACAGCAGTGCTGCCTTTTGGCCTCGAAGTGAGAGTGTCGAGATGCGCGGCAGTCCAGCTGCCGTTGGCGACGAGCACGTCTGCGCGGCGCAGAGCAAACGAGTACGCGAAGGCAAAGAGGCGGTAGTACAGCAGCTTCGCCCTGCTGCGCCACGAGCTTGCTGCGACCGAGGCCGAGTTGGTGTGGCTGGCTGCGCGTGTCTCGACGCGCTGGATCATGTCGGTGCTGATCGTCGGATAGTGCACGTATGCACCAATACGCGTCTTGGACGAGAAGGAGCGCACAAGTGGGTAGACGAATGCGTAGCCCATCGTGTCTGCCATGCATGGTCAGCGCCGGCCAGTCAAGGCACGTCTGACTGCTGCTCACCGCACCAGACGTCCGGGATGCACTCGCCCAGCGCCTCGAGGCCCATCTTGACGCTGCCCCAGCTCTGGCCCAGCAGCGTGAGGCGCCGCCAGTACTTGTCGCCGACCATGCTGCGCGAGCGCAGCGGCACGAAGCGGATCTGCGAACGGCGCGAATGCGATGCGAGCGGGATGGCAAAGCGGGCCTAGCAGTGCAGAGCGTCAGTTCACGCTGAGCCAAGCCCACGCCAGGTGCGCTCTGGCAGAGCCTCACGCCCGACTCACACTGCATCGCTCGAGGATGTCGTCGCCCGTCGCGCGGCCCATCTCCGACCACGGCGGCGGTGGCGGCACATGCAAGCTGTTCTCGCGTCCCACATCACCCGTGTACACGACGAGCAGGTGGTCGGGATGCTCGTCGAGGTGGTGCAGCAGCGCCTGGAAGAGGACACGCTCGCCGCCTCCACCTGCGTTGCTGCGCGCGCATCAGGCGGTCAGCCGCCAGGCCGTCGCAGAGCCGGCTCGCAGCACGCACCAGTACGGATGGAAGAAGCCGACGACGGTGGGGCAGTCGGCCTTGCTGACGCCGGCGTCGGCGTAGAGCTTGGCGCGGCGCTTGCGGTTCGTCTTGCGCACGCGCGTGACGTGGGCGCTGAGCAGCTGCGCGGTGAGCACGGCGAGGGAGAAGGCGCCGAGCAGCGCGGCGAGGAGCACCGACTGCCACCAGGGCACGGGAGAGGCCCGCGGCATGGCGGGTGCGCGGGTGAGTGAGGGTGTGGAGGAGAAGAACGAGCGAGGCTGGAGGAGCACGGAGAGCAGCGCACGCTTCGGGCGCACGGACCGAAGCGCCGAAGCGCGCTAGGCTCCGGGAGCACGCCGGCCCGGAGCGAGCTGGACCCCCGCACCCCCGCATTCTCGCGCTGCCTCCGCCGGCGCTGCACACAGCACCATCATCTCAGCGGCAACATGCGCATCGAGAACACACACGTCCACACACCGCCGCAGCTGGCCGACCCGTGGCGCGCCGACCTGGTGCTGCGCTCGCTGCTGGCGCGCCACCTCGCCGCCCTGGCGCCGCCGCAGCTGGCGCCCGAGCTGCTCGGCCGTCTGGCACGTCTCGGTCAGCAGGCCAAGGACGAGCTGCGCCCCGCCGCTGCGCTGCTCAACCGTCCCGGCGCCGAGCCGCTGCTGCTGCAGTACGACGAGTGGGGGCGCCGCGTCGACGAGGTGCGCACCTCCGAGGGCTGGCGCGCCATTGCGACGTGGTTCGCCGAGCGCGGCATCCCCGGCGAGGCGTACGGCAGCATGGGCCAGGAGCGCTGGCTCAAGACGGAGGAGAGCGCCGGCGGCCCGGGGCGGCTTGGTGCAGCGTGAGTACTGCGCCGATTGTCTGCTGCCCCATCTGCTGATGCGCTCGCAGCACGCGCCTCTACGCCCACGCTCGCACGCACATCGTGTCGGCCGACTCGCACGTGGCTCTCTGCCCAATCTCCATGACGGACGGCGCGATCCTCGTCATTTCCAAGCACGGCACGCCGTCGCAGCAGGAGCGCCTGCTGCCAAAGCTGCTGCACCGCGGCGCCGGCGCCCACTTTGCCGGCCAGTGGATGACGGAACGCACGGGCGGCAGCGACGTTGCGTTGACGGAGACGTCTGCGAAGAAGCTCGGCGACGGCGATGGCAAGGCGGGAGACCTGTAGTGAGTGTGTGCGCTGACGGCCGCCCGTCTGTCGGCTGACGAGGCCGCGCAGCCTCCTCGATGGCTTCAAGTGGTTCGCTAGTGCAGCAGACGGACACATCGCACTGGCCCTCGCTCGCACCGATCCCGACAAGTCGCGGGGCGCGCGTGGCCTCTCGCTCTTCATCGTGCCGCTGCGGCGCGAGAACCGGCCGCCGCTGCCGCCGGGCGTCGCGCTGCCGGCGGACAGCGACCCGCACTCGTCGTTCAACGGCATCCGCGTGCACCGCCTCAAGAACAAGCTCGGCACTAAGTTCGTGCCGACTGCCGAGCTCGAGCTCAACGGAGCCGTCGGCGAGCTGGTCGGCGAGCCGGGGCGCGGCGTGGCACTCATCGCCGGAGGTGAGTGCGCTGAGCCTCACCTATGAGCCACCCTGGCTCAAAAGCGCCCGCAGTCCTCAACGTCACGCGCCTCTACTCGTGCTCCGGCTCCGTGGCTGCGCTCAGTCAGGCGCAGCAGTTCGCACGGCAGTACTCGCTGCTGCGGCAGGTGCGAGGCGAGCCGCTGGCCAGTCTGCCGCTGCACATGCGAGGCCTTGCACGCGTGGCCGTCTTGCACGCCGGCCTCTCGGCGTTGCTCTGGCACACGGTCGCCGTGCAGTCGCAGGTGGAGAGCACGCCGGGCCAGCAGCGCCTCGAGAGGCGCGTGCGCCTGCTGACGCCAACGGCGAAGGCATTTGCGGCGGCCAAGGGCACCGAGGGCTTGGCGGTTTGCATCGAGTCCGTTGGCGGACAGGGCTACATGTGAGAGCCCGTCGCTGCGGCCGGCTCACATCATGCTGACAACGCTGCCCAGGCACGAGAGCGTGCTCACCACGCACTTCCGCGACGCGCTCGTGGAGCGGGTGTGGGAAGGCACGCCGTCGGTGCTTGCGCTCGACGTGCACCGCGTCTTCTCGCAGTCGAAAGGCGCTGCGCTCTCGGAGTGGGCCGAGGACACGCTGAAGTCGCTGAAGGCCAGCGCACAGGCGCTGCCGTCGGCGCAGGGCACGAGCGATGGGCTCGTCGCGGCAGTGCGGTCCACGCTCGAGGGCGCCAAGGTGCTGGCCACGGCCGGGCTCGACCTGCGTGCCGCCCGCTCCGTGCTCGACCTGATCGCCGTCTGCACCGGCGGCGAGCAGCTGCTGGCGCACGCCGTCTGGCTGCACGCGGACGGCGGCGATGCCTCGGAAGCGGCGCTCTTCGCCGAGCGCGCCCGCCGCTGGCTCGCCGAGACGGGCGCCCACGAGGCGGCCGAGGAGCTGCGGGCGCGCAGCGATGTGGCGACGGAGCGTGCGATTGCGCTGGGCGGCGAGGAGGCGCTGCTCCAGGCGCGCCTGTGAAGACATACCCTCTGCAACGACGCTGCTGCCATCTGCCTGTCTGAAGGAGGGTCGGGTCGGGAGCACAGATGCGCGGAGGCCGCGGCGGGCGCCCGGAGAGCCTCGCACTCTACGCGTCGCGTCCGCCACGCGTTCAACGCACAGCAGGCACGCCGCCAGTGTGCGCGCATGCGGGCGGCTGCATGCGCTGTTGCGCCGCTGCTGCCCGCTCTCTGAAGTCACCTCGTACCCTTGCCCGTCACCTTCGCATCACCTCCGATCTCGCCACCTGCACCCTGCCCCGCCTCACGTCTCTCACATCCACCGCCGCACACCTCTTCTCCAGCCACTCTCCTCATCGCACCCACACCTCGCACCCTCACTCGCACCCGCCAGCCGCCCCACATGTCGCAGCCCGACGCCTGCGCGCCGTGGTTCGAGGCCAGCCAGGCGGCGCCCAGCAGCCGCCAGGCGCCGTCGCGGCCGCGCAGCGACGTGCGCATGCTGCACGGCTACCCCAGCCCGCCGAACAGCGGCAGCAGCGGCGGCCACGGCGACGCCGAGTGCTGCGCCACGGGCAGCGCCACGGGCGACAGCGACGACCCGTTCCTCGGCCAGCCGAGCGCCGCCAGCGGCCATCCGCACGTTGCCGCCATGGCGCGCCAGCGCGCCAACGCCCGCTACGACCCGCGCTACATGACCTACGTCTTGTGAGTACTGCCCAGTCGCAGCAAGCCCAGCGCATGCTGACGCTGGCTACAACGCTCAGCCGCGGCCAGCGTGTGACATACGCCGCTCCGCCGCTCTCGGACTCGGAGGAGGAGCTCGTGCCGCGCCTGCTCTTCCCCAGCGGCAGCCGCAGCAAGCGTGCTCTGCCCCGCCGCGCCACCGCCTCGCAGGCTGCTCCAGTACTCGCGCCGCAGCGGACGACCCGCACGCGGCAGGCGACAGCCTCGGCGCAGTTCGTCCGGGCCGACCAGTCGAGCAACCCTGCTGCTCGGGCGCGGACCATCGACTCGTCGGCGCCGCGGCCAAACCTCTTCTCGCAGCAAATAGCGGCCAGAGACGCAGCGGCTCGCAGCTCGCGGGAGGCGGGAACTGCGCCCGCCTCGCGCCCGGCATCTTACAGCCTGCACTCCGAGCTGCACGCGCGCATGGCCGCGTGGAGCGACGATGAGGACGACGAGGACGATGGCGCGCACGGCGCACGAGTCGTGCATCTCGACATGGAAGGCGACGCCCACTACGGGCACATCGGCGTGGCGTCGCACGAGCTGAGCTCGGACGAGGAGGAGCGAGGACAGGCCGTGCTGCGCAGCGGACGGCCACGGCCACCGACGAAGCTGCCGCACTGGGAGTCGCAGGAGGTGTTCGAGCGACACGTGCGGCCAGATGACGACGACGACGAGGCACATGCGAAGCGCCGTCGCATCCTTTGACCAGACCCCGCATTTGTATGATACCGCCCGTGGATGACTGCTGCTGCTCAATCAGACACATGACCACGTACATCGCACTCGCTGAGCGTAGAGGGCACGAGATGCGCGTGGAAGGTATGATTGCTCTGGCCGAGACTGTAGTACGCGAAGATGTGAGGCTTAGCCGGGGCCGATCTGCGGGAGGCGACTGGGTCAGTGGAGCCGCAAAGGCTCGTCACGCTGTTGAGACTCACGCGAGGCAGGTCGAAGTGATCGGTCTGGGCTGTGGGCGAGGGCAGCGACTGGTCAGCCTGCGGCGCGGGAACAGCGACGCGCGGCGTCCGGCAACGCACCCTCGAGATACTTGTTGAACTCGTCAACCTTGTCCTTGTGCGAGCGCTTCGCCTCCTTCTTGGCACGGTCCTTCAGCTGCGCAAGCCAAGCAGTCCGTCAGCCACGCGCGACACGACAGGCAGGCTCAGCAGAGCCGGCGTCTGCTTGATCACGGCGAATCCGCCACGTCGCAGCCACCACGACATCCAGCACTGCGACCCTGATCGTACTCACCCGCTTCATGCGCGTCTCCTGGAAGCGCCGCTCGGCATCCGTCATGCTCGACGAGCTGGCCTCGGCCACCGCGCTGCTCGAGCCGGACGCGCCGGCCTCCTGCGCCGCCAGCTCGCGCGCCTCCTCCTCGCCCTGCAGCTCGCCGCCGTCTGTCAGCGCGCGCCGCTCCTTCTCCTTGTGCGCCGACGAGAGCGAGGAGCGCGACTTCTTCTTCTTCGACTTCTTGCTGCAGGCCACGGCGTCAGCCTCGAGGCCTGAGCTGGGCAGGGCGCCACTCACGTCGCGTCGTCGCCGCCCTTGAACTTGAGCGAGCCGCCGGGCTTGAAGGCGTACGCGGACGAGGAGGAGGACGACATGGCGGGCACGGTGTACGTCTTGCGAGAAGGCGACAGAGCGTGGTGGAGAGGAGACAGGCGCGGCGCAGCAGCCGCTCGTCGCCGTGTGGAGCTGGCCGCTGCTCCCACGCTGCGCGTCACGTGGGCGTGCGGAGTCCGACGGGCCGGCTTGCGCCGCCGCTGCGCTGCGCCGCGCGCAGCAGGCACAGGATGAGCCCTTGATCTGGGCTCGGCCGGAGCTGGGCCGCGGCTTGTTCTTTGTGCGGCGTCCACGCCGAGGTCAGCAGGCGGCGCCCTTGGCCTTCTCTCGCACCGGCCGCCACTTTGCGCTCCACGCTCTCCTCTCCCCGCACCTCCCACTGCACCCAGCCTCTGCATCAGCCCGTCGCCTTCTCACTCGCTGCCTCTTCTCAGCACCCGTCGCCTGCTCACCGCGTCGCTCTCACCTCACACCCACGCCCCGCCGGCGCTTCCTCTCGCGCCGTCTCCCACTCCCACCGCGCTGGCCGCCCGTCTGCAGCAGCGCAAGTGCGCTGCGCTGCGCTAGAGCGCGCCCGCCATGCCCGCCTCCATGGCTGCCAAGCTGGCGACGCACTTTGCGCGCTTTGCCGCCAGCGCCGCCCACGGCTCGGCGCGCCATGCCGGCGCCGGCGCCGCGTCGGGCGTGCACCCGGGCGCCAGCAGCACCTGGGCCGGCCTTAGCGGCAGCAGCTCGTCGGGCGCCGGCATCGGCGGCGCCAAGTACCATGCTGGCCGAGGCGCGCATTCGCACTTCACCGTGAGTGCAGCGGGTGGTGCCGGCGCCTTGTGATGTGATCTCACCACTCGCACGTCCACAGAACTCTGGCCGGGCGCTCGCAAACGCGAATGCTGCTGGCTCGCACGACGGCTCCACTGTCCTCGATGAGGAGGAAGAGGCACACCGGCCGGGCTCGTCGCGTCGACTTGACCTCAGTCGTCGTCTGGCCAGCGGCTCGCCGCATCAGCTGCGCCAGCAGCCGCAGCTGCAGCGGAGGCTGCGTGCGACGGCCGGCCGGCCAACCGGGGCGCTGCTCATCGCTGGCACCGTCGACGACATCAGTCTGAACGCGAGCCTGCAACGGCGCTCCGTGTCCGGTCTCGCTGCTGCGGGTATCTATACGCGCACGCGCGGTCTTGCTCTGCCCGCTGCCGTCGAGGATGCTGCTCACGACAGCTTTGGCGGCGCTCGGCCGCGATCACTCACCACCTCGGCCGCTTCCGACGCCCGCGCGTCTCCCGATGCCCAAGGTGCGCAGATGTCTGGCCTTCACATCGGCTCGAGCGGCTGTCCGCCAGCCCCGAGGACGCCGACAGACATTCCCGGCCCAGGAGACGCGGACGTGGAGCAGCTTCTGGCACCGCCGCGCCCGTCACCAGCACGGAAAGACGTCGAGGAGATCCTCCAGCTCCTCACTGCGCCGCAGCGAGACCCAGCCTCTGGGCACCCGACGTCGCTGGAGCACGCAGCCGCACGCATTGCAGCGCTGCCGCCGTCGGAGCAGACCTCAGAGCTGTACGAGAAGCTCTTCGCTGGTGTGCGCGACTTCTATCGCGGCCGGCCTGGTGGGCGCGTCAGCGCGGCCAACAATCTGTCGGACATCTACCGCACAATGATCCAGCACGACTGCATGCCGACACCCAAGACATTCGAACACGTCATCTGCAGCCTTTGCGACGCCGACGCCGAGGACCTTGCACACGGGCGAGCATCCGGCTCTGCCCCAGCACACGCCGGCTTCCGCCTCAACCAGGCGCTCATGCTCCTCTCCGGCGCACATGCCTCGTCGCGCTATCCCGAAAGAGTCGACGCGTACATGGCAGTGCTGCGATCGTGCGCAGCGCGAGGGCGCTACGAAGGCGCGCAGACAGCTGTCCGCCTGATGGATGCAAATGCCGGACTCGAGCGGTTGACGCCCTTGACGGCAGCATATTGCAACCTGCTCGACGCCACATCCGCCGTGGGCTCGTCGAGCGCTCAGCCGGTCTCTGAGAAGGACCTCGCGAACAGGCTTCGGGCGTGCATCTCTATCTATCAAAGGTACGAGAAGCTCGCGCGTGCCAGGGAGCGCTGGACAGAGCCGCGTGCAAGCCGGTTGGGCGACGAGCTCATGCTGGCCCACATGCGCCTCGGCGACGTCCCGGGCGCCCTTCGTCTGCTCGAGGCGCGCACGCAGGAGCGCCACGACTCGCCCTGGGACGGCAAAGCCGCCTCCGCTGCGACGACCAGCGAGACGATGGGCGTCGTCTGCAAGGGCTTCATTGACATTGGCGATCTCGCGTCCGCGTCGATCTGGCTGGAGAAGCTCACGAAGCTCAGCCAGGCGCCGGCAAGCGGCGCTGCCTTCCCGCTGCCGGAGATGGACGTGCTCAGTCGCTACCTCACCGCCCTGACCGGCGGAGACAGCGCGGGACACGACAAGCAAGAGCCCTCGGCGCAGCACGTCACGAGCATACTGCCTCAGCTGCGGGTCGTCAACACGGTCTTCGCAGCCGCGCTGGCGGCTCCTCCCGTCGGATCCGCCGAGTCGAACGAGCTGAATCGCCTCATGGTTCTGCACCAGGTCTTGCGGGCGAACGCGCAGGCTGCCAGCCAGCTGCTTGCGATGGGCCAGCACGACGCGGACGTCGATGCGCTTCTCGATGCCAGCCTGTCCCACATCCACACGTACTACAGCGGCCATGCAGTCCTTCTCGCGCGCACGGCTCGCAATCTCGCCGCCTCGACCCAGGCGTGGCCTGCGGACAAGTGGGTCACAAACCGGCAACATGGCGCCGCGACCAGTGCGCTCTACCTCGCCGCGACGGCCACCGTACTCGTCGAGCGATCACGTCACATGGATGCCGCCTCGGTATTGACGTACGCTGCCCACGCGGTGCCTCAGGTCGAGACGAAGGGCCCGGTCGTTTGGCGTCAACAACGCGACCATGCCGTGCGGGCCGTCCGAGGCGTCGCACTCGACATCCTCGCACCAGCTGCCGAGAGCGCCGTGCCGAGCAAGGTCTTGCTTCTTGCGGCCGTCGAGTACATCTGGCCCGCACTGCGCGAGCACGGCGAGCTGCCGCCACAGATCCTGTCGCGTGTCGCGAGCCTCTACCATCAAGTGTGTGGAGAAGAGGACATCCACGCCGTCGGCCTCACCGAAAGCGCCTGGCCGCGCCTGCTCGATGCCCTGGTGCACGAGGAGGTCACCTCGCGTCCGGTCGACGCGCAGTGGCTGCGCCACCACGGCCTCGTCAAATTCCTCTCGCACGCCTCGAGACTCGCCGCCGACGAGCGACCCTCCCTCACCGCGCAGGCCATCGACGCACTGGCCCAGCGCTACGGTCAGGACGGCTCGGCGATCGCGCAGGAGTACAGCACGGGTAGGCTCCAGGCTAGCGACCCTTCCGAGGCACCTGTGCAGGACGCGCCAGCCTCGGCTCCCGCGGTGCCGGCTGCAGAGACGTCTCACGATGCTCAATCCACCGCGGAGCACGACAGCAGCATCGCATCCTCGCCTCTCTCCTCCGCCGCCACCTCGTTGCCATCGTCCGCGGCGCAGGAAGCCAGCGACCATGCAGCGCCGATGGCGAAGGCTGCTCGTAGCGACGCACCGAAGAAGACGTCAACTGGTGTGGTCGATAAGAAGCTCGGCCTGTGGGTGTCCAGCCGGCTCAACGATGCCGTGGGCAAGATCGGCAGCAAGCGCATTCCGCGCCCGGCCATGAACAACGTCAACAATCTCTGGCGCCTCGTCCAGACGCGTGCCGCCGAAGGCGTGCTGGCTCCTCTGGACGCGCTGCTCGAGCTGCTCAACGTCTTTGGCCGCAACCAGATGCTGCAAGAAGTGCACTCCACGTACCAGATTGCATTGCGCGTGCTTCATCTCTCCGCTCGCAAGGCAGCAAACCGGATCGAACAGCAACAGGAGTTGGATGACGCGATGATCCGTGCGCTGGCGCATGGCGGCGACGTGCCGGCGGCCGCTGCACACCGGCACATCCTCATCAACGGCGGCGGCCGGCCCTCGAGCGACAGCTATGCGGCGCTGATCGCCAACCTGCACGACACGACGGACGACGCGCTCATCGCGCAGGAGCTGTTTGAGGAGTCGCAGCGCCTCGGCATCCGGCCCAACACCTTCCTCTTCAACACCGTCATTTCCAAATTTGCGCGTGCCCGCAAGGCGGACCTGGCTGTGCGTCTGTTCGAGGAGATGACGTCGGAGCCGCTGCGGCTGCGCGCCACCACCATCACCTACGGCGCTGTCATCAATGCCTGCACCAAGACTGGCGATGCGCTCCGCGCAGAGCGCTACTTCGAACTGATGGAGAACGACCCCAAGTTCGAGCCCCGTGTGCCGCCGTACAACACCATGATGCAGTTCTGTGAGGGTCTCGTCGCATTGCGCCCCTCGGCGTCGCAGCTGCTGACAACGTCTCGATCTGCAGACTGCCAGGTGCAGCCTGTGCGCGAGAAGGCGCTGCACTACTACCGGAAGATGCAGGCGGCCGGCGTGACGCCCACGGAGCACACGTACAAGCTTTTGCTCGACATCCACGGCGGCATCGAGGTGCGTTGCGTGCCGCGGTCATGCGCGCGCCCGCATCTGACTGACATGCCTCCGTCTGCAGCCGCGCCAGCTCGACGAGATGGACCGCGTATTCGAGGAGCTGGCCAACCATGCCCACCTGCGCGTCTCCGGCACGCACTGGGCCGCGCGCATTGCCGCTCACGGCGCCACCGACGTTGAGGCTGCGGTCGGCATCTTCGACTCGATTGCCTCGCATCACTCCACGCTCGCACAGCAGGCCGACACGCGGCCGGAGTGGCGCCACAAGCAGGCGACGCAGGCACGCAGTGTGCAGCTCGGCGAGACGCAGAAGCTGCCCGACAGCGTCGCGTACGAGGCGCTGCTCGCCGTGTTTGTGGCGCACGGCCAGACGGAGCGTGCCGCAAAGCTCGTCGAGCAGATGACCGCCGCCAAGGTCGGCCTCACCGCGTACGTGGCCAACCTGCTCATCCGCGCCCACGCCGCCTCGGGCACTCCGGACGGACTCGCCCGCGCCCGTGCGCTCTTCAACACGATGCGCGACCCGCCCACGGGCCTGGCCGCGCAGGGCAACCACGTGCCCGGCCACCGACAGCACGGCGCCGGCGCTCCCTCGCGCTCTTCGCCGGCCGAGGCAGCAGCCAGCGACGCCAAGCGCGTGGCGCGCAGCTTTGCAGAGGTCGACCGCGAGCCGTCGACGTGGCTCGAGCTCATGCAGGCCGAGGCAGCCGCCGGCGAGCTCGAGGCGGCGGGGCATGTCTTTGCACGCATGAGCGAGCGCGGCTACCCGGCGGCGCTCGTGATGCGTGCACAAGCACTGTTGGCCACATACCAGCCTTCGCCGCCGCCGCAGAGCGATCTCCACCACTCGCAGTCAACTCAGGACCAGCAGCAGCCGCTCAACGTCTAGTTCGCCTCGTTTGCACAGTCTCGGATCTACGCGGCGTGCCTCTCCTGGGCGCCGCACCCACCAACCACCACCACTCTGACTCGTTCCGTGTTCCGTCACATGCGCTGCCTGGGCCCTCACATCTGTCACGTCGGCCCCCGCCATGCCTCTTCCTCACCACATCGCGCCGTGTGTCTCTTCTGTATACCACCTGAGTTCCTCTCCACCACTACTGTAATCACGAGTGCGCGCCGAGTGCGCAGCTTTCACCGGCTTCTTGCGGTTGTCTGAGCGTCGAATAGCTACGCTGCTGAGCCCGTGATGGCAGCGCAGCATCAGCGCTCCTCCGCTGCTCGGCTCTCGTGTGCTGCAGCCGCACATCGCCGAGGTTGATGGCGTGGGAACGACACGCGACGCCGGAGCCCGGGCCGTGCCCAGCCGGCAGCAGAGCAGCACCAGGAGCACCCAGTCGGCTGTGGCGCACGAAGCTGCTGTCCAGCCTGACACGACAGCGTGCGAAGCAACGGCTCTTCAAGCTATCTCCATCGCTCGACACGGTGCAGCCACCACGTGCTGCGAAGGCGCAGATAGAAGCGCAGCGGAGCATGCAGGGTGCAGACGCAGCCGGCCCAGCGTCAGAGGGAGGCGGCGCGCGTGAGAGCGAGGTGCGGCGATTTGCGGCTGCGGTGCTGCAGCTGTGCATGCACGCTGCCGCCGCCACACATCTCCGGGCGCTCCAGAGCAGGCATCTCTCGCCATCAGACGCCTCTCATGGTCGATGCAGGGTCGCCTCGTTCGCAGCTGCATCTGCAAAGTTCACTCTCTGCAGGCTGTCCTTCATGCTCCCATGCACACGCTTTCAGCTCTGCGGCGGGCGTTTGCGAGGGCGTGACAGGCTCGGCAGCCAGAATGAGAGGTCGTGCTTGTTCAGGCAAGGAGAAAGGATGTCCACCTCAGCAGGGCCGACGAGTGCTCGCTCTCGAGCGCGTGTTGGGGCGCGAGGGGTGCGTGTTGCCGCAGCGGCCACGGCGCGGCCGCCAGCTCAACACGCTCCTCCGGCTTGTGAGAGCGCGTCTCTGCGGCGCGATCGCCATGCCCCTGAGATGCGGGCGGCGCGAGCGCGCGCCACAGCCGGCGCAGGAGAGCGAAGGCGCACGACGTCACGCTGCTGCGCCTGCAGCATGTGCCGCCAGCCCCATTCCGGCTCGCACCACGCGCCCGGCAGAGGCTAGCAAATACACGCTGCGGCGCTGGCTGGTGCTGCCGCTCTGCGAGGGTTGCCTATTCGGGAGCAAAGTCAGAGTGCGGGGTGGGCTGTATTCCGGGGAGCGGTGCCTCGGGCGTAGTGGCGCTCAACGGCGGCACGGCCAACGTACGGCTGCCGCGGCCGGCAGCAGGGGGCGCTGGCTGCGGCGGCGGTGGTGCTTGCGGCGGGCGAAGGCGCCCCCCGCGTTCAGCTTCGCTTGACTCGCTTGCCGCTCTCGCCGTCGGGTCACAGGCCTGCCTCTCACCTCCATCACCTCGCGGCCGCACACGCACCTCGCCGCCGCGCACAGCACCTCACACACGCCAGCACCGCTCGCCGCCGTCCTCTGCCGCGCACTTCTGCCCTGCCCCGCGCGCCATGAGCAACCCTGCCGTGCCGTTCCCGCGCGGCGCCGGCACCACGCCCGGCCTCGAGGATGCCGGCATGCGCATCGACATTCCCGGCGGCAAGCATGCGCCCGACGCCAAGGGGGCTGCACCAGCTGCGGCGCCGATGGCCACGCCGCACACGGCCGCCGCCGCGCCGCACCCGCCCGGCTGGACGCACCACGCCCGCCCGCCCAACGCCACCTCCGACTCCTACTTTCCCTCGGCGCCCAAGACGCCGCGCGCCCACGGCCACAGCCGTGTGCCGAGCGGCTCGGGTGCGCCGGCGTCGGCACCGCGCGGCGGGGCACACAACATGTCGCTCAGCCTCTCGTCGGTGAACCCGCCGCCGCACGCCGACGCCTCGGCCTACTACGGCGACGGCGGGCCGCACTTCTCCCACGGCCCGCCGAGCCCCAGCACGCTCACAGACATCATCCTCGGCCTGCACGGCACGCTCTACGGCGGCAAGCGCCTGCCGGACGAGGTGCGCCAGATGGTGGGCCGCTACTACGAGACGGACGCCGGTGAGTTGCAACGCGTGGCGAGCGCCGCAGCTGCGCGGCTGACCTCGCTGTCCAGTCTTTGAGTCGCCATTGCTGTCGGCCCATGGGCGCGACCAGATCGCGAATCAGTTCATCATGGCCTTTGCGCTGCCGGGCATGGACGTGACGAGCGAGCTGCGGGACGTGATCTGCTCCGACTTTGAGTTTGGTGAGTGACAGCGGCGCAGCAGGCGGGCCGTGCAGGTCTGACCTCTCGACTGCCAGACGGCACACGAGCCGGCATCATCGATCAGACGATCAACGTCACCTTTCTGCCCGCCATCTTCGGCGGCGCACCGCCCTCGACCACCGCGCACCACCACGCCGAGGGCCCGCACGCGGCCGACCAGACGCACTACGGCCTGCACAGCACCATGGCCACGCCGCATCCCTTTGCCAACTACGCCAGCGGCAGCGCCTTCCCGTCGGCGCCGCAGACGGCCGGCGGGGCCATGAGCTCGCTGTTCAGCCGCTTTGGCGGCGGCTCAACCAGCGCTGCTCCGGCAGCAAAGAGCGGCACGCACAGCCCCACGACGCCGTACAGCCTCTGGGGCTCGTCGCGGCCGCACACGCCCGGCCAAGGCGGACACGGGCTGCGGCCGCTCTCCAACGCCTCGGCGCCGCAGAGCGCGCACCCGGGCTGGATGCCGCGCGCCAGCACGCCGCCGAGCGTCAACGGCGAGTACGACGAGGATGAGAGCTACAGCGCCAACGGCGGCGGCGACAGTGCCGGCTTGGGCGACGAGACGACGATGGTGGCGGCGCGTCCGGCCATGCCGCAGGAGGCACTAGTGCCGCATTGGAGCCACGAGGGTTTGGGCCGATCGACGGTGCGCAACCTCGTGTGGAGCCTGGTGCACCCGCGTCAGGCGCTGCGCAGCCTGTGCACGATCCAGCTGCGTGTCATGGTGCGTGACGTGAGGCTGCTCCCGGCGCTGCCTTCGCTGACACATGCCACAGAGCCGTCTGGAGTTCAACGACGTCGGCCTCATCGTGCGCCACGAGGACACGTGGGGTCTGCGCGAGGCGATCGAGGGCACGATTCCCTTCATTGGCCTCCTCTACGCGATCGAGCGCCGCGTCGTCGGCTTCCTCGTCTCGTGGGCGGTGAGCAAGGGCGTGCGGCTCTCCGAGAGCATCACGAGCACCGGCCGCATCGGCCCGCCGCGTCCGGCATCCGAGCCTGGCACGCCGTGGGCGCTCACCGAGAAGGGCGAGCAGCACCGCAGCGGCGCCAACGAGGCGGCTCGCGCGCTGCTGCTCGGCGGCCACCACCAGCGCGCGCACTCGGCGCAGCCGCAATTCTACACCATCTCGCGCTCGCGCGCCACGAGCCCGACGCGCTTCCGCTTCCTCAGCAGCGGCGGCTCGGCGCACAGCGGCGCGCAGACGGTGACGGGCACGCGTTCGCGCGCCCGCTCGCTCGTCGGCACGCACGGCATGACGTCGCGCACGACGTCGTCGGACAACCTGGCGCTCTACGGCTCGTACCATGGCTACAACCACGCGCACGAGGCCAAGGACCGCGAGCTGCCGCCCGACTCGAGCGCACGCTACCGCTCGCGACGCCTCGACGGCGGCCGCAACTCCAGCGCGGCCAGTGCGCCCATGGGCGACGAGGTGCATGCCTCGCCCGGCGCGCAGAACCTCGAGGCCGTCTTTGCGGACCTCAAGGCGCCGGACCGTGATGGCCACTGAGCGCTGTTGCTCGCCTGCCTCCGCCGTGCGTCTCCTCCCTTCCCGCTTCTCTCCTGCGTCTCCTCGTCATCCTGGGCCTGTCCGACCTCCGCATCGCTCCGTCGCTACACCTGTAATCGTCCCTTTCCCGCATCCAGCCCACGCGCGCATCGCAGCACTACTACTCTCCTTTATCTATCGCGTACCCCCGCGCGCCGGCCCGTTCAGCCTTGATGAATAACACTCGCTTGACCCTGTCCATCGGCTTGAGCAGCTGTGAAGGCAGGCGAAGGATGTCTCGCCGCCAGAGCGCCGATGTGCAGACGCAGCCCGTGGCGGTCGGGGTCTGGCCGGCGCTGGCGGCGGCCGCGGCCCTGCGCGCCGTGCGTGCCGCGCCGCGCCCTGCTGATGAGCGTCATGCAGGCCGCGCGATGCGCTCCTCGCCGTTTCGCTTCTCGCCTCACGCTCCACTCCCTCTCTACCACACTGCTCGGTCTTCCACGCTCCCCTCGAGAGGCCGCCGGATTCTTCGCACAGACAGCTTGGACACGAATGCCTTGAGCACCTAGAGCACACACAGCACTGCGCCTCTTCCAGCTCCCGCCTCGCTCTGTCACACGACTGAGTCTCAGCAGCTCGTGCCAGCATGGTGCAGCTGCCCTTCTCGAGCTCGGCGCCAAACGGCGTGAGCTCGCAGCCGCCCTCGCGCTCCTCGACGCCGGCCCTCTCGCCGCCGTCGCGCACCGTGTCGCCCTCGCCGTCGTCGCACTCGATTGCGCATCGGCCACAGCCGCCCGATTCGCTGCACTCGCGCATCCGCTCCGCCAACCCGCCGCCCGCCTCGACGCCGCTCTTCGTCGACGTCCTCTCGCCGCCGTCACGCACAGCCACGCCCACGCCGCTCTCGCCGCCCGGCACGCCGAGCCAGGCAGAGCTGCCCGGCAGCGGCGAGGGCGGGCCGAGCGCCGACATTGGCATCTATCCCGATGCCATCTACGACGAGTATCTGGGCAGCTTCATTGGCGGCATCCGGCGGGCCCTGGTGCGGAACCTGAAGCGCGAGAGCCGCTTCATCGCATGGCACCAGGTGAGTGCGGCAGGATGGAGCTGCTCCTGTGCTGCCTGGCACGGACAAGCGCTGCGGTGTGCTCGCGCTGCCCGGGCGGCAGCGAAGCAGCGCTGGACTGCGAGAACAGCAGTACGCAGCCCTGTGCACGCAGGCTGAGCCCCTCTCCTGCGCAGAGCTGGGTGCGCAATCCCCGCCTCGACCGCTACTTTGTCTACACGTCGCTGCTGGGCACGCACTCGTTCTTCCTCATCTTCCTTCCCATGTCGTTCTGGGCCGGCAATGCCTGGTTCGGCCGAGGGTGAGTCGCTTGGCCATGGCTGGTACTGGGCAGAGTCTGACGGAGCGTGCAGGCTGGTCAATGTGCTTGCGTTTGGCGTCTACTTCTCCTCTGCGATCAAGGTGCGTTGCTTGCTGCCGGAGACGGCTGCGGCCCGGGCTCATCTGTGCCTCGCCAGGACCTGCTCTGCGTGCCGAGGCCGTATAGCCCGCCCTGCACGCGCTTGGTGATCGGCACGACGCACTTGGAGTACGGGTGAGCATGACCAGGCGTAGTCTTGCGCCGCGAATTGCTCATTCGTCGCCGCCGGCAGCTTTCTCTCGACGCACAGCACCAACGCGATGGGCGTCGCCTTCTATCTGTACCTGTGGCTCGGCGAGGTGCGCAGCAGTGCCGGCTGCCCTGCGTGGGTGTACAGCTGGGCGTGGGAGGCCATGCTGCTCTACTACGTCGTCAGTGTCGTGTACGGGCGGATATACGCCGGCATGCACAGCGTCACCGGTGAGTGTGGGCGCAGGTAGCCCGGCTCGTGCGTCGCCTGACCCGGACTCCAGACTGTGTGGCCGGCTCGGCGCTCGGCATGGCCATCACCTGGGTGCAGTGGCACTTCAACGACGCCATCGAGCGCTTCCAGATCCTCGACGACTTTACCGTGCCGCTCGTCACGATTCCCATGGGGCTCCTGATGGTCTCGGTGCATCCGCAGCCGCTCGACGACTGCCCGTGCTTTGAGGACGGTGAGGTGCGCTTGCACAGCCGTGGCGGCCTCGGCTAATGCGAGCCCCGCACAGCCATCGCCTTCGTCGCCGTGGTCATGGGCGTGATGAACGCGCGCTGGTTCTCTGCGCGATACGGCATCCTGCCGCTCTCCGACATGCCGACCGACCCGGCCTGGCCGGGCCACTCTCTGACGCCCAGCCGCGTCCTGGCGTCCGGCGCGCTGTCGGCCAAGCCGGTGCTCGACGCCATCAAGGCGCCCATCGAGCGCATCGGCTTCTGGTCGAACTCGCACCCGCTGCTGCGCGTCTCGGTCGTCGGCATCAAGACGGCCGTGATGCTGGTCATCGGTGCGTCGACTACAGCCTCACTCGCTCCATGCTGCCCTGCTGACCAGCTCAACCAGGCGTGATGCTCATCTTCGTCGTTCGCGTCACTGCAAAGACGATCTGCAGCGTCGTGCTGCCACCGGCGCTGCGAGTGGCGCACGACTCCTTCGGCCTGATCCTGCCTCGGCGGCACTACTCGTCCGCAGCGACCGAGGGCACGGCGCAGCCGAGCCGATCCTACATTCCCGCTGCGCTGCGCCGCGCCGCCTCGCCGACGCCGCAGCAGGCCTCGTCGCGCCGCCGCGCCGGCTCGCTCGAGCGCACAAAGATCCGCTTCACCCTCGGCGACGGCGCCACGCTGCCCGTGCCCTTTACGCACCCGGGCACGCATCTGCCTGGCGACAGCTTGGCGGATCGCATGGCGGGCGCCATCTCGAGCGAGGAGAAGGAGAGGCAGCGCAACGTCGAGGAGTCGGGCCTGAAGTTCGAGCGCCCAGAAGACAGGCACGCCGAGCAGGTGCGGCACTACGACGCAGACGGTGAGTTCTCACCCCGCGCAGGGTGTCCCGAGGCTCACGCCGCCTTGCAGTGCTGGCAAAGGTCATCGTCTACGCAGCCATCGGCTTTGCCGCAGCGTGTCCGATCCCGCTGCTCTTCTCGCACATCGGTCTGCGCTAATGCAGCAGTCGAGCCTGGAACGTGGTGTGCGTGACGTGTGTGAATGCGTGAGGGGGCCGTATCTAAGGGGCGAATACGAATACAGCGGACAGGTCGTGAGAGCCGGCGTGACGGCGAAGAAGGAAGGCGCGTGTGGACCGGCTACATCTTGCCTTGGCTGCGGAAGGCCTTGTTGACAAGCGTACTTGGCGCCACGCCGAACTCGGGCCCCACATCGATGCCCAGCTCGCCGGAGAGTATGGCGCGGATAAACGCGTAGTGGTGGATGGCGTGCAGGCAGACGAACCACAGCTGCGGAGCAACGGGGCGTCAGGACGTGCCGAACGAGCGAGCATCACAGACAGCTCGGCTTCCCTGAGCGTCCACGCAAAGGAGCTTGTGTTTTGCACACGCAGCTTGGCCCACCAGGCACAATGCACTCACCTCTCGCCCGACGGTGGTGCCAAAGTCGAGCCGTGCCGGCGTGGTGGCCGCGAGGCGGACCTCCTTCTCCATCAGCTCCGCGTGCTCGCCGAAGGCCTGCTGCAGCTGCCGTTTGATCTTGAGCAGCTCGGCGCGTGCCGTCTCGGCGGAGCGCTCAAACGCCGGCGCCGGCGTGCGGCAGTCGTAGTCGAGTGCCACTGCGGACGCGGAGGCCGAGGAGCCGAGCGACTCGAGCAGCAGGCGAAAGTGGTCGTGTGCGCTGCGGGTGCCGTGATCAGCCTGGAGCACTGGTCGCAGCTGCGGCCCGTGCTCACTGGCGCAGGTGCACGCCGACGGTGCTGCTGGGAATGAGGCTGCTGGTGGCGCTCATCTGCTCGTCGCCGACGCTGCCGGCGGCGAGCAGCGCGATGGGCTGGTCGAGCACCTGCAGCGCGCACTCGAGCATCGCCTGCTGCGCGTACGAGCTGCCTGCGGCTGAGGACTGCGAGGACATGCGTGTGGGGTGTGCGGGTGTGGTGGTGAGAGCGGGGTCGGCGCCCAGGGCCGAGGAGTGGAGCCGGGCCGGTGGCTGACTACAACAAGGCAGCAGGCGCTTGTATTGGCAAGCGTGCGTTTGTAGTCCCCGCGCCGGCAGCGGCTGAATTCGGCGTCGTCGCCGTGCGCACGCGCCTGAGCCTCGTCGTGCTCTGCCAGCGAGCAGCACGCTCCACTTCCCCTCCCGCACCACCGCCTCTCCCCCGCCTGCGCTGTCCACGATGGCCTACCTCGCCTACGGCACGGGCCTCGGCCTCTCGCTGTCCACGACGCTGGCGCTCTACCTCATCTTCACCGGTGCGTCGCAGCACACGCGCGCCGGTGCCGCCCGTCTGCTGACACTGCCGCACAGGCTCGGGCTCGGCCTTTGCCATCGGCACGTTCCTCGAGGAGACGAGCCCCTACACGTGGGCCATGATGGGCATCGGCATGTGCATCGGCCTCAGCGTCGTCGGCGCCGGCTGGTGAGTCTGGCGCAGCGGCAGATGAACGTCTGGGGCTGGGTCCTGGGCTGGCGCAGCTGAGCTGGCGAGGGGGAAGAGACGGAGCACGGGGCAAGCTCAGCCGGGATGAGCCGGCGCTGCGGGCCGCTCAGCGCGAGCTCGCTTCTTGCGAGCCCGACTCGCCCACTTGCGAGCAGGCGCAGAATGCACGGATGCCGGCGAGTGCGACAGAGTGAAGGGGCCTTGGCCGCTGCGCTGGCAGTCCGCCTGCTGCGACCAGGCTAGTCATGCCGCATGAGGCACCAGCTTCGCGAGTGCATCTACATGTGTAGACGGGGACCTCACTGCTCATCTGGCAGCTTGAGCGGCGTCTGCCTACTGCACTGCCCGGCTGAGCGGCGCTGCGGCTGGAGATCAGCTGCGCTGCTGCCCCGCCCATTCGGCACGCCAGCTGCGGACAGAAGCATCTCTGCACCCATGCTGACGACTCGCACAGGGGCATCTTCATCACCGGCTCCTCAATCCTCGGCGCAGGTGTGCGTGCGCCGCGCATCACGACAAAGAACCTGATCTCGTGCGTGTGTGCCTGTGCATGCTGTCTACTGCATGCGCTCACTGCTGCTCTCGCAGCATCATCTTCTGCGAGGTCGTCGCCATCTACGGCGTCATCATGGCCATTGTCTTCTCCGCCAAGGTGTCGGGCACGCTGACGACGCCCGATGGCCTGTACACACCCGACAACTACCTCACCGGCTTCGCGCTCTTCTGGGGCGGCCTCACCGTCGGCTTCTGCAACCTCTTCTGCGGCGCGGCCGTCGGCGTCACGGGCGCCAACGCGGCTGTCGCCGATGCGGCAGACCCGCAGCTCTTCGTGCGCATCCTGCTCATCGAGGTGTTCAGCAGCATTCTCGGCCTCTTTGGTGCGTGCTGCTCGCCCACAGCTCGATGCGCGCCTCGTGCTGACTGCTATGCCTTTGCTCGTCCTTCATAGGCTTGATTGGTGCGCCAGAGATGACGCTGCTTCGGCTCATTTAGTGCCTGCGCTGACCGTTCTCTCCTTCCCTTCGCCCTCAGTTGGTCTCATCATGGTGCGTCGCCCACAACCGTCCAGCCCGCGACTGCCTCGCTCACTGATTCTTCAATTTACCTGCAGACAAGCAACGCAAAAGCCTTTGCTTGATGTCGCCATGGCTGGCCAGCGACTGCCACACGCTGGGCTCTGGGCAGGGCGCTGGTTCGACAGGAGGATCTTAATGCGATACAGCTGCGAAACGCCTGCTGTCGGTGCGGTGCTTCGGCAAGGGGTGCCTCAGCAAGCAGACTCCCTTTGCTTCGCAGAGCCGCTGCGAGCCCTCATCACGCTGCGTGGTCTGCTCAGCGACCGGCGGTGCCGGCACAAGCCAGGCCGCACGCCGAGGCCGACAGTGCCGACCCCTGACGGCGCTGCGGCGACTTGACGCGCGAGACCGATCCTTAATTGGCTCATGGCCGAGGTACGCCACAAGCAGGTGCAGATTTTGCGGCAGCACCCGGGTGCCGGCTTCGCTTCGCCCTGAACTCCCGGCCTCTGCCGGCCTGCTGCCTGTGATTTGTTGGGACGAGAGGGTCGAGAGGCCGCAGCAGCCGGCGGACAGTGCGGCACTGAGCGGCGAGCTCGGCGGCACCGACGAGCGGCACTTGGATGCTCGGCGTGACTCGGGCCCGGTTGCAGCCGGCGGTGACGACGTGCGGTGGAGGTAAGGGGGCGTCTGCGAGAAGCGCAGCAGCGCACGATCTCGTTGCGCACCTGCGCCTGGTTGCGGCTTCGATGCTGCACGCAGCGGTACCTCTCCGGTGGGTGCTAGAAGGAGCACGACGACGGACGGGAGTTTGCGCTAGGCCCTGGAGGGTCGCTCGAGAAGGCTCGCAGCTGTCCTGCAAGCTGCGCCTTGTCATGGGAGCTGCATCATCTGGGCTGTGCCAGCATCGGGCTCGGAAGATCGTTTCGGCCGCAAGGGCAGCGAGAGAGCGAGGTGCGGCGACTTTTGGCTGGGAACGCTGCCTGTGCGTGCGTGCCTGGCGGCTGCCTTGACGGTGACGCGCGACAGGCGAGGGCCGACAGCGAGATGCGCATCTGCAGGGACGCGGCGGCCGGTTGTGCCGGCGCCGCGCGACACAGGCGGCGTGGCCGACGGCGTGGCGCCGGCACCGCATGCGTGCCTCGGCTCATCTGTGCGGCTTCGAGCCGGGCGCGAAGCAAGCAAGCGGCGGCGGCTCTTGGCTTGGGCCATCCTCACCACCACATCCTTCGCAGCCCTCGCACCCCTCGCACCACCGCATACCCGCACAGCGCAGCGCAGCCTCCTCGCCGCACGCGTGTCCCTGCGACGCGCGCATTCCCTGCCGCATGGACCGTCCCGCACACCCGCGCAGCGACGGCGGCAGCAGCACGCCCGGCATGGCGCCGCCGCTGCCCTACTACAACGCCCCGCTCGGCGCCGGCCTGGGCGCCAGCGGCGCCGACATGTACGGCGCCGCACACCTCGCCGCGCCGCCGCGCGCGCCGTACCAGCTGCCGCACCCGGCGCACCGCCCGCCGCCCGCCGCCGCCGCGCCCTTCGCCGCCTACCAGCCCATCACGCCCGAGTCCGGCCTCGACTCGCCCGGCCCGTCGCACGGCGGCGAGCCCGGCTCGCGCCCCTCGTCGCCGCCGCCGGCCAAGCGCGCACGCAAGAAGACGCGCACCGGCGAGTCGGGCGCGTCGGACAGCGCTGACGCCGACGAGGCGCCGGCGACGGCGGAGAGCAAGGAAGCCAAGCATGGGCCACGCGTCGGCAAGGCATGCTTGCCGTGTAGCTCGAAGAAGCGGCGCTGCGACGGAGGTGAGTCAGAGGTGCAGCATTCGCCGTGTCGCGGCTTTGCTTCTGGTCTGACCGCGGTCGCACACAGGCCGGCCCGAGTGCAAGGTGTGCCTCGTGCTGGGCACGCAGTGCTCCTACAACGCGTCGGGCCTGAAGCGCGGCCCGCCCAAGGGCTTCCGCTCGACGCCCAAGGAGTCGGCCAAGGCCAAGATCATGCGCACGCTCGAGACGACGATCCGCGACCTGGCGACACATCTGGGCCCCGAGGCGGCAGCCACCGAGCTGGCGCGCATCAGCAACGAGCGTGGCGTCACCGTCAGCATGCCCGAGAGCGGCGACGCCAAGGAGGGCCTGGCTGGCTCCTCGCGCCAGCGCTCGCTGGAGGGCGATGAGGACCGTGATGGTGACTTCCTCGGCATCAACGAGAAGGGCGAGGTCAGCCATCGCGGCTCCAGCTCAGGCATCCAGCTGTTGCACCGCCAGCAGTCCAGCGTCCACTCGCCGCTCGGCCAGCATGCCAGCACCGACGCCGGCACGTCGGGCGAGGAGAAGCGGACAGTCGTGACGCCGGCGGTGCTGCCACTGCCGCTGATCCGCCCGGCGCATCAGAGTGATGAGGCGGGCGCAGGGGAGGGAGAGAAGTTCACCCTGTCGTCCGAGCTGCCGCTCTCCAACGGCGCCCAGGCACATCGCGACCACATCCTCAACACGCTCTCGCCGCAGGGCACGCCTCGCACGCGTGACCGGACGCTGGACGGACATGCGCCGTCGCCGCTCAAGGCTTCGGCCGACCTCGACGACGATGCCGAGGCCACAGCGCTGCGCTCTAGCCTCATGGCCGTGCGTCGGCAAAGTCTCGCCATTGCCGAGCCGATACTCGAGACGCCGGCGGTGAGCGAGGCCGCCAACGCGCGTCTGTGGCGCTTCTACTGGTCAGGCTTCCACCCCTTCTGGCCGATTCTCTTCAAGCCTGCGCTCGATGAGATTCCAGTCGCGGAGCTGCCCGACCGGCTTGACGGTGTGTTGCTGTACGCCGTGTACGCCATCGCCGCGTGCGTCGGAGCGCCGCCCGCCTCAGGCTCGTCGACGCTCCAGACAGCCCTGGACCCGGCGCTGGCCGACGAGCTGGGCGAGAGCATCGGCGAGATCTTTGCGCGCCGCTCCGAGCAGCACCTCTATGCTTCTCGTCTGCGCCCGTGCGTCTCGACGATCCAGGCTGCCTTCCTGCTCGCGCTATACCACCACGGCCAGGGCGACCTCTCGCGTGCCTGGACCTTCTCGAGCCTGTCGCAGTCCCTCTCGATGGACCTCGGCTTCCACCGCTGGCCCATCCACCGTCTCGACCTGCTCTCGCACTCGACGGAGCGTGAGACGCGCGTCCGCCTCATCCACCACGTGCGCATCCTCGGCACGCTTCTCTCGGCAGAGATGGGCCGCCCGGTGCTCATGCACGCCAAGGACTGCGACGTGCCGCTGCTCTCCGAGAAGGAGAAGGATGAGTTCGAGCTTTGGGACGACCAGGTTGAGATGCAGCCGGGCGGCGCGCCTCCGCCGTCGGCCAACGGCAAGCCGCGCTACCTGCACGCGCCCTCGACGCTCAACGAAGGCGTACGCCTCTTCAACATCATCGAGAGCATCCTGAGCTCCGTGCACTCCTTCCGGCGCAAGGCCGCGCTGCGCAAGCAGGGCAATGCCAAGACGGTGCTGGCCGACCTCGACCGGCAGCTCAGCAAGTGGAAGGAGGACCTGCCGACGCATCTGCGCTTCGAGGGACCCGACAACTCCGGCGAGGGCGGCCCGCTGCCGTCATTCTTTGCGCTCAATGTCTGGTAAGTGCTGCGCCGCTATAGCTTAGAAACCCCGCTTACTTGAGGCCCTGTGCAGGTACTACAACGCTATTCTCCTGCTGCACCGCCCCTTCATCCCGCAGGACGAGGGCGCCAAGCTGTCTGAGGTGCTCTCAAACGACAGTCACCGCAAGTGCACCGCCGCAGCGAACAAGCTCTGCGATCTGCTGGAGCCCACGTCCGTCGACGTCGACCGCCTCTCCGGCGACCTCGGCTACTGTCTCTTCTCTGCAAGCCTCCTGTTCCTCTTCAACGCCAGCCTCTCCGACAAGGACATCTCCGATGACGCTAAGCGGCGCTTCCTGCTGTGCCGCCAGTGGCTCAAGAAGCTCAGCGCACGCTGGCCGGCCGCGTCTGCGCACAAGCAGCTGCTGGACGGCGTCGCAATGGTCGGCGAGGGCTTCATGGGCGGCCGCGAGGACGCGAGCGGCGCACCCCACGCCAAGGAGGGCCGCGCCGGCACGCGCGCGCAGAAGAAGGGCAAGAAGGGCCAGCAGAAGCCGCGTGCAAACGAGCAAGCTGCCGAAGGCGACAATGCTGCCCACGGCACGGCTCAGGACGTCTCTCCCTCGGCACACGGCAAGGCGGATCGCCGTGGCTGGGAGCAGCCGTCGAGCGCCATGAAGTCGTGGGAGCTGTCCAACGAGCGCGGCGGCACCACTGACGGCTCGTACGCGGCATCTACGACGTCGGCCTCGACGGAGGCCTCGCCGGACACCCAGCATGCGTTCCGGGCGCGTGCGCCGCCCCTGCTGATGAACGAGGACGTCAACATGATGGCGCCGGAGCAGGTGCAGCAGCTGGCGAGCCAGCAGCAGGGTGCACGAGCGCTCAACAATCAGCCGCGCCCGGGCTTTGGCGTGCCGCCGGCGATGCAGATGCAGCAGCAGCAGCCGCAGATGCAGTATCAGGCGCAGCAGCAGATGCCGCAGCAGTCGGGCTTCGGCGGCTTCCCGACCTCGGCGGAGCAGCAGCGGCAGCTCGTTGAGTACCTGCAGAGCAGCTCTGCGTACGGCGGCGCCTCGGCGCCCGAGGGCTTCTACAGCCACGCGCCCAGTCTCTTCGGTAAGTCGCCCTGCATCGAGCTCGCCACTCGGCCCCTTGCTCAGTAGCCTTGCCAACAGATGCCGAGTCCGTCTTCTGGAACGAGACTGCCGGCCGGCGCGACGATGGCGGAGTGGCTGCTGCGCTCGGTATGCAGCAACGCGGCTACCCGGTGTCGGAGCCGCCGACGGGCCTTGCCATGCTTGCGCACGTCACGGCCGGCTCGTCAGGCCAGGCGCAGAGCCTGACGCCGCAGCAGCAACAGCAGGCGCAGCACCAGCAGCAGCTCTCCTCGGCGGCTGCACAGTACTTCCAGCAGCACTCGAGCTTCAGCGGTGGTGCTGCGGAGCAGCCGGCGCCGGCGCAACAGAATCTGCGCGCCCCGCCGCACAACCCTGCCTCGGTGTCGCCGTTTGGCTTCCAGCTCGACCCCTCGCAGCCGACGTGGAGCGACGTCATGTCGATGTGCGTACGGCCTTCTGGCATGGAGTGCTGTGCTATGGTGCTGACTCTCTCTGCTCGCAGGCTGCAGCTGCCACCTGCCTTCAGTGGCGACGGCCGCGAGTCCGCTGCGGCGCCGCTACAGCAGCAGCCGCGCGGCGACGAGCGTCCCTCGAGCGTCCAGCCGTCCTCCTGAGTTCGCGCTCGAGGTGCGAGCTCTTGCCTCAACGTCCCACGTCCCTGGATCTCGCCGCCTGTCGATGCTCTGCACGCCGTCGCACCCGCCTCGGCGTCCCACGATGCGTCTCGCCTCTTGCCGCTTGCCCCGCATCCCGTGCGCGCCGCTCGCGTGACCTGCCCTGCCCGCACCGCCGTGTCCCGCTTGCCTCGCCTCTGTCCCGGCGCTGCGTGTGGCCATGCCCGCGCGGTCGCCCCACCCCCTGTAACGTACCTCTGTCCCCATGTTCTCGCTGCCCGCACCCTTCCCTATGCTCTGCATGCCTGCACCCTGCGATACACCCGGTCTAATGAAGCCATGCACCCCGCCAGCCGAAGAGCGATGCCGCAGCGAGGCACCACGCGGCGCATTCGCCGACGCCGGGCATCTCGGCCGCGGCGCGATGCCGTGAGCCGACAGCGCACCTGCAGCCCTCGCATGGCCGATAGCGAGCAGGTATGGCCGCAGCGACAGCGGACATGTGCGCCAAGGGTCTGCACCTGGATGCTGCACGCGGCGGCCGTACATCGGCCATTCAGCAAAGTCAGAGTGCCGAGCAGCTGCCGTGCTGGCAGAGGAGGGGCACCGGCCGAGGCGGCCGGGCCGGCCGGCGGCGGCGGCGCACGGACGTCGACCCTTGACAAGCTGCTGTCCTGCATGCGGCTGCTGACGCGCTCAGCCTGCTTCTCTCCTCCCATCCACATCCTCCTCGGCCGCCATGAAGCTCGCTCGCTGCGCCGCCCTGCTCTCCCTCGCCGCCTCGGCGCTGGCGCTCCAGCTGCCGCTGTACGCCGATGGCGCAGCCGCCGCCGCAGCTGCCGCCTTCGACGCCGTCGACAGTGCCTCATCCGGCGCTGCCGGCCCGCAGCGCATCGAGCTGCCGCGTGCGCAGGCTGCCTCGGCCGGCGCCGCCAGCACCGAGGAGCTCATTGCGCGCCACCGCGCCGACTTCACCGTGCTCACGCATGAGGAGTTCCCCGAGATGTCGGTGCGCATCAAGCGCATCAACGCGCCGGCCGCGCCCAGCGGTGAGTCACGCCGAGAGCCATGGGTGCGCCGCCCGCACAGCGTCTCATGCCATGCTCCACAGCCAAGGGCAAGGACGACAGCAGCGACCCAGACGCCTTCTGTGATCCGAGCGTGACCAGCTGGAGCGGCTGTGAGTACAGCGACACGTGCGCGGCAGCGCGCGCGGTGCTGAGGCAGCTGCACAGACATCGACTCGATCGACGGCAAGTCGCTCTTCTTCACATTTTTCGAGTCGCGCAGCAACCCTTCGAAGGACCCGGTGAGCAGCACCGCACGATTTATGGCTTGCCGCATGCTCACCGTCCCTTAGCTGCTGCTCTGGACCAACGGTGGACCCGGCTGTTCGAGTGCGATCGGCCTCTTCATGGAGCTGGGCCCGTGCCGCGTCAAGGACGACGGCGGGCGCGGCCGCCGCGTCGAGGGGCCGCCGATCAACGGCACGACGTACAACGCGTACTCGTGGAACAGCCGCATGAACACCCTCTTCATCGACCAGCCCATCGGCGTCGGCTACTCGTACTCGCGCTACGGCACGCACACGTACGACGCCGACCAGGGCGCGGCGGACGTGTACAAGTTCCTGCGCATCTTCCTCGGTGCCTTTGAGCGCTTCGCGAGCAACGAGCTGATCCTCTCCGGCGAGTCGTACGGCGGGTGAGTGCCGCGTGTGTGCACGCCTGCGCAAGGCCACTGCTCATCTCCTCGCTGCACAGACGCTACATCCCGCGCTACGCAGCAGAAATTGCGGACCGCAACTTTGAGCTCACCACAAAGGCGGCCAAGGAGGGCAAGAAGCCCGACGCGAGCAAGCTGCTGAACCTGAAGCGCATCGCCGTCGGCAATGGCCTCACGGACATTACCGTGCAGACCACGTCGTACTACGACTTTACCTGCACGCAGGCCGGCCTGAGTGAGTCCCGCCTATCAGCCGCCTACTCGTGACGATGTCTTGCTCACGCCACGCCAAAGACCCGCTGTACCTGGACATCTCGACGTGCAAGGAGATGAAGGTGTGGAAGAAGCGCTGCGAGAAGATGATGCAGAAGGTGGTGCGTCTTGCCGCCGCTTGCTTCGAGGCTTCCTCTCGCTCACCCCAGCGCAGTGCCGCGAGAGCTTCGACCGCTCGCTCTGCGCAGCGGCAGTCAACACCTGCACGGACCAGATCGGCGGACCTTACGCCGAGACTGGACGCAACCCTTACAACGTGCAGGGTGAGTCTGCAGCGAGCCGCCGGCACGCATTCGTCCTGACCCCGCCTCTCCAGACGACTGCAAGGCCGGCCTCAGCCCCAAGTATGTCGCTTCATGAATTGCGATGCGAGAGGGATGCGGCGCTGACATCTGCGCACAGCCTCTGCTACGACCTCACGGCCGACATTGCCGCCTACCTGAACCGCAAGGACGTGCGCGAGCTTCTTGGCGCCGCGCCCGAGGCAGGAGACTTCCAGACGTGCAACATGGATGTGCGTGCCGCATCGCAAGCTTGCTCCTGCGCTGCTCTGACACCCCTCACAGGTCGCGGCTGGCTTTGACCGGGCCGGCGACACGCTCGTCGACAACTCCGACTACGTTGCCGGCCTGCTCGAGCGAGGTGCGCGACCCTCTGCTCGATACGCTCGGGCCAATCTGACTCTCCTCTGCCAGGCATCACCGCGCTGTTCTACGTCGGCACGCGCGACTGGATCTGCAACTGGCTCGGCAACAAGCAGTGGATCGATGCCATGGAGTTTGCGGGCGCCAAGGCGTTCAAGCAGGCGAAGAACTACGTGCGTGCCGCGGACTGGCGATCCTCTTCCGCGCGCTGACTGATCGTGCCATCTCGCAGCGCTGGCTCGTCGACGGCAAGGAGGCAGGCGAGACGCAGCGCGGCGGCGGCCTTACGTGGGCCACCATCTTTGGCGCTGGCCACATGGTGAGTTGTCGAGAAGGGCACGTCAAGAGCATCGCTGACAGCAGCTGGCGCAGGTCCCATACGACCAGCCCAAGAACTCGCTCGAGATGATGAACCGCTGGCTCGACGGCGAGGCGCTGTAGACGCACGCGCACCTGCCTCGCATCACAAGAGCGTCCGTGTAGTATATATGCATTGCTCAATGTGGTCTGAGTCTGGCACTGCGCTGCAGCTCGCAGACGTTCCCTGAGCCCTCTGATGTCACTGGTTCAGCAGCTCGTCTTCCAATCAAAGTCGAACTTCGGGCGGAGCTGGGAGTCGAGCACGCCCCAGCCGGGCAGGCCGTTGTCGGAGTAGATGTGCGCGAACTGGGCAAGCGGTGTCAGTCGGCACGCTCGGCTCCTGACGCAAGTAGGACTCACCCAGCCGACGCCGCCCTGAGGGCCGGCCTTGAAGAAGGCGCACTGCGAGTCGAGCAGCTCAAAGTAGTTCTTCATCTGCGTCACGCTGGCGATGGCGTCCTTGCTGTTGGCCTTCCAGACGTCGTCTGCACGGGCCACGAGTGCGTCAGCGTCGCGGCACCCTCGGCAGTGGCGCAGATCCGCTCGACTCACCGTTGGACGGCCAGCCCGTCTGCGTAAAGTAGATCTTCTTGCCCTTGCCCTTGGCGATCAGGTAGTTGTAGTTCCACATGATGGCGTTCCAGCTCTTCTTGGCCTGCGCAACGAGGGGTCAGTCTTTGCAGGCAAGGTACAGCGCGCTGCGGCTCACCGTCGATGCGGCACCGTCGAAGAAGGGCAGGATGTTGCCCTGGATGACCGACTGTGCGAGGAGGCAAGGTGAGCTCGTGCCAGGTGCAACGCATCGCTCGGTACGCACAACTGTATCAAAGACGCGCGGCGCATCGCCGTGGATCGTGTAGCCGTAGGGCATCTCGCTCGTTGTGATCTGCATCTTCTCCTTGCCGGTGTACGGAGCCAGCTGCTTGCGTACGTCGACGATGGTGGCTGCCAGGTCATTTGCGCCGATAGCCCAGTCGAAGAGCGGCTCGGAGCCGATGGTGACACTGCGCACGACATACGGCGCCTTGGGGTTGCGCTTGATCGTCGCGACGAGCTTGTTGATGCGCGTCTTGTACAGCGTCGTGCTGCCGTCGAAGCCGAACCAGACGAGCGGCATGATGCCGACTGTCGAGCAGCAGGTCAGCATGAGACAGCTTCATGCGCGTCACGTACAGCACTTACTGCCAGCCGACCACGCGGCATTGATGAGATCGTCGTTGAAGCCGGCACGGTCGCATGCCGAGTAGAGGCGCACGTAGCGAGCATTGAAGTCTTTGCGCTGCCGCGTGAAGTCACGCACGAGGTCGGAGGCAGATGGGCAGCTTGACGTGTCGTAGCTGAAGCCCATGAAGGCATACTCGTCCTGCTTCGAGCACCACCAGCCGTCAAGCGAGGCAGGCACGTCTCCGGGCATCTTGAAGTCCAGCGCCGGGAAGCACGAGCTCGGCGGCGCAGGCGCAGGCGGCGTCAGGGTGGCGGTCGGTGCCGCACTGCTCATCGTGGAGGTGGCCGAGGAGGCGCAGCGCTTCTGCTTGCGGCCTCTGCGCTTGTGAGGCAGCGCAGAGGCACCGGAGCGGCTGAGCAGGCGCGATGGCAAGATCGCCTCGAGTCCGGAGCGAGCGCCGATGTGCGCCAGCTCGCCGTGCAGCGATGAGTCGCGGACGGGCGTGGCTGTGGCGCCCATGCTGACCAGCAGCATGGACACTAGCATGACGAAGGGCGTGGAGAGCTGCATGGTGGGCAGCAAAAGGGGCAGAAAGCAAGAGGAGCAAGCGGTAGAAGACGAAAGACTGCGAGTTGCGGGTGTGTCAGTGCACGCTGGCGGTGGCATGAGGTCGCTGTCTCGAGGCCGTCCCTCGCTCAGCAGGGACAAGCGGACGGAAGGGCGTCGGCGCCGGCGCCCCTTGTCCTCGCCGCTGCGCCGCCTCCACTCCACGACGCCTCCGCTGAGCGCTCGCGCCAGTTCTCAGCAGACTCACAAGGAGACCGACCAGCGGTGAGAAGCACGATACTACACGGTAACGAAACGAGGCAGATTTGAGCAGGGCTGAGGGAACGCAAGACGAGTCGGCGCCTCCGCGGCGCTTATGAAGGGCCGGCGGCCGCCTTCGCCGCGTGCGCGTGTGCCGCACCTCTGGGGCAACGCAGGTCCGCCGCCAAGCATGCGCGCACAGCGTCGAAGTTGGCCGCCACTCCGCCGTGCACCGCAGCGCTGCGATGTGTATGGACGCCGCAGCCGTGCCTGGCCGGCATCCCCGTTTGGGCAGGTCGCGCTCCCATGTGCGGTGTGACATGGCTCGCGCGGCGGTCGGCGCGGCGCTCCCCGCGCGTTCGCAGCGCACCGCGCGCGTCTTCTGGCTCGGAGGTCCTGCGCTGCAGCTCGCGCAAGCACCGCCTGAGCTCTCTGCTGCTTCTGCCTACATCGTGAGGAGGCCTGCGTCTGCATCGCAGCCCTAATCTCAGTCTCAGATGCAGGGCACGCGGCTAGGCGAAGTCTCCTGCCGCGGCTGCGGCGCGGCGAAGCTTCCGGCGGCGCTTGTGCCGCGCCGACAGAAGCAGCACAAAGCAAGCAGATCTGGCGAACGCGCAGGCCAGCGGTCAGCACCTCACTCTCCAAGGCGTGTGCGGCATCGGCGGCTGCGATGAGGATCGTCGAGCGGAGCTGACTGCGACAACGGTTCCGCAGAGCGCAGCGTCTACTGCTCGCCAACGACGCCGGCTGTCGAGTGTTTGCAGGCGCCTCGTACACGCCTCATCGATCCACGCTGCTTGCCGTCTCTTCGAGTCCAGAAGCAGCTTTCATTTCTCCCCACGCTGCGGCACATCCGGCGCGCAGCGACGCAGCTCTCTCACGTCGCGCGCGTGCGGCGCTCTCCGTCTAGTAGATCATCGACGACATGTCCGCCCGGATCCGGTCGTACGACAGCAGGCCCTCGACGCGGCCGTGTGCGGCAATGGCAATGTCGGCGTCCCCTACGAGGCAGGGGTGAGCAGGTGACGAGATGCAAGCCAGACGCAGGCTACTCACAGAGGTACTTCTGCGCAACGCGCTGGATGTCCTTCGGGCCGATGGCCGAGATGGCGGCCTCGATCTCAGCGGGCGTGTAGCGCTTGCCCGACGTGACGAGCTGGCGGCCAATGTCCTCGGCAATGGCCGTCGTGCCGTCGAGGCCGAGCAGCAGGCTCGCCTTGAGCTGGCTCTTGGCACGCTCCACCTCGCCCTCCGTCGGCGCCGAGCTCATGCGCTGCCACTCGCGCAGCGTAAAGTGCACCATGTCGTCGAGGTTCGTCAGGTTCTCCGAGACCATGTAGATGCCCCACAGGCCCGTGTCCGAGTAGCTCGTGCTGAAGTGCATGAAGCTGTTGGCCAGGTTCTGCGAGCTGACAATGTGGCTCAGGCGCGAGCTCAGCAGCGGGCTCGAGCCGAGGCTGCGGTCCCAGTTGCCCATGATCGACTGCAGCACGAGCATCGGGAAGTAGTCGGGGCTCGACCACGACACACCCTCGACGGCAATGGCAATGTTGCACGTCGGCGAGGTGTCGTCGCGGATGCGCACCTCGGAGCCGATGAACTTCGTCGGCGCAGCCGCAGCGCCGCCCACCTTGAGCGGGGCCGACGACGAGGGCAGGTTCGAGAAGTGCTTCTCGGCCAGCTTCACGAGCTCCTCGTGCTCAATGCCGCCGGCACCGACGAGCACCATGCGGTCGGCCGAGTAGTTGGTGCTGATGTACTCAGCAAGGTCCTCGCGCTTGATCGACAGGATGTTCTCCTTGGGGCCGAGGATGGTGCGGCCGAGGGCCTGGCCTGCAAAAGCCACCCGTGCGTCAGCAAGCAGGCCCACGCAGCTGCCTGTTCGGCAGTCCCGCCTCCGTCTCCGTCTCTTGCCCGCTGCACTCACCCTGGAACGCGACCGAGTGCAGGTGGTCGAACACAACCTCCTCCAGCTGCTTGTCCACCTCCTCCTGCTCCCGCAGGATCACATCACGCTCGCGCTCAACAGCGCCGGCCTCGAGCTTCGAGTTCTGCAGGATGTCCGAGATGATGTCGACAGCCTTGTCGACGTCGTTGCGGAAGGCCTTGGCATAGTAGACCGTCTGCTCGCGCGACGTGTAGGCGTTCAGGTGCGCGCCGAGGTTCTCCACCTCGAGCTCGAGCTGGTGCTGGTTGCGCCGGCCGGTGCCTGGTCATCAACGCGTCAGTAATCTGGCAGAGAGAGAGGCCAAGATAATGCAGAGCAATGCGAAGCCCTGGCGATCTCGAGGGGCCGGCAGGCAACGCAAGCCGCCGCAGCTTCAGAGAGAAGTAGCACGCCTTCGCTTCTGCTGCGCTCCATTAACGTGCCCACGCCGCCTATCCCGGGCTGACCCATGCCGCCTATCGCGAGCTGAGTACTCTCCGCATCATCACCGCCTGCGCGCGCTCAACACTCCGCCGCGATGCGCTCAGCACTCACCCTTGAAGGCCATGTGCTCAAGGAAGTGGGCCGTGCCGTTGGTGCGGTCCGTCTCGGCGCGGCTGCCGGCGTCGATCCAGGCGCCGACGGTGGCCGTCTGCGCCGCCGGGTTCGACTCGGTGGCGACGGTGAGGCCGTTGGCGAGCGTCGTCGTCTGCGTGATGGGCTGGAGCGAGGCGGAGAGCGTCAGCTTCGTGCCGGCCAGCGCACGGGCAAGACAGAGGGGGCCTCGAGAGAAGGCCGTGCGCAGAGAGGAGCATCGCAGCTAGCTGCGGCACAGCCTGTACGCTCGCGCTCTCTTTTGTCCGCCTCACGTCCGCCGAGTGACACTGCGACGTCCGGCGCTGCAGCCGCCTCTGCTCATCGGGGCCGGAGCGCATGCTCACCTGGCGCGTGGCGTGCGAGGCAAAGGCACGCGGCAGCGCGGCGACGCGCAGGGCGGCCGGGCGGGGAGCGCGCAGTGCGCTCTGCACAAGAAGGCGAGCCGACATTGCAGCGAAAGGGAGAGGAATGTGAGGGAGGGAGAGGGTAAGGAAGGATGCGCGTGCGCCGGCGATGTCGAGCCGCTCGCCTTGCTTCTCTGGCGGCGACGGCCGGCCGCCTGTGCCGCTCGCACGCCCGGCCGGCGCTGAGCACTCGGCGCCGCGCCGCTGGCTGGAAGCTTGCTCGCGGCGCGGCGCGGCCGCCCGGCGGGCGCCGATGGCCACGTGGCTGGCGCGCCTGCTCCCACGCCGCCTGGACGACCTCCATCCCTCAGCGCCGCGCCCGCGAAGCCTGACCAAGACGGCCTGGCACAGCTGATCGCAAGGCAGATACAGGTCAGCTGTACGGTTCATTATTCTGGTCAGACGTTTCTGGAGCCGTATGACTTATCCTCGGACGGCGCTGTACGGCTACCGGCGCCGGTGCCGCTCCGGCACGGCTCGCGACAACGATCCTTCAGATCGTTTCATCCCTTCCCTGCCTGACTTCGTGCTGCGGCTCGGCATGCGCCTGTCATGCTGCTTCATATGCGACAGGAGCCTGATGTCCCGGTCACCACAGCACACGTACTCATCGCATTGGCTTCTCTTGCCCGTTTGGCGGCCGATGCAACACGGTAGCCTCGTTCACAAGCGCAAGTCACTCCATGCCTTCAGCGCCGGGGTGCGAGTGCGGGTCGCGGGATGATAAACGTTCCGGACGAGCTTCGCTACTATTCTGGGGGCTGCTCCTCATTCACAATTCTGATGCTGATTGAGCACGTCAAACGTCGACGGCGGCTCCGGCGCGACGGCACGCGGGAAGCCATCAGCTGCGTTCTGTGGCTGGCGTCCAAAGTGCCCGGGCTCACAACCGCAACGTGCGCTGCTGTGCGGCCTCTGCAGCTGTCCCTCCACCAAGGGCCTGCTTGTGCGGCTCGCAGTGGTACCTCGATGTCGCTGTTCGACCGCCGACAGCTGCATCTGCCGTGCTGTGACGCAGCAGAGAGAGAGCAGAGAGGTGTGAGCTGCCGCCTGCTGCTTCTACAGCCACCCTTCTGCCGCCCTGGTGCAGGTTTCTCTCACGTCTGAACCGCTGAGCCACGCCTCCTACCCGCCGTCGTCGTCGGTAATCGAAGCACGATTCATGCGGCCGCGTGCCTCGCCGAGCTCGATCTCATCACCCGGCGAGACAGGCGCGGTGCCGCGAGCGCGCTTATTCGGCGGGGAGCGCGGGGATTGCGGCGGCAGCGCGGCAGAGAGCGCAGCCGCAGACGAGAGCGGCGTCGGTGCAGCACAGCGTGAGCCTTGCGCTGCGCTGCTGACAGCAAAGGTGCCGGCACCGCGCCAGCGCAGCAGCAGCACAAGCACGTCTGCCCCTCCCGGCGTTGCAGAGAGTCTCACGGGGAGTTCTGCGCTGCAGCAAGCTGCTCGGGCGCCTGGATCTCAGGCGGCCGGGAGCAGCCACCGCCTCTGCCGTGCAGCAGCAGCTGCGGTCTGCACTGCGCTCAGGCGCTGATGCTGCCCGGTGCTGCGGATCTGCTGCGTTGAGCTTGCTGCGCTGCATCTGGCCTTGCTGCCGCCGGTGCCGCGTCCGCTGCCGCTGCGAACTCGGCGTGCAGCGCGGCGGCGCGAGGCGTCGCTGGCCGCGGCCGTGCCGCCGTGGAGTCGGGAAAGCGCCGTCGCGGCGGCGCTCGCGCCTCTCCGCCTCACACATCGCCGTCGCCGTCGCCGTCGCCGCCGCTGCTGCCTCCTCCCGACCTCCTTCTTCCCACCTTCGCTGCGTCTGCGTTGCGGCGCTCCATCATCCGCCACTCGCACACGCCGTGCCTGCCCCTTTGCCGCGCTCCTCTCCGCGCAGCCGCCCCGCGCGCGTCTCTCCCGCAGCCCCTGCGTGGCCGCCGCGTGCGCTGGCCGCTGCCAGGCCGTCTGGCAAGCGTGCTGCGGCAGGTGGCAGCTGCGGCCTCGCCAGCACCAGCAGCTGTAGCAGTCGCAGCCTCGTCTGAGACGCCAGTCCGCCTCGCCGGCACCTGTCCGCGCAGCATCCGTTGCCGCGCTGCGTCCGCCGAGCAGCATGCCGGCCGACATCCGCTCCTCGCCCTCGTGGGTCGGGCGCACCTCTGTGGCGCCTGATCCTGCATCTCGCGACTCGCCAGCCACAAACGGCGCCGCAGCGGCCGCACGCGCGAGCCTGCTCGGCGACGGCAAGCCCGGCCTGCGCCGCGAGCCGACGTGGGCGCGCAACATCAACTTCGACGGCGGCTTCGACCTCACTGCCTCGCCGTCGCTGCCGCGCGCCGACTCGGACGGCGTGCGGCGAGCCACTGAGGGCCTCGTCGGCTCCACCAGCAGCAGTCCTCGCGCCGCACAAGGCGGCCTGGCATCAGTGCAGACCCGCCCGCGAGGGCTGAGCTGGGACGCTCTGCGCAGCTCCCGTGAGTGCAGCTCCGCAACGCCCGCTGTTGCAGCCTGCTCACACCTCGCTGCAGCGATGCCCAACGAAGAGACGCGCGGCGTGGTGCCGTCGCATGCCCGTGTCGCCAGCCAGGACAGTACAGCGCGGCAGCAAGACCGCGCATCGCCGCGGAAGGCCGGCTCGTCCGGCACCTGGGGCTCTCCACAGGCATCCGCATCGCAGGTTGCACAGTCCGAACGCTCCACACCAAGAGCCGCTGGCACTGCCACGATGGACACGCCAGACGGCACGCCACAGCAGGCCAAGACGCGGCGCTTCGTGGCCACGCCGCCGCGCGTCGGCTCAGAAGAGTGGGCCCGCACGAGCAGCCCGTCTTTCCCGGGCTCCTCGGCAGATGCGTATGCTCAGCGCGGCGACAGCGGCTCGTCTGCTCCCTCGCGCGAGGCCTTTGTCGACATCAACGGCCTGCCGATCCCTGGCGCCAGCCGGCCGAGCACCTCTATGAGCCGCGACTCGAGCCGCGATGCGCTCCGAGAGCCGCGCCGCGACAGCAACGGCACGAGCGGCTCGGCTGGTCTGTACGATGCAAAGCGCGCCAGCGTCATGTCCTTCCAGACTGCGCTCTCTGGCAGCTACCCGAGCAACCACAGCCGGAGCGATCTCGATGAGCGCCTGCAGCAGCTCGACGTCGGCCCGCCGATACAGCCCTGGCTGCAGTCACAGGCGCAGCACGTGTATGGCTCGAGTCCGGACTCTGAGCAGGTGCCTGGCGTGCCTGGAGGCTGGGCCGGCCGCGGTACATGGGCGCCGGCGCCGCCGCCGAAGACCAATGGCCTGCTCGCCTCGCCTCGACAGGCATTCAGTCCTCTTGCAGGCGGCAGCTCGCAGATGAGGCCACGCGCGCCCTCGCAAAGTGCGACCAGCACGCTGGGCTCGCGCTCGCGCTCGGCCTCGGCGTCGGGCTCTGCTGTGCTCGATCTCGGGTCATCGCCGGGGTTGACAGCCGCGCCGCACGATGCTAGCGCCGCCGAGGTCACCGAGGATCTCGACGACGTGGTAATCAGCCGGCCAGACAATGGCGAGAGCGTGCATCGTGACCAGACGGTGCGGCCGGGGCACTCTCGCTCGTCGAGCAAACAGCTGCAAGATGTCACGCGCGACTTTCCTCTGCCGCACCAGCCGAGCCGCGACGCCTCGTACACGTCTCAGGAAGCGGCGACACTGCCCTCGGGCCCGCCGAGCGGCGCGAGCGCTCCTTCGAGCATCTACCAGCGCCGCGCATCTGGCGGCCGGCCGTACGACGATGCCGGACGTCGTGCATCCGCAGGGCGCCTCATGGAGGTACCCTCGCCACAGTTGCGGGCACGCCTCGACTCCTCGCTGCCGCCGTCACCAGCCGGGTATCCGTCCCGCGATGCACCTGGCCCAGTGCCACCAGCCAAGGACGATCCGCGAAGGCTGAGCGAGAGTCGGCAACTGCAGCTCGGGAGCATGGCCTCGCCTGAGCTCTCCGACAACGTCATCCCGCCGCCTCTGCCGGCCAGCGTGGTGGCAGCGTCCTCTCGTGATCGGCAGCACGAGTTCTCGCCGGTGCCCGACGAGGCGCCCGCGCCGGTCTCGGACTTCCGCCGCGCTCCGCTCGCGAAGATCACCACATCGGCCCTCGGCGATGCCAGCGCCACGCCAGACGTAGACACGGACGCACTTCGTGCAGATGCGACAGCCCAGCCGCAAGGCAGCCCTGTCGATCTGTCCACGCCGATGGGCCGCCGATTGTCCTCGGGTCAGATGCTGCCGCGTGCAGCTCTGGCCGAGGCGCCGGTGCAGTCATCTGCGCCTCTCGCCGAGTCGATCTCGCGCGCCTCCTCGCCATCTGCTGAGACGCCGCCTCGTGAGCCGTCGCCGCCGCCAGAGGGCGAGGTCGAGGCGCGCGCCGAGTGGGAGCGCGCGCAGGCGAAGCAACTCGCAGCCGGCGCCAAGAATGCGTCTAAGAACGCCAACGCCGCGCGCAAGACGACGTTCCGTGGCTCGATGAAGCCTCTGCAGATGGTCCCAGCCGCAGAGGTCGCGCGCGATGACCGGAGCGCCCCGATGCGCGCCTCCGCCAGCTACTCGCCCATCGCGTCTCTGGGCACGCTCCCACTTGACTCGCCGCAGGCCGAGGTGCTTGACCCGATGCAGCAGCCGAATGGCCTGCGGCAGAACAGCGCGCCGGTCACAGACGGACCGCTGATGGGCGATGCGAAGGCCAAGGCGCGCACCAGCTCGGGCGTGCTCAGCACGCAGCAGCTGCAGCGCCAGCAGGCGCGCGACCAGCGCCGCAGTGTCGGTGCCATCAACATGGCCATGGGCGCCACAGGCGACATGGCCGGCGGCGCCAACGGGCCGTATCCCTCGTTCCCCTCACCCAGCACGAGCGCCACCAAGGTCCGGCAATACCCTGGCACGCTTCCTCAGCGCAGTCTCGTGGCTCCCTTCGAGCTGCAGCAGCGCCCTGATGGGCTGCTCTCCGGCCTCATTGGTCCCGACGGCGTCCGACGAAGCCCCAACGACCCGGAAGTGTGTCTCGAGTGCATGATGCGCGACGAGGACATGATTGACGTGCACGTGCTCGGCGCCAGCCTCTGGGAGCGCGAGAGCGACCGCGACTTCAGAGAGGCGTGCAAGATCGAGGTCGAGGAGGACGCGCGCAAGGAGCGCGAGCGCGAGGCGCGCAACAACCCGCAGGCGTCGGAAAGCGCTTCTGGAGACCAGGCGCCAGCACCAAGAGAAAGCGTCCCGCTGCCGCCGCGACCGACAGGAGCGCGCGTCCGCGTGAAGCGCGTGGCCAAGGGCGACCCGCTCACGGCCGAGCGTCTCAAGCTGCACACGCAGATGGTCAGTCCGGTCTCTTGCCTCATGCGGCCTGTCGCGACTGCTGACACGCCGTACATCTGTAGAATCCGCCTGCCTCGTCGCACCGGTGGCGCACGCTGCAGACTTTCCTTGCCATCCAGGCCAAGTACATCGCCATGGAGCAGCGCGCACGCGCAAACGCCGGCCTCGATCGAGACCTGCCTCAGCGGCCGTCGCCGCACACAGCGATTGGCTCTTCGGTCGTCACGCCGGACGAGTACGACAACAAGATGGTGCGCACAGGCTCGGGCGGCAGCCCTGCCGACCTGGTGGCCAAGCTCTCGAGCAAGAACCGGGGTCAGCGCGGGTCTGGAAGCCTGCTGATCGAAGAGCAGACTCTGGCGCCTGCGGATCGCGAGGCCAAGGAGCGCGACATTGCGCACGCGCGCGATGCGCGGCGCAAGATGGTTGCCAGCACGGCAGAGCCGTCGACAGCGGTTCTCGCAGGTAGCCGAGGAAGCTACGGCGCAGGCGCGAAGGTGCCCTCACAGCTGCAGCAGTTCGCCGCAGCCACAGAAGACGAGCGCAAGCGCCTGTCCGGGCAGCCACTCGACGAGCAGAGCGCCGGGCATGCCAGCATTCCACGCCGCTCGGCCATGGTCACGCCGACGCCGATGCGTGTGGGCAGCGCGCAGGACCTGCGCTCCATCCAGGGCGCGATGCACGGCACGCCGAATCCCTCTTCGCCCGTGAGCCTGGCGCCGCCGGCTCGGCCATTCGCGCAAGGCGGCAGCTCGGGCGCCCTCACGCGCGCCAACTCTTCTCTCTCGCTCGCGCAGAGCGGGTCGATGGTCGACATGCATGTCGGCCTCGAGGACCGCGTCGAGCACCGTGTGACCCAGCAAGGCTTTGTGCCTGGCTCGCCGCTGGGTGCAGCTAGCCCGGGTGCGATCAACCGCGCGTACTATGGCTTCCCGGGCGATGGCGACGTTGCTCCGCCAGCTCCCGAGAGGCAACAGCAGCCGAGCTACTCGATGCCCGACGAGCGCGACACCTCGCGCGACACGAACCGCGGGCGCAAGGACTCAATCAAGAAGAAGAAGAAGGGCGGCCTGCGCGGCTTCCTTTCTAAGCTGGCCGGCGGCGGTGGCAGCTCGAGCGACCGACAGGCCACGCCATCTTCGTTCGACTACAGTCGCGACTCGAGCTCTCGCCGTTCCCCGAGCCCCAGCAGCGCACGGAACCGGCGCGCTGGCTCTCTCGGCCCGGACATCTCGCTCGACCTGGCGCCGTCGCGCGCGCAGCAAGAGCTAACCCAAAGCTCGCGCGCGTCTACTTCGAACGTCTTGGGCGGCACGCAAGCACCGGAGCCTGAACATGTCGTATCTCCCATCGCCGGCGACGTGTACCAGCATCCGCCGGGTATGAACAGCCAGACTTCGTTCGACATGATGATTGGCGGCGGCCTCGGCGGCGACATGGGCCCCTTCCAGACCGGGCCGCTGCCGCCGCCGCGGCACGACTCGCGTCTGCCACCCGCCTCACCGGCTGTCGAGGAGGCCCCTGCCGTGCCGACGAAGTCACCCCAGCCCACGCAGCAGCGCCAGTCGGGGTCCAGCGCCTTGCGGAGCGTGCCCTCTGGCTCGCAGCTGAACAACAGCGCCCCAGGCGACGGCCGACGCGAGGCTCAGGCATCGTACAACGGCGCGGCAGTGCCTCCGTCGCCAGCCGTCTCCGCAACGCGTGGTACCTCGTCCTTGTGAGTGCCGGTCTGATCACCTTGCGCACCTCTTACTCACGCTTGTCTTTCCTCTCAGTGCGCCTCAACGCACCTCATCGCGCGACACCTCGTCTCGTCCGCAAGGCGTCGGCCAGGATGCGGATCAGGCCAGCATCGCCTCGTCGCGTGCCAGCCGCCGTGAGCAGATGCAGCAGCAGCAGACACCGCCGATGCACAACCCGAATGGCCCGATGGTGCATGGCCGCATGGCCTCTGGCGGCATGCAGGACGGTCGCTCGGGCTACGCGAACAGCGGCAACAACAGCTTCCCGGCGTCTCCCTCGAACTCGAGCACGCTGCAGTACGACGGGCGCAAGAGCATGAACGCTCTGCGTGGTGCTGCCTCTTCCAGCTCGATGCCCGCCGGCGGCTCGCAGCCCAAGCGTCCGCCTCGCAACCCGCAGCGCGACACCGCAAGCGAGAACAGCGCCGCCGACCACGTGCCGCCGCTGCCGTCGTCGCTCTCGTCGAACTTCCAGCAGCAGCAACAGCAGTACTACCAGACCGGCCCACGCGTGACTCAGAGGCCTTCGAGCCGCCTTGACATGCCCGCGCGGGCTATGACTCCGCATCGCAACTTCGCATCGGAGGGCTCCGACGCGACGCCCGCGGCCGAGAAGCGCAAGAGCCGCTTCAAGCTGCCGTCGTTTGGCAAGTCGAAGCGCGAGTCGCAAGTGGCGCCCAAGGCCGAGCCAGCACCGCTGCCACGGCGCGGATCCGGCGACTTCTCGCGCCTCGGCCTTGGCCTGCCGCCGTTCAACCCGGGCACTGGCGCTGCGCCGCAGGCCGGCGGGGACAAGGGACGCATCAACTTCGCCTCCTGGGCCAACCCGACGCTGCGCAGCCGCAGCTCGCGCACGACGGTCGACGACCTGGCCGGCCTGGCGCCGCCCAAGCCCGGCTTCAGCGAGCGCCTGCGCGCCGTCAGCACGCCGATCGACGACCGCGGCCTGCCGCCGCGCTCGCAGTCGGCCATGGGCAAGCTGCCGTCGCAGCGCTTTGCCGGCGGCGGCTTCCCCGGCTTCCGCAGCCGCAGCCGCATGCGCATGCGCGAGGAGGAGTCGGAGGAGGAAGACTAAAGCTAGGCCCATTCCATCTCGCTGCTCAATCTCACCGGCGCTGCCTCACCTCAACGCGCCATCTCTTGCTGCTCGCGCCGACTCCACACGCAACGACTCCCCCTCCCCTGCTACCCGCTCCCTGCGCGAGACGCAAGCCTCGTGCCGCTCAACTGATTCCCCTTTGCACCCTGCGAATGAAAATGCTTGCTCCGGCTCTGCCGCTCCCAGGAGCGCCTCCAGTGCACATCTGATGGCGTCCGGCGGCGCCAGTCACCGCGTGCTCGGCTTGTTGGGTATCGCGCCACCGCCGGCAGCGGCGAGCATGAGCAGCTCCGTGCGGCGCCGCTCGCGCATGCGCTCGATGCGCTGCAGCATGCCACTGCCGTCCGAGATCATGCCGCCCGCGGGCGTTGCGCCAAAGGCGGGTCCGGCCGCGGCCGAGGCGCCACTCGGCTTGCTCTCGGACTCGGCCGGCGGCGCATCGAGGCGGTGCCACAGCTCGTACATGCCGAGGATGTCCTGCACGATCTCGGCGATCTGCCGGATGTCGACGTTGAGTCCGGCCAGGAAGGTCAGCGCATCTGGCGGCGGCGCTGGTGGCGGCGGCAGCGGAGCTACTCGTGGAAGCTCGGCTGGCGCGGGCGCACCAGAGGGCATGGCGCTTGAGTCTGGCGGCGTCGACACGGCAGAGGAGGCGCCGGGCGAGTCGAGCGAGTACGCTGCACCGCCGGCAGAGCGTGGTGTTGTGCCGGCGCCGTGTTGCTGCGGAAAGGGCGTGCTGGGCGTCGAAGTGGCCGCGACACCTCCAGGCCGCACGGGCAGGTGCGCCGGTCGCATCGGCAGCGAGGCCAGACCGCGCAGACTCGAGCTGCCGGGCGCCGGCGAGGCGTGACTCGCAGACGGCGTGTAGGCGTACTGCGGTGACTGAGCGCTCCCTCCGCCGGGCGGCACGCCATTGCCCGCACGCCTCGACCCGCTGGCAGCCGCAGCGTGAGCTTGACCCGCGGCAGCCGACCGAACGGCGTGCTCTTCGCACGCATGCCGCCACTTGTCGCGCCGCGAGGCCATGAGCTGCACCGACTTGCTCATGCGCTGCCGCGATGTCGGATGCAGCAGCAGGCCGAGGTAGAGCGCGGCAATGGCGATGAGATGTGGCGGATAGAGCAGGCTGATGTCGGCGCGGTACGTATCGTTGAGCACGAACCAGGCGAATTGCAGCGCCGCCTCCTCGAGCTCTTCAAGGCGTGCCAGTGGCTGACCATCGTCTCCGCGAGTCAGCGCGGCTCGGTCGGCCTCCCACGCCTTGGCCTGCTCCTCGTCCAGCCCCGCCGCAGCAGCAGTCGCGCTCGCCATCTCGAGATCGACTCCGCCGCCATTACCGCTGCCGAAGCTCGTCTCGTTGAGACCTGGGATACCGAGGCCCAGCCCAACACCCGCCGCCTTGTCGGCACGCAGCAGCGCAGCCTTGCCGACGGAACCGGAGATGGCAAGCAGCGCGCGGTAAGGATGATGGACGATGAGATGGAAGTCCAGCTCCTCGAAGAGGTAGAACTCCATCTCTGCCAGCGCTGCGACGTCGCTAGGAAAGTCGGGATGACCCAACTCTGGGGACAGCAAGTCAGCAAAGGACACAGCTCTACATACGAGCCTTACACACCAGTCCAGATCTTGTGCGCCTCTGCGATGACGGAGCGCACATGCACTGGCGTCTCCTCGACCTTGGCTGCGACATACACGCACGCCGTCGCCACGAGCGCCGGGTCCGTCGCGGCGTAGGCATTGGCCGAGCGGGCGTAGAAGCGGCGGAAGTAGATGCTCGCCGTGGCGGTGACGCGCTGCCGCAGATTCAGCCGCTTGGTGAGCGTGGCGATCACTGAGAGCATGCGTGTCAGCGGCGAGGCATTCCGGTCGCCCTCAAAGCGCATTGTCGACAAGCCTCTCCTGTCTAGGTCACGTCGCCGCCTCTGCGCTCCGCCCGCTACGCCCTCGCCGCTGTTCCACCTGACTCACTGTTGCACGCCCACACGCCAATGGCCGCCACCTCATCCGGATGCTCGGCATACCGCTCGTCCTCGGCGCGCGCCGTGGCCAGCTGTGCGCGAGTGAACAGCCAGTGGTTGCTGTGGGGTGTTGCGTCAGCACACGCTGCCGGCAAGGGCGATGCCTCGAGGGATGGAGGGCCACGTCGCTCCAGCACGGCCAGCCTGCGATGGTTCAGAGCTGAGCGCACGGAGAGGGTCCAGCATAAGGCGCATTGCCGAGCTGCTCTGGCCCGCGCAGAGACCTCCACCATCGCTCCCTGCCCAAGCCACGCCGGTCCTGCATCTCTTCGTCCTCGCTGCACATACGCACCACTGCGACGAGAGCCAGTAGTTGGACGCCATGGCTCCAAGCGCGGCGCCGCGCGACCCGCCGCACGCTGCAAACGGCCGAGCTGCTCGTCGAGTTGCACACTAGCAGCGCAGCCGAGGTGCCCGCATCCACCGGCTGGGGTGCGTGTGCGCGAGGCGCCGGCGGCGATCAGCGTGCGCGCGTGTGCGAGAGGCGAGGTGCGCCGGGCTGGCCGGAACTGTGAGGTGTTCCAAGGTGACGGACACGTCGCAAGATGCTTGAGCGTGGGTGCACGGCTCGCAAGCGATGCCTGGAGGGTGTGGTGGTTGAAAGCCAGGTGGAGTCGAGGGCGAGCGCGGCGTCGGACAGACAGACCGGGTGCTGTTCCCACGGGGCGCGGTCGCTTCCCGACCATCCCGCCTGGACCGTGCGCACTCTTCTCCTCGCACTTCCTTTCACTTCACTTCAAGCTGCCAGCAGCTGCTCAGTGGCAAGACGCAAGGACGGGTGCAGCTCCAACTCTGCCTCAAGGTCCGCCTGCTCTGAGCTCTGACTTACACACTCATTCTCGTCAGTCCAGCCGCGCAGGGCCACGTCATGTCGAGCAGACCAGGCGCAGCGAGAGCTCCGAATCATCAACCGCGACATAGACTCTCTTCCTTCTTCCACCCTGCGTCGCAAGCGGGTCGCGCAAGATCAAGCATTCGTTACACAAGCATTGCGAGGTCGTACCAGACAAGATCAGGCCACGCGCATCGACGCGATGCCGCTGGCCAGCGCAGCCGCGCTGCCGGCCGCGGGTACGGCAAAGATGCAGAGGCGGCCGTCGACGCCGCTGGTGCTGACGTGCGAGAGCTGCTGCGCGTCGCCCTTGTACGGCCGGATGGAGGTGATGGTGTTCTGGTGCGTCGTGTGCAGCTCGCCGTCGGCGCCCACGCTCGCGCCCGCCACGGCACCCAGGCCGCCGGCGACGCTGCCGCTGGCGCCGCTGCCGGCGCTGGCCGAGGGCGCAAACGACGAGGCAGCAGGCACGCCGCGCGCGTCGGCCGACTTGAAGCGGTTGAACGCCTCGTTGTTCAGGCGACCAGGGCCGCCAGGGGCGCGTGTGGGCACGGGCGGCGCAGCAGCTCCGCCAGCGCCGCCCGCGAGCGCCGCAGCGTCGAGCGAGCGGTCCAGCTTCCAGCCGCCCTCGGCGCTGCCCGTGAAGAGCATCGGCTGGCAGTCGTGCCCGGCGGCGACAAGCGAGCCGTTCGAGGCGAACTGCACCGACACATACGGCAGCGTCGGCGAGCGCAGTACGTGCACGGCGTGCGGCGGCGCGTCGGGGCCCGAGGGGTAGGCGATCGTCAGGGACGAGTCGTGGCCTGCGAGGTGGGTCAGCATGTGGCGAGACGGGGATGTGTGGACTGCGTTACTCACCGACGAACGCCAGCGCGTCGCCATCGGGCGAGAAGCTCACGCCGTGCACCCAGCCGCCAGCAGGCGTCTTCCACTCGCCGCACACAGTGCCGAACGGCAGGCGCTCGCCCCACACGCTCGGCGCCGGCTTGGCGTCGATGCCCTTGATGAAGGCACTGAAGACGCGCGCCGTCATGTCGGCGCAGCCGGCCGCCAGCAGCACGTTGTTGGCGTGCCAGTCGAGCGAGAGGATCGTGCTGCGCAGCGGGCGTCGGATGTGCTTGGCGACCCACCAGTCGTTCTCGGCCTCGAAGGAGCACACGGAGATGATGCTGCGAGCGAAGGCGTGAGCGGCTGGGTGAAAAGAAAGGACAGGCAGGGTTCGAAGGCCGACACAGAGAGCTGCGTTACTGATCCGTGCGCACTGCCTCTCAGGCCCTCCAGACCCGCGCAGCACTAACCGGGCACCCGAGGCGACGGCGAACTTGTCCTCGTTGGGGCTCCAGCGCACACACGTGGCGGCGCGGTTGAGGCGCAGCAGCACGAGCGTCGGCTTCCACACCTCGGAGGCGCCGGCGCGCGGCACGGCGTCGGCGTCGCGCGTCCACACGTACGCGTTGCGGTCCTGGCTGCACGTCACGAGGCGGTCGGTGTGCGGCGCCCAGTCGACGCTCGTCACGAGCTTGTCGTGCTCGGCGAGCGTGGCGGCGAGCGTCCATGCGCCGCCGGCGAGGGCGTAGATGAGCACCTCGTGCGAGTTGGGGCACACGGCGACGCGCGTGCGGTCGGCATTGAAGGCGTGCGCGGTGAGCGGGCCGAGGGAGAGGTGGTGCACGGTGGGCGCGGACATGGCGGGCGAGGGTGTAGAGGTGAGATGCGGTGCAGTGCAGGGTGCGCGGCCAAGGACTAGCAGTCTACTCGACGGCGGATGGAGGTGAGGAGGAGGGGTGGGCCAGGCCGGGAGATGTCCGCATGCCTCCACGCCGGCGGGAGTCGCGCGCCGAGGCCGTGCGCAGGGAGCTTCAACTCGGCTGTAGTCGAGGGGTGCGGCCGTTGTACCTGCGAATACAGGCGGAGCACAGCCCCGGCGCAGTGTGACGATCGGCACGCTGCGCGGGAGCAGCGCCGGGGCAGCCGTTGTGCCTGTGCCGTGCGCGCGCTGGCAGCGTGCCGAGCCCGGCCCAGGCAAAGGCACCCCCGCCCGCTGCTGACGCGCGCTGCTGGCCTGTGCTGCTGGGTGGATGCTGCATCCGTCGCTCCACCTGGCGCCCTTCGTTCTTCTCACCCGCACCCCTCCAAGCGCATCGCATCCTCGCGCCTCACGCCCTCTCCACACCGGCCCACACACGCACTCCCGCCCGCCCGCCGCTAGGACCACACGCCGCCGCCGCAAGCATGTACGGCGCCGGCCAGTGGGGCGGCCAGCAGGGCCAGCCGCAGCAGCAGGGCTACATGCAGCCGCAGATGACCGGCTATCCGCAGCAGCAGCAGGGCCAGTTCCAGCAGCAGCAGCAGCAGCGTCCGATGCAGCAGCAGGGCTTCATGCAGCCGCAGCAGACGGGCATGATGGGCATGCAGCCGCAGCAGACCGGCATGATGGGCGGCATGGGCATGGGCATGCAGCCGCAGGCAACGGGCATGGGCATGGGCGGCATGGGCATGGGCATGGGTGGCATGGGCCTGGGCGGTCCCGGCATGGCACAGCAGCGCTTCGGCGGCGGCGGCGCGCCGTCGCCCGGCATGCTCGGCCCTGGCGGCAGTGGCATGCTCGGCGGCCAGCAGCCCAACCGCTTCCTCTCGCCGTCGCCCGGCCTCGCGCCGCAGCAGACGGGCATGATGCGCCCGCAGCAGCAGCAAGGCCTCTCGCCGCAGATGACCGGCTACCCCGGCATGCAGCCGCAGCAGACGGGCCTCATGCCGCAGATGACGGGCATGCCGATGGACCCGCGCATGCAGCTCATGAGCTCGCAGTTCCTGCCGGCGTCGCAGCCGTTCAGCGGCGGCGCACCGCTGGCGTCCAACATGAACTTCAGCAACGCCTCGATGCAGCCGGCCAACTTTCAGTCGAGCATCCAGACGCTCTCGCAGCAGCAGGCCGGCACGCGCGAGCCGCGCATCCCGTGGGCGCTCAGCAAGGAGGAGCGCAAGTCGTACGACGCCATCTTCCGTGCATGGGACCAGCAGGGCACCGGCTTCGTCTCGGGCGACGTGGCGCGCGAGGTCTTCGGGCAGAGCGGCCTCGACCAGGACCGCCTGATGCAGGTGTGGCACCTCTCCGACACGGAGAACCGCGGCAAGCTCAACCTCGCCGAGTTCCACGTTGCTATGGGCCTCATCTACCGCGGTGCGTGCCTAAGTACGCCTTTCGGAAGAGCCCTCCACTGACACGCTGCGCCCACAGCTCTGAACGGCAACGACATGCCCAACGAGCTGCCGCCGGAGCTCATCCCGCCCTCGGCGCGCGACCTGTCGGAGAGCGTCGACTTCCTCAAGGACCTGCTCAAGCGCGACACCAACGTGCGCAACACGACGGGCCTCAACATTCCCGAGGCCGGCAGCAACTCCAACACGTCGTACTCCAAGACGCGCTCTTTCCACGAGAACCCCGTGGCGCCGGGCGCCGGCGGCGTGCCCAAGAAGGACGCCGCCGCGTACAAGCACGAGGACGGCTCCGCCACGAGCGGCTACAAGAGCAGCTCGCGCCATCTCGACCGGCGCACCGTGCGCTACGGCGGCGAGAGCGCTGCCGACGATCTCAGCGAGATGAAGCGCCAGCTGACGAGCACACAGCGTATGCTCGACGATGGCAACAAGTCCGACGACGACGACGATGCGCGCGAGCTCGAGCGCGAGATGGAGGAGCTGCGCTTCCGCATCCGCCGCGTGCAGGACGACATCGAGTACTACAACCGCCGCGGCGGCCGCGAGTCGGGCGAGAGCCGGCGCAAGGCCGAGCGCGAGCTCATGCACCTGCTGCACGAGCGCCTGCCGCTGCTCGAGAAGCGTCTCGAGGCCAAGGACGCCAAGAAGCGCGACCGCCGCCTCGACGAGAGCCGTGCGCGCGACCGCCGCAACGATGCCTCGTACAGCCGCGGCTCGGCGTACCGCGACTCGGACCGCGACTACTCGCGCAGCAGCTCTGCCGCGCAGGACCGCGACGACCGGGACCGCCGCGACGACCGCAGCCGCTACGACGACCGGGAGCGCGACCGCTACGATGACCGCGAGCGCGACGACGAACGCCGTCGGCGAGACGATCGCGATGCGCGCCCGCGCAGCCCGGCGCCCGCACCACCCGCACCGCCGGCCCCAGTGGAGCGCGCCGCTCCGCCACCGCCGGCGCCAGCTGCTGCTCCTGCCGCTGCTGCTCCGCCACCGGCCGCCGGCCCGCCCAAGAACGCCACGCCCGAGGAGCGCCAGGCTTGGATCCGCGAGCAGGCGCAGAAGCGCATCCAGGAGCGCATGCGTGCCCTGGGCGCCGTCGCCCCCTCCTCAGCTCCGAGCGCGCCGGATCCGACTGTCGAGGCGCGGCTTGCAGCTGACAAGGCCGAGGCTGAGGCCCGCTCCGCTCAGGCCGACGAAGAGGCCCGCGTGCGCGAAGAGGCGCGCAAGGCTCGCATCGAAGAGCAGCGCCTCGAGCGCGAGAAAGTCGCCGTGCAGACGGTCAAGGCGGAGGTCGCCGAGCAGGCGGCCAGCGATGCGCCGCCGCCGCTCGCCGTCGTGCAGGCGGCCAAGGAGGAGATCAACGACCAGGAGGAGATGATCCGCCGGCGCGAGGAGGTGCTCAAGAAGGAGAAGGAGGAGCGCATGGCGCGCCTCAAGAAGCTCGAGGAGGAGGAGGCAGAGGCACAGCGGCAGGAAGAAGCCTTCAAGCAGAAGCAGAGCATGTTCGCCAGCAAGCCGGCTACAAGCTCGGCCCTGCCGGCACCGGCGCGCAAGGGCAAGGGCGGCCCGCCGCCGCCGCCGCCGTCGCGCAAGGCTGGCGCGTCTGCAGCTGCCTCGGCCGCTGCGCCGCCGCCTGCGCCGCCTGCTGCCCCGGCGGCTCCCACGCCGCCGGCTCCGCCGGCGCCGCCAGCTGCGCCCGAGGCACCTGCCGCCGCGCCCGGCTCCACGAACCCGTTCCACCGCATGCAGGGCGGCGCGCCCGCTGCTGGTGCTGCAGCCGCAGCCAGCACGAATCCCTGGGCCGCATCGTCTCCCGGTGGCCTTCCCGCTCCCTCGCGCTCGGCGGCGCCATCCGCCCCTGCTGCGCCCGCGCCGCCGACATCGTCCGCCTTCCGCGCGCCCCCATCGCGCGCCGCGCCGGCCGACGACGACTGGGGAGACTCGGACAAGGACGACGACGATGACGATGACCCGGACGGACCTGGCAGCAGCTCGCGCGCCACGAGACAGAACCTCGCCGCCGCGCTCTTCAGCGGCCTCGTCCCGCAGGCCACCGGCCGTGCCACGCCGCCGTCCGCTCCTGCCACGCCCAAGTCGGCACCGCCGCCGCCTGCCGCGCCGCCCGCACCACCAGCTCCTCCGGCCGCCGCGGCGCCGCCTGCACCGCCTGCTCCTCCTGCTGCGCCTCCGGCCCCGCCGGCGCCTCCTGCTGGCGGCCCGCCGGTCTTTGGCGCGCCTGCGCCACCGCCGCCGCCGCCGGCCGCACCTTCCGGCCCCTTCGTGCCGCCGCCGGAGGCCGGCAACCGCGGAGCGCTCCTCGGCGCCATTCAGGGCGGCCTAAAGCTGCGCAAGGCCGTGACAGTGGACAAGTCTGGCCCGCTCGTGGCCGGTGCCGTCAAGGGCGACCCAGGCCCGCCGGTGCAGAAGTACGTGCCGCCGCCGAGCCCTCCGCCTGCGCCCGCAGCGCCGATGGCTCCGGAGCCCAACTGGAACCGGCAGTCCGTCGACTGGGCCAACAACATGGCCGTCGACCAGATGAACGGCCAGAAGGCCAGCCTGCTGCCCGATGAGCCGTCGGTGCGCGAGGAGCCCGAGGACAGCGGCGACGAGGACGAGGCGCCCGAGGACCCCAACGGCCACAACCTGCCGGCCCTCAGCGTCGAGCCCCCGAACGGCGGCTACACACCTGCCGAGATCGACACGCCTGCGACTGCCGCAGCGGCTGAGGACGCGACTGCTGCAGACCCCGAGGACCCGACGGCCGACTACGACCTCACGCAGTCTGTGCGCTGCCGCTCACTGTATGCGTACGAGGCACAGCGCGACGAGGACCTTGGCTTCGAGGAGCATCAGGTCATCATCGCGCACCCGGCCAAGGACGCCGGCGGCGACTGGTGGTACGGCACGCTGCTCTCCGGCGCCGCCGGCACCAAGGGCACCTTCCCCAAGGCCTACGTGCAGCCTATCCAGCGTGAGTCCCACTCAATGCGCTGCCATCTGCACACTTCGCTGACCATCTCGTTACGACAGCTGCGCATGCCAAGGCGCTCTACGACTTCACAGGCTCTTCGGCCGAAGAGGCAAGCTTTACTGTCGGCCAAGAGCTCATCGTCGTGGACCAGGAGGACCCGGACTGGTGGCGTGTCGACCACGCGGACCAGATCCTCATCGCGCCGGCGGCCTACCTCGAGCTGAGTGGTCAGTAAGCTCGCAGTCCGCACCTCGCCCAGGCCACACACGCCACCTCTGTCCCCTCGCCTTGCCGCCTTCCTCCCTCCCCTCGCTTTCCCCCTTCCTCGACCGCTAGCTGCGGTAGGCCTTCGCGCTTGCACAGCGTGTGCTCGGGGCAGACTGGGGCGTTGGGTGCGCGTGCGCTTGGTGGCAGGAGAGGCGGAGCGGAGCTCGTGCGCATCTGCTCGCTGTCCCCCCCTTCGTGGGGGCGTGCGTGCAGTGCGGACGCGCTCTGCCTCCGTCTTTGCTTCCATGGCGTCTCCGCTCCCTGCCTCTCTCTGCTCTGGGCACACTGCTGAGACATGCCTTCTCCCCCTTGCCCTCCTCCCACATGTTCATCAAACCCGACACGCGCGCGTGAATTGATAGTCGCTCAACGAAGCGAGGTGCCCAAGCCGGCTGCTGGCAGCGCAAGCACGCCGCCTGCTGAGCCTGTGCCCGTTGCGGCCAGGCTGGCGGATGCGCCGAGCGCTGTAGCTGCGCCACCCGTGCTGGCACCTCTGGCGCCCGAGGCCCGAGAGCTAAGCTCGCTGGGCAGCCCCGCAGACGTCCCCGACGTGCCGCCGCGGCTCGCCACGCCTCCGCCAGGCACGGACGAGGCGTTGCAGCAAGCGCTGCGCGAGTCGCAGCAGCAGCATGCGGCCCTCGAGCGTCTGCAGGACCCTGGCGAAGACGACGCGGCGGCGCTGCGTCAGGCTCTCGACGAGTCGCAGAAGGACGACCGCTTGCTGCGCGTGGCCCGAGCACGAGAGTGAGTTTGAGTCTGAACGGCATCGATGCTCGCACGCAAGGCTCACATTCTGCCACCGCAGGGAGAAGGACCTTCAGCGGGCGCTGGAGCTGTCGCGACAGGCTGCGAGCACTCCGCCGCCTGCCGAGCCCGCTGCGCAGCTCAGCGCCTCCGAGCTGGTCGAGACGGCCGACGATGACGAAGACGACTCCTCTGATGAGTCGGCCACCGGCTGGACATCAAGCGAGGACGAGAGCGAGGAAGAGGAGGCCGCCGAGATCGAGACGGAGGAGACGCGCCGGCAGCGAGTCATGGAGCGGCTGCGCGTGCTCGAGGCTGCCGGTGTGATCGTGCGTAACGAGGACGAGACAGCCGGCGGCGAGGACGGGGATGCAGCGGAGGGCAACGCTCCAATGCGGCGACGCAGCACAGTGCGTCGCAAGCCAGAGGCACCCGAGCGACGCAAAACGGTGCGCCGGAACCGCAGCAAGAGTGCCCTCAAGCCTCGCCCCGAGCGGCCGCTGCCTCCGCCTCCCGCGCCGGTCGAGCCCGAGAAGCAGATCGACGATGCGTACGACCGCTTCCAGCGCATGGCAGCCGAGGTGTCGCTGAGCCAGGAGTCGAGCGCAGCCGCCGTCACGTCGCCGAAGCGCGCTTCACGCCGGACCTCTGCTGGCCCTGGGGGCTCCGCGACGCCGCCGATGCCCTCGTCCCCGCCGCCAGAGAGCGCCTCCGCCGGATCGTCCAGGTTTGGCGCGGGAGAAGGCCGCACCTCGCACTTCCTCAGCACCATCAAGGGGCTCGGCTCGCGCAGAGGCGCCGCCAGTCCAGCCGAGCGCAAGGCGACGCCAACGATCTCCGGCCCGATGGCGCTCGGCTCGCCTTCGCTCAACTCACTCTCGTCCGACGTGACAGAGGGCGGCTTTGCAGCCGAGCAAGCTGCCATGACGACGTCTGGCTGGGCCAGCATGGTGCCGGCCGAGGTGCTGAGCTCGCTGTCGGACAAGGAGCGCAAGCGGCAAGAGGCCATCTTTGAGTTCATCGCGACAGAGAGCACGCATGTGCGCGACCTGCAGATCATCGTCGAGGTCTTCTTCAACGAGATGCATGCCTCGGGCCTGCTCAGCGCCAAGGCCTCGCGCGTCGTCTTTGCCAACGTGGAGGAGGTGCTGCTGGCGGCCGTGTCGCTGCTGTCGGACCTCGAGACGCGGCAGCGCATGGAGGTGTACGTGTCGAGCATCAGCGACATTCTGGCGCGGCACATGCCGGCCATGCAGGTTTACCTGCCCTACTGCGTCAACCAGACGTCGGCGGCGCAGATCCTGCAGAGCGAGCGGCAGCGCAACCCGGCGATCGACGCTCAGCTGCAGACGCTGCGCCGTGAGCATCCGGCGGCACGGGGGCTGGACCTTTCGAGCTTCCTCCTGATACCCAGTGAGTCGCACGCACCATGTCGCTGCTGTGTCTGAGCCGCAGCTGATGTGCCCTGCGCAGTGCAACGCCTCACGCGCTACCCTCTGCTCATCTCGCAGATCGAGCGCTACACCGAGCCCGACGTGGGCGATGCCGAGGCGCTGCACTCTGCGCTGCGCATGTCCGAGTCGATTCTGAACAAGACAAACGAGGCGATCCGCGAGCGCGAGACGCGCGAGCGGCTGCACGCCATCTCGGAGGATCTCTGGGTCGGCAAGGCGGCGGTGAGTGGCCTGTACGGAGACAGCGCACCTGAGGTGCCTGACTGAAGCCCACCTTCTGCAGCGCCTCGACCTGACCAAGGACACGCGGGCGATGGGTCCGCGGCGCATCGTGCGCGAGGACGTGCTGACCAAGGCCAAGTCGGGGCGCAAGCTGACGGCCGTGCTGTGCTCGGACCTGCTCGTGCTGCTCAGCGAGCGCAAGCTGTACCGCATGCCCATGCCGCTCGAGGAGCTCGTCGTGCGCGAGGTGCCCGCTGGCCTGACTGGTCGCGGTGAGTTGGATGAGCTGGACGTGCAGCGTGCGCATTTGACTCATTGTCTCCTTGACCACAGACGACCTCGCCTTCCAGCTCGTGCACGGCGGCACGGACAAGATCAACCTCCGCGCCAGCTCGCCGCGTGCGTGCCACGCCTGGATGCAGGCCATCAACGAGGCGCGCTCGGCATGCCTCGAGGCATCGGTGCGTGGGCAGCAGGACAGAGGAGAGGTACCAGCCGCCTGACGGACCCCTTCTTCCCACAGATGCGAGCGCCGCGGCAGGCTCGCCACTCGGGCGCGGCAGTCTCGGTGTTCTAGAGGTTCCCACACCCCCTCGTCTGCTCGAATGAGCCCTTCCTCTCCATGCAACGCATGCATACCTGCACCCGTGCAGCCCTGTGCTCCGCTGCGCCGGCGGCATGCACCCTCGCTTGCGGAGGCAGCGCAAGGCGCACGGCATGCGTCGACGCAGGGTGCGCCGGAGCCCGCCTCTGCTGGCCGGAGGAGCGGCACGGTCGGTGCACGCAAGCAGTCGGCACATTCCTCGCCTGCGTCCGACGGTCCGAGTCGCTGATTCTGCACTCTGCATCGCTGACGTTGGCCGCGGCCGTCTGGGGTGACGTGCAGTAGCTGCAGCGCTCTCGCTGGCGCTGTCCTGGGTCCGAGCATGGCCCTGCGCTGCGGCGGTGGGCGGAGAGAGAGCGGAGTGGCCGTGCGCGCAAACGGCCCCTGGCAGCGCATGATGTCGCGCGCCGACGCGGGAACGAGTCCTGCGGCTGCGGCGATCAAGCGGTGCCATCTGGAGATGGGCCGCCTGAGGACCCACAGCTGCTGCGCACTGCGGACTGAGCACGACATCGCGGCGAGCGCAACGACGGCCGGCGTATTCGTCGAGACGATTTCGAGCGGCGCAGGCAAGGGGTGCGCTGGCAGCAGACTTTGCGAGCGAGCGCATCCCATCCCGGCGGCGTCTCCTCGCACACCTGCAGCCGTCTCACCGCAGCCAAGCGCAAGGCCAGACGGACGGGAGGCTGAGCGCCCGGGTGCAGGCCGATGCGTGGACAGCAAGCACAGGCAGCGAGGCTCCGCGCGGCTCCGAGGCATAGGTCGCATGGCCAGCGCCTCAACGCCAGCATCAGCGTGAGAGTCAGTGGGCGGCGGAGAGTCCGCAGCGCGACGCGTCTGCCTTGCATCGGAACAGCGAGAGATCGCGATGCCCGGCATCTCGTCCGCAGCGGCCTCGAAGGAAGAGGTGCTGCTCTGCGGCTGCGTGCTGCGGCGCAGGGAGAGAGCGCCACAGCAGGGGCGCCGAGCGCTCCCGTCGGGTGCAGGCGCAGGCGACGCGTCGTGCTCGTGTGGCTTGCACTAGCGCCCCTGCGCTGCACCCCGGAGCTCGCCGCGCCGCAGCGCAGCACGCGAGAGAGAGGCGAGCCGCTGCGAGAGAAGGGATGCGCAGCGAGCGGGAGGGTGCAGCGCGAGGGCGGCGAAAGGTGCGGCGCAGCTGCAGCTGATGCGCCGTGCAGGGCAGCGCAGGCGGCCTGAGGGCCCTCCGAACAGAGCTCCCCTTCCTCCGACTTGCTGCCTCTGCTCCTGCAGCGGCGGGCTGCGTTACGCCGCTCTGCTGCAGGCAGCCTGCGCTTGTCTGCGGGCCTGTCTCGCGGACCCGGGCGCGGGGTGCAGCGTGGCGGGCTGGCGGCGCTTTGCCTTGCGTGTGCCGCTGCCGCCTCGCCCTCCTTCATTCTCGCGGGCTCGGGCCGCCTCGAGCATCAGCCCAGACTGCAGACTCCGGCGTGTGGGCGTGCCGCTGATCGCCGTGCTCGCGGGCCAGCTGGGCGCCGCCGCCTCGCCGCTCTCCCCTTTTCTCTCACCATCACCACCGCAAGCCTCACTCTCGCCGGCCTGCATCCCTCGCCGGCGCTCGCGTCCTAGCCGCCTTGCGCCTTCCTCGCGTGGCCATATCGCGCCGCTCTCTCCCGGCTACGGCGCGCCGGCGGGACCCATGACGCCGCCGCCCTTTGCCTCGCCCGCTCTCTCGCACTGCTCCTCGGGCGGAGCGTCGTCGCCGCACATGCCCAGCACGCCCGACTCGGCGCTCGGCTCGCCCGGCGCCGCGCCGCTCGGCTTCGGCGCCAGCAGCAGCGGCACCAGCAGCAGCGACACCGGCCTCGAGGCGGCGCTGCCGCTCTTTCCCAAGACGCCGCCGCGCCCGCCGCGCGCCGCGCGCAGCAGCCTGCGCCCCTCGACCGCCGGCTCGGCCGCCGTCCGCACGCTGCGCCACCACTCGCGCGGCGAGGCCGCCGTGCCGCTCGACGTCGAGGCAGACAGCAGCGACATGCCTGCCAGCGACGCTCTCGAGGGCCCGACGAGTCCGCTGCTGCAGGCGCTGCGCAGCAGCGGGCCGCGGCCATCGCAGCGCCCCGCGCGCCAGCGCGAGAGCTCGACGACGAGCAGCGCCGGCAGCACGCCCAGCCTCGCCTCTGCCGAGAGCGGCGAGTCGTGGCACTCGGGCGCTGGCCCGTCGTCGCGCCAGCCGCTGCAGCGCATTGCTGCGCCCGCCGGCGCACCCTCGGCCGTGCTGCTCTCCTTTGGCTCCGCTGGCATTCCGTCGCACAAGTTGGGCTCGGCGTCTCGCGATGGCAGTCGAGAGCAGGACCCGACGGACGCGGCGGTGCGCCGAAGATCGCGGCGCGTCGGCGTGATTGCTCCAGGAACGGCATCAGGGGCGGCACTATGTGACACAGACGAAGTCGGTGCCCCTCTCGCATCCGCACTGCGTCCTCGCCTGCCGGTCGACAGTCCGCTGTGTGCGCGTGCCTGCGCTCCTCGAGCGAGCGCCAGTGCCAGCGGCCTCGATCGCAGCAGCAGCCGCCGCTCTGGCGCTCCTCCCGCACCCTCATCTCCCTCGCTCCCAAACATGCCCGTCGTCTCGTCTGGCGCGATGGCCGGCGCGGCCGGTCTGTCGCAGCCGCACCCCAAGCAGACGCCGCCGCCGCCAGTCGGCAACCCGCTCTTCGCCGCACTCAACCAGGCCGCCTCGCAATCTGCGCTCAGCCTCGGTCTGCCCGTCTCGCCTTTGCCGTCTGCGCGCTCGCTCCCGGAGCCTGCGCCACGCCAGAAGGACGCACAGGGCTGGAACAAGTTCAGCGTCGGCGGCACACCGGGCTCGTCGCCGGCTGTCGTCTCCAGCGCGCAGCCGTGGACGGCCGAGCAGGCGCCCAGCTCGCAGCCCTCGGAGAGCGCGAACCGGACCAGCACGGGCAGCGATGCTGCGTCCGGCGGCTACCTGAGCTGTGGCAGCACGAGCAGCCACGGCAGTCGCAAAGGAGGATCTGCCGAGCACAGCGAGGCCAGCGGCAGCGAGCATGGAGGCAGCTCGTCGAACCTGCGCGAGCGGCGCCTGCGCATGCGCGCCGAGAAGCTGCTCTCGGCCGGCCAGGCGCTGCCGCCGGAGCTGGCACAGAACCTTGCGCATATCGACACCGATCTCGCAATCTCGCGCCGCAAGGCCACCGTCAACAAGAGACTCTCTGCACAAGCGACTGCACGACCGGCGCAGGCCCTCAAGACTGAGGTGCCGTCGCTGCCCGAGGAGGCGTCTCAGGAGAGCGAGTCTGTCAGCCCGCAGGACGACATGGACACGCCGGCACCTGCGCCAGCGACGGCGCGGCGAGCGCGAAACTTGTCGGGCAGCGGCAGCGAAGTGCAGAGCGGCGACTCGGCAGCGTCGCACCAGACGCCTGCGGCCCGACATGAGCGTCCGGAGGAGCCTCGCCGGCGGCCGTCGGTGCCAGACGATGCGCGTTCCTCGACCGACATCCGCTCGCTGCCAAGCGTGCCAGACGGCGTCAGTGTGCGCAGCTCTATCGACTCTGCAGCGCCGTTCGATGACGACGATGAGGAGCCGGACCTGCCATACCGCACAGGCCAGAGACGTGACAGCGAGTCGAGCAGCGCGTCCGGCAGCTCGCTCAGCACGCTCGACGGCGAGGGCGTCGTACTCGTCTCTGTGGCGAAGCGCGTGACCGCCAAGTCTGTGGGGCGTCCCGCGCCACGCGGTGCACTAGCCGCCTCGGCCTCCTCGCCAGCCGCAGACGGCGACCGAAAGATGCTCGCTGTCGCTGCTCAGCGCCCACACTCGCGCTCGGTGGGAGCGGACGACGCGCCTTCTCCTACGCCGTCGCGCAGCCACACTCTCGATGCTCAAGTGGACGCTCGCAGACCGCCGCTGCCCGGGCGCGGCAGCTCATGGGCTCCCCAGACGCCGGCAACGCAAAAGCTCATTGCGGCTCAGCGGCCGCGCACGAGCGAGAGCGAGAGCGCAAGCGACGCTCGCATGCGCCCGAGCGCGTACGCTCCTGCTGCATCGCATGCGCGTGTGCCCAGCTCGAACCGCACATCTGCAAGCAGCGCAGCTGGCAGCGACTGGGACCAGTCGAACCCAGCGGCCGGCGCACGCAATCTCGGGGTGCAGAAGTGGGCTGGCTATCGACACGGCAACGCCAGCCAGGAGAGCGCCGTCTCTGCTCTGCGCATGGCCAACGACAGTGGCGGCCGGAGCCGTACCAGCAGCCAGGCGTACCCGACGCCGTCGCCGTCGGCGCGCCAGCAACAGCGCGACTCGCAGCTCTCGCAGCAGTCGTACTCGACACACGGCTCCGGACCCTCGTCCAATCTGCACGTGCGTCCCAGCACGGCCTCGAGCGACGGACGTTCGCCCGGTGCACGCACGTATGGCGGCGACAGCCCCGACCGCATGTCGCTCAGCGTCAACTCAGCCTGGCGCGCGGCGGCACAGCCCATCAGTCCAGCTGTCTCGCACGCATCCGGCGGTGCAGGTCTGGCGATGCAGCTCGAGGAGCCGGACATCGACCTCGTCGTCGACGAGTCGCGCAGCAACGCAGAGACGTCGCTGTACGCCGTGCGTCGCCGGCTCGTCGAGACGTATCCGAGCCTAGGCAGCAGCCGCTCGGCGTTTGCTCTAGGCCGTGGCCATAGCTCGCGCAAATCGATCGATGCTTCCGAGGCCAGCAAGGCTGCGGGCTTCGGTGTGCTGGTCGGCAACGAGAAGGACGCACGCAAGCGTGAGGAGGCACTCGAGGCGCGTGAACGCGAGATCACCATTGAGGCCATCTGCAAGGACGAGGTCGCGGTCGTCAAGATCGAGATCTGGACCGAGGCACGCAGCGGCCGATGGATCGTTTGTGGCCCTGCTCCACCGCACTGTGAGTCTTGCCCAGGTGCTTTGGCCCGCATTGAGCTGACCTGTCGATCCGTAGCCACGCCGGTTGCTGCCCTTCCCGAGATCACGGACCCGTGGGGCATCCCGATCGATGCCAAGGGCATCGTGCGCCGCCGCAAGCTCAAGAGCAACGTGGAGATGGTGAGCACGGCGCTGTCCTGCAGCACGGACACAGCCACTGACCCCGCCGCCGCAGAGCTCCACGCGGACCGTTGTGCGCTGCATTGACTGCGCCGAGGCGCGCGACAAGGGCATCGGCTGCCGCTGCCACACGTGCGGCGACTCGCGCTGCGTCGAGATGGTGTACGTCGTGCAGTGCGTCGTGCGCCTGGCGCAGTTCCTGCCCCTCAAGCTGCCGACGCACCACATCATGGGCGCCAAGCAGCCCGGCGTCAAGTACCTGGACTCGCCCGAGCCGGCCTATCGCGAGGCAGTGCTGCGCGACCGTGCCATCGATGGCTTGCAGGCGGCTGCGGGCCGCGTTGGCCGCCAGCACCACGCCGAGCACGGCTCGCGTCTGCTCATGGGCAAGGCGACGATCACGCGCGCCGGCGTGCTCACTGTCGCCGTGACGAACAGCAAGGGCAAGGGGCGCCGCACGTTTGAGGTCGAGGACGGCGTCGACGGCAACATCACCGAGCTCGAGCTGCCCGCCAAGGACGGCAGCGGCGGACGCCGCTCCAGCCGGGAGCGCACGCGCGACTCGGGCTTCTCGTCGGAGGCCGCCAGCACGTACGACTCCATGGCCAGCGCTGCTCGCACCGGCTCGCCCGGCTCGATGCGCCCCTCGTTCCTCGCCACCGATCCCGAGCGCGACAGCTACTACGGCGGCGCTCCTTCAACGCGCTCGCTCGCGCCGCAGTCTTCGCGCAAGTCGCTACGCAGCCTCTTCAGTCGCTAGCCAACACGCCCGGCTCTCGTCGATCGTCTCTCCTCTCTCTTTCCCTCTCTCCTAATGTCACCCTCAGGGCTACCCCACACTGTCACCTCCTCACTTATTGCGCCGGCCCGCGTTCTCGCCTTGCTGTCACCTCGCTGTGCTTAAGTCTAGATAGCCCTTTACATTATCACGCCGTCTCCCGCAAAGCCCTCGCGCGCTGGTCGCATTTTGAGTGAGAGGCAGCCTCTAGTCTCTGGCCTCGGGGTTGCCCTCCGGGTTGCCGCCCGCCTTGACCTTGGAGGGCATGCGCATCGAGTTGGGCAGCGCCAGGATGGGCTCGCGCGGCAGGCGGGCGGCGGCCATGGAGCGCGCATCCTGCGCCAGCACGGCGTCCATGATCACGAGGGCCGCCATGGCCTCGACGATGGGCACCGCACGCGGCACGACGCACGGGTCGTGCCGGCCGCGCGTGGCGAGCACACCCTCCTTGCCGTCGTACGTTGCCGTCGTCTGGTTCTGCGAGATCGTAGCCGGCGACTTGAAGCCAACACTGCAGGGCGTGTCGCGTCAGCCTCTTCTCTGCTTCTGCCTGCAGCGCATGTCACCTACCGGAAGTAGATGTCCTCGCCGTTCGAGATGCCGCCCTGCACGCCGCCGCTCCAGTTCGTGAGCGTGCCGAGCGAGCCGTCGGCGCGCTTGTAAAAAGCGTCGTTGTGGCGGCTGCCCGGCACCTCGGTGCCGCGGAAGCCACTGCCAATCTCGAACGCCTTGGTCGCTGGGATCGAAAGCATGGCATGGCCGAGCTTGGCCTCGAGCTTGTCGAAGCACGGCTCGCCCAGCCCAGACGGCACCCGGCGGATCACGCACGTCACCGTGCCGCCGATGGAGTCGTTGCGCGACTTGGCCAGCAGGATGCGCTGCCAAGCCGTGATCAGCTCGGCGGCGTTGCTCGGCTGTGAGCTTCGGCACTCACCTGGCGCATGCGCTCAGCGGCAACGGGGTGCGGGCAGCGAATGTCTGTCTTGTCCACCTGCGCCCGCGTCACCTCGTTGAGCAGCGCACGGAACTCCTTGCTCAGTGCCTCCTCTGCCTCCTCCTCCGTCATGCCGTTCGTGTCGATGTGGTTGTCGACGCTGCTCGTCGGCGCGGCAGCGGCATCGCCCGTCGCGGCCTTGGCAGCCGAGTCGGACGCCAGCTGCTCGCCAGGGAAGCGCGGGATGTGCACGGCACCGACGGAGGAGACGAACGCGACAATCTCGACGCCAAAGGCCTGCGCAAGGTAGCGCTCGGCCACCGCACCAGCAGCCACACGGCCTGCGGCGGACTACATGAGTCGCTGTCCCGGCACAGCTCTGACACCAGCAGCTCACCGATGGTCTCGCGCGCACTGCTCCGCCCGCCGCCGCTGCTCGCCTTGACGCCGTACTTGTCGAGGTACGTCCAGTCGGCGTGCGAGGGGCGCGGGTAGAGGTCGAGCGTCTCGTCCTTGTAGTCGTGCGGCCGCTGGTCCTGGTTCTGCACCAGCATGGCAATCGGCGTGCCGAGCGTGATGCCCTGCTCGACGCCCGACTGGATCGTCACCTTGTCCTTCTCGTCGCGCTGCAGAGGGAGATCAGCAAGGCTGCCATGAGGTGCGATCACTGTACGCGTGCAGATGCACGTCTGCACTCCCTCATGCCCCGCTAAGGCTCTGAGCGCGCGACGGTGGTTGCGACGTGCTCGAAGCCTCATTTACCCCACAAGGCAGCGTCGATACACTGTCGTGCTCCTGACTGCAGGTTGACGGCGCCACAGGAACAGGCTTGGTACGCCTGTGGGCTCTCCAACTGCAGCTCACTTCGCCTTGGCACCGCACCGCCATGCTCCTCAAGAGCAGCCCGTACTGCGCCCTTTCTCGCCCATACGCTACACCTCTCCTCTGTCCCACCTCTCTCCTGCACTCACCGGCGTGGTGAGGTCGCTCTGCCCGGGCCGCCGGCGGCTGAGCTGCACCTGCACGTCCTCGTTGCGCAGCGTCATGCCCGGCGGCACGCCGTCGACGATGCAGCCGACGGAGGCGCAGTGCGACTCGCCGTACGTCGTGACGCGGAAGTGCTGGCCGAAGGTGGACATGGCGCGCGTGGGTTGTGGGTGCGGGGATGAAGGCGAGAGGCAAGCTGCGAGAAGGCGCCGCTGGCCCGGGAGCTTCTTCTCCACGGCGCGCCCCGAGTCAGCGCGGCACGTGACCGCGGGCCAGATTAGCCGTGCCGCGCCTGCTCTCACGCCCCGCAGCGCACCGAGCGGCCGTCTGCCCTCCATGCGGCTGGAGTGGCAGGGAAGGCGAGCGAAACGAGGCACGCCGCAGAGGCAGAGCCAGTGCTCGACGTAGCTGCACCCCCTGGCGGACAGCGCAGGCGTCGTGGAGAGCAGAGAGGCGCAGCGGGGCGCGCGTGTGTTGGTCTCGCGGGGCGGCACGCGCGCGCGCGCCGCGCGGCAGGGGGCTGCACAGCGGCCGCACGCACGGGAGCGGAGCCGTGCACCGCCGATGAGGCGAGGCGAGCACGCTCCTCGGCCTGCCTCGCCTGCCTTCACACCCTCACCTCGCTCTCCTACGTTCCACTCGTCTCCCAGCCACTGCTTCTCGCAGCCAGCGCAGCGCACGCATCGTTGCGCCTGCTCTGCCTACTCGCGCGCCGCCGCCCGCGCTGCGCACGCGGCCGCCGCCGAGCCGCGCCCTCTGCTGCGCGTGAGCGCGTGCACGCGCCGCACCTCTCGCGCCCGCCATGTCCGGCAACGTCAAGGTCGTGTCGCGGTGAGCTGCAGCAGTCCCACAGCGGCCCATGTACCGCAGCCCACTTACCGCTGCCTAGGTTCCGCCCGCCAAATGCGCTCGAGCTGCGCGAGGGCGGCGACATTGTCGTCGACTTTGATGAGGGCGAGAACACGACGGTGAAGCTCAAGCACGGGCCCGCCTCGGGGCCCGAGGCCGGCGGCTTCACCTTCGACCGCGTCTTTCCCATGGGCACGCGCCAGAAGGATGTGTTTGAGTTCGGCATCAAGGAGACGGTCGATGGTGCGTGTGCCGAGGACGGGGTGGAGGCGTGATGCAGGCCAGGCTGCGATGAGGCGTGCTGCTCTGCTGACTCGGCGGCCCAGACGTGCTGAATGGATACAACGGCACCATCTTTGCATACGGCCAGACGGGCTCGGGCAAGACGTTCACCATGATGGTACGCGGCACACGTGGCCAGCTCGCTGCGGCGCGTTGCTGATCTGGCGTGCTCGCAGGGCTCGGACATCGACGACGAGAACCTCAAGGGCATCATCCCGCGCATCACCGAGCAGATCTTCGACAACATCATGGCCTCGCCGCCGCACCTCGAGTACCTCGTCAAGGTCTCCTACCTCGAAATCTACATGGAGCGCATTCGCGACTTGCTGGCTCGTGCGTATTGCCGCGCTGGAGCAGCGTGGCGCCGGCGCTGACGGTCACGACGCACAGCGCAAAATGACAACCTGCAGATTCACGAGGAGAAGAACAAGGGCGTGTACGTCAAGGGGCTGTCGGACTTCTACGTCGGCGGGCAGGCAGACGTGTATGAGATCATGCGGCAGGGTGGCTTGGCGCGGGCGGTGTCGTCGACGAGTGAGTGGCGCAGATTGGCCTGGATTTGGACGCGGCCGCTCACGTCGTGCATTCAGACATGAACGCCGAGTCGTCGCGCTCGCACTCGATCTTCCTCGTGACGATCCAGCAGCGCAACACCGAGACAGGCTCGCAGAAGACGGGCAACCTGTACCTCGTCGACTTGGCAGGCTCGGAGAAGGTCGGCAAGACGGGCGCCAGTGGCCAGACGCTGGAGGAGGCGAAGAAGATCAACAAGAGTCTGAGTGCACTCGGCATGGTCATCAATGCGCTGACCGACGGCAAAGTGAGCTTCGCGCTGATGGCATGCGCTGGCCGAGCTGACACGAGCCCTCTGCAGTCATCACATATTCCGTACCGCGACTCGAAGCTCACGCGCATCTTGCAAGAGTCATTGGGCGGCAACTCGCGCACGACGCTGATCATCAACTGCTCGCCCTGCGCCTTCAACCAGGACGAGACGATCTCGACGCTGCGCTTCGGCGTGCGCGCCAAGTCGATCAAGAACAAGGCGCGCGTGAATGCCGAGCTGTCGCCTGCCGAGCTCAAGGCGCTCCTGAAGAAGGCGCAGGTCGATGCTGCGCGGTACCAGAACTACATTGCCGCTCTCGAGGGCGAGCTGAAGCAGTGGCGGGCCGGCGGGACAGTGCCAGAGAGTGACTGGGCGGAGGTCGGCAAGGTCGCCGCGGGCGCAGAAGGGCTCGCTGCACCTGCCGCTGCGCGGTCAGCAACGGCCTCGCCCTCGGTGCGGCCACAGACGCCTGCGATCGAGGCCTTGCTGCGCGAGGGCAGCTCGCGGCCCGACACGCCGACCTCCAGCACGCTGGACAAGGACGAGCGCGACGAGTTCCTGCGGCGCGAGAACGAGCTGCAAGATACCATCGCCAAGCTCGAGAACGAGCTGGAGGATGTCAAGGCGGCGGAGCGCATTGCCCGCGACGAGCTCTCGTCTGCGCGCGAGCAGGAGCAGTCGGGCAAGGAGATGTCGCAGCGCCTCGAGGAGTGCAAGCTCGAGCTCGACAGCGTGCGGCACAAGCTCAAGGAGGCCGAGATCCTCAACGACGTGCACGCCGACAGCATCCGCGAGCTGACGGTGGACGTGGACGAGCTGCGCAAGGCGGCGTCCGAGTCGACGCGCAACGCAGCCGGCGCAGCGGGCGCACGGGATCCGGGACACGAGGGCAAGGAACGCAAGAAGGCCGAGCGCATGGCCAAGATGATGGCCGACTTCAACGCCGGCATCGTGTCGGAGAAGGAGGAGCAGATCCGCGAGACGCTGGCCAAGCTCGAAATCGCCAGCGGCATGGGCACGGGCGCCGACGGCACACTTTCTGCAGACGACATCTCGACGCTGCGCGAGCAGCTGCTCGAGTCGCAGACGCTGGTGCGCGAGCAGCACGAGCGCGTGCGGCAGGTGCAGGACGAGAACGAGCTGCTGCTGCAGCGGCGCGACGAGATGGAGGCGCGCCTCGCCACGCTCGAGGCCGAGTACGAGGAGCTGCTCGACAAGACGTACCACGACGGGCAGGACGCAGGCACTGCGGGCATCAACGATGCCATGCTTGAGCTGCGCGGCAAGCTGGAGGACCAGTACGCGAGCCGGCGCGAGGCGCAGGCCAGCGAGATTGCGGACCTCAAGAAGCAGCTCGAGCTCAAGGCGCAGGAGCGTGCCAGCATGCAGGCCGCCAACGACGCGCTGCGCTCGACCAACGACGAGCTCAAGCGCGCCTTTGCCGTCACGGCCGCCGCGGCCGAGGGCGGCAAGGACCTGGCAGAGAGCGCGCGCGAGATGGAGCGTGTGCGCAAGACGATGGCCACGCAGCTGTCCGAGTTCGACAACATGAAGAAGAGCCTCATGCGCGACCTGCAGAACCGCTGCGAGAAGGTGAGCGGGCGTCCGAGGCGCACGAGAGCGTGCCTGTGCTCATCACCCGTGCCCGCAGGTCGTCGAGCTGGAGATCTCGCTCGACGAGTCCAAGGAGCAGTACAATAACGTCATCCGTAGCTCCAACTCCAAGGCGCAGCAGAAGAAGATGCACTTCCTCGAGCGCAACCTGGAGCAGCTGACGAGCGTGCAAAAGCAGCTCGTCGACCAGAACGGGCAGCTCAAGAAGGAGGTGGCGATTGCGGAGCGCAAGCTCGTGGCGCGCAACGAGCGCATCGAGAGTCTCGAGAGCCACCTGCTCGACAGCCAGGAGAAGCTCGCGCTGCAGAACCGCAAGTTCGACGAGCAGCTGCAGGCCGTCAAGGAGCGCCTCAGCCAGGCGCGCGAGATGAAGGGCGCCGCCGGCGCCGGCGCCGCGGCGCTGGGCTTTGGCCGCATCGCCAAGCCGCTGCGTGGCGGCGGGCCGACGCAGGGCGGCGCACAGGGCGGGCCAGGCGCGCCGCAGGCCATGCGGCAGTACCCTGGCGTGGCGAGTGCGCAGAACATGGAGTGAGTATGCAATGTGCGACGGTGGCAGGCCTCATGCTGACGTGCCTCTCGCAGCTCGTCGTCGCCCAAGGCGCGCTCGAGCTGGTTCTTCTCGGCCGCCAAGTAGGCGTCCCTCCTCGTTGCCCACCTGTCTGCCTCCTGCTCCCCACTCTAGACGTCGCGGTCATATTTTCCTTCGTCCGTGCGCCCACTCTTGTCCTCCGCACGGTTTTCCCCCACCCATTATTCCCCTGAGCACGACCCTCGCAGGCGCATGTTGCATGCTGCGCACGGGCATGCGCGTGCGATGCAAACGAGACGATACACTTAGCTGCGGCGCTCCCACAACTGTGCAGCGAGCCTTGCACAGGCAGCCATGTGATGGCGGCGCAGACTCGGCCGAGGCGGGAGAGCGGAGGAGGAGGGCCTCCACATGCGCCTGTTCCCACGCTCTCTGGATGCATGAATGACGCGCATCTCGCAAGTCGCTCCAACCCCGCACGGCCTGCCCGCCCTGCCAGCAACGTTCCTGCGCTGCTGTTCAAGCGGCTGCTCCGCCCGTTCTATTCGAGGTCGAGACCGACCTGCCGCCGGCGTGGCGCTCAGGGTGCTGTGCTTGCCGCGCTGCGTCAGCGGTGCTCCTGCTGGCGCGCCTCGAGCTCGAGGCGGGCCCCGTGCACGAGCGCCCGCACAAGCCAGCCAGGCCGCACCGCCCCGCCCATAAGAAGCGCAGGCAGCACCTCGCTCCTGCCTCGTCTCCACCACACCCACTCAGCACTCCCACTTCTCAACTACCACCCCAAATCCATTTCACCATGTCGCTCCTCCGTGCCTCGTTCCGCGCCCAGCGCGTCGTCGCCATGCGCCCCGCCGCCGTGCGCGCCTACGCCAACGGCCCCATCGACAAGGCCTTCAACCAGGCCGAGGCGTCGCAGGGCAAGGCGCAGGCCGAGTACGGCAAGCAGACGGGCAGCACCGAGCACCAGGTCCGCGGTGAGTGCGGGCGCGCGCTTCTGGCAGAGCACTCTGCGCAATCGAGCTGACGCACACACCTGCAGGCAAGGCGCAGGAGCTCAAGGGCGAGGCCAAGAAGATGGGCAACGACGCCGCAAAGGAGGGCGAGGGCATCGTCGACTCGGCGTCCAAGTGAGCAACGATTCCTGCATGTGCTGCACCGGCCGTGGCTCACCTCTCTGCGCAGCGCCTTCGGCAAGGTCGCCCAGAAGGCCAGCGAGCTGCTCGGCGGCGAGAAGAAGCCCTAAGCAACGTGAGCACCGCGCACTGCCCGACTGACGTGCAGCGCTCACATTCCCCTCGGTCGGCAGCCTCCGACGGCGACCTCACAACCGCTCTTCACGACCGCGCACTCCAGCATGTGGCTCTCTGGCACTGAAACAATGACTTGACCCCTAGTGTACATGTGATGGCGCAGCGGTGACGGGGTGTGAACACGAGGGAGAGCTCAGTCGGAGAAGTCGTACGCATCGGCAGCCATCTCGGACGGGTCTGCAATGGCGAACGTGATGCCGCCGGCGCTGCGCGTCATCGAGGCTGCCGCTGGCGCTTTCGGGCGCGCCGGGCTCTTGCCGCCGTCGGCCTTGCGTGGCGTGGCAGTCGTCGGCGCCTTTCTGTCGCCGCTCTGGCTTCGTCGTCGCTTGGCAGACGAGGTGGTGGAAGTGCTTGAGCTCGGCCGCGACTGCACAGATCGACCGTTCGTCGAGCGAGCAGACGCGCCAGCACGGCCGTCATCTGGCGAGCTCAAGTCGGAGTCGGAGGCGTCCGACGCGGATGGGCGAGGCACGCTGCTGCGAGCTTTCGGTCGTGACTGCGGAGCCGAGACGACACGGGCCTTGATTTCGCTCGTCTTCCTGGCAGCAGCTGTGCTCGGCGAGGCCAGGGTGCTCGAGACGCTCGCCTGTGCCTTGACCGGCGCCAGACTGCTGCGGGCGGTCGCTCGTGCAGGCATCGGCGAGCCCGACACTTCCCACCAGCGACCCACGCCGTTGGAAGCACGAGCCCGCACAGGCCGCCCGCTGCGTTGCGCAGCCGCCTTGCTGGCCTCTGGCTCGGAGGCGTCCTCCTCCTCCTCGTCCTCATTCGCGCGCTTCGGGTCAGACGAAGCGGGCTCATCTTGCATGGCCCGCCGCACGACGCCGATGACGCCGAACGCCGTTCGTCCGAGGTTCGCGACCTCGCGTGAGATGCCCTTGGGCGTCGTGCCGGCGCTGGCACGTCGGGAGACGGTCACCTTCTTGCGAGGCCGAGGTCGAGATGCAGCGGCCGGAGACCTTGTCGGTGCGTCCGAGCCTGCGGCCGGCGAGGTGGCTCGTGCCGGCTCAGTCGCGGAGGCGGTCGTCTCACGAGCAGAGGCAATTGAAGCAGCTGGCACCTTCTCGACAGCTGGCTTGGAGGGGACTTGTACCTCCGGCGAGCGCGGCGGACCGATGGCACCGTCCACCTCGTCATCCGACACGGCCTTGTTGCTCGTCGCGATGTCGGCGGGGGAATCGTGCGCCGTAGCAGGGACCTGCTCGTCGTGTGGCGGGAGCAGCGCCTGCGGCTCCAGTGCCGCTACCGGCTCGTGCGCGTCGACTTGACTGCTCGCCTCTGCGGCTGCAGCTTGAGAACTGCTCACGCCAGTCCGACCCGCAGAATGGGATGCTGCCGGCTCAACCTGTTCTTCGGACTGCAGCTGCTCCGATGGCGCCGCGACAGGCGCTGTCGCAGGGAGTGAAGCGTCTCCGTGCGAAGCAGACTTGCCTCGTGCTTGAGCTACTTCGTCCTCTTGCGCCTCTGCAGGCGCAAGGCTGCGCTCTGGCACATCTGTGTCCGCGATCCAGCCCACAGGCCCGCTGACGTTGCCGGGCACGATGATCGAATCGTCGGCGCCCAGCCCACCGAGATCATCCGAATCGTCGCCAAAGTCGTCGATTGGTGGCATGTCGGCATCAAGGTCGTGCTGCTGCGGCAGAGGAGGCGGTGCAAAGTGCGCAACATGCGGGCGTGGGGCGGAAGTGCTGGCTTCCGATTGGCGAGCCTTGCTCTTGCCCGTCAAAGTGCGCGGCTTCTTCGAGCCCGTCGGATCGCTGGCATGACGCTGGATCTTGCTTGCCGAGCCAGACGTGCTGGAGCCCGCGTTGTCGCTTCGTCGGCGCGCAGCCGGCACACGCTTGGGCTTGCGCGGCGTGGGCACGTACGCCTCGTGCTTGTCCGAGTCGTCCTCCGACTCGCGCGGACTCGACTGGTCGTGTTGCTCCTCGTCGCTTGACTGCTCTGGCTCCTCGATCTGCGCCTTGCTCTGAGCTTGCGGCTTCGCTCGGCTCATAGCATGGCGGCTGTCCGAGTCTCGCGACCGGTCTTCGTCTGGCCTGGCCTTCTTGACCGAAGGGGGCCTATCGCGGCCTGCGTCGCCCAGCTGCGGCTTCTCAGGACTCTCCGGGCTGGATGGCGGTAGCACCGAGTCGCGAGGGCGCTTGCGCGCACCCGCTTTGATCGGTCGCTGCGAAGGCGATGGGAGACCTTCGACTCGACCTTCCGGCTCTGACCGCGTGCGTGCAGTCGCAGGACGAGTGCTGCTGGGCTTCGCGTCACTCGGTGCTGACGGCAGCTTCGATGACGGACCGGCTTCCTGCCGCACTGCCGTTGCGATCGCATGAGCTTGAGGCTTCTTGCGACTGGCCGCTGCCGAGCTTCGTCCCGCCTTCGAGGTGCGATCAAGAGCTGCAGCAGCGGCGACATCGGCAGTGCCGACTTTGCTGTCCGCCATCTCCTCAGCGAGCGTCTTCTTAGTAGCCGACGAGCCCTTAGAAGCACGGCTTCTCTTCTTCGGCTCCGAAGGACCAGCTGCCGCCTCTTCGCCTGCCTCGGCGTCTGCGGGCAGCCCGGCGCTGGCGACACTCCTCCGAGACGCTGCGAGCTTGGCCTGGCGCGCACGTGCCTCCTGTTGAGCAATGTCGTGCGCCGCCAGATGGACCCAGTCGTCCGGGAAGCCGTCGGCGAAGTGCTCGCACAGCTCGGCGCTCCAGCCGTTGTGCATCGAGATGCGCTTGGCCATCGGGCCGAGTAGAAGGTAGCGGCTGCCGCTTGCCGTCAGCACGGTGGTGGGATCTTGTCGTCGCACGACCAGAGAGGAGTGCCATTGCTCCTCGCCGCCGTCTGGCTTCCTCACGGTGCCCTCGACGTACAGCCAGTGCCGCAGACCAAGCTCAGAGATGCCGAGCGAGGAAGACGGCTTTCCGGGGGCGGCCGTGAGGAACCACGAGCGCAGCTCGACTGCAGGCTTGGGTGGAGCTTCAGGTCGAGTCGCGACGCGAGCGCTCGAATCTGCGTGCTGTAGTGGAGCTACAGATGGCTCCGCCTCGGATGGCGGCGCCGCTGGCGCTGTAATCGCAGGCGTAGACGTCGGCTCAGAGCGTAGGGTTGGCTCGACGAGAGCAGCCGGCGGTGAAGCCGGCGGCTGCGGAGCGGAGGGCACGTCGGCGAGAGGAAGCGCCGCCGCCAGAGCTTGACCTTCTGGTGCATTTTGCGGCTCCGACGCCGAGGTCACGTCCGCCACGGATGACAGCGGGGCCGAACGCTCTCGCAGCGGAAGCACGCCTCGGGCGACTAGCTCTGCTGTCTCGGAAGGAGCCACCAGCGCCTGCGGCGGCGACGCATCTGGCAGCTGCAGTGCAGCAGGCTCGGACTGCGCCGCCTGCTCGGCTGGCAGCAGGTCGGATAGAATTGCCGACGCGCCAGCGATTGGTGCTGCGTCTGCCTGCGTCATGTGCACATCCTGCGGCGCATCGTCTTCGCCAGGATCGATCGGCTGGTTCGCGACATGTAGCGCCGGGCCGTCATGTAGCATCGCTTGCTCTGCACCGCCTGGTTCATCGGCGATGTCTTGTCGGTCAGCGACTGCCAGAGCAGGCTCGTCGAGCTGGACAATGCGGGCCTGCGAGCCGCTCTGCTCTCGGTCCGGCGGTTGAGAGTGCGCCTCGGAGCCTAGCGCTGGCGCTTCTGCTCCAGGCGGCCCCGGCGGCTGTATGTGCTGCTCGCTCGCTACACACAGCGGAGCGCTGGATGCTTCGCCGGCGCGCGAGTGCTCGTATGGCTGCCGGATGGAAGCAGACCGACCAGGACTCGAAGGCGCCTGCATCGCGGCCGGTCGTCTGCCAGTCGCGCCGGCAGGACTGACGAGGACGCTGGCTCCACGCAGCACCGAGGGCGCCGCGCTGGGCCCCCGACTGGCAGCGCTGCTGAGCAGAAAGTCGAGGTCGCTCTTGCTGATGTGCGGCCCCGCTGTTCTGCTGCTGCCGGATGCAGGCGCGGCGCCGCTGACCGGGCGGACAGAGCTTGGCCGCGAGGGCCCAGCAGCCCAGCGCGTGGGCGGTGCGGCAGCTACGACGCGCGGCTCTGAGGAGCCTGAGCGGTCGTCCGAGCCCGGCGGTGCAGAGAGCAGACGCGACATGGCGCGTGTATATGCCTGCGCAGGTAAGGAAGACGGCTTGAGCGCTGCAGCACTCGAGAGGCCGACTGTCAGCTGCACTCACCTCTGGCATAGGGCTCCCAGCGAACGGTCCATCGGCGAAGCGGCGCGGCGGGCCCGGCGGCGGCATGATGGAGCTGTGCGCCGCCGGCGGGCGGGGCCGCTGTGGCGCATCGCGGTGCTGCTGCGCTGCATAGTGCGCCGGCGGAGCATGCGAGTATGGCGCATGGCTCGGCAGCGAGCGAGTCCTGTCCGCGCCAGGCCGGTGGCTGCGCTGCGCCCAGGGATGCGCCGGTGCCGCTGCGGCCGAGGCGGCGGCGTGCGAGGGGCGTGCAGCGCTCGGCCCGGCGCGGGCAGAGGTGTCTTGCGCATCAGCGCCAGGCGAGTGCGCTGAAGAGCGTACCGATGGGCCGGCGACGGCGCCATGGGGCCGCTGAGGCGGCGCATACTCGCGCTCGCCGCGGTCGTTGTAGCGCGACATGGCGTGCAGGGAGCTCTGAGCGACGCGTCGCGGCGACGGAGCGCGAGGAGAGGTGTGCTGCGGCACAGGCGCGAGGAGAGGTGTGTTGCGGCACAGGCGCGCGCGAGGAGCCGGGCCGCGACGGGGTGGCGGCACGCCTGCTGGACGCGGCGACGTGGAGTTCTGCGGACAGCGAGAGGGGGACGTGATGGGGCCGGCGCGATGGAGCGGCAGCCTCGACGCCGGCGAGGCCACGGCGAGGCGAGTGCGCGTTGTGGTTGTGGTGCGCGTCTCAGGCTCGCCGTGACGCGTAGAGAGCTGCGAGTGCGACTGCGGCGTTTGGCGCCCGTCCGCTGAGCTCGTGCATCTGCGCCCGATGCGCACGGAGCACCCCGTGAGAGCGGCCTCGTCAGCGCTGCGCGAAATGCGAAAGTCATGCTCAGGCCCACTTCAGGGTCCGCAGCTGCACTCCACCTGGGCTCTTGACCACATCATCTCGGTTCCAACGTCGAGCAGCGCCCTCTCTCCGCGCCCGCCGCCGGCATGTCCTGCAACGACGAGGCGACGTCGACGGAGCGCAGCCTGCACGCGGCGGCGCAGAGCGGCGACGCCGGCGCGGCGTCGGGCGCCGACGATGCGCGCTCCCTCTACCCCTCCATCCGCCTGGACCAGGTGTGGGGCCTCAACGTGGCGCCGCCAGAGGGCGCAAAGACGTGTGTGAAGCCGTGGCATGAGCGCGAGGACACGGGCCGCTGGACAGAGAGCGGCGTCGACGACCAGGTCAGTGCACTGCGGGCGTCCTCGTCGCGGCGGCACTTGGGCTGTTGGGCCAGAGCCGCAACTGATGCCGTCCGGCCTGCTTAGTTCGTCGTCACAATACCCTTCACGTGCCCTGTGCGCATGAAGTCGATCCTGATCAATCCGGGCCGCGGCGACTTTGCGCCTCGAGTGCGTCGCCTGACTGCCGGTGGTGCACCAGACGAATTCTGACGCTTCCACGCAGCGCGTGCGTGCGTACGTGAACCGGCCAAACGGCATCGACTTTGAGGAGGTGGCTGCGTCGTCTGCGGCCAGTGCGCCCGATGCACCAGCGCGAGAGCGGGCGGCGCTCGGGCCTGTCGGCAGCGGCAAGCCGCAGGCCGACTTTGCGCTGCGCGAGGGCGAGACGGGCGTGTCAGAGTACCCTGTCTCGGCAGCACGCTTCTCCAACGTCAACAGCATCAGCCTGGTGCTGGTGAGCGACGTGAGTCTCTGTACAACTGGCTGCGCTGACTGGAGCTGTGCCCCCGCAGTCCGACTCGAACATGCAGACGCTCTCACGAGTCTTCTACCTCGGCATGACGGGCACGGCGCTGGAGCTCAAGCAGGAGCCTGGCGACAAGGTGCGTGTGACGCTGCGGCGGCTGCATGCCACTGGCTGACATCCCTGTCTCGGGCACAGCTCGACATCGCGGCCGCCAACGCCGCCGACCGGCCCGTGGACTCGGTGCGCGAGCGCAGTGCCGCCGCGCAGCAGGGCAGCGCACGGTGAGGCAGCTTGCAATGGACACGCATACTCCTCGCGAGCGCACGCTGTCAGAGGTGGAAAAGTGTATGGATGCTGGGCCGAGAAGTAAAGTACAAGCGCCTGATGAAGCGGACGCGCGGAGCAGAGGGCGGCAATGACGGGATTAGCACGGAGGCAGGCGAGGTGGGCACGAGGTCGAATAGCAGGCAGACGGCACATCATGCCTTCTTCGACTTCTTCTTCGACGCCTTCTCCACCTTAGCGACCGACTCGTCGCCCGGGACGCCGCCGTCGCTCTGAGCCGCTGCCTTGGCAGCCTTTTTGGCAGCCTTCTTGGCGGCCCGCTCGATCTCGGCAGCGTCGGCGCCGCCGCTGCTCTTCTTCTTCTTGTCCTTCTTCTCCTTCTTTGCCTTCTTCTCCCGCTTGGCGTCTGCCGGGTCGACCACGCCGACGGCCGCCGGCATCGTGACGGGCTCGGCCATCGTCTCGTCGCCCTCGTCGTCGCTGTCGTCCTCGTCCATGAGGTCGCCGGCGGCCTCCTCGATGGCCCGCAGCGCCTTGCTCATGGCGTCCGAGTTCTTGCCGAGCGTGGCCTTGCCCGTCTCGTAGAACGCCAGGCGCTCCTCGACCTGCATGTGCAGCACCTCGCCGAACTTGGTCGTCGGCGCGTCGCTGAAGCAGTCGATGCGCGACGCAATCGAGATCTTGTTGGCAAGGAAGCGCGACATGCGGCCCTTGTTCTTGGGCGCCGCACGGGCGATGGCCGAGGCGTGGTAGATGAGGCCGTACTTGGGCGTGTTGCCCTTGGTCTTGAGCGCGCGGAAGAGCGCCTTCTCGGCACCCAAGATCTGCACCGTCGAGGCGGGGTACTTGGCCAGGTTCGTGAGCGAGCCGGCGTGCGAGATGAGGCGTGCGCCGATGACCTCGCCGATCAGGGCGGCGAGCTGCATGGTCTGTCAGCGCCGCACTGCAGGCCAGCACGCAACACGCCACTCACGTTCGGTGCGACGAGGTGCATCTTCTCAATCAGGTACTTGTGCATGCGCTTGCGGTACGCGGCAAGCTCCACGACACGCTGCGCGAACGAGTCGATGTTGTCCATGTCGACCTCGCCGATCTCGGTGCCCATGCTCGCGCGGCTGGCGTCGAGCACGTTGCGCGCGGCCGTCTCGTCGCCGGCGAGAATGTCGGTGAGCTCCTCGACGTGCTCGTCGGTGAGACGCTCCTTGTTGCGGATGAACGAGGCGAGCTGCGCGTACGTCATGTTGTCGGGCACGAGACGCACGAGCTCGGGGAAGTGCCAGCCGTACCACTCGCGCACGCGCATGGCAAACGTGTTGACGTCTTTGTCGAGCGTGTCGAGCAGGGCAATGGCCTGGATGATCATGTTGTCCGAGCGGTTCACGTTGAACTTCACCTTGCTGCGCGAGTACGAGTGGCCGAGGCCGAGCTGTGCGCGCGACATGTCGCCCTCGGACAGGCCCGAGAGCAGCTTCTCGCTGTGCAGGCGGATGCCGCGGATGAGCTCGAGCGTGCGGTCGCCCGTGTCGCACTGGATGCCCAGCTCGCCGACGATGGCGCTGGCGAGGCCGCGCTCCGAGACGCCGAGCGTGACGCCCTTGGCCTTCTTGCCCGCGGGCGCCAGGTTGAGCGTGAGGAGCGACTTGAGGCCGTCATTGAGTACGCCTGCGATGAACGCGGTCAGCGCACGGCTCTGTGCCGGCTGCCAGCAAGGCACTGGAGGCAGCGAGACGCTCGCACGCCCTGCCGGCGCCCACGTGCAGCCCCATGCCTGGGCTGCGCTGCAGAGCGGCACCGCCTGCCCGCCTCTCTCCCGACTGCCACTCACCCTCGGAAATGTCAAGACAGCTCTGCAGCGCATCGAGGGCGTTCTTGAAGGGCGCAAATGAGACGAGCTTCACCATGCGCGAGAAGGCGTTGAGGTCCTTGATGCTCTCCTGCACGGCGGCCGTCTTGCTGCCGATCTCCTCGACCTGCAGCGTCTGGAAGACGGCGCAGCCGGTGGCGCACTCGAAGAGCAGGTGCGTGGGCGCTCCGCTCATGCTGGGCAAGGGTGCGCGGAGGGGGCGAGTGGGGTGAGGTGTGGGTGCGGTGGAAGGTGGGCTTCTGGTCCTCTGGCGGAGGCGGCGGCGGGCGGCGGCAGGAATTCTTGCGGCTGCCGCTGCTGCGAGAGTCGCGCACGTGATGCACGGCGGCGTGCCGTTCCCACGCTCGCCTCCGCGGAGCACGGCGCTGCGCTCGAGCCAGGCCGCGCGTCGCAGCGGCAGAGCCATGCATCAGCGAGGCCTGTTCTGCCCTCGCATTCCTCCATCTCCACCCCTCGTCAGCTCGCCTCTCGTTCCTTTCTGCACCGCCGGCTGTGCCCACAACACCGCACTTGTCGCTCTCAGACCTTTTCTTTCAGCCGCGCACGTCCGCGCTTCCGCCACCATGTCGCGCAGCAGCTACGACCGGTACCTCACCGTCTTCTCGCCCGACGGCCGCCTCTACCAGGTCGAGTACGCGTTCAAGGCCATCGCCTCGGCCGGCCTCACGTCCATTGCCATCCGCGGCAAGGACTGCGCCGTGGTGTGCACGCAGAAGAAGATCCCTGTGAGTGCGCTGAAGTGCGGAGCAGCAAGGGCTGTCGGGCGGCGAGCTGCCAGTGAGGCGTGGGACATGGCGGCGGGGTTCCTGCCACGGCTTCGAAGAACAGCCGGCGCGAGGAGCCTGACGTGAGGTGCTCGTCTCTCCTCACTGCATTTGTCACGAGTCGTGCTTCGCAGAGAGAAGCTGCGCCAGGGAGGTGCAGACGGCAAAGTCAGGCAGGGCGCGATGCCAGGGTTCAGAGACACGTCCGGCAGCGTCCCCGGCTACCTGCCGCAGTGATGAAGCATCGACGTAGCCGCAGGCATCCAGACCGGCTGCACCAGGCTTTCCCCGCCAAGACTTGCCATCGCTGACGCTAGCGCCGCAGGACAAGCTGCTCGACCCCTCGAGCGTCACGCACATCTTCAAGCTCACGCAGGAGATCGGCTGCATCGTCACCGGCCGCATCGGTGCGTTTTTGGACCAGCGCACATGCGTGAAGCGTGCTGCTGATGCTCCCTCACTTGCGCAGCCGATGCTCGCTCGCAGGTGCAGCGCGCCCGCGCCGAGGCGGCCGAGTTCAAGTACAAGTACGGCTACGACATCACGCCGGACCTGCTCTCGAAGCGCATGGCCAACATCAACCAGGTGTACACGCAGCGCGCCGCCATGCGGCCGCTCGGCATCAGCATGATGATCGTCGGCCTCGACACCAAGGGCCCGCAGGTGTTCAAGATCGACCCGGCCGGATACTATGTCGGCTTCCGCGCCACGGCTGCTGGCGCCAAGTGAGTGGAGCGGCCCGACTGTGACTTGCAGTCGCTGACGTATGAGTTGCGTCACAGGCAGACCGAGGCGATCAACTTCCTAGAGAAGCAGTTCAAGAAGTCGTCGAGCACGACGGCGTCTGCTGGCGCAGCGGCGGGTGCGGCGGCGTCGGCGGGCGCCGAGCACAGCGCCGACGTGGCGGCGGCCGAGGCCGAGGCCATCTCGCGCCGCATGGGCACGGACGAGGTGATTGAGCTGGCGGTGACGACGCTCGCGACGGTGCTGGCGCAGGACCTCAAGGCTGGCGAGCTCGAGATTGGCATTGTGGGCGGACCGGCTGCGGCGGCAGCGGAGGGCGCAGAGGACGCTTCGAAGGAGACGCTCGAGCAGCGGCGCTTCCGGAAGCTGACGGACGAGGAGATTGGCGCGGTGCTCGAGCGGCTCGCGGAGCGGGACTGAGGGCCAATGACAGCTATGATGCCTGACAGCGCGTGATGCATCTGTGTCATGAATCGGTCGGCCCTAAGGGAGGGAGGACAGCTGCGGCGTGTCGCGCAGGTTCTGCCGGTGTCTAGTCTTAACGCTGCTCGTGCTGATGGTGCACAGCGCAGCGGCAGCAGCAGCGACGGAGCTCAAGTCAGGCGCACGCGGCTGGCCTCCTTGCGGCCGCACCTGGCAGCGCGCAGCCGAGACGAATGCGGCAGTCGAGCCGACGTGACCTGATGCAAGGCTCGCTTTCAGACACTTGCTGAGCCGTGTCTTAGACGATTGAGCTCGATGCTGCCAGATCTGCGGCGCCAGTCGGCATGCGGAGCGAGGTGGTCCAGCTTGTGCCGCTCGGGCCGCTCGGGCCGCTCGGGCAGGGCAAGAATGATCTGGCGGCTGCTGCGCCGGCGTCGAAGTCGCATCTCTGCCGAATTGCACACTTGCCTCCCGACCACGACGCCTCTCCTGCGCTTGCCTCTCTGCTGTTGTTCTCTGCGCTGCGCCTCGTCCCTCCAATCTCTTCTCCGTGCCTCGCGCTTGCGTGCATTGCACAGGGACCGCGACAGCCATGCAGGAGCAACGTCCTCATCGCATAGACGTCGTCGTGCGCCTGCCCTTCGACTGGCCCGAGTCTCAACGGCGCTGGCACTGGCTGCAGCTCCTACAGCACGTCGAGGCACCGCGGCAGTTCTCACTCTCCGCCATGATCAAGGCCAAGCACATCGCCGAGGGACCTTACGCCGTCATCAGCCCCTCGTACATGCTGCAGCGCTTAGCGCAGCGCTGGGAGCTGGCCGACCTGGTCGAATGGACAGTGACGATGTGGGGGTGAGTCCTCGTTGCGCGTGTCGCAGCGCGGGCTTGCACGATAGAGTGTGGCTGGCTCGCACTGGCTGCGTGACACTTGCTCTGCTCGTGATGCCGCGTCACCGCTGACTCCCGGAGTCCCCCCTTAGTGCGCATCTCACAGCACTGCCATTGCCGCGGCCGTTCGAGTTTCGTGACGGAGAGGACGAGCGAAGCACATGCTTCTCTGCCGGACTCGCATGCGCCGGCGACTACAAGCTGTTCCTCGGGCACACCGTCTTTCGCCCGCGTGGAGAAGCGCGCCATCTGAGTCCGAAGGACGACTCTGCTGTCCCGCGGCCGATTGAGATCGACGAGACCGGCTCGTGCTGCTTCGCGTGGCAAGCACTGCCCGATGCAGGCGCGACGAAGGACGGTGGCTCGCTCGCCGCTGCAGACGCCTCGCTGCTTTCCCTCAGCTCGAGTCTTGCAGAGACGGGTCAGCACTGGTGGCGCACGTGGACGGAACGCGACGACGCTGACCGTCCCAGCATCATCAAGGCCGAACCCATGACCGTCCTCCTTGTCGACTTCTCGCTCAGCGACCGATGTGGCTACGTCTCGCACTTGGCTGCATTGCCATCGCGCGCGTCTTTCAGCGAGAGCATCGTCTCGCTTGAATGCAAAGCGAGTCGTGCGGCCGCGCCAAGTGGCACCTTGACAGCAGAGGCCAGCAAAAGAAAGCAACAAGTATGTCAGGTTGTGGCTCGAATGCGGACTAGAGCGCCACCTAGAACAGAGAGGATCGCGCCTTGCCGCCTTCATACTGTGGGTCTGATCGACGCTGACCCTCTTTCCCGTGTCGCAGTCACGCACGAGACGCTCCGAGCTTCTGGCATTGATGCCAGCGAAAGCGTGCGCTCTCGCCGGGTGTCATCAACTCGCCTTCTGCGATGGCGCTCACATCGTGGATCTGGCATCAGCTGCAAGTCTCGAGGCCATCCGTGCGGCATGGCTGCGCTGCTGGCAAGCAATTTACCGGGCGTCTGGAGGGCAAGTGCGCGCAATCAGCCAGGGCGAGCTACTGGCCGACGCCATGCTGCGCATCGGACTGTGCGATGGTGAGTCGGCTTGTCAGACTCTCGTGCGGCGGATACACCACATGTGTGGAGTGGCCATCACAGCCGAGCCCGGCTCGCCTGTCGGTGTCCGGGGCTGACTCGCTCGTGCTCTACAGTTCGTCTAGGCGCCCGCATCACCTCTACGAACGCCGGAGCATCGAGCGCTCACGCAGTCTGCAATATGCTCCTGCTGAACGCGATTGCGCATCGGGCGTACGACTACGGTGTCTGGCTCATCTCGCCGAACGGAGACACCTGGCAGGTACAAGACGAAGGCGGTGACCTGCATGACCTCCTGCGGATGTTACCGCCTGATACTGCGGAGGCGTCCCACACGCCAATCCAAGCCCACGGACACGCGTACCCGATGCGCCTGAAACTGACTCCCGCAGGCAATGGGTTCGACAGACTGCCGCAGATCCATCTCGCCACCTTGGCTCGTCTCTTCGCGCAGTTCGTGCCGACCGACACCAAGGGCGTCATCCGGGACCGCCTCGGCATGACGGCTCCTCTGCCGGACGCATCTACGCCTGGCGAGCCCGGCAGTGAGCCTATGCCTGCGCCATCGCGCAGCATGGGAAGTGCCGAGCGCTCTGCTGCGCCGTCATGCCTGACGAGCGTCGACAGAGGGTCGCCTGGACCTCGTGCGAACAAGATCCACGCGGAGGACCTCGCCAACAGGTAAGGCTTGCTCTCGTGTTCTGCCTTCACTGAACTCACGTTTTTGTACGCAGCGTCACATCCGACGACGACATCGCAGGTCCCGCCTCTCGTGACAGCGGCAGCGAAGCGTCTCAGTCGTCCTTTAACGCATTCCTCGCCTCCGAGCAGGCTGACGAAGAGCGGAGGAGGGGCTTGCAGAAGGACCGCGCTTTGGGCATGCGATGGCTCGCGGTCGCATTCACGGCCGCTGCCACCGACCTCGAGAGATTGACATCGGAGGGCACGAGTGCTGCATGATGCGCCGTCCTCACAACCTGTACGTGCGCTGCGAGAGCAGTGGAGACGTCTCTCCTGGCTGACGCACTTCCTCTAGCCCCATCTCAGTACGCTGCGCATCTTGCTCCTCGCGCTGTCTGCTCATCCGTCCGCGTCGCCATTCATCAGCCCTCTCGCTCCAACGGCGCGTACGTCGAGCCAGCTTCGCATCGAGATGATACCAACCATCCTAACCCATCGCGTCACCACCAATCGTCCAATCACATGTTCTCATCGCGCGGAACGTGAGATTTTGGTGTGTGCGAGGCCTGACTGCTGCGACAGAGCATGAGCAGCGACCGTCGGAGGCTGACCTGCTTACACGAGCTGCGAGAGCGGAGAAGGACGCCCTTGTGGTTGCCTCCTAGATCAACTCGGTCAGGCGTGCTTGGGTGCCCGACTCCTTTGTGCCGACGCGCCGGGTGTCCGTCAGTGTCCAAGGGCCCCAGTGCGCCTCGAGAGCGTAGAGCAGGGATGCAGGCAGACCCTAGCCAGCGTTCGAGGCGCCACGGGTGCCCCCGTGGCACCACGTTATGCGCCCGGCGGTCCGCGACGCCAAGGGCCGCGGCGGGAAGCATGCCAAGGCCGGCCGTACCGCTCCTGCGGGCACTTCAGCTTGGGCGGCTCGTCGGTCCATGGTGCGAGGCCTCAGCCGCATCAGACGCAGCGCAGAGCGCTTGCGTCGTCGTCGTCGCCGCAGCGAAGACAGTTGCCGCACGCCGGCTTCTGCGCCGCTCCATGTATGGCAGGGCCCCTCCCGCTTGGCAGGAGGTGGGAGCCACGCGAGACCGGAGGCATGGTTCGAGGCGCCCAGACCTTGCGCGCTCTGCAAGCCGCGGCACACACCGCACGCCGCTGCACGCGCGACGCCCGGGAGAGTTTGCCAGCGCTGCACCGCCAAGCCACGCGGCGGCCCCTATCTGTTCCCGCACGCCGCTGCGCTTTCACCGAGCGCCGCAGCGCCGCCCTCGAGCCTCCATCACCCTCGCCCTCGCGCGCTTGCGACAGCCCTCTTGCCATCAGGCATGACATTGATGGTGCGCTGCTGCGGCCGATGCGCAGGCCGACAGCGGGCTCGCATCGCTGCGCTGCCGGCGTAGAGTTGGAGTCAGGCACCGAGGCGCTAGCGCGCAGGACGGGTCTGCGCTGATCGACGGCGTGCGTGCCGGCCAAGGCTGTGCTGCTGCCGCGCTGCAGGCTGCGGCGTGAGGTGCCGCGGCTGGACGTCGGCGGGGAGCAAAGTTCCCGCTGGTGCGCGGCCGGGCACCAGAGCAGCGCTGCAGTCTGGCCTGCTCCGCCGTGACCCTGGCGCCTCGCGCCTGATCGTGCGCAGCTTCTGTCCGAGGTGCGCGGACGCGGCGGCGCTCTCGTCTGGGCCCGCGCCGCCGCATCACGTCCCGATGGCAGCCGCCACCGCCAGCTCGGGTCGTCTGACCTCGTCTCGCGGAGCCTGCGGGGCGCCTGACGGCTCGCTGGTGGCGCCGCACGGCCAGCGCGACGACGACGAGCAGCGAGCTTGCTCGGCCCACCCGTGCACTCTAGAGTCGGCCAGAGTACAGGGGCGGCGCCGCGTGTGCCAAGCGCAGAGGCTCGCGCAGAGAGTGCGACGTGACGTACAGTACCAGGCAGCACACAGGCCGCCTGCGCCTAGGGCTGCGGGAGGCGGCCAGCAGCGCGCAGCCCCAGCAGCACCCTGACGGCACGCCTCGTGTGACGGCTGAGGCTGCGGCGCAGGCGGCAGGCGTGCGGCGGCGTGCCGGCTGCCGCACGCGGGCTGACGCTGATGCGCTGCTGCGCTGCGGCGCGCCGCCGCGTCTCGGCACCGCCCGGCCGCCGTCGATTTCAGCAGCCGCTGCCGCCGCGCAGAGGGGCGCAGCTCTGCGCCTTGCACCCCGGCCCGAGGAGGCACTCGAGCAGCACAGCGTCAGCGGCACTGCAGAGCCTCGGCACCGCGCGCGACGCCGCTTGCAGCGCAGAGAGAGGCAGGCCACGCCGCAATTTCGGCCTGAGAGGCGCGCTCCCGCCTGCGCTCGGCGCCTGCGCCGGGTGACGCACTCGCCTCGTCGATGGCGCTCTGCCTCGCCGGCGCCTGGCAGACGCAAACGCGGCAGGGCCCAGCCTCAGCTACACCTTCGGGCAGCGCTGGGGCTGCTTCCTCCCTACCACCACCTCGTCCGCCTCGCTCGCCTGTGCTCCTCGCTGCCTCTCTTCTGTGCCCCTCGCCGCTGCTGCTGCTGCTCGCGTGGCGCTGCGCGGACCCTCGCCGCCGGCCGCATACACGCCGCCCGGCCGACCCTGCTCCGGGCAGCACGGGCTCTGCCGCTTCTCAGACGGCAGGCACCCTCGGCACGCTCCTCGCCGGCGGCTCACTGCACGCTGCTTTGAGCTGGACGCCGCACGCAGCGCCCACGCACGCGCGCCGCTGCAGCAGCACGGCCAACGGCTCCCGCTTGCGCACGCGTCGCCGCCGTCCCGGCACGGCCGCTCAAGCGCCACACTCGGCTGGCCGCTGCACACGCGTGGACCCAGCGACTCGCCTTGGCAGCCTTGCGTCGGCACAGCCGCGCATCTTGCTTCCCCGCAAGGCGCATCTGTGTTCCACTTGCACTTCCATCATCCATCGACCCCCGACTCGCCTCACGCCGCCACGATGCTGAGCGCTCGCTCGTCGGCCTCGTCCACCTCGACGGCAGCATCCTGCGCCCGCACAGCTCGCCCCTTGCCTCCGCCTCGCCGCAGTGCTCTCGTCTCCATGGCCCTGGCATGGGGCTCGGCAGCCATGGCTTCGGCCGTGCTGCCCGCTGCACACGCCTCTCCTCTGCCTGTTGCGGGCCTCGCTAGTTCTGCTGCCGCCGCCGTGGCCCGCGTGGCGCGCCGTGGAGCAGCTGCGGCGCCGGCTACAGCGCGTGCAGCCGGCAGCGCCGCATTGCTCGGACGCAGCCCCATCTCAGAATCCGTCGCTGCGCCATTGCTCGCCAAGCGCCGGCCGTCGCTGGACTCCTCAAACATGCTGACAATCGGCGGCAAGCTCTCGCTCGACTTTGTCATCCTGCTTGCCGTCGCAATGGGCTTCGCCCTAGTGTGCCTTTTCTACGTCTACTCCGCCTCGTGCCTGTCGCCGCGGCGAAAAGGCGGCGTCGTCAGCGCAGACCGAGAGCAGGCCATGCGGCAGCTGCGGCTGCGCGGAGGCGGCGGCTACGCCACCGACACATCGCCGCGCCGCCTGACCATCGCGCCCGTCGTCGAGGGTGGCGACGGCTCGAGCAGCGAAACGTTCGTCATCATGCGCGCCGCAGAGACGCGGCCCCCCAGCGAGTTCACGCGCAGCTCGCGGCCCTCCTCGAAGACGAAGCTGCTGCCGAACGGTAGCAGACCGGCAGGCCCGCGCCGCATGACGAGCGGACCGCGCCCCACGAGCACTGGCCGCGGCTATAGCGTCAGCAGCATGAGCATCAGCAAGTACGCGCGTCCCTCCTCCGAGGCCGGCAGCGGCATGGGAGTCGAGCGGCCTGGCATGCCCAGCCACCCGAGCCTCAACAGCCTGCTCGTGATGCCGGTGATGCCGGGCGCGCGCGGCTACGACGTCGACAGCGCCGGCAGCAGCTCCAGCACCGTCACGCTCGCCACCGACCGCTCCTGGGAGCGACCCGAGGCTGCAGGGCGCGCAGCGTATCGCGTTGGCACGCGCGCATCCCGCTACGGCCAGCAGCCGACGCCCATCGTGCGCACCGTCTCTACGCGCGCGCATGCCTTCTCGCCCTCTGCTAGCTCCTCTCTGGGTCGCGGGCAGGATCTGCAGCGCATCCGCTCGAACAAGGAGCGCAACAGTCGCATCCACTACCCGCCAGAGTTCGACGGCTCGTCGCCTTCGCTTGACTCGCACCACCCGCTCGACCTGCGCCGGCACATCACCGAGCCGGCGCGTGGCGAGTACACGCGGCGCGACAGCACGCTGAGCATCGGCTCCGAGGTGCAGGGCTTCCTCTCGTCCAACAGCCGCGACGTCAGCCCGACGATGAGCCCGTCGCTCGGCGGTCCGCCGCTCTCGCTGCCGCACTCCAACTACGGACACGCCTCATCGGGCAACAGCAGCTCCGGGCACGACTCGCTCGAGTCGCCCTCGGCGCGCCGCACGGCCGTGTACGCCGACATTCCGCTGCGTCCGCAGTACGCGCAGGCCCACGAGTCTGAGGCGCCGACGAGTGCCGACGGCCTGCTGGCCATGTCCTCGCCGCCGCGGCAGCACTCGACGGACCCAGTCAAGCCGCCCGTGCCGTCGCGGAGCCGTCTGCCTGCGTTTGCGCGCAGCAACAAGCTCTCAAGGAGCTACGTCTAGCTCGGCCTGCACACCATGCTCTCATCTCCTGCCCTGCACACCTCACGACCCTCTCGCATCGCCCCGAAACTCTCAACTACCTGCCTCTCTGCACGCTCCTCGCACATACAGCTTCTCTCTCTCCCCCCTCGTCTCGGATGCGTGCGCGCTGCGTCCCCTTGCGGCGCCCCGACAGCGTCCCTGCGATGCTGGCGTGGGAGCTGATCACAAGATCGCTCCTCCTCGCCGGTCGCGCCTAGAGCCGTCGAGCCTCCTCCTCCTCCATTCGGTTCGCCTTCACACACCCACGTGGCCTCGTTCCACGCCTCGTCACCCGACACTTACGCACCTCTAACTCATACACTCACACTCACACACACACCTCCACGCGCCGTCGCCGGCTCGTCGCCTGACAGCCGCGCAGCGCGCACAATGAACGCATGCATCTTCTCTCGCCGCGTCTACCTCTGCGGGTCATGCTCTGCTGCGGTGTGTGTCGAGGAGCGACCGTTCACCTTGCTCAAGCTCTCTACCAAGACTGATGTCACCCTCCCTTAAAGTCGTCAGGCACGCAGCACCACGTGGTGCGCTCCGGCACGGCACTGCGCCTCCGGCTCCGGCATCGGCAGCGTGCGCGTGGACCACGCCGCGTGCGTTTGCGCTGCGGAGCTCCGCGGGTGGCCGCTAAGCATCGGCAAGATCGCCGCCCGGCACACCCTTGCGAGTGGATGCCCCAAGCCTCGGGTGAGCCGGCGGCATCTCTGGCCCGCCGGTCGACGCTGAGGGCCTCTGTCTCGCTCCGCATGCCCGAGCGTAGGCCTTGTGCACGTCGCTGCTCCTCGTGAGGTGACGTCGATCGTTGCACGCCCGTGCTGCCGTGCAACCTTGTGCCTCGCTGCTCCATGCGCATCTCCACATACGAGCCGCCACGCGGTGGCCATGGCTGCGAGCTCATGGCGCCGGCAGTGCTTGTCCGCGACTGACGAAGCGCCGACTGGAGAGGTACTTAAGACGACTCTGGGACGAGCTTCGTCGATGATCACTCATCAGCAACTCATCTCGCCATACGCAACCAAGCTCTAGACCACCCTCGCCGCCTCACGCAAAGCACATCAAGATGCTCGTTCCCGTCGCCGCTCTCGCCGCCTTCGCCACCGCTGCCTCTGTGGCCGCCGCACCTGCCGGTCCTTCGACGACGCCACTTGCCCGGGGCAACCGAGGCAACCACGGCTACGCCACCGTGCGAGACATCGGACAGTACGAGGCGGGGAGTAACTGGTGTCATGTCTACGCGGAGTCGACGCCCTACCGCGTCGTCCTCTCGAACGACTTCCTGGCCGACACGCCGCCGGCCTTCTGCCGCAACGTCACGGTGCGTGCAGATCTGAGGCGGCGAAGCGAGATCGCAGCTCATCTTCTCCATCCACGGCAGATGACTGCCACAGAGAACGGCAACTCGTGGCACGGCGTTGTTGTCAACGGCTCCAGCGACTACGCTTTCAGTAAGCACGCCTCACAATGCACTTGCCTCAGCGCTCGCTGACGTGTGACCACTAGGCGACATGGGCATCTCGCAGGCCATCTACGATAAGCTTGGCGTCGACACAGGCGCAGTCGAGATCACCTGGAACGCAATGGCGTAGATTCGTCCGTGTCGTACCACCGTTCCGCCTTCCTACCAGCCTCACTTCATATGCTTGTCCGACCTACTACCTAGACATCGATGACGCTTCGCACGAACGTACGCCCATGTCCCGGTTGCCTGAGGATGTGTGAGGTGTCAGGTTGGATGGCCAGCTCCGCGCAGACGGCACAGCACCACTCACCGCCAGCCGCAGCGCCACTCGCTCGCCCTCGTGTTCTGTCCCAGCGCGCTATTGCCGGCGCCCGTGTGCTCCATGAGCATTCGCGACGAGATCACGATGCCGGCATGGCCGCACAGGCTGACTGTTCGGCGGTTTGCATCAGCGAGCGGCGTTTGACACAGCAGCCTGACAGCACTCACTCTCGCCAGTCAGGCACTGCAGCAGCACCGCGTTCGCCGGCGTCAGTTGCCGCAGATCGTTGCCCGTCGTGTACAGGCTGAGCAGCCGCTGCGCCAGAGGCAACATCGAGCGATGCAGAATGAGGCCAGAGCCGCCCGCGCCGATCCAGCCAGCGAGCGGCGTCTCATCCGGCGGGGTCTGGTGCTTCGACTCGGCAGAGAGACGAAGGTGCGCCGAGGTCTTGCGGTCCTGCTCGAGTGTCGCAACGACGGCCTCCATGCCGCGCCAGCCCCACTTGCCGCACAGCGCATAGTCGTCTTCCACCACGAGTGTCCACTCCGAAGCGTCCTTGCGCTGGTGCGACCAGCGCAGCAGCTCTGCGAGGTGGAGGTGATGCCGCACGTGGTCGGCCGGGTGCTGATCCTGATCGCGATAGAAGACGACGGACGAGGAGCGGTTGCCCAGTGGCCGCGTGATGTGCTCGTAGTGCGCGGCAACGCGATCGAACGCAGGGTGCTCCTTCTCGGTGAAGTGCGTGAAGACCGACAGACGAGGCGGCGACGGCAGCACGGACTCGGTCGGGATGATGTCGAAGTACGACGCGACGGTGCGCTGCAGCAGGTCCGAGGAGATGTCGGAGCCGCGCGGCCGGGGCGCGGTCAGGAGCACAATGTCCAGCAGCGGCCGACCAGCCGTCGTCGTGGGCCCGACGTCGGCAAGCTTTGGCCGTAAGGCCAGTCGGTCGGCCGTGAAGATCGACACGACGCAGAAGGCCGCCAGATGAGCGAGCAAGCGGCTGAGGACGATCTTGGTCGATTTGCGCGCGCCTGGCGGAGCGATGATGCTCGGAGTGCGCTGGTGCCGCGACGACGTGGCTGCCTCGTCGTCGCTGGCTTGCGGCTGCGCGTTGTCGGCAGAGCCCAATAAGCTGTACTTTCCCTGCAGCTGGAAGCGCGACGCCAGCACATTCAGCACACCGAAAATCGCCCCGACGACTGCGCCGCAGGCGTAGCTCCACGGCGCGCCCTCGATGAGGCAAAGCAGGCCTGCGACGCCGGCATGCAGCGCCACGACTCGATTCGAGCCTGCCAGAGGCGTCGAGGCGGCGCTTGGCACTGGCGACGGGTCATTTGGCAGGCGCAGCTGCAGGAAGGTGGCCACGTCGATGGCGACGAGCACTGGTCCCAGCCCCGCCGTGGCCTCGTACACGGCCGGGTGGCTGAAGAAGAACGGCACCTTCCAGCCAAGTGCCACCGAGGCGAGGGCGAGGAAGCTGCGCAGCGTCACCGTCAGGATCCAGAGCGCATACACCGTCCAGGGCGCAAGGAGCAGCGGCGCGCGAGGAATAACGATGAGCGCGAGCAGGGCGAGCTGCACGATGCGCGTCACTGCCGTCAGGAAGGAGCCGGCCGGCAGCACGGGCCCGAGCAGCGCCGCCGCGAACTCGGGCGGCGATGAGAAGAGAATCTGGCGCGGCTCAAACGGCACGCGCAGCGCCTTGGGCAGCACGAGCCATGCGCCGAAGCTCAGCGCCGCATAGATGAGGGCGCTGGCGTTGACGTCGTAGACGCCCTGCTGCAGTGTCCCGGCCAGCATGGCGGCCGGCGAGTGCGACGCTGTGCGGCGTCGTGCGATGCAGCCTGGGTCTGTGCACCGGTCCGCTATGCTTGCTGCGGGTCCCTGGCCATGCGCGTTGATGTGGTTTGCTGTCAAGAGGCAGCAAGGCGCGTTATCGACTGATTGAGGCGGGACATGCAGGCTGCATGCCTCAAGGCGCGCGCGCAAGGCTTCGCACAGCGCCGCCTCGGTGCACGCGCCCGCTCACGTGACGCTGCGCCGCTGAGTGGAGCTGCTCCACAGCCGCCGCGTCGGCGCGGCCCCTCTTCCTCTTCTCATCCACGACGGCAGCAAGCAGCGCAACACAGGCCAGGCGCAGAGTCGGAGTCAGGGCACTCCTGGATTCGTGCCCCCGCGCAGTGATCTCTGCTCTGCAGCAGGCCCGCGCCGGACCTGACCAGGCGCCTGGCAGTCTTGCTCACGCCGTCTTCTGATGCTCGCGTAGCGGCTGCCACGACCGTGCCCCACCGGTCAAGCCGCTGCCCAGCATGGATCCGTTCCAGATCCGGCTCGACTTTCTCTCGCTGCTGCGCCGGCTCACGGCGTCGCAGCAGTCGATCGCCAAGCTCGTGGCCTTTGCCAGTGTGCACGCGCCAAAGGCGCGCAACGACATCTGGGACTGCATCGTCTCCGAGACGGGCAAGGTGTGTGCCAGAGCAAGAGTGGCCGTCCATCTGCCGACGGCGCTGAGCTCACGCCCTCTCCTTCGCAGGCGAATCTCAATGCGCGCCTCAACATCCTCTTCCTGCTCGATGCGCTGGTGTCCAGCTCTGGGGCGCCGACTACGTCCTCTGCGCAGGGCGGCTATCTTGATCTTGCCGCGCGCGATCTCCGCGACATCATGGCGCTCGTCGTGCCAGACACGCGCGACGGCGTACAGCTCAACGCCAGCAGTGCTCTGCGTGTGAGTGCGGGCGGGCGAAAGACGCAGCAGGGCGTGTAGCTCACTGGCTGCCTGGCCGTCAGGTGCTCGCCACTTGGAATGTCGAGCGTGTCTTCTCGCCCGCACTGATCAAGGACTCCGAGGAGGACATTGTTGCGCGGCAAAGGCGGTGCGTCCCTCTGCGCATCAGCTGTGTCTGGTCGGCTCGCTGACTGCCCTGCAGCGTCACCGCCGCGCCCCGCGCGGAGCAGCGGCCAAGCGACCTCTCTGAAGCTGATGTGCTCCGGCGCATCGAGGAGGACCGTGAGCGCGTGAGTCCCGGTCATGCTGGTCGAGCTGCGCCTCAGCTCACTATAGACTCTTCAGCACAAACGCCTGCGCGAGCGCGGCTGGATCCTTCCGTCCAAGTCTTTTCTCGACGCGCTTCCGAGCACGGGAGCATCCCGGGCAAGCGGCAACCATCTTCTCTCGACGCCCTCGCACAGCACCAAGGCCAGTCCCGCATCTCCTCGCGAGCCGCCAGGGCCGCCGCGTGCGTCCGGCATGAAGCGGCCCGGGCAGGCTTCTCTGCCGCCAGCAAAGCGCGCTCGTCAACTGCATTCGACGGACGATGCGGCGTCGCACGGCCCAGTTCTGCCTGACCCGCTCGACGTCGAGTTCGACGAGCTCTGGGAGACCGTCTCGGACCTCAACGAAGACGACCTGGAGACGATGCAGGAGGACGACGCGCAGTGGTGGGGCAGCGAGACTGCGCTCTTCCGGCAGGCCGATGCAGAGCGTCGGGCGGAAGAGGCGCGCCGGATGGAGGAGGAGCGCGCACATCAGGCAGCCATCGAGGAGGCAAGCAGAATGCAGAGGCTTCAAGAACTTCAAGAAGAAGAGGAGCGGCAGCAGCGTCTCGCCACGCGACAGGCCCACGAGGCTCAGCGCGGCGTCGAGCGAAACGGCAACCCGCACTCAAGCAGTCCAGCACGAGGCTGGAACACGAATCGAGCGAACCACGAGCAGCGTCCGCCGCCAGGACCGGCTTCATCCCCCTTCGCAGGCCGCGGTGGCCGTGGTTTCCGGCCCATCGGTGTTCCAACTGGCCCGGCCATGCTCAATGGCCACGGCCATGCGGCGTCCAGCAGCCCTGCCGTGGGTATTCCTCCGCGCAACGGCGCTTTCGGCAACGCTACGCCGCCAGCGGCGCCCAGCAGCTTCTCGCGCGGCAATCTCGGCTCCTCGCGCTCCTCGTCGCCCTACGCTGGCCCACCTGCAGGTCCGGCAGGGCGCGGCGGGCCGCCAGGACGCTTCCGCGGTGCCGGTGGCCCTCGACGTGGCGGCTGGCGAGACGCGAGATGAGAAATGAGTATGCGTGCGAATGGTAGAATACAGCGTGTGTGGGAGAGCTGGGACGGGGAATATGGAGAGATGCGCTTGCGGACAAGGTCTAGCGATGAGGTATGGGAAAATCAGGCGGGAGAGGAGGCGGCTTCTACAGCCAGCCGCCGCGGACCTTGAAGCGGTTGGCAGCAGCGAGAGCCTCGTCGTCACGCCGTGGCGGCGACGCCTCGGTAGGGTACGAGAAGGGATTGGCGCGCTCGACCATGGGGCTCGGCATCAGGCTGAGCGGCAGCGGCTGGGCGCCGGCGCCCAGGTCGAGCATGAAGGCATCCTTGAACTCTTGCTGTTCCCGCGCGGCCGCCGAGAGTGGCGAGGCCGAGGGGTGCAGTGCGTCGGCGCTCGTCATGACGATGCGTGGTGTCTGCAGCCTGCTCAGCGCTGGGCGCACTGGCGCTGGAGGCGACGGCGTGCCCGAGGAGCTTGGCGGCGTGGCGGGCAGCTCAGCCTTGCGCGACGCCTGCGCATTCTTGCGTAGCAGCAGCCGCGGTGGGGTAGGCGGAGGCGTTGGTCCGAACGCCGCGTGGTTGCTCTCCGTTCCGAGATCGAGCAGCAGCGAGCCGATGGCGCGACACGGAGCTCCTTCGTCGAGCGGCACGTCTGCATCGTGCTCAGAGACATCGTAGATGCTTCCAGCGCGACTGACGGTGCGCGGCAGGCTGAGGGCGCTCTCAGCAGCCGAGCCCTGGCGCGTCATCAGGTAGGAGGTAGGCATGCTTGGCGGCTCAAGCTCGGCGGAGTAAGCCTCCGCTACGGCCAGGGCATCGTGGCAGAGAGAGAGAGGCGAGCGCTGCGGCGAGGCGTACGTCTCGGCGGCGCGCAGGCGCGACGTGGGCGAGGCGACGGCGAGAGGCATGGCGTGGCGTGGTGAGGCGATCTTGGTGTCGCTGTAGTCGACGAGCGTCCGTGTGGGGCTCGGCAGACCGTCGGCCGAATCGATGATGCTGTTGTAGGGCAGTGTGCCACGGCGGACATGGGTAGGCCGAGGCGGCGAGAGGGCCGAAAGACTGCTGTCGCCCGTCGCAAAGGAGCTGTGCGTGCGGCTCGACGAGGCCGTGGTGCTAGTGCTCTCCTTCTGTCGCTGATGGTCGATGATGTGGCATGTCGTTCCACGCGGCGACGAGAGAGCGAGAGAGCGCACAGACATGTTGCCGATGGGTGCAGCCGCAGAGTAGAGCCAGGCCGAGGGCACCGTTGAGGCCGTCTTGATCTCGTGCTGCTGCGAGAAGCGGTCGCGCGTGCTGAATGCCGGGCTGCTGTGCAGCGTGTCGCAGCTGAGACGCTGCGAGCGTGCCATCGGCGAGGCGAAGCTGCTGCGCACCGAGGCGCGCACTCGCAGCGGCAGCAGATCCTTGCGCTCGGCGGCATACCCATGCGCTGCACTGCGCTTTCGTCGCTGTGCGCGCCAGTGTGTGCGCAGACAGTGCGTCACGATGACGCCCACCAGCACCACCACGACGAGACCAACGACGAGGCCGACGATGCCGCCGGTGCCCAGGCCGCTCGTGGACCCATGGCGGTGCCACGCGTACTTTGGCGAGGCGACCTGCCGTGCTGCCGTGTCGGCAGGTGCAGCTGCTGCGGCATCGCTGGCTGGCGCCAAGGCAGCGGTCTGCGCGGTCGAGGCGTAGAAGCGCCCGCGCCCACTGGCGGACGCGGGCCGTGGACGGGGACTGCGCAGGTCGGCACTCATGGGTGCGGCGAGGAGAGAGAGAGGTCGAGGCGAGGGTGTTCGTCGCGGCTGCGGCACGCCCCGTCGCTCCTTAAGGCGAGGCACTGCGCAGCCGCGCCAAGCGGTGCCCAGCAAGCAGAGCGGCCCGAGAGCGGGCGAGCGGCAGAGGATCGGGCCGCTGCTGGGGACGGCAGAGCAGCAGTGCGGCGGTGACTGAGCGTGCAGCCGCGGTGCGGCGTGCCGACTTGATTCGGGTCTGTCGTGCGACCGTTGGGCAAGCGCCACGAGGGAATGAGGGGCGAGCGGACAGGCAGGCGTGGCGTGAGTGCGAGCGAGGAGTAGGTGGTGGCATGAGGGAGTGCGAGGGGCACGCGGCTGGACGTAGCGCGGCGACGGGTGGGTAGGGCAGGCCGCGCTGCGGCGGGCGATGAACGCCGAGCTGGGCAGAGGCAGCTGATGCTGGGCCAGGCGAGGGTACGGCTGAGCCCCAACGGTCCGGCCTCCATCCCTGCGTCCGGCGCCGAGCGTGTCCAGGGGGCGCCGCGGCCGCAGCCGCGCACCTGCCCCGTTCGGCACGGCACGGCGCGTGTGCTTCTCCCGACGCGTCAGCAGACCAACACCTCGCGCCGCCCTGCTGCTGCCACGCTTCGACGCTCCCGCTGCCGCACCGTCGTCGAGGCCTGCTGACGACGTCCACGCTCACTCGATCCGAGCGCCGCATCGCAGGCAGCTCGAGAATGCTGCACAGCCGTCGATGGCAGCCGTGTTGGAGCGCTGCTGCCTCGGATGGCAGATGCATCGTCGGCGGCCCATCGCCTCCGCGCGATGCCGGTTCCCACGCGCCCACCTGCCTCAAACGGCTGCCGCTCCGAGGCGCCAAGCCGGCCCTCGTGCTACTGCTCCATGCTCCGGCTCCGGCTGCTTCGCTGCAGAACAGGGCTCCCACGATGGGCTGAGATGCGCACAGCAGCGGGCGCTGGGCGCTGCGCTCTGTACTGTTGCTGTCGGACGTCTTGGCCGGCAGCGCTGCTGCAGCGCGCGCGCAGCCACACCGCGCCGGCATGCCCCCTTGCATCATCACCGCGCCGTCGTCACCTGGCACGCAGACCGCTCCGCCCGACGTTGACCCTCGCAGCACCGGCACGTGACTGATCCTCACCCTCGGCGTCGTGTCCAGACAAATCTGCAGCTCCTGCTCGCGAAGCAGCAGCGAGCTATTTCCGGCACGGAGGACGACGCTTTGGCCGCCAAGCGCCGCTGCGGCTCGACGCGCACGCAGCTGCAGCAGGCACGTCAAGATGCAGGCCAGACCGCAGCGGGTCCGAGCGCCGCTTGCCGTGCGCTCGGACGTGAGTCTGAGTGTCGCGTCTCCTCTGCCCTCCATCAGCTTGTCGAGCAAGCGAGCTTCTGTTAAACATCGGCAACGAGCCTTTCGCTGCGTCGGCTGAGATCCAGGAGCAGCAGGGGCGCCGAAAGAGGCACTTTAGCGCCAGGGCCGGGCACCGAGCCGTCTGCGGAGCCGCGGCGACGCGGTGGCGCCTCTTCGCGCGCCGGACTTCAGGCGACCGCGTCCATCTCGAGCGCCTCCCTCCGCCCGCGGCGCAGGACAGGTGCCGTCCGCACCTTGCCGGCTGCCTCTGCACCTGGCGCAGATGCAGAGAGAGCTGTGACGCAACCATCGAGATTGCCGAAGCGCCCGGCCTGTCGCTCTGCCTCGGCGTTGGAAGCGGCAGGCGGCCCGCTCGCTCGCCAGCCGCCAGCGGGCCGCAAGCAAGAGACGCGCTCGCTCGCCGTCGGTGCGCCCCCGCACCCGATTCCGCTCTGCCTGCCCGCGGAAGTCAGCCTCGCCTGGACGTCGGGCGCTGGCCGGCTGCGGCCGGACGTGCATCTCCGCAGGTGCAGCTGCGAGCTGCAGGGTGTGCTGCATCGCAAGGCTGCGCAGGCACGGCGGATGCCCGTCATGGTGCCGCTCCGTGCCGCAGCATGATGCAGCCGGGATCTCGCAGCAGCAGCAGCCTTTCCTATCGTCCGCCGTCGTGGCGCCTTCGAATATCCGGCCTCGTGCCGGAGCGCTGGCCAGGCGCAGCGTCAGAGGACCACTGCGCCCTCGACAAGAGGAGTGAGCTATATGCGTCCCGGGGCGGCAGACGGCATGGGCTTGCCGGCCGGCGGCCTTCGCTGCAGCTGCGAAGGGCGAAGCCTCGCATCTGCTTCTCCTCATTCCGAGCCGATCTCACTGTGACTCGCCAGGCACTGCTGCAGCACTCGCGCCGGAGCCGCACGGACTTATGAGCCGTCACTTGTGTGTCTAAATGCAGTGCTCGCTAGGGGTCGTGGCCGCTGGACACTGGTTGGGGCGCGCGGCAGGCTTCATAAAGTGGAGCCTCACGCCGCACACACGCACCTCTCTCAGCATCCTCCACCCCTCCCTCTCCCGTGCGCCCGGCGCTCCCTTTGCTCCCTCCCACGCGCACCCTTCCCGCTGCGCTCCGACGCTCCTTCGCCGAAGCACGCCCTCTCCCTTCTCCCTCGGCGCAGCTGCACGCGCAAGCTCGCACACGTGCCTCCTCGTCCCCTTGCTTGGCTCGCTAGCGTCGGACAAGCACATTTGCGGCGAGCAGCGCTCTGCAATTGAGCCCTTTGCCTGCTCGGCGCCGTCGCGCATCTCGCTCGGCTCGGCCGTCTCGGCGTCCGCGCCGGCTCGTTCGCGCTACTCAACGCGGCGATTCAGATTCAGCCCCAGCAGAGGGCGGATCTCACGACGCTGCACGCTTGCGCCGCCGCGCAGCTCGCCTCGCTGCGCGTCCGCGTGGTCGTCTGCGACGGCACGTCAGCTCATCACGCTCACGCTCCGCATCCGCACCGCCGCTCCGGAGCCGCGGCCGTCGGCCCCGCGTCACGCGCCTCGCAGGCAGCGCCGCGCCTTCGCTCCTCCCCACCACCACCACCTGCTCGCCCGTGCGTGCTGCGCGCTCCCACACGCCGTCGCTCGCAGCACACGCCCTAGCCGCACTCTGCCATGTACCCGCAGCAGGGCCCCAACGGGCCTGGCCCGGGCGGCTATGGCTTCGACGCATCGCAGCTGCCGCCGGGCGCGTCGCAGCAGCAGCTGCACATGCACATGCAGGCGTTGCAGCAACAGGCGCAACAGGCGCACGCATACATGCAGCCTCCGCCGCAGCCCTTCGAGGGCCAGCAGCAGGAGCCGCCGCACGCGCCGTCGGGGAGCGGCAGCCGCAGCGGCAGCCAGAGCGGCGCCAGCAACAGCGGCAGCTTGAGCAGCGGCGTCGAGCGCAGCGCCCATGGCTACGTGTGTCCCAATTGCGGCAAGGCATTCGCACGTGGTGAGTCGGCCAGCCGCGAGGCACGATGGGCCAGAGGGCCGCGAGTGATGGCAGGGATCCCGTAGCTCACAGTGGGCTCCGCAGACGATCTGCTCAGGCGCCATCTCTCGCGTGAGGCTCGCGCCCTTGCACAGCCGTCGTTCGATCGGCAAAAGTCGTGCCATGCCTGTGCGGCCAGCAAGGCACGCTGCGATCTCGAGGTGCCGTCGTGTGGGCGGTGTCGTGCGCGGGGCAAGGCTTGCGTGAGTACAGCTGGGCAGGTTCAGACAGAGCAAAGGGCGCTGACGCCAGGCATCAGGTCTACGGCGCTCGCTCCGGCAACCCAAATGTGCGGCGCGCACAGCGCGAATCCGTCACTGCTTGGAGCACTCCTGGTCCGTCCACGTGGGCGGCCGACGGCAGCAGCTACAACTTCGCAGCTGCGTCCAGTCTGCCGCCCGCTCCCGGGCTCATGCCGCCGCGCAACGGCTCAGGCGACGACTACGCCTCGGATGCCAGCGATTCGCATGGCTGGCCAGACTTTGACCAGCCGCACGTACGCGCCGCACGCGCATTCAGCACCAGCACGAGCAGCAGCGACGCCGAGAGCGGCTACGGCTCGCACTCGGGCAGCTTCTCGTTCGACGATGGCGCGCCGCAGGGCCAGCAGCCTCCTAGCGACCAGTTCTTCACGCCGCAGCTCGGCAGCGCAGCATTTGAGCCGCCGATGCGCACCGACTCGCCCGCTTCGTTCACACAGCCGATGGTCTCCAAGGCCTCACGACTAGCTCGCGGCTTCGGAAGCGCAGGCGGCTCTATCGACACGAACATGCGACGCTACGAGCATGAAGAGGACGAGCAGACGCCCATCGGTCCGAGCCAGCATGGCCTGAGCATGACTGCCTCTGGCGACCTGGGCGTGCGAGGCTCGATGGGCCCGCCTGCTTCGACAGCGCGGGCGCAGGCAGGCGCTTTCGGCTGGAACGCGCCCGGAGGCACCGGCAGCGGATCGGGCATTTACGGCGCCGAAAGCAGCGGCTCCGGCAGCTCAGCCTCGTCGCGGCCACAGCCGCCGCGACTCCTGACGGGCAGCAAGATGCCGCTGCCAGCGTCGCAGCCGCAGAGCGGGCAGAGCAGCGCGCGACCGCTGTTCAGCGCGCTCCTCGACCTCAGCGGTTGGCTTGAGGAGCCGGTGGTGCCCTCGCCGCTGTACCGCATGGGCCCCAGTCTGGCGTCTTTCGGCGCGGCAGGCAACAGCATGTCAAGTGCGCTGCACTTTTTGCCGCCTACGCCCACGTCTGAGGCGTCGGCAAGTGCCACGCGCCAGGCGCTCATGACGCCGCGCGACTCGACGATGCGCTCCTCGACCGACCCGACGAGCGATGCCGGAAGCTCTTCGGCAGGCGCAGCTGCAGCGGCGGAGCACACGCCCGCGCAAGTCATGACGGCGCAGCACTGGTGGACGAGCGGCGCACCACGGCCTGCGGCTGAGCTGCAAGGCCAGATCGCACAAGCATGCGCCAGTCACTTCACGCTCTATCCACAGCTGCTCGTGCTGCCCGATCCCTCATCACCCGTGCCGCCGCTCTTCCACCGACCATGGCTGGCGCAGACTCGCGTCCAGACGCCTGCGTCGCTGGCGGTAGCACGCGTGGTCATTGCCGGCTTCCACTCGCGTCTGCCGGCGAGCGATGCCATGGCACGAGAAATGCTCTCGACGCACGCGCGCAACGTCTTTGCCATGGCCGAGGTCATCGCAGCCGACGGCGATGCCGAAGTGGCAGCTGCGACGGCTGCGGCTTGGCTGTACCTCGTGCTGCTCCTCACCTCAGACGCCGACGCCAACGAGAGTCAAGCAGAAGGCGCCGCAGAGCGCACGGCGCAGCTCATCAGCGAAGGGCTCGTGGCGCTCTCCACGCTCTCTCGTGCGCTCTCTCAGCGCGTCGCGCGCCTCGAGGAGGAGCGCCGCAGTGCCGGCGCCGAATTCCTGGCGTGGGGCTTCGAAGAGACACTGCGGCGCACGCTCTTCGCCAGCTATGCGCTGCTGGTGCTGCAGCGCTTCCGCACGCCGCAGCCGCCAGCGCAGCAGGCCCTGCAGCAGAGTCTGGCCGGCGTCGAGCTCGTGCTGGACGTCGCCTTGCCCGCCGGCGCACTCGAGTTTGAGGCGGCCACCGAGCTCGAGTGGCGTGCCGCTCAGTGCGCACGCATCAGTGCCGAGGCGCCGACGCTGCGCCGCCTTCTGCAGGCTCGCAGTGAAGCTGCGGGCGCCGGAGCAGCGGCAAAGGCACACCCGGATCTGGCGGCCTACTTTGACCGTCACGACTTCTTCACCAACTGCTGTCTCATCGTCGCACTTGCGCTGGACGAGCAGACGCCGAATGCCGTCGCTCCTACCTCGTAAGACGATGCGCATCTACCCTCTTTCCCCCCGCGATCCCCACTCCCAGCTTGTACTCGTCACGCAGCCCGCTCTAGACATCGCACACTCTCACTCTCTCGGCTCTCGGGCTCGCCTGCCTCTGGAATCTCCATCCGTGCTGTATCATGCCCTTGTCGTCCGTCGTGCTGGCGTGACACCTGTGGCGCGCGTGGGCCAACGTCTAGAGAGTCGAGATATACGCATTGCCAAGTCATCGCAGCATCTAGGCCCCAGACAGAGCAGTCTACTTGGTCTGGTGCAGACGCAGCTTGCCCGGGCTGTAGTCGTAGTTGGCCGCTGCGGGTCGGCGCGTCGCTGTTCAGCTTTGTGCCGTGAACGGCTGCCCCGCCATCTGCACTCACAGTAGGACTTGGGCGGGATGCGCGGCGCATGTGGCTGCTGCACGAAGTAGGGCCAGTTCTGCTTCTCGCTGCATCACGGTGACCAGGCTGCGTCAGCCGCGAGGCGCAGCAGGCGCGGCAAGCCTGCGGCAATGCTCACCAGAAGTGCACGGCGTCCTCCGAGGTCTTGAACTTCAGATACGTCGCTTGCATGTAGTCGGCGCTGCGGGCACGGCGGTCAGCGGTCGTCCGTGGCAGGGGCGACTCTCCAGCTCGAGATTGATCCCTAGGTCGCACAAGCCCTAGAAAGAGCCGCCACGCTTATCACGTTTGCCTGCGCCCATCGCTGCCTTGGTCCTCACGCCCCCTTGACTGACTGCCGCGAGCCTCCACCTCCGTGCAAGCCTCTCAGCAGTCCCATCTCTTATCCCACAGCGCATGTATCCTGCCGCCGTCCTTCGCACATGACTCACCTGCTCGCCCAGCCCATCAGCGGGTTCTCCCAGCGCGCACTGCCCTCGAGAATGTCAAAGTCGACACGCCAGTGCGCTGTGCCGCTCTTGCCGCTCGTGTTGCTCGACTTGCTCGGCTTGAAGATGCGCACGGGACGCTGGCGCAGCTCCGCTATCGGAGCAAGTGCAGCGGGTCAGCCTCGGCGCTGTGGCAGATGCGCATCCTGCCGCTCAGGCTTGGCTCTTGCGGCTGCGCGACAGCGCACTCTCGCCACAATGCCCGCAGCAGAGCCTCGGTCTGACCTCTCTCCACACAGCATGCAGCCACCACAGCAGCCCGTCTACTCACGCGGCGCATCCGAGATCTGGTCAGCAGCGAGCGGGACGGAGCAGCGCTCCTGCTGCTCGCGGATCACGTCGCGCGAGCCCGTGGCGCCGGGCGCGGGCGCCGCGGGCAGCTTGGCGCCGGCAGAGTAGAGGCGCGCGGGTGCTGCGCCGCGCAGCAAGGGGGTGAGGCGGAGGGACATCATGCTGGAGGAAGAGGATGTGGGGTGAGGCCAAGGCTGACCGGAGACGCAGTCGAGTGGAGTCCGCCGCCAGCTGGCTGGCTGGGCGGTGCGATGGCTGACGCGGGAGTCGCGCGCTCTGGCTGGCTGGCGCGCCAGCCTCTCACGCCTGTGTCCCAGCCAGCGACATCGCTCAAAGCACGACGAGAGGCAGCATGTATTCTTATTCTTTTGGTCAAAGGAGTAGGGAAACGGAACAGGAGACAGCCTCGAGGGCAAGTGGTGTACGCGCAGCCCCCACTCCGGGCCGAGGCGCACTGGCGGCACAGGAGGTGGCGCAGACGTCGAGCCTGCGCGCGCGCAGGAGCCACGTCGACCGTGACCGCGCACCGAGCCCAGTACAGACGCAGGTGGATGCATTGTATGAGCGAGGTGACGGGGTAGCGGCGTGCAAGTGACGGAGTAGAACAACGGGTGTAGAGAGACCGGGTCGGTGGAAGATGCAGGGTGTAGGGCTAGCTGAAAGCGGCAAGGACAAAAAGGAGATCGGAGGGCGACGGGACGAGCGCACCGTGAGCGCGATGCCCGCGCTGCCTTCATCGTCCGCGTCGCCCGGCCCGGCCACCACGCCCGCCCCAGCCCGAGCCCGGCGGCATGAGATGCTGCGGCTGCGGCGGCTGAGGCGGCGAAGGTGCGTGGAACGGCGGCTGCGGACGCCCGTGCGGTCCAGGAGGGCCGTGGGGGCCGGGAGCACCGAACGGCGGGCTACCGAAGGGAGGGCCATGGGCGTACGGCGCCTGTCCGTGCCCTCCAGGCGGGCCCATGGGCGAATGCGGCTGGTGTGGCATGCCCATTGGCATCTGGTGCTGTGCTGGTCCACCGTGCTGCGGTGGCCAGGCGTTGGGCTGCCCTGCACCCGGACCAGCTCGCGGGCCTGTCGGAGGAGCACCGTACGGCGTTGGAGGCCCGCCAGGGGGTGCAGCCCAGCCAGCTGGACCCTGCGGAGGGCCGGGCGCCCCAGGAGGCGCCCAGCCGCCGGCGTGCTCAGGTGCAGCGGGCCGACCGTACGCGCCGTAGCTTCCGTGAGGCGCAGCTGGAGCAGGCGGACCGCTGGCGTAGTGTGGCGTGCTGACGGAGGGTGCCGGCGGCGGAGGGCCAGGCGGCGGTCCCGGGGGCGGTCCAGGCGGCGGACCAGGCGCAGGGCCAGGAGCCGCGGATGCCGGCGCCGCAAGGCTTGATAGCAGCTGGCTCAGCAAGCCTGGCTGCGTCGTCAGTACGTTGTTCAGCTCCGGCGGCGGCAGGTTCGAGAGAGCCGCAGCGGTGGGCGCAGACATCGTAGCGGCGGGTGCGGTGGGAGCGGGCGTGGACGATGTCGGAGTCGGCACAGAGACATTTGGTGCGCTGCTCGTGGCGCCGGCACCACCGCCGACGGCGCGCAGTAGCTCTTGCAGCGCCGATGCGCCGCCGGGAAAGAGAGAGAAGGCAGTGCCAGCGGCCGCAGGCGCCGCCGTCTCTGGCGCAGATGCCGGCGGGCTGGCAGCGCCAGAAAGTGCGGCTGTCGGCGCGGGCCGTGCAAAAGGACTGCTGCCACCACTGCCGGCGCCAAAGGGCGACGCCGCAGCCGGCGATGCACCACTGTGAGGCGCACGGGAGGATGTCGTGGAGGGGGGGGCCTTGCGCTTGGCCGTGCCGTTGCGCGAGGCCAGGGCGCCCTTGAAGAGAACTGCGACGAGCAGGAACATGTCTGCCTCTCGTGGCGTCTCGAGCGCGGCGAGATGCTGCGGCGCAGCAGACGACTCGGACGAGACGAGGCGCAGCCATTCGGGCAGAGCAATGTGGCGCGGCAGCGGAGCAATGTAGAAGTCCTTCACCAGTGTACCGCGGGCTTCGGGAGCGGGAGCCACGACGCCGTAGCGAGAGCGGCCGTATAGCCAGCCCACGAGCTCCTCGAATGCAGCGACATTGTCCGCTGAGCTCTCCGGCACACCCTTGGCTCCAGCACTGCCGGCTTTCGTGGCAAGCGCCAGGCCTTCAGCTTCAAAGGACGGCGAGAGGGCCAGCACGACGAGCTCGGTGCGCGGTGCTAGGTGGCTCTGCACGAGGTAGTCCTCTGCCGTGTTGCGCGGCAGACGACCTTCGATGAGCGAGTGTGGCGAGGGAAGCAGTTGAGTCCAGCCAGAGCCAGTGGCCAGTGAAGGTCCGCAGAGCTGCGAGACGACGCCGCTGCAAGCGCCCACCTCCGGCATGCTCACGGCGCCGCGCCAGCGCACCTCGCCGAACGGCGACTCGCTCTTCTGGGGGATGGCAGGCGCAGAAGTAGAGGGCGCTGCAGAAGTCTCGGTCTTGGGTGCCGCATCGTCTGCCACGTGTGGAGGCGTCGACATGCCGAGGAAGGAGTCGATGAAGTCGTCGGCCATCGTCGAGTCTTCGCCCTCGACGGCGTCCTTGCTGCCTTCCGCCAGCTGGCCATCGCCCGTCTGGCCATCTCCCTCGGTCTTGGGCTCGCCAGCGTCGTCCTCATGCTTCGTCTCGCCGCCGTCTGGTCGTCCGCTGAACACGCTGCCAAAGTCAAAGTCGTTCGTGGCGGGGCTCTGCGGCGGGAAGGTTGCGGCAGTGGCGCTGCCCGGCGTGTCTCTGCGCGTCGGAGAGGGCACGGCAGGCGTCGGTGAGAAGTGCTCGGACTTGAGGCCGGGAGATGCGAGCGATGGCGACCACGGACCAGAGCCCATGCTTAGTCCAGGACTGCCCAGCCCACCGTCGCGAGGCCGCGAGACCGAGTCGCGCTTCACTGGCGAGCCAGCTGTCGGCGTAGAGCCGGAGCCGAGGGAGGGCGACGCGGCCGCCGCTGCGTCGTCGCGCTCCTTTGCCAGCTTTGCTCGGCGACGCGCCTCGGCCTCTGCCTCGGCGGCATCTTGAGTGCCGGCGTCGTACTCGATGTCGACCTCTCCCTTGTGCGTCATCTTGCGGCGCGGACCCTCGTCGCGCTTGCCGAGCACCGAAGCCTGCAGGTTCTCAGCCTTGCGACGCTCGAGGTCCAGTCTGCGCTCCTCGTTGGCCAGCTCCGACGACGAGAGAGCCGCCAGCTGCGGCGCACCGAGGTCGCCCGAGGCAATGCGCGCACGCAGAGAGGCATTGTTCTTGTCCTTGAGACTGAAGAGCAGCGTCCGCAGGCGGTCCTTGTACAGCTTGCCGGCGAGTGCCTTGCCGCCCGTGCTGCCCGTCTCGGCATGCAGCTCGAAGACGCGCGCCTCGAGGACGGTGGCATAGGAGGAGGCTCGCTTTGCTGCGGCAGTCTTGTCGCTCGCTGATGGCTCGACGGACCGAGGCGCCGGCGTGTCTGAGGAGCTTGCGACCGCGGAAGGACTGGGTGCCGCTGCGGGGCTGTCCGTCTTGAGATCCGACGACGACGGCTTGGCGTCCGACTCGCCAGCAGGTGGCGCCGTCTGCGTCGCTGCGCCGGCCGCTGGAGATGCTGGCGGGTTCGCAAGAAAGACGGGCTCGAGCACCGCTGCAAACTGCCGCACGGCATGATTGCGCACGTTGGTGCTCTGTGCCGCTGCCGCCGCGGCCGCCGCATTGGCCGCAGTGCCGGCCGTCGAGCTCTTGCGGGCCGCCGCAGCGCCGGGCCCGCCGAGTGGGCTGCCGACGACGGCACCAGTGCCAGCCGAGACGCGACGGGCCGCGCTCGTCGGACGTGCTCGCGATGGCGCCGCACCTTTGGAAGAGCCCGGCGGCAGCAAGTCTGCACGAGCCTTCTTCGTCTGACGTGCGGCGCCGCTGCTCGAAGCTGCGCCGGCACTGCCGCTCGGGCCCGCACGGGCACTGGGGCCGCCGCCCGGAGGCAGTAGCGACGCGTACGCAGCAGAGGCAGCAGAAGCAGCTCCAGCACCATCAGTCGGCCCCGTCATCTGGACGACAGCGCCAGCAGTAACAGCTGCGCCCTCATGGTCCTCCTCAAGCAGTGCCTCTCCCGCCTTGCGCTTGCCGCCGTAGCGCGCCTGCGCGGCGCCCGTCTTGCGCCGCGAGCTCTTTGGCGCCGCAGCATCCAGAGCACCCTCCGCCGTCTGCGCCATGTTGTCTGCAGATGCAGCTCTGTCATTGCCCTCCGGCTCTCCTGCTGCTTCGGCTTCCATGTCCTCGAGCGCTGCGTTCGTGGAGATAGAGCATCAGCAGTGCGTTGCGCAGACAGGACACAGCCGACTCACTCTTCGACACGCGTCCCGTCCGCGCGCTGCACGAGGCGCACACGTAGGCGCCGAGCGTCTCGGCGACGGCTTGCGTCAGGCCAACGCAGTCGAAGTGGAACCTGGGCAAGCGTGGACGGCGTCAGCGCTCTCTCTCCTCGTCGTCGCTCGCGTGAAAGGCCCTGCAGAGCACCCTCATGATTCTCCCTTCGCCTCTGCAAGCAGGCGATGTCGCCTCCTGTCTAGGTGGCGCCGACCGTGCATGCCTCACTCCCCCTTGACCCACACCAGAAACATCACTCACCAGTCGTCGCACTCGCTGCACCACACCATCGGCCGCCCATCATCTCCCTCTCTACACACGCAGTACACCGCTCCATCCTCCTCCTCCTCTTCGTCGTCCTCCTCGACTTCCTCCTCGGGCGTCGGCCATCGAGCGGCCGCGGAGACCTTGCGCGCCTTGCTCGTCGACGCAGCTGCGGCTGCGGGAGCGGCTGCGACGAGGCCAGCGTCGGCCGCGAGCTTGGCGGGCGGACGCTTGGCGCGCGCACTGCGACGTGCTCCGCCTTCGGCCGCGGCGGGCTCGGGCGCCGTGGCGAGCGGCGCGGGCTCAGGCGCTGAAGGTGAGGCCGACATGTCCGTTGACACAGCCGACGCGGCGCGCGCGGCGTGACGGGCGAGCCGAGAGGAAGGTGCGGGTGCTGAACGCGCCGCGGCAGCGACGGCAGGTGACGGGCAGTCAGGCGCACAGACAGACGATGTCTGGTGCTCTGACGCGACGAGACACGTGTGCCAGCAGCTGTGCGCTCACAGCAGCAGGCAAAACAATGCACGAGCGAGCAGCGCAAGCTGCCTGTCACTGGCGACGCGGGGGTGAACAGACGCACACACCCGCGAGTGGCGCTCGTCTACAGCAGGCGGACGAAAGAGAAGGGGAGCGACGACAGCAGCCAAAGGCGAGGGGGTGATCGTACAGCCAGCCAGCAGCAGCGCAGCAGCACTGTCACGACGGTGTCAGACTGAGAGACGTGCAGTGGAGCCTCGCGTGGCGACGGTTGCTTCAGAGGGTGCTTGTGGTTGCAGAACAAGGAGCGGTGGATGCGCTCACGCGACGACGACGGCGGGGGCGCGCAGCGCACGCGGCGCGGGCAGGCGGCCTGTCTCTGCGCCTGGCTGGGGTGACGTGCGCGCCGGCCGGCTGAGTTCTTTGGCGCGGCTCGGCCGAGCCGATCGACCGGCGGGCGCATGGCACAGGCGCAGCGCCGCGGTGCGGCGGCACGCCAGCAGCGCGGCGCGGGCGGTGCTGCCCGCCGCCGATCTTGCCTCTCCTGTTGCAGCTGCTCCACCACACACCCTCACACCACACATACTCCCATCGCTCACTCCCGCGCCCAACTGCATCAGCTTATGAACCTTACCAACCTCAGCAGCTACGGTGCGTGCTCTGCGGCGGCTCGCTGCACCGACGGAGGCCCGCGCGGCGCTCGCACGACTGCGCCACCCTCATCGCCCTCTCCCTCCGCGGCAGCCCGCTGACCCTCGTCCGCACGCTCGGCAGATCCCTTCGCCGACACCGGCGAAGACGCGCTCCAGGCCGTCGACGCCGCCGCCGCGGAGCAGAAGGCTGCCGCCGCCGCCGCCAAGCAGAAGCAGGGCGGTGCCATCCACATTCGCATCCAGCAGCGCAATGGCCGCAAGACGCTGACCACGCTGCAGGGCCTGCCCAAGGGTGAGTGCGCGAGCTGCGGAGACAGGAGTGGTAGTGCTAGAGCGGGCTGGCGTGGGCGCGCGGCAAGTGGCTCGTGCGCCTGGTGGCCGAAGAGGCAGCAGCACAGCGGCGCCTAGTGACGGAGCAGGGCGCAGCGGCGAGCGACGATAAAGGGCGCTCAGTCTGGCGACGTGTACGGCATCAGGCGCACAGGGCATGCCGACGTGCGCCTCTCGATGCAAATCTGCCTGGCTCAGGTGCTCCAGCTCTGCGGCTTGCTCTGCGAGACAGCGGGCAGCTGGGCGCGCACTCGTTGCCGTGCACGTCATCGCATCAGGCTAGGAGCGCGGCGCGCCACTGCAGGTGCTCGTAGGCGCTGCTCGCTGTGCAGCGAGCAAGTGCAGAAGCATCTCTCGACGGTGCGCTGACATGCATCTGCAAGGTCCTGCAGCTTGTCTGTACGGCTTTGGGGCGTCCCTAATTGCGGGTGCAGGATGGACTACTTACTGACTTTCTGGTTGCAGAGTACGACAGCAAGAAGCTGCTTAAGGCGTTCAAGAAGGAGTTCGCGTGCAACGGCACGCTCGTTGATGATGAGGAGATGGGCCAGGTGATTCAGCTGCAGGGCGACCAGCGGCAGAAGGTTGCCGGCTTCCTGTGAGTGACGTGCTGCTGCTGAAGGAGCAGAGTGAAGACGGGGAATGGCGCACCGTGCTCATGCATGCGCTTCTGCCCGCAGCATCGAGGAGGGCATCCCCAAGCAGGAGGTCAAGGTGCACGGCTTCTAAGCTGCGCCTGCAACGGCCGCGCACTTCGGAGGGGCGCAGTCCGGCCGTGGCCGTGGCGGAGCGGCAGTCTGTCGATCGGTGGACTGCCGTGCGAGGCACTCCTCTGCGATGTCAGAGCACGGCAGCGAGGCTGCGCGGCGTGCTTCTAGGCCATCCCTTGCCGCACGACGCCGACGAGGCGTCTACCCCGTGCTCCGCCTGTCACCGACGCGTGCGAGCCGCTTCCCTTCACATCCTGACTCGGCATCGTTCAATTCATGCGGCTCTTTTCGTCACACGGCGCGACGGCGATCAGGCAGCGGAGCGAGACGAGCGTAACAGCAATGTGTGAGCGCGGAATGGCCGTGAGGCAGAGGCACCCGCCGCATCCTCCTGAGAGGGTTGCTAGGTTGTGGCAGACTCAGACAGGGGCAGATGCCAGGCACGCGTGAGAGCAGTGGAGGAAGCAAAGGCACTGAGAGGCTTGAGCGAGAGAGCGCAGGTAAGGTAGATGGTGTGGGCGAGAGAGGGAGAGGGGCGAGGCAGCGAGAAGCGCTGTTTTATGACACTGGGACGGAAGGGAGGAGGGCGGGAAGGGGATAGGGAAAGGGAAGCGCGACGACGGCCAGGGTGGGTGACGGGCGGACAAGAGATCGGACAGAACGACACGGGACGTAAGAGAGACCTGAGAGCCCGGAGTGGAGTACAGGATGGGAGCGAGAGAGCAACAAGCGGGGGCGCCGAGAGACTGGCAGAGTCGCACATCTACGGAGCGAGCAAGGGCTCGTGCTGGTGCCTAGCCCTGTCGCCAGGCTGCAGGCAGGCCCTTTACTGCGACACGCCGCCCTGCGACAGCCTGTGGAAGAGGGAAGGGGAATCGTGTGAGAGCGTGTAAGGCACGGTTGCGCCTGCCACTCCAGACGCACCGCATCTTCTCCTGCTCGAGACGCTGGTACAGCAGGCTGACGGCGAGCTGGATGTTTGCTGGCGGGCCCGCTGCAGAAGAAAGGGCGCCGCAAAGGCGCGGCGAAGGTCAGCACATGAGAAAAGGCGGAGCCAGCCGGCAAACGCACTGATGGTGACGAGACGCTCGGTGCCGCTGCCGCCGGCGGCGATGCCCGCGCCCGGCTCCATGATCTTGATGTGCGAGGCGCTCATCTGGCGGATCTCGTTGATCTTCTGGCCGCCCTTGCCAATGATGCAGCCGACGAGATCCTGTTTTGCGGCGCGCCCGTAAGCTCGGGAGCCACGCCGGCGTGACACTCTGACTGAGAGCAGCAGTGGCAGCGACTCACATTGGGTATGAAGATCTGCTGCGTCTGGCTGCCCGGCGGCAGCGCCTGGTTGGCGCCGTACTGCGGCATGCCGGGGCCTCCAGCGCCTGGCCCAGCCATAGGTGCCGCCTGGGCGCCATACGCATAACCGCCCTGGGCACCGGCATTCGGCGAGCCGGCGCCGGGCGCGCCGCCATATGGCGCATTGCCGCGCGGCGGCACACTGGCCACGGCCGAAGAGGCACCGCCCGTGGGGCGGTACGTCATGTTGTTGGCGTTGCGGTCGGGGTGCTCGAGCAGGATGGTGCCCACGTAGTAAACGGCAATGTGCACGGCATCGGCCACGCCCGAGATGCTCAGCACGCGCTGCAAGGGGAGCGACATCAGCCTTGCCGCGCCTCTCGCCCTTGCATCATGCACGCAATGACTCACCTCAGTGCTGCCAGGCAGCATCGCCTCTCCAGCCGTGAGGCGCGCACCGCTGGCCTCCTGGATCTCCTTGATCTTGGTGCCCTGCTTGCCAATCACACTGCCCATGCGCGAGTTGGGCACGATGAAGCGGATCGTCACGGCCCGGCTGCCCGGCACCGACGGCTGGTCAAACGGCTCGTCGTTGATGCGGCGCACAATGAGGCCGAACGCCTGAAGCAGCACGATCCCGCGCGTCAGCGTCTGATCTGCCGCGCGCGCTGAAGCTGTGGCGCTCGAAGCCTCGAAGCTCGCTCGAGCGCACTGCTCTGCGCGTCCCATTGACCATCCCAACGGCACTTCCACGCCGAGGACTCACCTTGCTGACGGCGTCGAGCTGGCCTGCAACAGTCATAATGCGCTCCGGGTTTCCCGGAATGCTCTCGCTCTGCATGGCGTGTGCAACACGGCAACAGCGGCGATGACGCGTAGTCAAGGAGGGGGAGGAAGATGAGGGCACAGTCAGCAGCGATTCCTTCCGCCTCTCAACGATCAATCGCCCGATCCATATCCCTCCACGTGCCAGGCGATTCGCAGCCCTGCACCTCTAATGACCCTGCCTCCAACCCCAGCGAGCGTGGCTCGTGACTCACGATCGTCAGCCGCGCTCCGCTCTTGTCGCGGATCTCGTTGATGTGGCGCCCCTGCTTGCCGATGATGATACTGGCATCGCCAGTGATGATGAGGGAGCGCATTGCAATGTGCTGCGGCTCCAGGCCATCTGCGCCCGACTCGCCAGGCTGCTGCTGCTGCTGCTGCTGCGGCTGGCCTGCCGCATCGTCGCCCTCAGCTGCGCCCTCCTGCTTCACGGGCGCAGCGGCATCAGCGCCATTGCTGGTGCTCGGCGCGGCCGCATCATCGTGCGAGCCAATGTCCACCGCATCCTCCTCGCGCGGCGCCGCCGCCGCAGAGGCACCAGCGTCCGCCGCCGGCTTCTCGTCCGCCGCAGAGGCGGCCGACATGCTTGCTGCGCCAGAGGAAGGGGCAGGCGTGGCGGCAGGCTCGTTCTTGAGGCGCTTGGCGTCGGGCTGCGTCGACTTTGCACTCGCGACGGTGCTGCTGGACGCGGGCGCAGCGCTGTTGGAAAGCTCGTGCGTGCCGGACGGCGAACGCTCACGCTTGGCCGAAGGAGCGGTGGACTCTGCCATGATGTGCAGCGAGGAGAGAGAGGAGAGGGAATCAGCACACCACTCGTGGGTGAGGCTCTGCTGCTAGGCGCGAAGAGTGGAGAGAAGGGGCGGGCGTCGAGGTGCGGAGGGCGGAGGTGATTGAAGAGTGGAGAAGCGGAGAGGAAGCGGAGATACGGCGTGGGCGAAAGGGGAAGGGGGTGAGAGGAGTGGTGTGGATGGAGAGGAGGCGCGCGCACAGACGGGGCAGCGCCGTCCACGCCCGTGGTTGCAGCTCCGTGTCTGGCAGCGGGGCCCGCAAGCCGGAGCTTCTGCCGCGCAGCGCCGCATAGAGATGCCAGAGACGCCTCTGCCGCCTAGAGCACCTGCATGCGCCGCATACATGCGCCCAGACCCAGCACACCGCGCATCTCCCGGACGACGGCCACTCACATCAGGTATTCGAGCGCGAAGCAGTGCGCGCGCGGAGACGGAGCTGCGAAGCGGGGATGCGCGTGCGTGCGAGAGCGCAGTGAGGACGTGTGCGGAGCGCTAAGGCTGGAAGCGGCGTGAGGAAAGCGGTGGAAGCGCAGCGAGGTGTGGGCCGAGGACGGAGGTGGATGAGAGGCAGCGTCGGCCATGATGAGGCGATGCTGCGCCGTGCGAGGCGGCGCGGGCGGGGCAGCAGCGACCTCGACCGTGTCGCGTTGCGAGAGCGACTCCGCACCCACGCGCTTGGCAAGATGACAGGCGCGCGGCGGCGGCCGCGGCACGGCAGGGCGGCCGAGCGTCCGCGTGTTCCCACGCGGACAAAGCAGGCCGGCGCCCGCCCCTCCCCTGGTCCAGATCTCAGCGCTGCTCAGCCGCCGCACGTCGTGCTCATTGCCCGGGCACATGTCGGTTTGCAGTCATAATCCTCATACGCTGAGGCTCGAGCGTCCGAGACGTCCTGTGGGCAGCCCGAGGCGCCCAAGGTCTTTCAGGCGCCACTCCTCGAGCATCCCCGGTCATGCTTCACCTGGGCGAGGAGACAGCTTTGGCGCGCCCCAAGCCCGACCAGCACCAGCAGGCATACGTAGCAGCCAGCGCGGACCAGAAGGCCTACAGCCAAAGCCTCTTTGGACAGCGTCGCCTCGCCCAGAAATCCGACCCCGTCAAAGCACGAGGAGGCACGGCTTGTCAGAGAGCGGCAGGAGGCGCTGCTCGCGCGAGCTGGCCTGCCTCGCTGCGACGCATACACCCCTGCCGCCGCTCGCTGCCTTGCGTCGGCGCGCATGGTGCCGCTCTCAACGAGCCTTTACTTAGAGCGCCGCCGAAGCCATGCGATAGATATCCTCTGGGCCTCAGTCAGATGCAGCGCTCATGCTTGAGCCTTTGCCAGAGCAGCGAGATGAGCGCGACTGGCGAGGCGTGGCAGCGGCGCAGGGGGCATCACGGCGGCCACGGCGCTTCATCTCTCATGCAGCGCCCCCGCGGCGCGCTATCGCTGTGTCGGCGGCGGAGCACACACGCAGCGCCGCCGCAAGCGCTCCCGCGGCACGGCAGCGCCAGCAGGGGTGCAGCGGCAAGGCAGAGCAGCGGCAGCAGAGCAGCCAGAGGGCGTGAGAGCAGCACCGGCGCCGCGCGCGGCGAGAGCATCACGCGCGCCGTGCGCGCCGTGCGTGCTGGGCACAGCGTGCCAGCGGCCCACCGCGCGGCTCCTCCTCCTTGCCTCTTCTCCCTCTCTCCCCTTGTCTCTCTCACGCACACCTCGGCCTCTCGCGCTCCACGCGCTCGTGCAGCTCAGAGAGCAGCGTGCAGCTCGCCAGAACAGCCTCACGCCGTCGCCAGTCGTCGGACGGGCGCCCACACGCTCCCGCCGGCCGGGCTGCCTGCTCGCACACCGCGCGCGTCGCCTCTCGTCGCTGCACACCGGCGACGTCGCGAGCGCCAGGCCAGCCCCGCTCCTTTCTCCGCACGCGCACTGCTCCTGGATCTCTCACGCCGCCGCATTTGCGGGCGCGTATAGGTGCACAGAGCCCCGCGCTTCGCAGTGCAGAGCTGCCCGCCGGCGCCAGCGCACCCGCCAGCTCTCCTCTCGCCAGCGTCGGGGCGCAGTGGGCTGCGCTGAGCGCGCCCGGCGATGAACTCGATCTTCGGGCGCAACAAGACGCGGCCGCGCGGCGACACCAATGGCACGGACAGTGCTGGCGGGCTGGGCGCCGCGTATGGCACGGCAGAGGTCATCGGCAGCAGCTCGGGCGCGCGCATGCAGATCGGCAACCCAACGGGCTTCCAGCACAATGGCGGCGCATTCGTGAGTAGCCCGGCTGCGTAGAGGTGGCTTGCCTGCTTCCGAGTGCACGCTGAACCGCGCCGGCCGGCCGCCAGATGCAGATGGGCGGCGACCCGCGCGCCAGCACGTCGTCTCGCGCGCCGCGCGCCAGCCACGACGATGACTTTCGGCCATACGGCGCACCTGCCGCGGCCTCGCCGAGCAAGGGCGGCTCGCACACGCGCACGGCGTCGAGCGCCTCCTCTGCCATGACGCAGAGCTCGCGCTACGCGCCTTCGGGCTTCTCCGTGCCGACGGACTACGGACGGGTGGGCGCCGAGCATCTGCCCGGCCACAGCGGCGCCGAGATGGGCACGCGCTCGTCGCGCTACACGTCGTCGTCTTCGCACTCGACCGAGCGGCGCGGGCCGGTCTCGTCGCACGCCTCGGACATCCTGCATCGCATGAGCATCTCCAGTGCCGCCTCGGCATCGCTGGCGCAGCCCATGTGGAACACCGAGCACCACCACCAGCACACACCCGCCATGCCGCCGCGCTCCGGCGAGGGCGCCTCGAGCTCGTTGCACGGCAGCATGCACTCGGTGCAGGGCACGGGCGTCTCGGGTGCCAGCGGGCCAAGCAGCGGCTCGGGCGCGGGCGGCTTCCACTTTCCGCGGCCCGACGACGAGGAGCTGTCGCGCATGTTCTACGAGCTCATGCAGCAGCGCGACTTCCTCAACGTGCCCGGCGGCACGCTGCCCGACGAGCTCAAGGAGACGGCGTTCCGCAACATGCAGAACTTCCCCGCCGAGAAGAAGTGGCAGCTCGTGTACAACAGCAAGCTGACGGAGTGGCACGCCGAAAAGGAGCGCGAGCGCAACCGGCGCCAGGCCGGCACGGGCGCGCACGGCGCCAGCGGGCCCGGCGCGGCGGGCATGGTCATCACGCGCAACTCGCCCGAGTGGTTCATCAAGAAGTTCATGGACGGCACCGTCACGACGAAGCACATCGAGAGCCTGGCAGTGACGCTGCGCACGTGCGCAATCGGCTGGATCCAGAGCTTCGTCGAGAGCAAGGGCACGCCCGTGCTCGCCAGCTTCCTCAACGGCCTGCACTCCAAGGGCCACAAGACGGACAACGACGTGGCGCTCGAGTACGAGGTGCTCAAGGCGTTCCGCTCGCTCTTCAACTCGAAGCCCGGCGCCAACGATGCGCTGGCGCAGCCCAAGTGCATCAGCGGCATTGCACACTCGATGGTCTCGACGCACCTGGCGACGCGCAAGCAGGCCGCCGACATCCTGCTCTTTCTCTGTCACTGGGACAAGCCGACGGGCCACCGCCTCGTGCTGCGCGGCTTCGACGAGCTGAAGAAGTCGAGCGAGGACCACGGCCGCTTCGACGCCTGGTTCCGCATCCTCGAGCAGACCATCGACGGGCGCGGCCAGATGGGCAGCCGCGTCGGCGCCAGCGACGAGGTCAAGAAGCTCAGTCTCGGCGGCGGCAACACGGCGGCGGCGCACGAGTCGAGTCTCAACGAGTACGCCATCAACAACATGTTCCTCGTCAACGCCATTCTGAACCTCGACATTGTGCCCGAGTTCGAGGTGCGCGTGCACCTGCGCAACCAGATGGACGCGAGCGGCCTGCAGCGCATCCTCATCAAGATGCGCGCCTTCAAGAATCCCGATCTGGACCTGCAGATCGGCGTGTTTGAGAAGGGCGCAGAGGCGGACCACGAGGACGTGGTGGAGACGTTCAACCGCGAGGTGCTGACGGACATGTCGGACCCCGTCGACGTCTTCAAGGCCATCGTGGAGAAGGTGTCTGGCTCGCGCGCATACGACTTCTTCCTCAGTGCCCTGCAGCACCTGCTGCTCATCCGGCAGGACGGCGATGCGCTGGTGCATCACTACCAGCTCATCGACTCGCTCGTCACGTCCGTCGTCATGGACCGCAAGGGCGCCGTCGAGAGCAGCGACCTCAGCTCGCTGCTCGGCGTGAGCGTCAACAGCGTGCTCTCGCGCTTTGCCGACCAGGACCAGCAGGCTGCCACGGCCGCCGAGCTGCAGCGCACCAAGGCCGAGCTGCGCACTGCCGACAAGGAGCGGCAGCGCCTCGAGACGCAGCTCAACGAGAGCACCGAGGGGCTCGTCGGCGACTTGCAGCAGCAGATCGAGCGCCTCGAGGAAGACCTCTCCGTCGCGCGCGCCAACACATCCGCAGTGCAGGGCGAGATGGAGGACATGGAGAAGGCGTACATCGACCGCGTCGTGGCGCTCGAGATTCAGATCCGCGAGCTGTACGACATGCTGCGTGAGGCGCAGCTGGCCGGCGGCATTGCAGAGCCCGGCCAGGGCAGCCTGGACCGGCAGCAGCTCGTCGACACGCTCGAGAAGCAGCTGGAGCGCAACCGCACCATCAAGAAGCTCGAGGCCAACGCGCGCAAGAAGCCGGTCCCTGCGATGCCCGCGGCGCGCGAGGAAGAGGAGGTCGATGCGCGCAAGCGCATCTCGTCGAGTGTGCGGCGGCAGTCGCAGCGCAACAGCCGTGCAGCAGCCTCCGCAGCGGGCGACGAGCAGGGCGCAGCGCCGGACACTTCCAGCGACGAGGAGATCGACCCGCACAGCGATGCCGCGAAGTGGAAGATCCAGGCGACGCTGGCGGCGGGCATGGCCAAGAACGCAGAGCTGCAGAGCCGCATGACGGATGCGCGCGCCACGCGCAGACGCAAGGCCGACACGCCAGACGAGGAGCAGGACGCCGATGGCGCCGCTGCGCCTCCGCCGCCTCCGCCGCCGCCGCCACTCCCGCCGTCGGAGGAGGGCACATCGCTGCTCGACGAGATTCGCAGGCGGAAAGGCGCGCCCAACCGCACTGCAGCCACTCCGCCGCGCGAGATTGCCGCGGTGCCCATGCCGCCTCCTGCGCCGCCTGCGCCGGGCGCCATGGGCCCTCCGCCTCCACCTCCTCCGCCTCCGCCGCCGCCGCCACCGCCACCCCCGCCACCGCCGCCGCCGGGAGGCAGCGGCTTTGTGACGCCCAGCTCCTCACGCCCGCCCTCGCGAGCGGACGGAGGGCCGCCGCCTCCGCCACCTCCGCCACCGCCGCCGCCGCCCACGCCCGGGCAGCTTGCCGCGATCCCTGCCACGCCGCCGCCGCCGGCCCTCACGCCCGGCGGCATGTTTGGCACGCCGCCGACGGCGACTCCTGGCGGCGAGAGCTCGCGCGACTCGATGCTCAACATGCGCGCCAGCTATGCCGGCGACCTGGGCCCCGGTGGCCCGGCGCACGCGCCACCACCGCCGCCCATGGGAGGCTTCTTCGGCCACGCAGCGACGCGCAAGGAGGTGCTGGAGCAGGCCAAGGGCCGCATGAAGCAGCTGCAGTGGGACAAGCTGTCGGCGCAGCACGCCGCCGAGACGGTGTGGGGCCGCAACACGGCCGACGAGGTGCAGATCACCGAGATGCTGCGCTCGGGCGGTCTCTTCGAGGAGATGGAGGAGGACTTCAAGGCCAAGCAGGTCGCCAAGCGCGCCACGGCGGCGCTGGCCAAGAAGGAGAAGCTCGAGTTCAAGACGCACCTGAGCCTGCAGACGCGGCAGGGCATCGAGATGGTGCTGCGCCGCGTCAAGAGCAGTCTGACCGACGCCAAGCACGCGACGCCCGAGGAGGTGGCGCACCACATTGTCAACTGCGACGAGGCCGTGCTCGACGAGAGCTTCCTCACCGAGCTGCTGCGCCACTACCCCGAGAGCGAGACCAAGGGCCAGCTGGGCGAGTACCGCAATGCGTCGCACGAGGAGCTGCGCCTGCTGCACCCGGCCGACCGCCTCGTTGTGCTGCTGATGACGGTGCCGCACCTCAAGGAGAAGGTCAAGGGCCTGCTCTTCATGACGCGCTACCGCGACCTCTTCGACCTCATCAAGGAGGGCTCGCTGCGCATCCGCGAGGGCGCCGACGGCCTCGTGCAGGCAGAGCACTTTGCCCGCCTCCTCACGCTCATTCTCATGATGGGCAACTATCTCAACGCCACGGGCGTGCAGGGCGGCGCGTTCGGCTTCAAGATCTCGTCGATCAACAAGCTCGTCGACACCAAGGCCACCGACGGCACCACGCTGCTGCACTTTGTCGAGCGCACTATCTCCAAGTGCTTTCCCGAGGTCGAGGAGTTCCTCGACGAGCTGCAGAAGCCGTCCGAGGCGTGCCGCGGTGAGTGGCGGCAGAGTGTGATGGCGGTGCGCATTGACTGACGCCGCGACTTTGCGCTCCGCAGTGCAACTGCTCGACCTCAAGCGCGACCTGGCAGAGCTCAAGTCGGGCAGCGTGCAGCACAAGAAGGAGCTCGACCGCTTCCTCGACGAGGCCGAGGAGCGCCTCGAGGATCCGTACACGAAGCTCATGCTGCCGTTCCTCAACGAGGCGCACCAGGATCTGCAGCGCCTCTCGGACCAGGTGACGTTCACCGAGCGACAGTACGTCGAGGCGCTGCGCTACTTTGGCGAGGGCCCCGATCCGAAGCGCCGCGGCTTCCCGGCCGTGCAGCCGATGCGCACCGAGGACTTCTTTGGCGTCTTCCGCGAGTTCTGCACGGCCTACCGCAAGGTCAAGAGCGACAATGTGCGCATTGGCGAGCAGCGTGCCATCGAGGCCAAGCGCCGCGCGGCGGCCGAGGAGCGCGAGCGCGAGCGGCAAGAGGCCCTGGCGCGCAAGGAGGCCGGCGTCGACGACAGTGCGGTGCTCGAGACGCTGCTGGGCAACCTGCGCTCCGGCGGCGTGGTGCCGAAGCAGAAGCGCAAGGCGCGCGAGCGCGGCGAGGCGCGCCGCTCGGCGGCCAAGGCGGTGGATGGCTCGCCGGGCGCCGCACCGAGCATCGACGGCAACCCGTCGGACGTCGCCGCGGCCATGCTTGCGCGCCTGCAGGGCAGCGCCGGCGGCGCCACGACGCCGTCGGCCTCCTCGCGCCCGGTGCGCCGGCGCGACCGCAGAACGGGCGAGCCGCGCGATCGCGACAGCGGACGCACGAGCACCCTCTCGGCCGCGCCTCTCTCTGCTGCTTCGCTCGACGCCGACGCCGAGGAGCCAGCCACGCCGACGGAGCACGACGCCGTGCAGGAGCGCGACGAGGCGCAGAATGTCGCACACGAGGAGGAGCACGACGACGAGCTGCCCACGCCGCAGGCCAACGGACACGACGTCGACGACGGCTCGCCCTCGACGCCACGCACGCCCTCGACGCCCGGCGACGACGGCGCCGACGCACCCCTCTCGGCAGCGCAGCGCGCCTCGGCGCTCATGATGACGCCGGAGCGCACGCGGCAGCAGGCCGCGCTCGACGAGGCGGCCCTCGAGGCCGACCTCTCTGCCGGCAGCGGCCTGCAGGACTGGGTCGACCCGCACGACCTGTCGGGCTTCAGTGCGGCGTCGCAGGACTGAGCTGCATCGTCCGCCCGCCCCCTCTCTCCTAGATCCCCCTGGCCCTCCGCACTTGCTTGTGCACTCTTGCACACTCGCTTCCACGCCTCTCGGCGTCTCCTAATTTACCCCGCCTGCCCCTCCGCAATGCAGAGTGCCGGCTTTCGTCTCTGCACAGAAGTGACATTCGCGCGCCCAACGCGCAGCCCAGCGAGACAGCCGAGATCGACCGGATGGAGGGAAGAAGGGGAAAAGGAGGGGAGGCAGAGAAGGCCCTCACTTCATGCCACGCCGCTTGCGCTGCGTCTCGTGGTGCGCCTTGAGCTTGCGCGACTTTTCCGCCAGGCTCGTCTTGCTCTTGCTGCGCACCGACCAGGACTTGGAGGTCATGCTGTGAGGCGAGCGCCAGAGAGCGTCAGTGGCCGTGCATGAAAAGGAGGAAGGAGGAGGGGGGGGGGCAGAACGCACGCAAAGGCCTTGCTGCGCTTGCTCTTCTCCTCGTTGGTCGTCGAGCCACGCTGCTTCTTGCCCTTCTTGGAGCCAAACTTCTCCTGCGAGCGGGAAGGGGGATGGGGGGGGGGGGGCAATGTCAGCTGCTGCTCATCGCAAGTCACTTGACCCGCCACTCACTCTGCCCTCGCGGCCCTCGGCAATGCTGGCCATTCTCTCCTCATAGTCGGCCTTTCTCTTCTTGCGCGGCCCCAGGATCGTCGCTTCGTCGAGAAAGACGCCATCGGCCGAGGCAGCCGCGGCCGCCTGGGTGCGCTTGCGCGCCGCCTTGATCGACTCGACTTCGCGCTTCGCATTGGCGCCCACGCGCCCGCCCGCGGCGGCGGCCGCCTCGGCGGCGGCGAGGCGCAGCTCGGCCATCTTGGCGAAGTTTGCTGGCGTGAGGATCTGGGACGCAGGTGTGAGTCAAGCCAGAGGGAGGCAGCGAAGAGAAGGACCCAACTCACACGCGTGGTGGCCAGCTTGGAGAACTCCTGCTCGGCAGCCGCCGCGCTCTCGGCCACCTTGGCCGCCTCGCTCTGTTCGCCCTCGCCGCCCTCCTCCGAGTCGGCCTGGCTTGCCTCGTCGTCGTCGAGCTCCGCCGTCGCCTCGCCGCTCTTCTCGCGTCTGCGCTGCTCGCGTCTGCGTTCGCGGCGTGCGGCCAGGCGCTCCTTGATGCTGCGCTTGTCCTTGTTCTCGTCGGCCTTGTCCTTCTCCTCGTCGGAGTCCTCGACGTCAAACGCATCATCGCCGCCCTCATCCGAGCTGACGTCGATCCAGCCGCCGCTCGAGTCCGAGTCGTCGTCGCTGTCCTCCTCCCAGCCTGCCCAGGCTTTCCGCTCCGCCTCTTCCGGGTCCTCGTCCTCTTCGCCCTCGTGCTCCTCGAGATGCTTCTCCAGCAGCGCCAGGCCTGGGATGCCCACCTGTCCCTCATCCTCCTCGCCAAATGCCTTTGGCGCCTTGCCTTCCGCCACGCTGAGAGCGCCGCTCTTGCCGCGCTCCGAGCGCGCGAGCAGCGCCGGATTGACCTCGCGATAGAGCTGCAGCAGGCCTCGTGCGGCCGCGCCGACGCCCTTGTCCTTGCTCTTGCGGTAGCCCACCAGATCGGCGAGCAGCTCCTTCTCCATCGCCCAGGGCTGCCGCCGACACGTCTCGCGGATCGAGTTGATGCCCGCCGCCACGACTTCGGGCCCGACGCCCGGGTGCACAAACGCATCGGACAGCTTGCGCAGCACGGGCTGCAGCGCATCGGGCGGCGTCTGCGAGTGCACGGATTGCGCGAGCGAGACGAGGATGAGCGTGATGTGCACTTGATGCGGGTTGAGATACCTGCGGCAAAATGCGGCGTCAGCCACCGCATGCCACACAAAGGCAAACGAAAGCAAGACCCACTTGACGACGTAGGAGTAGAAGCTCAAGATGCAGCACTTGTGCGCTCCCATGACTCGGCTCAGCAGCTGCATCACTCGCACCTTGAGCTCGATGCCCATCTTGCGGTCGCCCTTGCTGAGATTCTCAAAGAGGCGCTCTCCGAACCCTTGCGGGTCGTTCAAAAGATACAGCGCCGCAAAGTTGGCTCTGCCATCTCCCTCTGCCACCTCTTCTCTGCCATCCTGCGCCTCTCGTCTGCGCTTGCGCGCCACCGCGGCGGCCTGGCGCACTTTGCGATCGCCGCCACGCGTCTTCTTGTTGACCTTGCGCGCGTGCTGCATCTTGTTCACGTCGGGAATGGCCGCTTCCTCCTCCGAGTCCGAGTCGGACGACTCGCCGTTCTCGGCATGGTGCAGATCGCCGAGGAAGAAGCGCACGGCGGAGGACTGCACCTTGGGATGGGGATGGAAGCAGGCCAGCGCAATGAGCGACACGGTCTTTGCGTCCTTCCAGATGTTCTTGCGCCACAGATCCGCCGCCAGCCGGACGGCCCACAGCGCCTCGCTGCGACTCTTGATCTCGCCGCGTGCGTGTGCGGCGTGCGGCTGCGGCGCGTCCCGGGAGGGCATGCCGCGCTCCACGACTGCAAAGAGGAGGCCCTGCACGACGCGGTTGAGACGATGGTTGAGCGACTTGCGGTTCTGCGCCTTGATGTCTTGCAGAATCGTCGTTTGGATGAGGGAGCGCAGAGAGGCAGAGGTGGTCATGCTCAGCAGAGGGAAGAGAGTGCGCAGCAGCCTGTGGGAGGTAGTAGAGCGCATGGTTCAGCGAAGAGCCCAAGGATGGCGCTAGGAAGGGCCAGGGAACTCACTCCTCGCTGGAGATGACCTCGCGGTTGCGCAGCAGCACGAGGGAGCGCACGGCCGAGCGCCGCACGTCGGCACCCAGACGCTCATGGTGCTGCAGCAGGAAGGCGGCCAGCTCGCCCGGGTACGAGGCGGTGAGCTGCGGGTACGAGGGCGCCAGCTGCGAGGCAGAAAAAGGTGGAGGGTGAGCAACGAGAGTCAGGGGCCAAGACGGCGTCTGGAGGGGCATGGAGAGCGAGCAGCACTGCTGTCGTTGCGCATGCGAGAGCAACGCCACTGATGCCACTGGGGAGCGCTCTGCTGCTGCCAGCGTGTCGCTGCTGCGCGCCACTCACCTGCGTGACGAACGAGAGGAGGGCACAAAAGTGCTCCTCCTGGTCCTTTGCCACTCTGGGCGCCGCCACATGGGCGCCGCCCTCGTCGGCGGCGCCGATTTCGGCGGCGTAGATGCGGCGGATGCTCTGGTAGTGGTGCCACTGGGCGGCAAACTCGTCTGCGTACGCCGGCGGGTCGCGCTTGACGAGGTTCTGCAGCGCGGGCAGGTTGCTGGCGTCGAGCAGGCCGCGTGCGCGCGAGCGGTGCGCCAGGCCGGAGCCGTCTGCGAGCGAGGAGGAGGCGGAGCGTGCAGGCGCCACGTGGGCGGCGGGCGCCGCCTGGGCCTTCTTGACCATGCTGCGACGAGAGGTGGGTGGGGAGGCGAAGAGGGAGAGGCGCGCGCGGCCAGGGCGGTGCCAGGAAGGAAGTGCAGCGCCGCCAGACGGCGGACACTGCTGAGGTGCCGCGAAAATTTGGCTCTAGCCGAGGTGCGCGCGGCGTGATGCAGGGCCCAGCGCGAAATGGAATTGGCCGTCGACGCCGAGCGCGCCGCCTTCTCGCCTCGCCTCAGCACCGCATCGCACACTCCTCATCACCCCTCGCACCATGGACGACGACGGCCTGCTCCTCAACTTCGCCGCGCCCGCCGCCGCCGGGCCCTCGCGCCCGCGCGCCGCCAAGGGCACGCCGCACCAGCGCGCCCAGGCGCAGCGTGCGGCGCGCGCCAGCCAGAGTGGCGCCGCTGCCGCCCAGCCTCGCGCCGATGCCTCTTCCTCGGCCACAGCAGCGGCAGCACCAGCACAGCGCAGAGCGCCCACTGCCGCTGCGCCGTCTGCCGCTCCTGCTGCGCCAGCTCCGCCACGCCCCCGGCAGAGCGGCGCGGGCACGCACGAGGCCAGAAGCACGCCGCGGGCGCAGCACGCGGCCTCGAGCGCACAGGCAGAGGCTGCGGCGGTGGCACAGGCCATCGAGGCAGCGCAGGCCAAGGGCCGGCACAAGCCCGCCAAGGCGGCTGCTGCCAAAGCCAGCGGCAGCGGCAGCGGCACTGGCAGCGCAGGTGCTTCTACAGCGCCCGCAAGGCCGCCGCCCGCCGGCGTCATCTCCTCGCTCTTCACCGGCGCCGCCAGTGCCGCTCCCGTCAAGGCCACGCCTGCTGCGCCAGCCGCGCAGCCCACGAATGCGCCTCTCGACACTTCCTCCTTCGCCTCCATCGGCCTTGATGCGCTGCTCGTGGCGCATCTCGCCGGACGCATGGGCATTGGCTCTGCTCCGACGTCGATCCAACGCGCCGCCTTGCCGCTTCTCATGGCCCCTTGCGCACGCGGCGCTCAGCGAGATGTCCTCATCCACGCCCAGACGGGCTCGGGAAAGACGCTTGCCTATCTGCTGCCCATCTTGCAGAGCCTGCTGCCGCTCTGCACCGACGCCGCCTCGTGGATCGACCGCAGTGTGGGCACGCTGGCCATCATTCTTGCCCCGACGCGAGAGCTGGCGCGCCAGATCTACGAGGTGGCAGAGAAGCTGGTGCAGCTGCATCTGAGTCCGCGACAGCGCGAGGCCATTGCGGCGGCGGAAGAGGCGGCGCAGAAGCAAGACGAGGAGGCATCGGATGAGGAGGAGACGCCCAGGCGCACACGCTGGCTGGTCCCCGGCTTGCTCTCCGGCGGCTCCACGCGCAATCACGAGAAGAGCAAGCTGCGCAAAGGCCTCCCCATCATCGTCGCTACGCCTGGCCGCCTGCTCGATCATCTGCAAAACACCACCTCGCTCGATGCGGGCAAGCTGCAGTGGCTGGTCCTCGACGAGGCGGATCGGCTGCTCGAGATGGGCTTCCGCGAGACGCTGGACGGCATCTTGAAGGCGCTCGAGGGAAGGAGACGCATGTCGAAGGAGACGGCAAGAGAGGCGATGCGGGAGAAGGGAGCCGAGGAGACCGACGAGACGGCCGATGGCATGGGCATCGAGTGGTGGAAGCATCCGAGACGGACGGTGCTCTGCTCCGCTACGCTGGATGAGAATGTGCAGGTGCTCGCTGGCAGCGCACTCGTGCAGCCCGTTGTTGTGCGCGCTCTGCCCGAGGAGGACAGGAAGCAGCAGCAGCAGCAAGCGCGCGCGAGAGACGCAGAGGCAGAGGCCCAGCCTGCAGTGACTGGCGAGAAAGACGTCAAGCTCAAAGCTGCGTCTCCCTCTGAAGCGCCCGTCGTTGCGCGCACGAACCTCGCCGCGCCAGCGCAGCTGCGGCAGCACTTCGTCGTCGTGCCGACCAAGCAACGCCTCGTCGTCCTGCTTGCGCTTCTGCGCCAAGCCGTCTCTCGCTCCAGCGACTCTTCGCCGAAAGCACGCCGCGTCATCGTCTTCATCTCCTGCACCGACGCCGTCGACTTTTTCTGGCGCGCCATGGGCGGGGCAAAGATGAGCGACGCAGAAGAGCCAAAGGAGGACGGCAGTGGCGAGGAGAAGCAGGCGGTCGCTCAGTCGTGCGAGGTCATTCCCTCGGCGCCTATCTTTCGACTGCATGGCTCCATGACGCAGTCGGAGCGCATTGCCTCGCTGCGGGCCTTCTCCAAGGCTGCGCCCGAGGCAGGAGGCGCCGCCATCTTGCTCTGCACGTCCGTTGCTGCGCGCGGCCTGGATCTGCCCGACGTCAGCTGCGTCGTGCAGCTCGACGCGCCCACCGAGGGCGGCGTCGACGAGTACCTGCATCGCGTCGGCCGCACAGCTCGAGTAGGCCGAGAGGGCCAGAGTTGGATCATGCTGCTGCCGCACGAGCGAGAGGCGGCGACGCGCCTCGAAAGGGCAATGAGCGGCCAGCAAGATGGCACTCCTCGCCTGCATGAGGTCGACGCGAGACAGGTGCTCAGGCACGGCTTTGGCGGTGGAGCGGCAGAGTACGAAGCAAGAGCGACGGATGCTCAGCTGGCGTTTGAGAGATGGGTGCTGCGCAGTGACGAGGTGAGTTCTTGCGTGTCCTTGCGCTTCCATCATGCCCCCGCTTCCAGCCGGCTCATCTCTTCACCTCCCTCCAGGCATCGGGCCTGGCACGGCGAGCATACCTCTCTCACATTCGCGCCTACGCCACGCATCCGGCCGCCGAGAAGGATCTCTTCTCCGTCTCTGCGCTCCAGCTTGGCCATCTGGCCAAGGCGTTTGCCCTGCGCGAAGCTCCGGCGGCCATCAAGGCCAATGCGCGAGCCGCAGGCGGCGGCGCAGGCAAGCAGGGCGACCGGCACGAGAAGCGCAAGGCTGCGTTTGATGCCGACGAAGAGCGGCGCGCCAGGCGCAAGGCGAAACGCATGGCTGCCGAGCCACACTCGACTGCGACGCGCGAGGAGCACGACGCCGAGGACGATGACAGTCTGGCGGCCATCGCTACGTATGCGGCCAAGCGTGCGGCAGAAAAGGCAGGCGGCAAGAACAAGGCGGACAAGACGGACGCCGAGGCGAGAATGTACGCCAAGGTCAGAGCGATGGGCCGCGCGACGCGCAAGGGAGGCGTGCTGGCCGCTCATGGAGCAGACGAGTTCCAGATCGGCTGAGCTGGCCTAATGCAACTTGATTGCGCAAGATCAGATCTCCTCGTCACTGTGTGGGCAAGACTAGTCAGCGTCTGCGCCGCGGAGAGAAGGGCGGGAGGGCGACTCACCTATCGATCAGATCCTCCTCCCTAGCCATCCGGAGCGTCTTCTTCTTCTTGCGCACCGGGCCCTCGTCACTCTCCTCTGCCGCCTCTCCCTCTCCCTCCTCGCTTCTCGCTCTCTCACTCTTGCGCCCCTTCTTTTTCTTCTTGCCTCCGCCCGCCGCCGCTGCCGCCGCCGCCGCTTTGGCCTTCTGCCTTTGCTCCTTGCGCTCTCTCTTCTCCTCGCGCCTCTGGCTCTTCTCGGCTCGGCGACGTTCCTTCTCCTCTCTCGTCTCTTGCGGGGCATCCTCGTCGTCGTCGTCGTCGTCATCGTCGATGCCTTCGTCGTCGTACTCGCCCGCATCCTCGCTCTCCGACGTCGCAATGACACTCGAGTCGTCCGTCGTCTTCTTCTTCTTGCGTCCGCCGCCGCCGCCGCCGCCGCCCGTGCCGCTCTTGCGCACCTTGGGCGCCTTGGTCTCTTCAGGCGGCGCCTCCCACACCTTGACCTGCGCACGCGCCTGCTTGCGCGCCTCGGCGAGTGCTTCTGCCTCCTCGGCAGCCCTGGCAGCGGCCTCGAGGCGCACTCGTTCCTTCTCCTCCTCAATCTCGCGCTTGCGCGCCGCGACCTGTTCTCTCGCCGTGCGCATGCGTTCCTCGTGCTCCTGCTGTTCGGCGAGATGCTGCGGCGCCGTGCGCAGCAGCGACGTCTCGGCGTACTGGTGGCGCTGCTCCACGACCTCGGCGGTGATGTACGAGAGGCGGTTCTCGCGCGCATCAGGCGTGAGCTCGAGGAAGGTGGCCTGCGCATCTTGCACGCCCCGCACCGCCTCTTCCAGCTGCGTCAAGGTGCGCGCCTCGAGAGGCAGCTCAAACAGCAGCTGCAGCGCCTTCTGGCGCGTGACGGCCATGTTGTAGCGCACATACTTGCTCTCCGTCGCCCCGTGCGGCGTGCTGCGCTGCGAGAGCAGCTCGAGGGCCTCGGTGAGATGGCCGAGCGACGTGGCGAGATGCGTGTAGGACTTCTTGCGCAGGCCGAGTGCGTACAGGGCGCGAGCAGTGTACTGCAGGATCGAGACTTGGGGACCGCTGATCTGGCCCTGCCGATACGCTGCCGCTTCGTACTGGGATGCGGGGCATGCGTCAGCATGGTGCGCGGATGCCTCGAGGCAGCTGAACACTCACCATCTTGAAGGAGGCATCAAAGTCTTCGCGCAGCATGAGCGCGTGTCCCATGCAGATCTGCACGCTGCCATCCTCGCGCACATCCTTGACTCTCGTGAGCAACGAGAGAGCCGCATCTGCGCCCGCCTTCCTCCTCTGCTCTCCCTCTGCGCTGTTCGCCAGCTCGTGCAGCACGCCCTCGGCGGCGAGAATGGCCAGCGCCTGTGCTGCAAACGCGCATGCCGAGTCGGCACTGAGGGCACGATCGAGCAGCTCGATGGCGCGCGAAAAGGCCTTTGCTCTGAGCTTGCGATGCTCGGGACCCGGCTTGGTCTGGTGCGCCAAATGGTAGTACGTCCATCCCAGCGCGGCGAGCGTGTAGGAGTCCAGACGCGCCTGATCGCGAATCGCGTGTGCGGCCGCGGCTCCGCCAAAGAGACTCGGACCCTGGCCATCGGGCCCGACGAAGAGCTGGCCGATGAGCTCCTTGATGCCCTCCCACGGCGGCGGCGACGGCGACGCAGGCAGCTCGCCGGCGAGGAAGCAGACGTACGTCATGCGCGTGTCGAAGTGGCTGGGATCGGACGCGAGGGCCTCCTTGAGAAGCGCATCTGCGGCGCGCGTCGCCTCCTTGTCGCCGCCTCGCACCGAGGCAGTCAGAAGCGCCAGGCGCACTTTGGCATCGACATACTCTGCGTGCGCCTGCAGGACCGCTTCGTACGCCTGCCGAGCCTCGGCAGTCGAGCCGGCACTCTCGAGGATGCGGCCCAGATTGTAGAGCGTCGTCGTCTTTTCTGCATCCAGGAACGTTGCCTTGGGCACCGAGAGCTGCGCTTCGGCTTGACGAGCGGCGCCCAGCGCAGCTTGAAGGTGCGAAGCAGCGGCGCCAAGGATGCTCTCGCGCTGCGCTGCATCGCCAACCTCGGCGCCACGCAGGCCATGCAGTGCGCCAATGTTGTTGCGCAGACGCACGAGAAGTTCCGCATCATCGCCTCCCGTCGTCGTCGACGTTCGACTCGTGGCAGCGCGCAGAGCAGCCGCATACGCAGTAGCTGCACGAGCCAGATTGGGGCGCGTGCCACTTTGCCACAACTCAGCGAGCTGGACATGAGCAAGTGGCTCGTCGCCAAGCGCAGCAATGGCCTCGAGCGACTTGCGCGACAGACGTTCGCCCGCCAGTGCCGAGCGCGCAAGCACTGTAGCTGCCTCCTCCTTGACTTCTTCGTGCGTCTCTCCGTCGGCATCATACTCATCTCGCCCTCTTGCTCCTCGCACGGCGGTGCGCGCCGCGTCGATGGAGCGCAACGTGCGCTCCAACAGTGGTCTTGCGCGCTCCCGATCGGCTTCGCGCTCGAGCGCCGTGGCTCCCGGATGAGAAATGGCACGCAGACAAGCGAGAAGGAGCGCCGGCTCGAGCGTTGCACTTGCCTTGGCGCTTGCTCCCGGTCTTGCCAGCAGCTCATCGAGCGCCACGATGGCGCCCAGACTCTCGCCTCGCGCCACTTGCATCTGCGCAAGACTGAGCGTCGCGAGCGCCAGGCCGGCAGGCAGCTCGCTGCTTGCTCCTTCGCCCGGCGCCGAACGCGAGAGAGACTCAATGGCCATGCCATAGTATCTCTGGGCCGAACTGCGCAGCTCGAGCGCGTCGACGTCGCCCACGCGGTCCGAGCCCAGGGGATCTTCCAGCGCAAAGGCGAGATGTGCGGCGCGGGCAAAGAGGAGCTGAGCCTGCGTGGCGGCCGATCGCGAGTCGGCTCGCTGCAACGCATGTTCGCCGAGCTTCAAGGCACGTGCAAACTCGCCCTTGGCCCACGCTGCCCCTCGAGTCGGAGCCTCGGCAGAGGCACGGGTTATGATGTGGTCGGCCAAGGCGCATGCGGTCATGGCGATGTTCTTGTCGCTCGCCCACGCACGCTGGATGTTGGCGATGCCCTCTGCGTACAGCGCCGCACGCGCTGCTTCTTCATCGCGGCCAAGAGGAGCCTCGAGCGCCTTGGCGGAGTGCAGCGCTGCAAGGCCGAGAAGCAGCGCGGGCGCAGCTGCAGATGGATCGAGTGCCGCGGCTCGAGCCCATGCTCGACGAGCATCGGCGGGCCGGTTGAGACCCCAGAGTGCCAGACCCATGCCGACGCGCGGATCAGGCCCTACCCACGGCAGCCACTTGAGCTGCGAGCTCGGTGCGCCGTCGTCGCCCTGCGCCTCCTCCTCGGTGGCCGCCTGCTTTGCGCGCGCGTCCTGCGCGAGCGCCAGCGAGAGCACTTGCTGGTAGAGCCTGAGTGCGGGAGCGTATGCGCGCCGACGAAGCAGACAGCATGCCTTTCCGAGCAGGGCGACGGGATGCTCGGCGCGTCCCTTGAGCGCAAGCACCTGCTCAAAGAGGCGATCTGCCTCGTCGTTGCGTCCCGCGCTCGCCGCCAGGAGTGCGCGCGAGAGGAGCGCGCCGACCTGCAGCGGCGCCTTGGCATCGCCGCCATTGGCGCGTGCGGCGAGCTCGAGTGCGGCGGCGGCCGCCTTGAGATGCACGTCTTTCGTCTGCAGCTCGGGCGGCAGGAGCTGGAAGCGCGCGTCGTGCAGCTTCGTCTTGGGCGCCGCGGGCGCGGCGGCGAGATGCGTGGCGGCGAGCATGGCGTGCAGATGCTGCTGCTCGGCGGGGCGGCGCTGCATGGCGGCGAGGCCGCGCGTGAGGAGGGCGTGGGCGTCGGCGGCGCGCCGGTGGCGCAGGAGATGCGAGGCGATCTGCGTCCAGTAGTGCGCGGGCGGCAGCTCCTCCTCGAGCAGGTACATGACCTCATCCTCGAACGGCGGCAGCGGGTCGAGCGAGATGGGAATCTCGCTGTCGCCGCCGACGAGCACGAGGAGCTGGGCGTGCGACGCCATTGCTGTTCGGCGAGAGGGTGGTGGTGGTGGTGCGATGCAAGGCGCGAGCGCGAAGCACCTGGCAAGGCGAGCCGCCGCGCGGTGCTTGCCGCACGAGAGCGTTGTGCGCGCGCGCGCGCCGTGCCCAAGGCAGCCTCCTCCTCGACAGCGAGCTGCGAGCTGCGAGCCTTGCTTCACGCTTGCGTCCTCCCCACGCATCACCCACAACCGCCGCCAAGCATGGCCCCCGCCGGCACACTGCTCTCGCCCGAAGACCTGCAGCAGACACTCGGCACGCTCGAAGTGCTGCTCTCGCTCTTCGCCGAGCCCGACTCGGCCTCCTCCTCCTCCGCGGCCGTGTCGCCGGAGCTGCTCTCCTCCTCGGCCGCCTCGGCCGCACGCGATGTGGCCGCCTTTCTCACTCTGCCGCTGGCCGAGCTGCAGCTGCCCAGCTCCGCCGCGCTCAAGGCGCGCATCCCCGCTGCACTGCCCCTCTGCCTCTCGCTCGATCCACTGCGCGGCCAGCGCCGCGCCCGCGAGCCATGCCTGCTCCTCACGCTCGACGTCGAGCTACCGCTGCGCGCCCGCGGCACAGAGGCGCGCTCCACGCGGCCGCGCATGACGCTGCGCCAGGCCGAGTGGATGAGCAGAGCAGTGCATGCCGAGCTCTGCTCCATTGCTGCCCTTGCGCCGCCGCCGCCGCCGCCGCGCGAGGCAAAGGAGGGCACGGCGGAGGAGGGAGAGCACGACGAGGACGCAGCCAGTCTGGTGCTCGCGGCGACAGAGGAGCTCTCCGAGCTCGCCGTGCCGCATCTCGAAGCTGCCGCACTCGCCTTCTCTCTCTCCGCCGCCGCATCCCTAGCCGCATCTTCAACTCCCTCCGCCGTGCCACTCTCATCCTCAGTCTTGCGCACCTGGCATCTCTTCCCTTCTCTCTCCACGCCTGCCAAACGGGACGATCTCGTCGCCTATGCCTCGCTCCATTCGCACTCGCCCGTCGCTTCCCGCTCCGGCTCCGACGGCGAGGCGCAACAAGCGCAGCCTCTGACGGGCTTCGTCCTGGCGGGCAAGCCTGGCCTCGTCGTTCTCGAAGCTGCGCTTCCGCCGCGCGCCTGCGATGCAGATGTGCTGCGCGCCAGCAACGCGATTGATGCGTATTGGGCAGACATCAAGAGCCGCAGCTGGAGGGACATTCCCAGCGGCCACAAAAAGGTGAGAGGAACGCCAGCCCGGGGGGGAGTTTGCATGGTTGCGACTCTCTTCTGTAGCCTGCGCGCCAGATTGAGCGAGCCTGCGTTCGCTGATTTAGCATCGCTTCAACGCCCGTGCTGGCAGGTCTCGGAGCGTCTGCGCGAAGCCAACGTCGCACGCATCTTCCATGCGATGCGGGAAATGACGGAACGGCCGGAGGTGGGCGGGCCAGAGGCACGCAAGGGCACCTGGAGTCATCGCAATGACCTCGGCGCGCTCGAGGCTTGGCTGGAGACGCTGGGCCTGGGCGGACGCATGCGCGACGTGCTTGGCATGGGCCATGAATGGACGGCGCACGCGAGTGCGTAGCCCGGCGCAGCGACATGGACATACATAGATCGATACCCCCCCCCCCCGCCAGCATCGGGCTTGGCGGTGCGACTGCACCTGCAATCAAGCAACCTGTGTCCCTCTGTGTGTGTGTGCGCGCCACGCATGCCTCTCTCGTGGGAGTGTCTATCTCATTCCTCCTCTGCAAACCCTGCCATTCCCTTCCTCCCCCCTTGCCTGCTCTTCGCTCAAGGCGCAGAAGGCATGCCCGCCGTCGCCGTCGCCGTGGCGCCGCTCGTCGGCACCGCAGTCTGCGCCGCGCTGGGCGGCGCCACGCCGCCATTGGCGCGTGCCTCGGCCGCCGCCAGCCGGTCGGCCTCGCGCGCGCCGCGATAGAGGAAGAACTGCGCCAGCACGCCAAAGTCCAACAGCACCGTGCCTGCGGGTTGCCGAGCCCGAGACGAGGAGCGAGCGTCAGCGAGAGGCCCGGGGAAGGAAGGGGGGAAGGGGAAGGGAAGGACGCACCGAGAGACCCGACAATCCAAGAGGCATTCTCGATGAGATAGTCTCGGTCTGTGCTCTTGAGCACGATGGAGAGGACGTATGTGAGGTTCTGTTTCGCAGGAGCAAAGCGCGGGAGGGGCGGAGAAATGGGCAAGCGCGTCAGCAAGATTGTCTCCCGACCGCCTGGAATGGCAAGGAGAGAGAGAGGAGAGTGGGGATGGGGTGAGGGTGGGGGGGGGCGTAGAAGGGGGGTTAGAGCTGAGAAAGGGCAACAACTCACGCCGCCAACGGCAAAGAGGAACAGCGAAAAGGAGAGGCCCTCGCAGTGCGTCTCGACGTTCTTGAACAGTTGAGGAATGCGCGATGAGACTGTGCGCGCGCGCGTGTGCAAGCGCCGGTCCTGGGTCAGCAGTCTTGCCTTGTGCAACGTCCAGTGTGTGCCTGACCCTCTCAGCGAACGCCGAAGGGCAAGAGAGAGGGGCGAACGGGAGTATGCCCTTTCCCCCTGCCTCTCACGCCGAGTCCCCAGCCTTCGAACAAGGCTGCGTGCCCATCTTTCTCTCTCTCTCTCTCGGCCCGCGCTCTAGGAATCTCACTCACGATAGAGCGCGGCACTAGCCCATCCCGAGATTTGCGCGTCCCACTTCCACTCTCCGCTCGGCGCGCTCGGCGGCGGCTTGTTCCCGGTGTGTTTCGAGCCCTGATACTCGCTCACCGCCCACGCGGCGACGCCGGCACCGACGACGAGGCCAAAGGCGGCCATGTACTTGAGCGCCTCGAGGCGCCAGTCGGAGCGCGGCTCGGGCGACTTGGGCGGCACGGAAATGTGCGAGGCCGAGGCGCCGCCGGGGGCGGAGATGGCAGAGCTGTTGGCAGCGCCGCCCGAAGAGGAGGGCGGGAGAAGAGACGTCGACTCGCTTGCGACGGCAGAGGGGTGGTAGTAGTCCCAGTAACGACGGTAGTAGTAGTACTACGGTGACCCGGGACGTGAGCGGTGAAGACCGGAGAGGGAGGAGAGAGGGAGAGACGTACCTGCCAGATGAGCACCACGTCGCAGAGACAGTAGTAGCCCGCCAGCACGATCTGGGGCGGGGCCACGCTCGGTCAGCACTACAGCAGCAACTTTTCCCTCCCGTCTGACAGCCACTAAGCTCCGGCGACCTCCGAGCTGGACACTCACCATGGTGGGCAGCAGATGCAGCCTCATCGCTCCAATCATGTTGAGTGCGTCGCCGGCGAGCCAGAGGTAGACGAAGAGAATGCTGAGGCCCTCGCCCGACTTGTTGATGTGGTTCTCGAGCAGTTGACTCCAGGAGGGCCAGATCTTTGTGTCAGAGTGGAATCAGTATAGCGAAGGATGCGGGGGAGAGCTCACGGCGAATAGACGATCACCTTTTGACGACGTGCAGGAGGCACAGACACGAGAGATGCGCAGGAAGGATCTGCGAGTCAGCCGAGGGCTGCTGCGGGTCGCTTGTCTTGCTGCTGCTGCTGCTGCTGCTGCTGCTGCTGCTCGGCACTGGCTTCTGTTCTTGAAGAGTGCCCGAGGCGCAGCATTGGCGCCACGACGCGCCTTGCCCCTCCTTGCCCTCGGGGGTCCCTCTCCTCGTTGCCTGTCCTCTCCGCCCGCCAGGCTGCTGCCCCACGCCAACACTCACCCAGCAAGCGACGCTGATCCAGCCGACAATGCTGCTCCACTCGTCGTTGCTCAGCGGCGCCCCTGCACCGCCGCTCGGCGGCTTTGTCACGCTCACGAGGCCGAGCGGCGCAGCTTGCGACGAGCTGCAGGCGGCGACGAGCAGCAGGCCGAGCGCGAGCGCCCGCGGCAGGGCGTAGGCGCTGAGAGCCATGGCGCGAAGTGGGAACAGAACGCGGAATTCTGCGAGCGGCAGAGAAGCGCGAGCTGGGCTCGAGAGATGGGAGCAAAGAGGCGGTGGTGGTGCCGAAGAGAAGCTGGCGCCCCGTGTGACTCGCTCGAGGGCGCGCTCGCCGCACCGCTTGGCCGCGCCGATCGCGCGCCCCGCAGCGCGGCGCGTGCAGCCGCAAAATCTCGCGCGGCCGTGCAAAAAGAGGCGGCGTGCGAACTCGAATCGAGTGGGCCGGCCTGCAGCCGCGGCAGCACCGACGAGCTTCGCCCGCGGACCGCCGCTCCTCATCTCTTCAAGATGCAGGCTTCTCGAGCTCGAGGGGTCCAGGATTCGCATCTCGACGCCCTCTCATTCGTTTCTCAAGCCTCGTCCGAGAGCTGGTCGCCGGTGCCTGGTGCGGCTTCTATCAGGCACGCTCAGGGCGCCAAAGTGTCGGCGCCGTTCAAGATAATGGACGGCGCCGAGGGACAGCGGCAACTTGGCGCCGACGCCGTGTCTCCTCCGGCAGGTGATCGCCGACCTCGTCTCTCCTCTCTCTTTGCCACCAGGGCGCATGTCTCGAATCCAAGCGGCAGCTCATCGCCATAGCGCATTCGCCTTGACGTACGAGCAGACAGAGCGGCAGCATCGCAGCGTGCGGCGCAGGCAGAGAATGAGCCAGAGCACGAGACGATTCGGCGCCGCCCAGCCGCGCTCAAGCTCGGGCTGTTCACACGCCAGAGAGAGAGCCAGCGGCACTCGGGACAGCCAGCGCACCTCGTCGTCCAGGTGCCGGCCGCTCTCGCTCTGCGGCTTGCTCTGCGCTCTGCGAGCCGAAGCGCCCTCCACGATGCTGACGGATGAACGGCACGGGCGACGGCGGTCTCGCTCTCAGTCGCTAGTGCCGGAGCGGATGCCGCGGAGGCGTCGCTCGTGCGTGGGTGCGGACGGAGGCGGGCGCGGGGGCGCGGCATGCAAGGAGGCGGAGGCAAGTCAGCGCCGCGGCGCGATGCGGCGGCTGCCTGCTGCGAGCCTCCCACGGGCGCGGCGCTGCGGCCGCCGCTCTGCCGCTGCCGCCATCCCAAGCCGCACCGAAGGGGGGTGCGGCGCAGACATCATGCGCTATGCAGCCGCCAGTGGCGCGCCACTCTGCAGAGGTGCGTCGAAGCGCTCGGCGGCGGCGCGGCGGCGGCGCGCGGCGTGCGGCGTGCGAGCCCGCGCCGAGCCGACGCAAGAGACGCGACGCGTGCTGTGCTTTCATGCCTCGAAGCGAGGGCAGGGCGTGCAGGTGTGCATCTTGCTCTCTGGCACGCATGCCATGGCGCCCAACGCCGCAGCGCCGCAGCAGCAGCCTACAGCGTCAGTCGCTATTGCCCACCTCGCCTGAGCGGCTGTCGCGGCTCGCGCAAGGCACGCGCAGCTGGTGCGAGAAGCAGCGGCCTCGCCTGTGCCTCCGTTGCTCTCGAGACCGTGGCGCGGCCCGCGGACGCAATGAATGCCTCGGATGGTGCACGGCTGCAGGAGAGGTACGGCCGGCCGAGCTGCAGGCGACTTGCCCAACGGCCCGGTGTCTCTGCAACGGCTGCCCCGAGAGAGAGAGAGAGAGGAGCGAGGTGACGCAGCAGCAGCTGCGGCGTGTGCAGCGGCGTCGGTGCAGCCCAGCCCACGACGGCGAGACGGCACAGCGTGGCAGCGCCTCTGGCATGGCGCCTCCTCCTGCCATGCTGCCTCCTCGAGCCGCCGGCACCGCAGCGCCACCTCTGCACCTCCTCGCGGCTCGCGGCCGAGTGCTGCCTCGACGTGCGTCTCCGCAGACGCCGCCGCTGCCTGCGCTGTACTCCGCCCGGCGCGCCGCACGCCGCCTCGGACCCTTGGCCGGCGCATGCCAGAGGGCGCCGCGGGGCTTCCCGCGTTGCACGCCTCGCGCCGCCTCTGCGCCTCTCGCCTCTCCCTTCGCGCCGACCACCTCTCCCACGACGGGGCCCGATCCATTCTCCCGTGCCACCTCATCCGGCCTCGGCGCTGCCATATAGGCCCGGGGCATCCACGTCTCACCTCACGCCCGCACGCATGCCCGGCGCGTCGCTCTGAACTCGCCGCCGCCCCGACGCGCCTTGCCGCTCTCGCCATGGCAGCCACGCTCCTCGCACCCGCCAGTCGGCCACGCGCCGTCTCCACGCCGCAGCGCACGCAGACCGCCTCCTCGACGAGCAGTCGCGACACGAGTGCGCTTTCCCTTGCCACCACCGCCTCCGACTCTGCCGCAACGACGTCCTCGCCCTCGCCGCCCGCTCGCCGCGCCGCCATCCCACCCACTCCGGACTCGGCGCCGGCGCGGCGCAGCAGTGCCTCTTCCGCCAGCTACCTGCCCGTCATCTCGCAGCGCATGTCCTCCCTCGAGCCGCTCGACTCGCCGGGACGCCGGCGGCGCGGCTCGCGCAAGCGTGCCGGCGTCGCGGGCGTGGCGAGCGCCAGTGCGTCGCGCGACAGCACGAGCAGCAGCAACAGTGCGGGCAGCATCAGCTACATCTACGGCCCGGCCTCTCAGTCTGCGGCCGTCTATACGCCGCCGACGTCTTCGCCGCCCTCGCTCTCCTTCTCCCGCACCGACTCGTCCCTCACCGACCATCTGACGTTTGACATGGAGCTGCGCGCGCCCTTCAACGGCGCCCCGGCGGCGCCCGAGGGCGCAGCGCGTCCGGCTCCTCGGCGCGACGTCAGTTCGCGCCTCGACTTTCTGCCTTCGCCCTCGCCGGGCGATTCGCCTCTGCTGGCCTCGCCGCCGTTGCACGGCCGGCCCGCAGAGCTCGTGGCGCTCGATGCCAAGCGGCACGAAGACTTTAGTCCGCGCACCGCCGCGCTCCTCTTGCCGCCAGTCGTGGGCTTTGAGCACGTCGCCGCGCCCGTCGAGTCGCTCAGTTCCGCGCATCATCCCTTCGCTCCCAGCTCGCGCCACGCTTCGCCCTCCCTGCTCGAGGGCCATCCCTTCGCGAGCTCGCCGATGCAAAAGACGCCGAGCAGCGCCAGCAACGGCAGCGGAGTCTACAGCCGCATCCGCCTGGCTGCGAGCGCCAACAATCTGCGTGCGGCCTTCACGACCAACTGGCGCAATCGCTCTGCGAGCAACGTAGGCGCCATGAACGACGAGCGCCCTTCGCAGCTCCTCCAGACGCCCGCGTCGCCGGCGCTGGCGCCGCTCGCCAGTCCAGAGCGCAGCTTCCTGCCGGACTTCTCCGATGCTTCGCGTCGTGCTGCACACGCCGCAGCGCAGCCACACGACGACGCCAGCACGCACACGCCGCAGCGCAGCTGGCAGAGCAATCCGCCGCCGTGTGTGAGTCTCTCGCCGGAGCCGCCGCAGGGCCGCTTCGTCGCTGCAGGCCTCGCTCCGCCCGAGCCCAGCAGCAGCAGCAGCAGTGGCACCGGAGGCACGCTGCGCAATCTCTTCCGTCGCAAGTCGCGCGTCTCTGCTGCCGACACTGCCGCTGCTGCCGCGGCCGCTGCGGCGGCCGCGAAAGAAGCCATGATGCCAGTGGTGTACATCAAGCAAGGCGAGTCCGCATACAGTCTCAAGCCGGGAGAGTCGGCGTGGGAGGCGTCGCTGCGCGAGCAGGACGTGAGGCAGGCAAAGGAGAAGCGCGAGAAGGATCGCCAGATCAAGGCCGTCATCTTGATGGCCGATCTCAGCATCGACAAGCCTCGCGGCAGCGCAGAACGGAAGAAGCGAGGGGCAAACTCTTACGTGTCGCACGGAGAGACTAGTCAAGCCTCAATCGACTCTGCGTCGCTGCACTCCAGCTCGCCGCGCGAGACGCCAAGACGTCGAGGCAGTCTTGTGGCGGAGCACAAGACGCGTGAGGCAAGACAGGCTGCCACTGTCGGTGGCTCGGTGGGCGCCTCGGTGCTCTCGATGCTGGGCCATCAGCCCGACGCGAGTCTGCGCTCCGAAAGTCCCTCGACGCCGCTCTCCAATAAGCTCTCGCAGCGCTCGCAGCGCACGACGCCCGGCAGCCACTCGCACTCGGAACATGCGTCGCTGCCGCGCAGTCAGGCGCGCACGACGCTCGGCAAGGACGCCAGCTACATCTCGCCTGACAGCAGCTGCGCCAACAGTCTGCACAGCGGCGACGGCCACGCCAAGGCAAACGCTGCGGGCCGTGCTCGTGGCTCTTCGAGCGCCAGCTCTACGACTCGAGCGCTCGGTGCAATTCGCTGGGGAGAGGGAGGCAACAGGGGCGCCTCGACTGTGCGTCCCAGTTCAGGCCTCGGCCTTCAGCTGCACGGCATGGAAGACCACGATCCGTTCCGAGATGATCGACCTCCTGCGCTGCCGGACAAGGACAAGGACATGCTAGGGCTGGCGTCTGCCTCTTCGAAGCGGCTCGACTCGCTGGCCTCGCCTCGGGGCTCGCTCGCACACTCGAGCATCAGCAGCTCTCCTTCGCCAGCCAAGTCTCCCACGCGCACTCGAGGCATGCTGCTGCCGCACAACAACGACGAGCTGAGCGTGATTGGCGAGCGCTCGACGGAAAACACACCAGCGACGACTCAGGCTCCACTGCCTGCGCATCCGTTCGCTGCCTTCGGACAGACGCCACTTGCGACGCCGCCCGCCAGCGCCAAGAAGCTGCCTCGTGCTGCTGCTCCTCATTCTGCCGCGCACGCTTCGCCGCGAGCGAGCAAGGAGAACACGCTGCTGCGTCCAGCTTCCAAGTCGGACATGCGCGTCTTGACAAAGGCACAGCCCGTCCTTGCACCTACGTCTGTGCAAGTGAGCGTCGCCTCTCTGCCGTCGCTCGCGCAGCTGGCAAGCGAGTGTCTCTCTGCGTCTCGCAGTGGCGATTCTCTGTCGGCATGGAGCGAAGTGAAGGGCAAGCTCCTCTCGCCCGCCTCCGCCAAGGACTCGCTGCCCAAGAGCTGGGTCGCCTACGTGCGGGCGTACGCGCGCGGAGAGATTGATGTTTCGCACGCTCCGAGACCGAGAGCGGCTCCCTTGGTGCAGAAGGCCGTGCCTCGAGCCTCGCCCAATCTCTGTCCGCCCTCGCCTTCGCCGTCCAAGAGCGTGCGCGCCAAGAGCAGTGTCTCGTCTCTCGGCGCCGTCTATGAGACGCCCGTGCATGCACTCGGACGCTCCAGCGCACTCGATCTCTCCACTCCGCCGCCGCCAACGCAAGAAGCACGCTCGTCCATGTCGGCCATGCGCAGTCCCAAATTGCTGCTCAAGAAGCATCGTTCGCGCGAAGTCATGCGTCTGCCGGTCGAGGACCAAGACCTGAACATGCGAGAAGCAGAGGAGGTGGCTGCGATTGGCGGCGAAGGTGATCTGCGAGCTCCGCGGCCGCCGTTTGAAGCGCAGCGGCAAAGCCTAGCGAGACAGTTTGACGTGGCTCTCTCGCGCACGGCCAACAATGCGCGACTGTCGGCCATCGTCAAGCGTGTAGCTACAACGCTGGAGACGAGCAATGCGGCGATCACGCTGCTGCTAGACGAGGAGGCCATCGTGGTGGCACACTTTACCGTCGAGCAGCACCACGCGCGCGCCAGCCTCGAGGTGGATCCGATGATGCTGCATTCCAACGGCGTTCGTCGCTCTAGCAACGCCTTTCTCGCGCAGCATCACACGACGGCACGCCTGCGCGACCAGACGTTGGACGCGCACGCCATTCTCAGTCGCGCCGGCGCCGCCGTGGTGTTGACTGATCTCTCCAAGGACTGGCGTTTCCACGAGCGCGAGTCGGCGAGCCACTCGAGGTTCTACGCCGCCGCAAGCGTGCTGTGCAGTGGCCTGCCCGTCGGCACGCTCAGTGTCGCCGCTGCGTCGCCGCGCGAGCTTGCGCGCGAACAGCGCGACATGCTCGTGGCGGCGGCGGCGGAAGTAGCACAGGAACTGGAGCGCATTCAGCTCGAAGCTCTCAAGATGAAGCTGCAGAGCTGGGACAGCGATCTTCGTGCCTGGGCCTCTGCCACTGGCGACGCCGAACACACGCCTCAGCTGTCGACGACGCCCGCACAACGCGGCATTGAGGCAGTGATGCTTGCGCCGCCCAAGTCTCCCTCTTCTGCCCTCGCACAGCGCAGAGGCGCACGTGCGCCCTGCAGTCTCTCCATTTCTGCCTCGCCGCAGCCTGCCGCCGTCGAACTCTGCGGTGCCGACTCGGCCAGCTCGCGCATCGCCTCTGCGCTGCGGCTCATCTCGCGTGCCCTGGACGTCGAGTTGGTGTGGATTGCACGCGTCGGCTCCGATCCGCTGGCCTGTCATCTCGTCGCTCGGCACGACGGAGGCCTGCGCGACGCCGGCGAGCTCAAGCTCGATGCGCCGCTGCATCTCTGTGCCTTGGCGGCGATGCATCAAGGCCTGCGCTTCGAGGCCGACGTGGAGCGCGTGCAGCAGCTGCTCGGCCTTGCGCCGCCGCAAGCCGAGGCGGCGACGACGGCAGTGTGTCCGTTCAGCAGCGAGCCCGTCAACATGCTCGGTGCGCCGTTCCACGCCGCCATTGTCGTGGGCTGCGGTCTCAAGGAGGGAGGCCGGGCATGGCGAGGCACCGAAGGCTTCGTGCTGGGTGTGGCAAAGCGCAGCGCCGCATCGACGGCGCCTCAAAGTGCACAACTCGGCGCCGAAGCGTCGATGTATCTGATGCGCTTCGCCTCGCTCCTCTCGTGCCTTCTCCTCGATCGGCCCTGTTCGCCTTGCGCGACGGAGCTGCCACTTGCCTCGTCACTGGAGCAGCCCAGCCGATCGCCACTGTCGACGCAGTCCGCCTCGGTGCGCAACCAAGCCTCTCCGGCGGTGCGCACGGTGCCGCTGCCGGGCGGAGGAGGAGGAGTCGTAGTCGTCGGCAAGTCGGTCGCTCGGCGCGCCCTGTCGCCCCACATGCTCGCCGGCGGCCTACCTTCTCCTCGCAGCGTCAGTGCGGGAGGACACACTGGCAGCAGCAGCAGCAGCCACGCAAACAGCGGTCGTCACAGTCCCTTTTGCAATTCGCCTCGTTCGGCCTCGGCCACGTTGGCGGCGCGCGAGGCACGGCGCCTGATTCCCGCGGCGACGCCGCCGCCCAGCGCGCCGCTGCCTCTGCTGCCCCTTTCGCCCCTCTCGCCCACCGACACGGCACACACGTCGCTGGCGGGCTCGCCCTCCAGCATGGTCACGGCCTTCGAGGACGGCGAGGAGTTTGAGATGCAAAACGCGCCGCCTGCGTCTGCCTCCGCTCCCGCGCCGCCGCCGCCGTCGTCGTCGTCGTCGTTGCGCAAGCGCGACGACGTCGAGTACCTCGACTCGGACGCGGAGAGCGAGGCGTCGGGCGAGTCCTTCCTGCTCTAGATCATCGCACCACGTCCTCTCTGCACTCAGACTCTTGCTGCTTCGCATCCTGTCGCGCCATTCCCCGCACTTCTCCTTGGCGCTCGCTGCTTGCCATCTCCTCGCATCTCCCTCGCACGCAGCTCCACCTCTTGTTGCGACTTTCGCCTCCGCTTGCCATGCAAACGCAACACGCTGTATCACTAATCTGCTTCCTTGTACGCGTGTTACTGCTGCGTCAGGCTACGAGTGACGAGCCATCGAAGCACGCAGCAGTGACGACGAGAGGGGGGGGGGGGGTCGGAGGGCAGAGCGGCAAGCGTGGGAGGCGCGTTGCCGCAGCACGCTGGGCGTGGGAGCAGGCCTGCCGCCGCGGCTCCTGCCCAGCTGCTGCAGCGGGTCTCGGCCGCGGAGAGCGACTCTGTCGCGCGTGTCCTTTTCGCGCGCCGTGCCGCATGGCGAGGCACTGGAGCAGTGTCCTGTCGCCGCGCCCGCGTGAGGCCGCAACGCCGCGCGCCGTCCTTCCGAGCACACCTCTTGCCACCACCGTCACCCTTCACCTCACCCCACCCCCTCCTTCTACTCACCCGACACCATGGAGAACGAGCGCGTGCGTAAGCGCTGCTGCATGCGATGCGCGACTGGTGGACAGGGAGGCAGCGAAGCGGGAATGCGCGGGCGCAATGGCGCTGCGCTGCACATGGCACTGCTGCTGGGCTGCAGTGCTTAGGCGCTCGCCCTAGCCTCGCCTTGCCGCCGGATGAAGGCTTCTCTCACTCGGTATGCCCTCTCCTCCCTCTCTGCTCACACTTCCTCCTGCAGGGAGACCTTGTCGACCTGTACGTGCCGCGCAAGTGTGCCGCCACGGGGCGCCTCATCGAGGCCAAGGACCACGCCTCGGTGCAGATTGCCGTCGCCGACGTCGATGCCGAGGGCAAGATGATCCCGGGCAGCAACACGACGTTCCCCCTCTCCGGCTACGTGCGCCGCGCCGGCGAGAGCGACGACAGCATGAACCGCCTCGCCACCAAGGAGGGCCGTGAGTGTTTAGTTTTGGCTTTTGGCTTTGCTTGCGCGGAGGAGCGAGGAGGAGGCGGGCAAGGGGCGAAGAGCGGAGAGTAGAGAAGAATAAGGGTGGGGGACGAAGGAGGGAGGAGAGGGAAACGGAGGCCCCATCACGTGCAGAGGGGGACAGGAGAAGGCACACGGGGGCCAGCTGCTGGCCGAATCGCTGGGTGAGAGAGATGGGGCACGGCGCACCTGCACGCGCCACCTGTTTTTGTCAAGCCCAGCATGCCGCGCGGCGGGTGCGAAGGGGGAGCGTGTGCATTGGTCCCTTGGAACGTTCCAGCCCAGGGTAGCTGGCGCGGGGGGGGGGGCGCCTGGCAGGCGAGGGCGGCGCGGTCGAGGCACGCTTGTTGCGCGGTCGGGCAGGGCAGGGTAGGATGGGTGATGCCTAGGGGCAGTTGGTTAAGCCATCGTGCGCGCGTTCCGGGGGGGGGGGGGAGGCTGGTGGCATTTCTCTCTCGCATTCCCCTTTTCTTTGGCCTCCCTCCCTCTTGCGCGCGTCGTTGCGCTATGCAGCTTTTGGGCGCGCGTAAAGGCAAGAGAGAGAGAGAGGGGAGGTCAAAGATACGCTCCCAGACAGTCTGCGCCTTCGCCTATTCCAACCTAAGGCAGGCGCTGGATTCCAATTATTGTCGAGCGAAGAGCGACGCCTTCGAGCCAGTTCAGCGTCTCTATCTCGTTGCCCTCGCCCTTTGCGAAACCTATGCGCGAGAGAGGGAAGGCTGCATCGATGGGCGACGCAGCATATAAGAACTCGACCACTCCTATCTCCCGTGGAGGGTTGAGTGTCAGACTGCTGCGACATGCCCCCCACTCCTTCCTCCCCCTCTCCCCTTCTCGCTGGTCTCGTTCGTGGGAAGGCGTGGGGCCGCTCTTCCTGCAATCCCTGCGTCTTCGGCTCTTCGCGTTTCCCACTCTGCGCCGCGCTCGAAACCAACAGCTGCTGATGATTATTCTCTTGCCTCCCCCCTCCTCCCCTCTCTCCTTGCCAACTCCGCCTCGACACCCAACTCCGACGCTCAACGACGTATGCTTCGCGCCTCGCATCAAACACTAGTGCTTCGCAACGTGTGGCAGTACTCCAAGTAGAGCGGGTGGCCCTCTCTCTCTGCGCCCCTCTTTTTGCGCTCGATTACCACCACAATCGATCTTTGACCCTCCCGCCTCTTTTCGTGGGCTGCTTGTGTGCGCCTGCGTGGGATTGCGCGTGCCCGCGACGCGATGTGGGCGTGGGGCGTAATTACGCGCCCTGTGCAGATGTGAGGAGTGGAGGCATGCCCATCATGCGGCAAGAAGGTGGAAGGAGGGGGTTTGGAGAGGGGGGG